CTGGGGAGGCACGAGCTGGCGCGGGAGGGGCTGTACGGGAAGCAAGTCAGCCAAAGAGACAGGAGAATCCGATTCGCTCTCGAACTCACCTCCCCCTCCGCCGCCGCCGCTTCCACTACCGAGTGAACTGGCCCCCGGCGCTCCAGTCTTCCTCAGGGTCGGCATTCCCACACCCGCAAAGATACCGGCAAGCTGCTGCGGCTTCGGAGCATCGTCGTCTCCTCCTCCTCCTCCTCCGGACGGCGTTGATGGAGCGGCTGCGCGAGGAACGGGAGGTGCGCCGGATCGCTTCGGGGCGGATTCGTCGATTATGCGACCTGTCAAGGGGGACAGTCGGGACGAGCGTTTGCGAAGTGAGCGAGTTGGGAGGAGCGAGGTGGGGGTGCGAGCGAGCGAGTCGAATGAGGGTGGCGCAAGGGTCGTAGAGTCACGGAAGGAGTCAACACCGTCAGTAACACACTCTCCCGAGCCTCAAACCTCACCCTCCCGGCCTCGTCGCCTTCTCTAATCCCCCTCGGCGACACCCAGTGATGAAGCGCTGTTACGCGGACGCACCGACTCCCGCCGCTGCCGAGCGGTCGTTCGTCTGAGTCTTCTTAAGCCCCTTGCCCTTCTGGATCTGCTGCAAGAGTGCGCCGTCCATCGTGAGGCGCTATGGGCGGGTGAGGGTCCCTCGGGGGATGACGAGGGGGTGGTGGAAGAGCGCGAGCAAGGTGAGGGTGAAGGTGAGCGGTGTGGCAGTGGAGAGAATGTCGTTGTGAGTCTGTTGAGCGTATCTGCAGCCCCGTCGGCCGTGAGTGAGCCGGTCGTCTTGGTGTGAGCGAGTGCGACGACGAGGACAAGGTCGGCGCTCTTCAACAGGAGTAGGATGGGCTGAATACTGTACAAATCTAATGTAGTGATCTCATTACACTTGCCAGTATTCCCATCCACCCACGAGCACACGCAGCTCCTCGCTCGGCAGCCGGCTCGTCCTCGCCTCCCGACTCTCGCTTCTCCTCTTTCCCTCTCACCACTCGCCAGCCATGCCAGCACCCTCGAAAGCCGACGTACAAGCACAGCAATTCCGCACTCTCGCACGCCTCGACGCAGTCAAACACCACTTCGACACAACGCCCGCGCAGAACAGGTTCAAGGGCAAGGTGGGGATCATCACCGGCGTCGGGTCGCAGAAGGGCATCGGGTATGTGCAGTCCCTCGGGGAGAGTCTGCTGAGTGGGGCTGACTGGGACCGATGCACGGTAGACGCGCGACGGCGAGGCTGTTGGCCAGGGAAGGTGCGTTCCCCTCCTCGACCCTCTCTCAGCTGCACGGGAAGACATTCTTGGGCTAGGCTGATAGACAGGTTGGGTCAATGCACAGGCGCCAAAGCGCTGTACGTCCTCGACTACGACGGCTCGACCCTCGACGAGTTCGCACACGAACTCGAGTCTCAGCACTCGGGTCTCTCCGTTCGTCCCTCCCTCTTCCTCCCCTCCTTCCCTTCTCACCTGACCCCTCAATGGCGGCAGGTAACCCCCATCACAGCCGACGCCTCCTCCACAGACGCAATCTCCTCTCTCTGCGCCCAAGCACTGAAAGAACAAGGCCGGCTCGATTTCTTCTTTGCGAATGCGGGGACGACGGGGGCGAATATGAGCCTTGAGGGGTTGGACGAGGAGGGCGTGATGCAGGTTATGAAGGTTAATGTGCTTAGGTGCGTCGCGGGCGCTTGCTGGGATAAGATGCTGGAGGAGGCCTTCTCACTATCCCCGAGAGAAGGCCCTCCAGCTTGGCTTTCTCTTTGAAGTGACTCGCACTGACGAGACGTGTGAGTGGACAGCTGCTTCGTGGCGGTCAAGCACGCCTCGGCCGCGATGAAGCAGAACCCGCCCGAAGCGCGCGGAGGGAGTATCGTCTTGACCGCTTCCGGTGCGTCCGACTCTCACATTGTCGAATTCCGTTCCCTTCAGTACGGTGAAGTGTTGATTCATTGATGCGTCGGGCTGTGCAGTTGCGGGATTGAGGAGCGGTGCAGGACCGCAAGATTACTCGTGCGTCCAGCCTTTCCTTCTCCTCATCTCACTCGCACCTTCCGCATGGATCGCTGATGGGACCAAATCGGCGGACACAGCGCCTCGAAAGCCGCGGTGATCAACCTCGCCAACACCTCTGCCCAAATCCTCGCCGGAACCGACATCCGCGTCGTGCGTCCCTTCCCCTCCCCTCCTATCCCCTCTCCTACCTTTCCCAAGCTGACAAACACGTGGCGCAGAACGCCATCTGCCCCGGCTTGATCGAGACGGGCATGACTACTTTCACGTTCGACCGTGCGAGGGAGAGGGGAACGTTGGGAAAGGTCGGGCAGTTGAACCCGCTGAGGAGGTGCGTCCTCCCCCTTCCGCACTCCTCACACGAATCGAGGAAGTGAGCTGATCAGGACGGTGTGGTGCAAACGTAGGTTTGGGATCCCGGAGGAGATTGCGCAGGCGGCGTTGTGGCTGGCGTCGGGTGCGTCGGGCTTGCGTCTCCTTCTCCTGAGCGCTCTTCATGAGCTTCAGGAGGTACGTAGAGGCAACAGCGTTGACGCTCGCTTCTTGTATTGCTCTTTGTCGTTTGCAGACGACTCATCCTACGTACGTCGCCTCCTTCCCTTCCCTATCCCTCCTCTTCTCTCCGCTGACCGCCGCTGTGAACGGCTCGACAGGTCAACGGCATCGCCCTCCCCGTCGACGGAGGACTCAGCTCCTCACTACCCGTCGCCCCGGGTCAATTCATGTAACTCTCCCTCCCTCTCTTCATCCTTCGGCCGTCTGGAGTCTTATCAGTTCTTGTAGTGCGTCTGAAAGGAAGTTTATCGTGCTCTCTAGCCCCTACGAAAGAGAGTGTCCTCGAGTCTCGCGTCTCGTCCGGACGTCGCTCTCGCTCCCCTCTTCACGCTCGTCGTCGCTCTCCCGCAGGCTCGGGAAGCTCGCCAGCTTCTCCATCGCAGCCGCTGGCGCACGCGAAGCTCGACTCTGCGTCTCACGCCGTTCGCGACCCGTGCACCGCCCCCCCTCACTGGGTCCCACTCCATTCTCATCTCTCAACCCCCTTGTCGCCTCCCACGGCGCTCGAAGGGCCGCTCCGAGGGCGCGAATGTCCTCGAGTGCAGGGCTGCTAGCTCCAATCGGTTTGGAGAGGGTTCGGACGAGGGGTTTGTCACCGCCTTCCCCGTCGCTCGTCCCTTCTTCTCCCTCTCCCGGTCCTTCGCCCTCCCTCTCACAGACCGACGCCAACTCGCCCTTCTTCGCTTCAACCGAGGAGGAGAAAGGAAAGAGGGAGAAGAGAGAAGTGGAACGAGCGGCGTTCGAGGAGGCAAAGGCCTTGTATGAAGCTGGAGTTGGGATCGCGAGGGATAATCCGCGTGCTGCGACTCTACATTTCAGACAAGTACGTCCACCTTTCCCCTCTCTCTCGCGCGGGGGCTGACGGCGGGGAAGGGGACAGGCAGCAGCAGTTTTCTCGACCCTCTCTTCCTCGAAACACCTGAAAAAAAGGGACAAGGCGCTCTGGCAAGCGGGGATGTGTTTTGCGCACGAGGGCGTGCGGTTGGGTCGGAGAGCTGCCCGACTCGCCCGAAGAAAAGGAGAGGGGAGGAAGAGGGCGGAGGAAGGATTGGCGGAGGCAAGGGGGTGTTTGGAGCAGGTGCGTCTCGAGTTCAGAGTCTTCGGTATGTGGGAGAGAGGGGAGGAGAGGGGCTGATTGATGGGTGGTTGGTGGGTGGACAGGCGAGAGATTTGTTTCACTTTCTTGGGGAGACTGCGAGTGCGTGTTCACTTCTCTTGCGGCGCCCAGCGTCTCTGAGCGGGCTGACCCGGCTCTCCCACGCGCGCAGAGGAAGCAATAGCGCTGTACCAACTCGGTCTCTTCAGCTGCACCATCGCCGAAGCCGCCGACCACTTCAAATCCGTGCGTTCCTTCCTCGCTCCTCTCCCTCTCTCGCTGATTGCGATGCGTCGAGCAGGCCGCCATCCTCTTCGCCGAGTGCGGGGACGAAGGACGAGAGGCGATGTGTTATGCCGAGTTGGGGAACTTGTTTGCGGCGGGTGAGGGGGGAGATCCGGATTCGGGGATCTGGTTCTTCAAGCAGGTGCGTAGCCTGCGAACCTCCTCTTCTCGCGTACCGCGCACGTAGAGCTGATGCTATGGCGTGATGGATCGCACAGGCCCTCTTGTTGTACCTCAAGCTCGGCGACACGCTCAAAGAAGCGCATTGCCTCTTTTCCTGCGGCGTCCTCTTCGCTCGCCTCCCTCCACCCGACCCCTCCGCGCCCTCTTCCACGACTTCCTTCCCCTCACTCGGCGCCTCAACGTCCTCGTCTACCTCCCATCACACCCCAAACCCAACCCAAAGCGCCCTCGCGTACCTCTCCCAGTCCGCGACGCTCTTCAGGAAGATGAGAGACAGGAAGGGCGAGGCGGAGTGTAGGTATCAGATGGGGAAGATCTATGCGCGTGTAGGGGGCGCGAGGGAGAAGAGCGGGTTGGAGAGGGCCGTCAAGGAGTTTGAGGAGGTGCGTCCTTCAGTTGCTCGCTTCGGCACGTACGCTTGAGCTGTGCATGCTGATGGCCGCGGCTTGTCGTGTGATGCAGGCCAGCAACCTTTTCCTCAAGGCTGGCTCGAATACGGATTGCGCATGGACATACTACCGCCTCTCGCTCGTCATGCTCAAAGTCCGCTCGAAGGAGCTCGCGCTGGACTACCTCGCCGAGGTGCGTCATTGTTCCTCCTCATTGACTCGCCTGAACTGACACGGGTTGGACACAGGCGAGAAAGCTCTTTGCGGATGCGAAGGAGAAGAAGGCGGAGGGAGCTTGTCTTGTCCGAATGGCGGAGATGATGCGAGGTGAGGAGTCGAAGGAGTCATTGGTGCTGGGCTCGAAGGAGGAGGAGGAGGCGTTTTTGGCGGACAAGTACCTAACAGAGGTGCGTTCCCCTCACTTTGTCCGCTCGCGAAGGGAGGAAGCTGACACGGTCTGTTCACAGGCCGCGACGCTCATGCCCTCCTCGACATTCGACCGTCTCACGCGCTCGCACTCACGCTCATCGGCCCACTTCGGCCGAAGAGGAACGATCCGCCTCTCCGCCTCGTCTCCCCAACTCTCCTCCAGCTCTCCCTCCCAGTCCCGCGCACCACCTCGTCTCCGCACCGCTTCATCGCCAGACGAGCTCGAAGTCGTCCGCGAAGAAGACGAGGAAGACGAGGATCAAGACGAAGAGGAGGGTCTCTCGCTCGCGCGGCAGGGAAGCGAAGGAGGACTTGGGCTCGGAGCGGGGAGGGGAGGAGAGGCGTGGTGGGCTGTTAAGGACGATTCGGGGCTCGGAGCCGGTGAGATGGACGCGAGGGCGGAGAAGGGGAAGGGGAAGGAGAGGGAGGGGAGGAGGGAGAGGAAGGCGAATGCGGGTGGGAGTGCGTAGGGGCGGTATGAGCTGGCTGGTCATCATGTGCGTCACACCGTCTTCTTACCTGACGCGAACGGTGCTGACCCTCATTTGCGCAGATCGAGGAGGTCAAGCCCTGGCGGCTTTCGACTCTGCCCCTCTGTCTGTCTCTTGTTCGATTCTCTCTCTGCGGGATGTATGGTCATCGAGCGGCTGGATCCGCCTGTTAAGGGTGCCATAGACACTGCATCGGTCCTTATCTTCGTCCCCCAGACCTGCCAGACTGACAGGAGACTGCTGCGACCGCTCTTCGTCGTGACACAGCAAGCGCAAGGGCACTGATGCTTCCAGGACAGGATCTTAGAGTGTCTGTCTAGGCATTGCAAGCGCTTACACGCCTACACGCCCGCTCGTTGACCTTTGCTTCGAACTTCTCCTCGCTCGTCGCTCTCGCCGAAGTCCTTGCCTCGTCTCGCTCACCTCGCCCCAACCTGCTCGCTTGCTAGCTTCAGAGCTTGGTACATAGCTACGAGATACAGAGCTACACTTCAGCAGCATCAACGTCCGCTCGCCAGCTCTCCTCGTCCACCCGCGTCATCTCCCCACCTCGCCCGATCCTCGAACTCGCCTCTACGCCCGCCCAGAGCCGCGTGAGTCTCGTCAGATTATTCACGGGGACTGGAGTGATGGGTGTCTGCTCGGGCGGGGCCGGCGATGCTGTGAGGAGGACTTGCGGGGGCTGTGCGGTGGAGGGGTACGAAGAGGTCGAGGCGGATTGGGCACGGCTCGACAGGCCATGCTCGACGGTCTCGTCCTTGTGATGGGAAGGATGCGAGAGACGGGCGAGCTTTCAGCTGGACACGAGCGGTTGCGCGAACTTGCGGTCCTCTCGGATGAGGTGGTGCACTCGGTGTCGAGGCCAAAAAAGGGCCGAGACGCGCGGGTTTGCTGGCGTAGGAGCACCTGCGCGAGCGCATCTGACCGAGTGGACGAGTCTGTTCAACCCGCTTGTCGTGCCCTCAAGTTCGCCTCCGTCGACAACCCAGACTGTTTACGCAGTAACTCCAGCGCTGACCCTTTCCGCTCTTCGTTCGCAGCCCACCCTTCACGCCTGAAGCCGGCTCAACATGGCCGAATACGACACGCCTCTCGTCGTTGACAACGGTACCGGGGTGCGTCCGCGGTCCTCCTGTTCCTCCAGCCTTTCGCTGACGAAACCGCAATCGCTCGTCCGGCGATGTGCAGTTTGTCAAGTGCGGTTATGCCGGCTCCAGTAAGTGGCGCGTCCTTAAAACGACGGGCAACTTGCTCGACGAGTAGCCCGTCTGCCGAGCTATGTCGCAATTAAGCTTGCTCATCCACTCTCGCAGACTTCCCGGCACACACCTTCCCCTCCATCATCGGTCGACCCATCCTGCGCGCCGAAGAGCGGGGCCAGAACACCGAGATGTCCGCGATTCAGGACATCATGGTCGGCGACCTCGCGTCCGAGTACCGCTCGTACCTGCAGCTCTCGCAGCCGATGGAGCACGGAATAGTCAAAAACTGGGATGACATGAAGATCTTGTGGGACTACACGTTCCGCGAGAAGCTCAAGGTCGACACGCGCGACCGCAAGATCCTCCTAACCGAGCCGCCGATGAACCCGCTCAAGAACAGGGAGAAGATGGCGGAGGTCATGTTCGAGGACTACCAGTTTGGCGGGATCTATGTCGCGATTCAGGCCGTCTTGACGCTCTACGCGCAGGGTGCGCCCCGCTCCCTTTCCTTCTCCATTCCTCGCCCGCTCACGCTCGCTATCCTCGCAGGCCTTCAGTCTGGCGTCGTCGTCGACTCGGGAGACGGCGTCACTCACATCGTCCCAGTCTACGAAGGATTCGCCCTCCCTCACCTCACGAAGCGTCTCGACGTCGCCGGCCGCGACGTCACCCGCTACCTCATCAAGCTTCTCCTCATGCGCGGATATGCGTTCAACCGCACGGCGGACTTTGAGACCGTCAGGCAGATCAAGGAGAAGTTGTGCTACACAAGGTGAGTGCGCGCTCGTCTGACTTGGTCTCGCTCAACCGCGGTGCTTGCGGGGGACCTCGGAGCGAATGAGCAATGTACTTAAAATGTCCGCTGTGCAGCTACGATCTCGACCTCGACAAGCGACTAAGCGAGGAGACGACCGTCCTCGTCGAGAACTACGAGGTGCGTCTCACTTTTTCCGCTTCTTCGGCCGTAACTGATCTTCCGCTCGCTACAGCTCCCCGACGGACGCGTCATCAAGGTCGGCTCGGAGCGGTTCGAGGCGCCCGAGTGCATGTTCCAGCCCCACCTCGTCGACGTTGAGCAGCCGGGTGTTGCCGGTTCGTCCCTCCTTCCTTCTGCCTCCTTCGCCCTCGTCCGCTCCCCAGCTCACTCACTCACACATTCGTACACTGCAGAGATGCTCTTCAACACGGTCCAAGCGGCGCCGGTTGACATCCGCGGCGAGCTGTACAAGCACATCGTCCTCTCGGGCGGCTCGTCGATGTACCCGGGCCTGCCGTCGCGCCTCGAGAAGGAGATGAAGCAGCTGTACTTCTCGCGGGTGCTGCACAACAACCCCGAGAGGCTCGACAAGTTCAAGATCCGCATCGAGGATCCGCCTCGGCGCAAGCACATGGTCTACCTCGGCGGGTACGTCCCCTCTCGCTCTCTCGCGTCCTCTGAAGCGTCGTGTGATACTGACGACGCTTCACGAATGACCTGCAGGGCGGTACTTGCTGACATCATGAAGGACCAGGAGTCATTTTGGGTGTCGCGGGCTGAGTGGGAGGAAGAGGGCCCGCGCTCCCTGGCGAAGCTCGGGGCTCGGGAATGAGCGAGTTTGCTGCTTCGGGTATTGTAAGACTGCGCTGCACGAATCATCCCACATGCGGCTCGAAGGAGAAGGCAGGTGACTCGTATTCTACGCCACTAAAGCTCGGCCACAAGTGTCTGTTAGACCCGAAAGCGCGCGCTACGCTACTTCTTCGCCGGCGGGAACCACTCCTCCTCCGGGTGCTCCTTGAAGTACGCTGTCGCCCATTCCGACTCGACTTTCTTGATGATCCTCGCGGGCACACCGGCGACGACGACGAAGGGCGGGACGGACTGTGCGGAGGGGGGAGCGAAGAGTGAGCTTCCGGCATAGGTGCGAGAGAGGAAGCTTGCGGTCGTAGCAAGCGCGAGCAACTAAGATCGCGGTACGCACCTTGGTCACGACGCTCCCAGCTCCGACGACGACTCCTGTACCGATCTTTACGTTCGGGAGGACCGTGATGGAACCGCCGAACCAGCAATTGTCGCCGATGTCGATGGGTCCGCCAAGTTCGGGTCCTGCGGTGCCTTGGCGGATGGCGGGGTCGATAGGGTGCGTCGCGGAGTACCTACGATGTCAGATGAGCGGCTTAAGCACGGCTGGCCAGCGTGACAAGACGAGGGCGGACGTACAAGCCGACGTTGGGTCCGAATAGACAGCCTGAGCCGATGGTCACCTTGCACGTATTGAGGACGACGAGGTTGAAGTTGGCGAACGTGCCGCGACCAACCTCAAAGCGCCTGAGAGTGGAAGACGAGGCGATCAGCGAGGGATGCGCTCGCGGAACTCGAAGAGAAGTAACCTACTCGGCATAGTCGACCTTGAAGGGCGGCTCAAACCACGGGAAGTCCTTCAAAGCCTCGTCCTCGTCCTCTCCTTCTTGCGCTGGCGGGAGTTCAGGAAGTGTCGGAATACACCTGCGCTCGCAAGAAAGGTCAGCTTCGCCGGGGAGAATGTGAGGTCGGCAGCCTCGGTACGCACCTGCGCGCTCGCATTCAGCTTCGTTCTATCTATGAGAGAATTCACACGACGCACTTTCGCAGAAGCTCGACCTGCTGGCGCCGCGAGACCTCAGTCGCCTCCCGGTTGTACGCCGCACAAGCCTGCGCCGCCTTCCTCCTCAGCGCGGTCAAGTCCGGCGTGAACGCTGTGTAGAGCTCGCCACGCTGCATGCGGGCGTAATTCTCCGCCAGGTTGATGCCGTTCCACGTTCCTTTGCTCGCCATGATGTGGGGAGTCGAGGGTGGTCGGGTCTGAGGGTACGAGAGAGCGGCAGGATATGCGAGAGCGTTCAGTACAAGCTGTGTAGAACTCAGGAAAGCAGCACAAGCGAAGAGCGGCGCGAGGGAGAGCAGAGAGATGGTGGACGCCAAGGTGCGCGGAGTGAGGGAGTGGTGGACGCCGAACGAACGTCCCGAAGCAGCGCGACCAGTTGTACAGGTGAACAGAACAATAGCAGGAGCGAGAGAAGCGCAGAGACGGCGAACACGTGGACAGCCAGAGAGACGTTGCAAACGAGAGACTGCTACTCCTTTTCGATCTCGACCGCAAGAACCGCTTACTTGAAGACTGCGAGAGCGTGGACGCGTTAGCGCTAGCGAGGCGTGCTGGAGGAGGGAGGCGAACGCACTCTTGCCGTCGGCGACGGTGAGGCCCTCGACCTCGCCCTCCCACGACCAGACCTTCTCGATGAGCTCGCGGTCGGTCTTGTAGTCGAGCATGGTGAAGTTGTAGGACTCGTAGTCTGCGACGCAACGAGAAGTCAGCTGCTGAGCCTTTAGAGGCGGGAGGAGGCAGACCCACCGGGAGCGACGTCGAAGACAGCCTTCCAGTCGTTGCCGCGGATCATGTAGACACCGATGATCTTGCTGTAGAGGCGGAGAATGCGAGGCAGAGGTCAGCAACGTCAAAGCGATGGACATGTGATGAAGCCGCGCACGAGTTGCCAGAGGTGCCGTAGACGTTAAGCGAACCGAAGAGGAACCTGTGTGAGAGCGCCATCAGTGACTGAACCTGAAAGGAGACGAGCAGCTGGCTGAACTCACTTGCGGGACGCCTCGAGACGGGTGTGGAAGCCAGTGCACTGGTTCGCCGACATGAAGGTCTGGGTGAGCTCCTCGTTGTACTTGAAGTCGCAGCGGACGATGCTGTAAGCCGTGGGAGACGTCAGACGGGCCGTAAAGCGTGGAAAGAGGACTAGTCGAGCTGAGGCAAGCGTATCGGCACGCGGGCACGCACCTGTATTCGTTCGCGTTGTAGTGCTCATCGAGCCACTTCATCGCGACGGGGGTGTCGTTGTTCGAGTACTGCCTCTTCCACTCGTCGAGCGGGAACGACTGCGCAGGGCCGAGGGCCTCGCACGGGTGCTTCGCCTTGGGCTCGGCGGGCTTGTCGTCCTCCTCCTCGGCGGCAGCAGCGGGCGCCTTGGGCTTCGGCGCAGCGGCGGGCTGCTCGGCCTTGGGCTTGGTCTCCTTCTTTGGGGGCGTGTAGACGATGGCGGTCTCGATGAGAGTCGGCTCGGTCTTGATAACCTCGAAGAAGGGAGCCTGGTGGATGACGGTGTTCCAGTAGCGCATCGTGTTGGGGTTCTGCTTGCGCCACTCGGCGTCGAGGACATTCTCGAAGCCGCGGAAGAGGACGGCGGCAGTGAAGATGTCGCCGAGCGAGATGCGCTCGCCAACGAGGAAGGTGCGGGCCGCGAGCGTTTTCTCGAGGTAGTTGAGGTGCTTCATCGCCTTGGCCTTGGCGGCCTCGACCTGAGGCTTCTGGTAAGGAACGAGGCCCTTGAGAGGGCGGAACCAAGCAGCGATCGAGGGAAGGAGGTCGGCGTTGGCCCCTGCGAAACTCGAGGTCGTCAGATTCGTTCGTCGAGTCGCCCTCGTGAGACAGCCTGTTCCGTGCGACACAGCACTAAATTGCACGCACACGAGGACCAGCGGAGGATGTCGGCGGCGTCCTCCTTGCCCTTGCCGAGGAGACCAGCCTTGTTCTGCTGCGAGGCGAGGTAGGTCGCGATAGCGATCGCCTCGGTGAGCTTGAAGTCGCCCTTCTCAAGCGCCGGAATCTGTCAACCACCCTTACGCGATTAGCGTTGTTCTTCGAGCCTTAGAGAGGAGCAGAGCGCACGAGTCCGAGAGGGAACTTGGCGGTGTAGTCGGCAGGGAGACCACCCTCCGCCATCGGGTTCGTCTCGACGTGCTCGAGCTGGATGCCCTCGTACTTGGCGACAATGTGCTGGACGCGCGTGCGCGGGTTGCCCTCGAACTGTTGAGCGAGATGGGAAATCGTCAGTCGGTGGCAGGGGTCGCAACGGCGTCGACGCGATTGTGTGGGCCGCCAAGCCAGCTGAAGGCAGTCCTGAGCCCTTAATACGCCCGCATGTTCTTCCACAGCGTCCCGGCAGTCCTCGCCATCGAGCCTCGCTTCATCGCTTTCCCCCAGCAATCCGAACGTGTTCCCCGCCGTGCCCTCGCCGTGCGCGTGTCTGAGCAGCACCGAGAAAGTCTGAGCGCACACCGTAGACAGTGGCGAACGACATCTTGGCTGTAATGAAGCGAGAAGAGCGAAGTGCTGGAGCAACAAGTTGCGAGGAGCGAGCGGTCGAGGAGAAGGAGTCGCAACTCGTACGAGACAGGCTGCGCTCTCGCAGACAGTGCTGAAAAGTCCAAAGGAAACCACTATGAAAGCAGGAAGCCTGCAGAGCGAGCGGACGTCAAGAACGGACTCTCCGCGACCGAGTTCCTGTCGAACCGATTCATTGCCGACCCATACAGGCTCTATTGTCACAACGATGCGTCTTAGGGGAAGCATATAACCGTCTACTTGAAGACTGCGTAGCGAAGAGGCGGTCAGAACGAGGCGAGGACAAGAGCAGAGGAGAAACGGACGCACTCTTGCCGTCGGCGACGGTGAGGCCCTCAACCTCGCCCTCCCACGACCAGACCTTCTCGACGAGCTCGCGGTCGGTCTTGTAGTCGAGCATGGTGAAGTTGTAGGACTCGTAGTCTGCAACGAGGCTAAGGGTCAGCCATAGGAGCACGATTGAGCGGGAAAGGAGCGAACTTACCGGGAGCAACGTCGAAGACAGCCTTCCAGTCATTGCCACGGATCATGTAGACACCGATGATCTTGCTGCAGAGGCGCAGAATGCGAGGCAACGGTCAGCAACGCCAAACAGCGATGGAGATGCGAGAGAGCCAGCGCACGAGTTGCCCGAGGTGCCGTAGACGTTAAGCGAACCGAAGAGGAACCTGCGTGGAGCGCCATCAGAGACTGAACCTGGAACACGACTCGCAGTTGAGAACTCACTTGCGGGACGCCTCGAGACGGGTGTGGAAGCCAGTGCACTGGTTCGCCGACATGAAGGTCTGGGTGAGCTCCTCGTTGTACTTGAAGTCGCAGCGGACGATGCTGCAAACCGGGTGAGACGTCAGACGGGCCATGACAGGTACTAACGAGGCCATGGTGGCGGAAACGAGCGTTTCGGCACGCGGGAACGCACCTGTAGTCGTTCGCGTTGTAGTGCTCGTCGAGCCACTTCATCGCGACGGGGGTGTCGTTGTTCGAGTACTGCCTCTTCCACTCGTCGAGCGGGAACGACTGCGCAGGGCCGAGGGCCTCGCACGGGTGTTTCGCCTTGGGCTCGGCGGGCTTGTCGTCCTCCTCCTCGGCGGCAGCAGCGGGCGCCTTGGGCTTGGGCGCAGCGGCGGGCTGCTCGGCCTTGGGCTTGGTCTCCTTCTTGGGGGGCGTGTAGACGATGGCGGTCTCGATCTGGGTGGGGAAAGCGCCGATGACGGCAGTGTAGGGCTGCTGGCGGACGACGGTGTTCCAGAAGCGGAGGGTGTTGGGGTGCGCCTTGCGGAACTCGGCGTCGAGGACGAAGCGCTGGCCGAACGAGAGGACCTCGGCAACGTAGATGTCGGCGAGGGTGACGCGCTCGCCAACGAGGAAGGTGCGGGTCGAGAGGGCCTTCTCGAGGTAGGCGAGGTGCTTCAAGGTCTTCTCCTTGGCAGCCTCGACCTGGGGCTTCTGGTAGGGGCGCGAGCCGGTGAGGGGGGCGAACCACGAGACGAGGGTCGAGATGAGGTCGGCGTTGGCCCACGACGCCCAGCGGAGGACATCGGCGGCCTGCTCCTTGGTCTGGCCGAGGAGGTTGGCCTTGTTCTCGAGGGAAGCGAGGTACGAGGAGATGGCGATGCTCTCGGTGAGCTTGAAGTCACCGTGCTCGAGGCCAGGGACCTGCGTGAGAGTCGGGTAAGCATTACGGCAGGCGGCAGGAGGTAGGAGACAACGCACGAGGCCAAGAGGGAACTTCTCGATGTAAGCGGCGCCGACACCGCCCTCAGCGTGAGGGTTGGTCTCGACGTACTCGAGGTTCAAGCCCTCGTACTGAGCCGCAATGCGGGGGATGGTGGTGCGGGGACCAACCTGTGGCGAGAAGAGTCGTGTAAGTAAGGCGAGGAGGGGGAAGAGGTGGTGTTGAGCGATAGTGAGCCTCCCGCAACCTCCTTCCGCTGCGCCGCTCCTACTAGACTCTCTCTGCCACCTGTTTGAGCGTCCTGTGACACCACGACAGGGTCCGGTCCGCCAGATCTGTGTACCCATCCTCCATCGACCAGAACTTGTGGAGGCGGCGCAGAACAGCGACGAGAGCAGCTGGAAGAACGGCGCGGGTCAGAGAGCATTGACGTACGCCGTAGATCTTGAGAGCAGCCATTTCTGAGCAGGAAGACGAGCTGAGCAGGGTGAGGGAGGGAGAGAAGGTGCGCCGCCCGTCGAGCTCAAGCTCCTTCGCCCCGGTCGACTTGCTCTCCCGCTCTCACGTCTCGCTGGGTCCTCTTGCTTCGCTGAACGGAGTCACAGATATTGCTCCTCGCATTACCGGCCATACCGCTACTGCCCGGCGCGAGTTCTGTCCCACCGCTCCGCCGCCTCGCGAACTAACTGCGCCGCGAACGGCGGCGACAGACTCCATTCGTCCGTGACGCCTCCAAGCCACTCCTTCACCCCCGGACACGCCTCGACGTCGGTGACCAGCTTGTCGCACGCCGGAAACTGGCTGGCTAGCGTCTTGACCGCTCCGTCCGTCTTGCTCTTCAAGGTCGACGACCGCGCGAGCGAGTACGGCATGATGTCCGTCAACATCGTGAATGCTGAGGCGACGAAGCACGCTGCTGCGCTGGGCAAGCGTGCGCCGTTCTGTCCCTCGGACTTGTGCCAAAGCGCCTCGACGACCTTCTTGTCCTGCAACGCGTTCTCCATGCTCCGCAGGAACGGCATGTAGACTTCGGCAATGGCCTCGTCGCGCTCCGGAGGCTCGAGCCAGGTGCGAGAGGCGGAGCGGTAGAAGGTACGCTCGATGAAGAATTCGGCGTGCGAGAAGAGGGCGTCGACGCGGGCTTGAGTGACTAGCGAGAGCTGCGGGATGCAGAGGTGCATCAGCACATCGCGTTTCGACATGCAAAGAGGAAGGGAATGCACCTGTTGCTGCGGTCCGTACTTCGCCTCGAGATAGCGCAAGATCGCATGCGTCTCTCCCAGCGCCACCGTCTCGCCGCTCTCCTCATCCTTGACCTTCAACACCGGCAAGCACTGGAATGGGATCTCCTTCAAGTTGATCCTGCCCTCGCGCTTGTCGACAGTCCAGGTGCTGCGCTGCGAGTGTTGCGTAGGTCAGCGGTGCAAGGAGAAGCGGCTAGCGAAGGACGTATGTCGTATTTGATTGCTGTGTACTTGTACTCTATGCCGTGCGACTCCAGGAAGAGCTGGATAGGGTACGCCAGGCCTGATTCGACGAGGATGTGGGGGTAAATCAGCGAGCGCGACGAGCGCGGCGCAAGGAGCGTCACGCACCGCGGATGCCAGCCCAGTAAGCGAGCTCCATCGCGCGAGGTGTGTGAGCTTGCACAAGAGCGAAGAGGAGGAGGGAGAACTCCCACGGACGTTCCGCCGCGCGGTCCCCACTTCGTGACTAAGCTGAGCACGGTCGTATCCGCAGTCGAGAGCAGCGACGAGCGAGCAACGTCGAGCTCTTGAGGACGCGAGGCGAGAGAAGACAGCGAGACGAAGCAGCGGAGTCGTTCGCAAACGTTGAGAAGGTCGCGACTTCCGACTTGACATTCCAGCTTGCCGCTCGCTCTACTGGCCGGCTTTATTCTGCTCCACAATCCGCTGCAAGTACTGCCGCAGCGGAGTCGTCTTGATCTCCGGGAAGCGGTTGTTGTGAATGAGGGAGGGGTGTCGGCGGAACTTGTTCGTTCCTGCCCACAATAACGAGGTGATGGAGAGGAGAGTCAGTCTAAAAGCACTAAAGAGAAGGAAGGGTAAGAGGAACGCACCCTGCTGCAACCGCACGATGTACCAGAAATCCGCCGCAAACCTCGACTGCTTCGCCCGCTCAGGAATCGTCTCCGGGTTCGCAATATACCCATGCGCCTGCTCCTCCGTCACATAGTCCGGCTTAACCTCCTTGCCCGTGACCTCCTTGAGCATGTCGGCAATCTCTTGCTGACTGACGACGTCCGAGACAAAGTTCAGATGCGAGTCCTTCGATGATGAGGGTCGGGCGAGGAGGGCAGCGATGTATTGCGCCATGTCCTGAATGTTGGTGATCTCGTATCTACCGAAAGCCCGAGCGTCAGCGAGAGAAGCGGCTGGTAGCAAGCGGAGGCGCTTGCTTGGAGGAAGGGTCCGCAACGATGGGGAAGACGTAGGTGTCGGGCAGCTTCTGCTGTGCCCAGGCAATCCAGTATTTTTCCGTTGGTTGATCGTCTGTATGTGCGGCGTGCGGTGAGCGACGGAGTCCCGGAGATGGAGCGGAAAGGCAGTACTCACAAAGGTCGCCCACTCCGACGATCGTGTAGGTCATCCTCCCGCTCACCATTGCCGGGTGGAGGTACATATACTCCTTGAAGCGCGCCTTGATGTCGAAATAAGGATGCGTGTGCGTCCAGTCGTCGCCAGGCTTGCGCCATGGGTGTTCGCTCCCGTATTCGCTGGGCAGGAAGCGCTTGACACCTGCCTCGGCGCATGCATCGAGGATCTTGTACTGCGCGTCGATTCCCGGTCCGTTCAGCGCCGACACAACCGCCTCGACGCCCTTCAGCTTTTCCGCCAGTTCCTCGACGTTCCCAAAGTCCGCCTTGACTTTCTCGACACGCGGGTGCTCAGGGATCGTCTGTGCCTTATTGGCGTACGACTCGGCGCGCAGGAAGACCTTGATGTGCGGTTCGTAGCCGGGGGAGCTGGAGAGGAGGAGAGCGTGCAAGATGGATGCGCCAATCTGGCCTGTTGCGCCGAACAAAGCGAGGCGGGTATACGGAGCGTCGTCTGACATAGCGGTAATATTAGTGAAAGAGCAGGAGCAGAAGGAGAGCGAGCGAGCGAGTGTGCTCCTCATCCCCGAACTATCGTCATGGCGTCGTCTCCTCCCGCGACAAGATTTTTCGGGCCTGCTCGGGGTCCACGGTCCTGCGAGTCAGTTCAATGCCCACTGATGATGCGCATTGGCCCACTCAAGCGGTTGCACGAGCTGGCGGGCGTGTCAGTGATGAGAATTGCGAGACGGTCGGGAGTCGCGAGAACAGGCTTCGGCAAGCTGAGAGTGGCAGAGGGCGTTGTACAGCCAGATTGAGAGCTGTCCCGGTGTCCAGCTGTCCCTTCGAGCGAGGTGAGCGAGTGCGAGAGGTCCAACCCTCCCCGTCATCCTCGCAAGGAGGTCTGGCACGAACAACAACGCACTCAATCGCTGAGAGCAAGCTAGACCTCGTTTACACGCTATCCAGACCTTGCTTGAGCCTAAGCACACCCGCTTGAACCGCCCCAGCCATGTCTGCTGTCTCCTCCGCCCACCAGCAAGTCCTCGACCATCTCGCGTCCGGCGACTTCTACTCTGCGCATCAGAAGGCCCGCACGTCCGCGACACGTCTTCTTGCACCTCCTCGACGCAACCCGCCGCCCGCCGGAACTGTCCTCCCGTACGACAAGAAGGCGCAGGAGGCTGCCGAGTTGTTGTGGGACGCTGCGAGGAAGCTGCTTGAGAATGGACAGACGGGCAGTGGGGTCGACCTCGGTGTGATGCTCGTCGATGACGTGTGGACCGCGAGGGAGGTCGGCTGCGGCAAGGACGAGCGAGGTCCGTCGTTCTCTCCCCTCTTTTCCCTTTCCTGTCTGCTTGACACATCGTCGATTCCGCAGCCAAGCTCATCCAGCTCATCGCGTTGACGGGACCTGCCGGAGCGTGGAGGAAGACGCTGACGGACGCCATCTTTGCGTGCGTTTCCTTCGAGTCCTTCCGACTTTTGCTTCGCTGACAACGCTTGCGTCTCGCAGATGGAGCGCAAAGACCGGGTCGGGCGCTGCAGGCGACATGGAGATTCATCAGTACCTGGGAGAGACCTTCTTCAAGGGTGAACTCGCCTCTGTCTCCCTCGCCTCTCCAGTCAAAACTGACTTCAAGCATTCTCGCAGAGGGCGACTACCACCAAGCTTCGCTTCACCTGCTCGTCTGCCCTTCGCAAGATGCGGCACAGACGCTCGCAAACGTCATGTTCGAATGGTCGAAGCTTGATCCGGAGAAGGAGTGCGGTGTCGGTCGTTACGCTGCGCGCGGGACCTTGAGGTGCGCCGCCGCGTCCATAAGTTGATAAGCCCGCAACTGACGCTTCGCCCTCGCACGCAGCTACCTCGAGTCGTCCTTCATCCTCGCCGCCCGCACCTTCCTCTCGCACTTCCTCGCCCTCGTCCTTGCCGCTTACCCAACCCTCCGCGTCGTCTCCTTCCCCTACCCTCCTCCCTCCTCTCCGCTCGCCACCTCGACCTCCGCTCCTCCGTCCGGCGACGAGATCGTCGTCACGAAACTCGCCTCGCTCAACTTCCTCCAGCTCGTCATTCGCGACGTCCAGGCTGGCGTCGGCGAGGCGGTCGAGAAAGTCAAGGTCGGGAACGAGTGGAGGGCGCAGAGAGGTGCTGGAACAAAGGTGTGGCAGAGCTTGGTCGGGAAGTACGAGAGGCAGGTCCCGTGGATGCGGGCGCCGGAGGTGAGGGAGGTGAGTCGGCGTGTCGCTTGCTCTTCTCATTGCCACCTGCTCACGCTTCGACTTCTCGCAGGGCCTCACTGCGCTCGGTGAGATCCATTTTGGGCTCAAGCCGCAGCGCGCGGGCAACCCGCTGATGGACATGATGGCCTCGATGTTTGGCGGAGGGGGCATGGGCGGGCGGTAGCTGGTGGGTGCACTGCGATTCCACGCGTCGACTCTACTCTTGATTGTGGTGCGAGCTTCCAGCTCGTCTGGTCGTACGCCGGCGGATGCAAGTGCTACGGAACTCGTTAACTTTGCGAAGGCCAAGGCGGTGCGCTATCCCTTGCACGCTCTTCCGGCCACTCACTCCCACTACAGCGCATGTTCACGATACTTCACATTCGCTTCGCCCAAGCTTCGCTTCTACCTCGCGTCCGCAGCGTCGGCAAGTCCGGCGTCTTTGTTCGCTTTGACCTCTGCGTTCTCCTCTTTCCTCCTGCTCTCGCACTCCGCTTACTTCCACTGCGCATGGCTACAGCTCCGTCATCTTTTGCTGAACTCTGTGCTGTGTGCGACAACCGCACGACCAAGAAGTGCGGCGCCTGCAAGGAGATCCGTTTGTGTTCGCCCGAGTGTCAACGACTCGTACGCCGCTCCCTCCCTCTCCATGCCGTCAAGACTAACGCTTCGCTTACGCAGGTGTGGTCGACGCACAAGTGGCTCTGCCGCAACAAGGGCAAAACGTTCTCGCACGCCCCGCTCACCGACGTCGAACTTTGGTGGCTTCTCACGATCTTCCTCGACGGCGGGCAAGACGGCGCAATGTCGCGGCCATGGAACTGGCCGGAGCAGCTCGCGCATGACGGCTTGATGAAGGGTGAAGAGACGCTTCCGGTCAGTCGCGCTGCGCGCTCGCCGCTGCCGCTTGCTCACGGAGTGCCATACGCAGGACTTTCTCGCTGAGCTGCAAAAGGACGACTGTACTATCTCCGAGCCAAGGCGGTCCTTCCTCCTTGCCGAGCTTCGCGGCAACTTGATCCGCGCCCGCGACTACGGCATGATGGAGAATTTCCGCGATCAGCTTCCGGAGGACGACGACGACACGGTCGGAAGCGAGAGCGCGGCGGAAGGTTCAGATGCGGCATTCAAGGGCGACGGAGTGGAAGCTGTTGCTGGACCTGACGGCGGAACGGAGGACGACGCGCACTCGAACTCGAGCGCCGACAGCGACGAAGACGGTCATCCCTTCGCCGACGGCGAAGAAGTCCCTCCATTCGAGCCCACTGCTTGGATGCACGTCGGTTCTGTCGCCCGCACCTGGAAACGCTTCGGTCCCAACATCGGACCAGAAGCGGTGTGGCACAGTCGCCTCGACGGCGCCTTGCGTCTCCTCGCAATCTACTCAGCACTCAAGTACAACCCCAACAAGGACAGTCCCGACATCATCAATCGCATGCGCATCGTCAAGTCTCGCGTCCACGTGGCGATTCGCAGCGCAGTCTCGTATGCCGCATCCGCCAACGAATTGATCCGCCACTTCGAGTCGCTCAATTTCCTTGGTGGCGAGGGCAATCACGCTGCACGGTTGACGGCTTTCACGGGAGACAGTAAGGTCATCTTCAAGGGCGATAAGGTCTTGGTTCACGATGTTTAGCAAGGAGAGTTGCAACTCGCACGCTTGTCTGTTCTACCGCCGCTTCTTCCCACCCTTGCGCTTCTTCCCTCCTCCGCTCGACCCGTTCACGCCGCTGCTTGCGCCTGTCGAGGGCGCCGTCGGCTCGGAAGTTGCTACCGACGACGCCGTCTCGGGCGTGTCGACGGCGGGCGGGGTAGGCGAGGCCGCTCGAGACTGGCTGGCGGCGCCGTTCGGCGTTGCCGCGACGGAAGCTGGCACGGAAGGCGTCTGTCCCTCAATCTGCTTCTTCCACAGCTCGGCATACACGCCTCCCAGCTCGAGCAGCTCGGCGTGAGAACCGCTCTCGACGATGACGCCCTCCTTGAGCACATTGATGATGTCGCTGTCGATGATGGTGCTGAGGCGGTGAGCGATGGTGAGCGTCGTGCGGCCCTGCGAGAGCTCGCGGAGGCGGGCCTGGACGATGCGCTCGTTGAAGGTGTCGAGAGCGGAAGTGGCCTCATCGAGGATGAGGATCGGGCTGCGCGAGGTGCGAGTGTCAGCGGGAGAGCCGCGGAAGGAGTGCAGACTGGACGTACGGGTCCTTGAGCAGAGTCCTAGCAATCGCGACTCGCTGTTTCTCTCCGCCGGACAACCGCATGCCTCGCTCGCCCTGCGCAGAAGACCATAACTGTCAGCAACAGTCGCGGACGGAAGGGACGGCAGACGCACCACAAGCGTCTCATACTGCTGCGGGAAGCTCATGATCCGGTCGTGCATCGCTGCCGCCTTGGCCGCATCGACGACCTTCTCCATCGTCAAGTCCTCTCCTCCCATGCCCTGCTCGTCGAGCCTGTTGATGCCGCCGTAGGCGATGTTCATCCGGACGGACGAGTTGAAGAGGACCGTCTCCTGCGGGACAAGGCCGATCTGAGCGCGGAGAGACCGCTGCGTCAAGTCGCGCACGTCGGTGCCGTTGATCTTGATCGACCCGCTCTTGACGTCGTAGAAGCGGAACAACAGCCGGGTAATCGTGCTCTTCCCGCCGCCCGACGGTCCAACAAGCGCGACGCTCTTGCCTCGCGGGACCTTGAACGTGATACCCTTGAGCACCTCGACTTCGTCCGCCGAGTTCGTCGCCTCCTTGCCGTAGCTGAAGCGGACGTCGTTGAACTCGATGTCGGCGCCGACGGACGGGTCGATCTCGAGGTCGATGGCACCCGGTCGGTCGTTGATCTCCCGCTCCTCGTTGAGGAGGTCGATCAGCTGTTCGGTGTCTGCGGAGTGAGCGATGTCAGTGGGGAGCTCGAGAGCGAAGGGGATTGTGGGAGACGCACCGACGGCGTTGTTCATGACTCGGCGGTAAAGCGAGCTGATCTGGTTGAGCGGCGAGTCTGCGAGGCGATCTCGTCAGTGCGGACACAAGGTCGAGATGGAGTAGACCATACGTACAAAGCGCATTGAGGTAGCTAACGAAGGCCACAAAGTTTCCCACGTCCATCTCGCCCGTGACGACCCGTTGCGCAAGGATGAACGAGCAGACAAGAAGTCCGAAGGCCTAATGCACGCATACCGATCAGCCCTACTCATCGAAAGGAAGAGAAAGATCGGGACGCACGGTGATCGAGTTCTGCAAGAGCGAGAGCGAGTTCCAGCTCGAGTAGACGCGGAAGTAGCCCTTCTGGTAGCGCCACATGGCGTCTCGGAGACGCTTCATCTCGAACGCCTCGCTGGTGAAAATCTTGGCCGTCTCCCAGTTGAAGAGGACCTGCGAGCGTCGTCCCAGTTAGCGAGAGAGAGAGAGGCAGGGAGGCAAGACGGAGCACGCACGTCGCTCTTGAGCTGGTGCATGAACTGCGACTCGTCCCGCAGCTTGCGGTAGAGCTTGGTGCGCGACTCGGCGAGAGTGACAGACGTGGCAACGTAGATGGCGGAGACGAACGTGACCACCGCAACAATCGTCGCTCCGTACCGTACCGAGATGACGACGAAAGCGACGGGCAAATCGATGAGCACCGGGACGAAGGAGAAGAGGAGGAGTTCGAAGAAGTCGTTGATTGCTTCTGAGCGGGAGAGGATGCGCAGGAGTTCGCCTGTTCGTCGCTTGGTGTGGTACGAGAGCGAGAGGTTGAGGAGGATGTCGAACGACATGAGAGCCATCTCGCGCTCAGAGTACTGCTCGATTGGCAGCCAGACTGTGCGGAGAGGCCGTCAGTTGCGTGTAACTGTGAGAGGCGGGCGCGCGACTCACGATACCGGTAGAGCATGTTGTTCGAGTCCTGCAAGAACTGGATGAGGACGTAGATGCCGATATTGAAGAACGGCGGGCGCTGGTACGCAAGGTCGGAGATGATTCGGCCAAAGTAGATCGGTCCGAGGACGTTGACGTATCGCCTGAGGAGCATGAGGGAGAAGCAGACGAGTGCGAGGCCTTGCAGGACGTAGGAGCGCGAGGGCCAGAGGTAGGGGAAGAGGAGTTTGACGCGCTGGAAGAGGGTGAGGATGGAGAGGGATTTAGGATCGGGTGGGCGGTTGCTGGGGAGGCGGGTGCCGCGGAGGACGGAGGGTGCGCCCGGGCTGGGGATGGCGGAGTAGCCATTGAGCGGAGTCGAGCCGTTGAGGAGGGATGTCCGCTCAGAAGGTGGAACACCGTGCGAGGGAAGGTAGGTCGAGCGGTAAAGGAAGGAGAACTGGAAGGCGAGGACGGTGAGGAGGAGCAGGATGCGGAACGAGGCGATGGAGAGGTGGATGATGGGGAGAATGGCGTGTCGCGAGTCGATAGTAGGGTCGCGGACGACGATACGAGCGAAAGTCGCAAGCATGACCGCTTCGCCCGTCACGGCCGCGAACGAGATGACTCGCGGGTACAGCGTCGGCCACGTCCCCGCCTCGGACGTGATGTCGAGGTCCTTCCTGCTCAACTTGGCCTCGTACGCCATCCCGATCCCGAGCAAGGCGTACGCAGCAAGTCCTCCTGCGCTGTACGGGACGATGTTTCCGTACAGGCGATCCGACGGCGTAAAGTGCGACGTCACAAGCGTCGCAATGACCTGTGCGACGCCGTCCGCAAAATACGTCGCCGCGACGAGTCCCTCGAGCGTGAGGACGACGGCCTTTCGAACTGTTCGTCCCTTGACGACCACGGGCGTGACGTCGTCTCCGTCTTCCTCGCCGTCCTGCGCCTTGCTCGCCGTCGCAACGTCGGACTCAGGCGGCGAATAGACGTCCTCCTCCGCCATCCAACCGCCAGACTGAACCCTCTCCATCCAAGCCAAGAACGCCTTGGACAGCCATCGGATGCCAAGGAGGGCGAGTAAGACGACAGGTAGGGCTAGCCGCAGGTCGACTAGCGTCGTGTAGAGCGTGTCGAGGTCGGTTGGCGGAGACATGATGAGCGAGTCTCCCTCGCTTGCGAGGAGGTGGGGAGCGGTCGGCGGATCGTCCGTACAAGCTGGCGTTGAGCCCGTCGGTGTTGTCGAAGTTTGTCGAGTGTCTTCGAGTCCTAGCGAGCCTCTTGAGCGTATCCGAGCAGAGTGGCAGCGAGTCGTCGAGGGAAGAGAGCTCTTTCGCAGCGCCAGCATCGCTCGACCCGCGAAAATCGCGCAGGCGGAGCCGTCTGCTTGCTTGCAGTGGCTATCAACGTGTTATTGACTAGCCTGTTATGCTCCTTCGACCGCTCGACGACGACATCTAGCTCATCGCGCCCGCTCAAGCTCTCGCGACGTCAGCAGGGACAGATGGAGATGGCGCAGGCCGGGGACCGTGGGCACGCTGGCGGGAGGCTGGAGGATATTTGCCAGCATGTACGGACGGACAGCGGGGCTCTGCACGGTGCGGAGGCCGACAAATGGGCTGAGAACCCGCTGTGGGAGGCGTCGCTGGTCCTTCCTTGACGTGGGCGGGCTAACTGCTGGCACCAATCTGCTCAAGGTGCTCAGACGTCTCTTGAGGCGTCGGCAGTTTGAGCCATCGCGCCGTCTCAAGCCGCTGTGTCGCTTTCTGGCCAGACTTTCCTCGCTTCATCCCCTCCCCTCCGCTCACAACTCGCGTGATCTGCCGCAAATGGCTCGCGAGTATGCGCCTGAGGCGAGTGTGGACTGCACGACGGGACCGTACTCGCAATCGCGCTGCGAGGAGACGAGCGAAGAGTCCTCTCGAGTGCATTTGGCCAACTCCGAACCGTCTCTCCTCGTTCTTTCGCGTCCTCTGCAACGTTTAAGCAATCAGCACGATGTCCTCACTGCATGACACGAGCGAAAGCGGCCCCAAAGCGAGCGAGAGTGTTCGCCTTATTGTCTCCGTCTCTTTGTGCCGTTCGCCATTTCCGCTTGACTCCCGCACTTTCTCCTCACCACCGTCCCTAGCGACGCCCGTGCTTCTCCAGGCTCTCGTCAGCCGACACAGACACTCTCAGACCGCCCTGCTACACCGCGAAACGAGCGCCGGATGCCGTCTCTCAAGTACATCTCGACGAGGGGAGGAGACGAGAAGCTGAGCTTCGAGGAGGTGCGTCTGGGGCTCGCTCGCGCGTGTGATAGGGTTTTTGAGGGTGCTGGAAGGAACTGGCACGGTTGCTGGGCTCCCTGCGCGCGAGGTTGGCGCGGACAAGGCGGGGTCGAGACTCGAGACGGAGGAGGACCGGGATGGAGATACTCTCAGCCCGGGAGGTCTGCTTGAGAGGCTGGCATGCCCAAGGAGTACGAACAAGGACGAAGCGTGTACTGGGAGGACCACGGCGGTCCCGGGTGGACTCGGTGCTGCGACCCCCAACTCGCCTGACCCTTCCTCGAACCCGTCATTGACCGACTCGTACTCTCGCTCAACTACAGGCCGTTCTCCGTGGCCTGGCACCCAATGGCGGTCTCTACATCCCCGCACACCTCCCCCATCTCCCCGAAAACTGGGAGCAAGACTGGGCGAAACTGTCGTTCACCGACCTCGCGCTCGAACTGTACTCGCTCTTCATCTCTGAAAAGGAGATCCCGCGCGACGACCTCCGCGACCTCATCGAGCGCTCGTACTCGACCTTCCGCCACGAGCAGGTCACCCCGATCCACCGCACCGGCGACAAGGAGTTTATCCTCGAGCTCTTCCACGGCCCGACTTTCGCCTTCAAGGACGTCGCCCTGCAGTTTGTCGGCAACCTGTTCGAGTATTTCTTGGCGCGGAGGAACGCTGGCAAGCCCGAGGGCCAGCGGGATCGCTTGACGGTCGTCGGCGCGACGTCGGGCGACACGGGTAGCGCCGCCATCTACGGCCTGCGGTCCAAGAAGGACATCTCGATTTTCATCCTGCATCCGAAGAACCGCACGTCGCCGATCCAGGAGGCGCAGATGACGACCATCCTCGACGACAACGTGTTCAACCTCGCCGTCGACGGCACCTTTGACGACTGCCAGGACATCGTCAAGAGCCTCTTCAACGACATGGAGTTCAACTCGCGCTACCACCTCGGCGCCGTCAACTCGATCAACTGGGCGCGCATTCTCGCGCAGACGGCGTACTACTTTGCGGCGTACTTTGCCGTCCAGTCGCAGATCCCGTACGACGTCCTCGAGCCCAAGATCCAGTTCTGCGTCCCGACTGGCAACTTTGGCGACGTCCTCGCCGGATGGTACGCCAAGCACCTCGGCCTGCCCATGGCCAAGCTCGTCGTCGCGACCAACGCCAACGACATCCTCGCGCGCTTCTGGAAGACGGGCCGCTACGAGAAGGCCGACTCGGGCGAGCCCGAGTACTTTACCGACGACGAGGACGACACGGAGGAGGTCCGCCCGTCGCGCTACCCGGGCTTGACGGAGGACGAGGCGTTCAGGAGGCAGCAAGAGGCGGTCGCGCAGTCGGTCCAGCTCAACGGCGCGAGCGACGGCAAGCAGGCGCTCGGCAACGCGTTCCGCTCGCCGTCGGCCGTCAGGCGCGCCGCCGCCGCCGCAGGCACCGTCGCCGAGACGCTCTCGCCCGCGATGGACATCCTCGTCTCGTCCAACTTTGAGCGCCTCCTCTTCTACCTCGCGTTGGAAGGCACGACTGCTGGCGCTGTTGCTGCCGACGGCGAGGTCGACGGCGGACAGGCCGCGCGCGTCCGCATGGCCGCCGAGAACGTCAGGGTCTGGATGGACAAGCTCAAGACCGAGCACAAGGTCAAGGTCCCGCGTGCGTGTGTCGAGGCGGCCAGGAGGGACATGATTGCCGACCGCGCGAGCGACGACGAGACCAGCGAGACCATCCGCAAGTACTATGCCAAGAAGGACGAGTACGGATCCTACGTCGTCGACCCCCATACGGCCGTTGGTCTCTCGGTCGCCAACCGCGTCGCCAAGGAGAAGTGCGTTCGCATTGCGCTTGTTCCGCTTTTTCGCTCACTGACCATTTCTGTCCCGCAGCGACCCCAATATCATCCAGGTCGTCCTCTCGACCGCGCATCCCGCCAAGGTACGTTCGGGTGCTCATCCTCTCTGAGCTCGCACTGACCTGGCCTCGCTACGCAGTTCGACGGCGCCGTCTCGAGCGCGCTCGCCAACGAGCCCGGCTTCGACTTCAAGCGCGACGTCCTGCCCAAAGAGATGGAAGGCCTGCTCGAGAAGCCCCGCCGCTGCAAGGACGTCAAGAACGACAGGGAGGCCGTCAAGAAGGTCATCGAGGAGGAGGTCGGCCGTTTGTTCGCGTCGCAGACGGTGGGCGCGTCGGGACTGTAGCGAGAGACGAGGAGTAGAGGGAGTTCTGTACTCTTACACGAGCTGCGTTTGCAACGTATGCATCAAGGGCTTGCTAGCACCGTGCATGCTTCAGCGGGGAGTCGTCAGCCGCTTCCTTCGTCCGGGACAATTGCGCTCGTCTTTCCGCACGCTCCGTCACTCGTCTCGCTCCTGCTGCCAGCTTCAAGCGTTGGATCTCGCTTGCTGATACTCTCAGATTCTTCGCAAACCGTCCGACTGCTCGCGCGGGAAGCTGAACCCTGGTGTGGGACTTTCGGGCGATGAAGATGAACGGACGGTGCGCTCTCCTCGCATACGGTCTGCGGCAGTTTGCGGATGGCTTGGCGGGCTCCACACGGTCCAGCAGCTTCATCGATGGGGTGTTGGCTCGCCCACAGCGATTGTGGCGACCCCTTCGCCTCCCCCCTCCTCCTCCTCGACCGCAAAACGCTTCGGTGTCTCGCTAATCTACGGCTGCGGCCATCGATGCACATCACCGAGACGCACGAAGGTGTTCGTGCAAGAGAAGCACTCTCGGAAGGCGACAAAGTGCCAAAATGCGTTCACTCGAGGAGGATCGACACTGAGGCCGATGTCTTCCGCTGCTTCGTTCGGTCGCCTTCAAGTGGGGGCTCGCCTTCTTTAGCTTCGAGAAGAGCTGCTCGCCGCCAGCCCGCCACTCTCCGTGCAAAATCCGCTAACTGGAGCTCGCTCGTCGACGGGCGCCTGTCCCCCGTCGCCTCCGCGAAGCGTTTTTCGAACTCCTCCAGCCCAGCCTCTTTCTCCTCTTCTTCCTCCGCACTCTCTCCAGCTTCGATACGTCTCACCATGTCCCGCCATTCCAGCGACGACTTCTTCGCGCCAGAGCCGAAAGGTCAACAGACTTTCGTTGACCATGTCGACACCATCGAGCAGCGCAATGCGCGCTCGACGGGCTTCAAGGGCCTCATCAAGGACACCCGCATGTGCGTAACATCGATTGCAAGACGAAGGGGACGCAAGTCTAACCTCGAGAACGACCTTCGCAGGTTAGGCATCGCTACGATGGCGACGCTCGGTGGCTTCTTGTTCGGGTACGACCAGGGTGGTGAGTTGCGATCTGCTCCTCGCTTCTGTGCATCGCTAACCGTGCGTATGGCCCTTCGCAGTGGTGGGGAACGTCCTCGTACTCGAAAGCTTCGGAGCCGACTTCCCACACATCTACATGAACGCCAGCATCAAAGTGCGCATTCTCTGCTACGCTACCGGCTTGTGGCCGCTAACGGCCTCGTATCATGCAGGGCTGGTGGGTATCGACCCTCCTCCTCGCAGCCTGGCTCGGCTCCCTTCTGTCCGGCCCTCTTACCGACCGCTTGGGTCGCAAGCGCACTATTCAATGGGTCACGATCATCTTCGTCCTCGGCGCCGCGCTGCAGGCCGGTGCAACCAACAACGGCTACTTGTTCGGAGGCCGCGCGGTTGCCGGCCTTGCTGTCGGCACGCTCACGATGGTCGTCCCTCCCTACATCGCCGAGGTGAGTCACGATTCTCTCGGGATACCACTGAACGAGGAGGAGATCGTCAGACGGTGCTGCTTGAATCGCCCGAATGCCACTTCCGCCGCTGACACTGGGGACTTCGCAGCTCGCTCCCGCTCATCTTCGTGGTTCACTGGTTGCCCTCCAACAGCTAAATATCACGCTAGGTATCCTCCTGAGCTACTGGATTGCGTGAGTTCCCCGTCACGAGCTCCCTTTCCTCGATACGACGACTAACGGGGCCGCTTCTCCCTTCCTTCCCAGCTACGGCACGAGCCATATCGGCGGGACTCGTTGCGCACCCGGCGTGCCTTACACGGGCCCTATCGGAGCCGACGGTAACCCCACGTTCGATGCCTACCACGACGTTCCCGCCGGAGGCTGCACTGGTCAGAATGCGTCTAGCTGGCGAATCCCGATCGCTTTGCAAATCCTCCCGGCCATTCTGCTCGGTGTCGGAATGTTCTGGATGCCATACTCGCCGCGCTGGCTCACGGAGGTCGGCCGCGACGAGGTGGCTAAGAACACGCTCGCCTACCTCCGCTCCTCCACCGTCGAAGACCCGGCCGTCGTCCACGAATTCCTCGAAATCAAGGCCGAGGTGCTCATTGAGCGCGAACTGAGGCAGGCCAAGATCGCCGGTAAGGGCGGTATCCGTGCGATGATTCAACCATACCTGGATCTCTTCTCCACTCGGGCCAATGTCTGGAGGGTATGGATTGGGACGTCCACAATGTTCTTTCAACAGTTTATCGGATGCGTGCGTCGTCTTTCGACATCTGTGTCGCTTTCGAGCAGTACGCTGACCTTTCATTGGCCTGCCTCGTCCGCCTTCCCCCATTATCGCCTCGCCTCCCTCTCCTTCGCCTTCCTGTCATACGCCTTTCCATTTGGAACGTATTTACGGCATGCAGAACGCCATCATCTGTACGTCCGCCGGCCCATCATACCCTCGAAAGACGAGACTGACCTGCGGACCCGCCCTCGCTCCCAGACTACGCCCCGACCATCTTCGCGTCGCTCGGCCTCAACCCGAACACCACGTCGCTCCTCGCCACGGGCGTCTACGGCGTCTGCAACATGGTCTCGACGCTCCCGGCCGTCCTCCTCCTCGACCGCCTCGGACGCCGCAAGCTCCTCCTCGCCGGATCCGTCGGCTGCTTCTGCTCGCTCGTCATCGTCGGCTCGATTGTGGCGACCTGCGCAAACGACTGGGCCGCGCACGCCTCGGCGGGACGTGTTGCGATCGGTAAGTCGCTTCGAGGCTGACCTTCTCATCCGTAAGCTTGCACTCACCTGGCACTTCCCGTCCCGCAGTCTTCGTCTATCTCTACGACGTCAACTTCTCGTACTCGTGGGGACCGCTGGGATGGGTCCTGCCCGCCGAGATCTTCAATCTGGCGACCAGGTCTACGGGTACTTCCCTCACGACGTCGACGACCTGGATGAGCAACTTTGTCATTGGCCTCGTCTCCCCCATGATGCTCCAGAACATCGCTCACGGCGGTACCTGTGCGCCACTCCTCACGTTGCTGCCGGATCGATGACGAAGCGCTGACCTCGCCTCGCGCAGACTTCTTCTTCGCCGCCTTCGCCGTCATCGGATTCATCTCGACCTACCTCTTCCTCCCCGAGACAAGGATGAAGACGCTCGAGGAGATGGACGAGTTGTTCGGCATGCAGCGCGCGCAGGAGTACCGCGACTTGGAGAGGAGGATCAGGGCCGAGGTTGGCTTGGGCAAGGTCGGTTACGCCAAGAACGAGTCGAAGGAGCAGATGGTCTGAGCGGCTCAAGGACAAATGGGATCTAATCGGACGAGGAGACAGCTCGAAGACGGCTGTACATAGGTTCTCAACGGGTTCCTGGGATTCTATCTGTGTCATTCAACTCGCTTTATTCGTTCACGGCGACTTCCTCCCTCTGTGTGCGAGAGGCAGCGAGCTGTCGACCTTGACCTTCCCTTTCGACAACGGCTGAAGCAGTAGGTGCTTGCGAGGAATAGTGTTCTCTCCCGCAAGTGCGACTGGCTCGACGAGCATCAAACAGTCAGCGAATGCCAATGCACGTCCAAGCAAGCTAGCAAGCCAAGCGTCTGCGTTTCCTTCCCAGCTCAACCATCATCCTCCCACTCTTCCTCCTCCTCGACGTCCTCGCGCTTCACACCATCGGCGTCCCGCGCAAAGCCAAGTTCCTCCCTCATGCCCTCGTCCCACTTCTGCTCCCAGTCGCGACCGTAGCCGTCGGCTGTTGGTGCGGAGATGGCGATACCCTGCGCTGCGGCGGCTGCGTGGAGGGAGGAGAGTTGCGAGAGGAAGGTGGCGCGGTTCGTGAGGAGCGTGCGGAGATGTTCGACCGCTGCGAGACGGGCAAGACGCGTCAGCCTAGAGACGAAGCGAGAAGAGGGAGCGAAAGCCGCACGCACTCTTGCTCAAGACGACCGCCTCGCTCTTCGGTCCCGCCCTGCCATCGATCTTCTCCCCGCCGACACTGATGCCACCCATCAACGCGCCCGTCGTGCTCTCCCCTCCCCTCCCCCTCCCCGTCGCACCCCTCCCCTTCCTCCCACCCTGCCCCTGCGCAACCTCCGCAACCTTCCTCACGCGCTCCTCAAACTCGGCCACTGCAGCCGAAAGCGCAGGAACGACTTCGCACAGCCCGTCGTAGCCCGCTCGGATCGCCGCGCGACGCTTCTGTTCCGAAGCGATGTGGTTCGCTTTCTTCTGCTCGGCGGTGAGGAGGGCGGGTTTACCGCCGCCTGAGGACTTGGCTGGCGGAGGAGAGGTCGAAGAGCCGGCTCGGCGGGCTTTCGAGGCGGATGGACGAGCGATCTTGGGGCGCGGGCGGAGAGGGTAGGAAGGGATATTGGCGGGCGTGAGCGCAGGCGCGGGATTGGGATTGTCGTCGCTCGGAGCGCCGGGCGCGCCGGGAGTAGCGGAAGAGGACGAGGCGTGAGAGGTGGACGGGGCGGGGTTGGTATCTGCTTCTTGCTTGACGGCGGCGGCGGCTGTACGCTTCTTGCGCTTTGTCGGCGCGGAAGTCGAGACAGCCGCCGTTGGTGCGGCCGACGTGCACGCGGTCGTGGCAGTCGAGAGCGGGATTGACGGCGGCAGGGAGAGTGACGACGGCGGAGGAGCGGGGGGCGCAAAGCCCGTCCTGCCTGCGGCCGTACCCGCGACAAACTCGCCTTCCTCACCAGGCGCTGCGATACCGACGTTCCTGAACCCGGCGCGACGTTCCGCCTCGAGCATCATGACCAGCGGGTCCATCCTGTCCGGTCCTGCCGCTCGTCCGCCCGCCGTTCCACCCGGAGCTGCGACTGCCCCGCCCGTCTGATCTTGTGCGCGCCGGCGCTCCGCCTCATCCGACCTCGTCCTCTTCGGCGGACTCGGCACATCCGCCCCATCCCCCTCCGTCGCTCGCGACTGGGGCCTCTCACTCGCGCCGACAGGCTGGGCCTTACTCATCCACTCCTCCAAGTCCTTCCTATGCTGTTCCATCCTCGCGCGCTTCTGCGATTCGGTCACTTGCGGTCGGTGAGGGCGCGAGGCGATCGTTTCGGGCGAGAGAGACGGGCCGGGTGGGTGGTAGGTGGGCATGTGGGAGAGTGGGTGGTTGGTGAGGGTTGGATAAAGCGCGGGAGCGGAAGAGGGGATCGAGATGGGTGCTGAGGGGCGACCGAGAGTGACTGGAGGAGGAGGAGGTGCGAACCGCTCGTCCCAGCTTCCGCCGTGCCCGTTCTCGCCGTTCCCCGCCCCAGCGTAGTGTCCGCCCGTCGCGAAGTGCCCGTTCGTGTGCGGCGGAGGAGGAGGCGGAGGAAGGCCCGGCATGGGCGACTGGCCCGAATCGAACGAGTCGAGAAACTGGCCAAACGTGCGCTGCTCAGAGTCGCTGAAGAGGGCCATCTCGAGTTACTCGTCTACCCTTCGAGTCCTGCGAGGCTGCCGGTGTCGAGAGAGAATGGTTTGCGAGTTGCGAGTCGAGTGAGGAGTCGGCGAGGAGAACCAGCGTACGCGCGCGTCCAGGACAAGCGCTGGCGGGTCCAGTCAGTCCAGTTGAGCCAGTATAGTAGATCAGCGAGTCCGCAGCGGCAGCAGAGTTCAGTGATGAGCGAAGTGGATGAGCCGGAGAATGAACTTCGCCGTGAAGAGGAGTGGTCTCACAGAACAGCGTGGACGGGCAAGGAAAACCGGTTTGTGCACTCGAAAAGCTCTCTCAGGAATTACCGGCTAGCGAACGAAGTGAAAGACCGAGGTGTGCGAAGTGAGTACGGGTTGGGTCGAGGAGGAGAAAGGGGTACTGCAAGGTTCGAAGGGACTGCGAGAGGCGGCTCATCGTAAGAAGTGTAGTCGCCAGTCTGCGAGTCCCTCAAGCCGCGTCGCCGTCGTCATCTGTTCGTCCCACCCTCATCCGACGATGTCCGCGGACCCATCCCTGCCGTCCCTTGTTCTCCTGCCCCGAACGACGACGACGACGAGAACAACGCGATGTCCTACTACGCACCAGGCTGTCAGTCCGGCCTTCGACGTTGAAGACGACGAGACTCACCTCCTTCGTTTGCTGTAGATCCGTCGCTCCAACGCCCTGGCGTCGCCTACACAGGTCGACCGTTCCCGCACTACAGCGACACTGCCCTCCAGTCCAACTACCTAGGCGTGCGTCCTCTCTTACCGTCAAGCGCGATCGAGCCGACCTCCTCCTCCTCGTCGCTCGCAGCGCACATCCCTCGACTACCCTCACCGCCACTCCCTCTCCTCTCCCTACGACTATCCCTACCCCTACACGACCAACTCGGCCTCCTTCGCCGATCCGTACGCGCAGCCCTCGACGTCGGCGCGGTTATACGAGCGTCAAAGGGGCTACGACGAGGCGCGGAGCGACAGGTGTTGTGTGGGGTTGTGGGCGGCTTGTGCGACGTGTTGCTGGGCTTGTTATTGTTGTGAGGAGGATCAGGTCGCGAGGGATGAGGGGTGTTATTGCTGAGTGGGCGTCGCGGAGGGGAGGGGGAGGAGAACAAGGTCGGTTGGATGGCGAGGACGGCTCGTTCGGCGCAGCTGGGGCATCTGTACACAGCGTGTATCTCTAGCAGTGTAGCCAGCGCTCCAGTAGCAGTACTCGGCGGGTTGTTCGTTCCAGTGCGCCTTCGAGAGATGAGGAGGAAGAGGTCGGCGAGGAGAGCACGCAGGCGAGCGGGACTTGGACTGGCGGGATCAGCTGAGTAGTAGCAGTCTGGCAGCATGCTAAACGAGCCTCTCGAGCGAGCAATGAGCGGTAGCAAGGTGGCCGTCCTCTCCAAGCGTCATCTTGCCAAACCTCGTCCTGCTTCAACCTCGCTCACCTCGCTTACAGCCATCAAGGAGCACGCTAGACTCACAGGAAGCTCTCACTCATGGAGGCCGACTTGTCCCGCCCGCCTCCCGCTCCCTCATCCTCCAGATCTCGACCCCCACAACCCTCTCGCCGACCAACCTCCGCCCAAACCTACACCGTCACGCAGCTCGAACAGAGTCGGGGGAAGGGATGGGACAAGTGGAAGGAGTGGGACGAGCTCGCGACGGATTTGGGGTGCGATTGGGTTGTTGAAGGCGATATGGAGGCGTTTGGAAAGGTGAGTTCTGCCGTGCGGTGCGCTCGCTGGGAAGGCCAGGCTGCGTTGATGAGGTGTCAATGAGGGAGGGGACGGCTCGCGCGAGGCGGCTTGCAAGACGCGGATCTTGGTTGTCCTCGTCGAAGCGGTCTTTCAGGCGGATCACGGCTCAACCAAGTCGTTCGACGGTACTGACACCCTCGACCACGCTCACAGGCTCTATCAGAACCTCCGGCAGACGACCAGCCTGAGCGTATCATCGCAGCGTCCGACTGGGCGCCCGTCAAGGAGCAGAAACGACGAAGGTGCGTCGGGCAACCTGCTCTCTCAGCTCGCCAAGTGCCTATCCACAGCACAAGAGACTGAGGGATCTTGTTGTCCTGCCTGTGCAGAGGACCGAAGAAGCGGAAAGACGTTGTGCGAGAAGGCTGGGCCTACCACATCTCTCGCTGGCCACTCCTCGTGCGTCCGGCTCCTCTCTTACCATTCCCGTGCGCTTCCTGCGCTTCTGAGCGAAGGAACTGATAGAGGTTGACTTGTGACGTGCAGATGCTCATCTTCACGATCATCTTCCTCGAGTTTGTCGGCTACCTCTTCGTCCGGCAATGCGTCAACGTGATCGAGTTCTTCGCGGGATGTGCGTCGACCCTCGTTCCACTCGGTCGTGATTCCCCGTGAGGGCAGCAGAAACTGATAGAAAGCGAGGATCTCGATGCAGGGCGAGGCGAGCGAGGACGCCTCCGACTAGCGTTGCGGAACGCTAAGACGTACGAAGAGGTGCGCCCGCTCTCCTGCTTTCAACAGAGAAGCAGAACACACGATGCCTGTAGCTGATGCATCCGTTGTCCGGCTTCGCAGTGGAAGCAACGCGCCCTCGCCCTCGACTCCTTCCTCGGCCTGTCGCACTGGAAGTCCTCCCCTCCGAACGCCTATTACGACTCCGCCCTGATCCGCCGTGTCCTGCGCTCCCTGCGCGACCTCCGCACTCGCGACGATGCCGAAGGGGTCTGCGCTGTCCTGCACACGTGCGTGAGGAACAACTTTGCGGGAGTCGAGAGCTTCAGGTTGTATAGCGAGAGCTATTACGGGACGAAAGAGCTCGTTCAAGAGTTTATCGACGAGGGTGCGTTTCCAATACCTTCTCGCTCGGCTGCATCGAGCTGACCTTCGCGAACTTCACGCAGTGACCCGTTCGCTCGAATACATCCGCCAAGTGCCGCCTTCGCTCTTGCCAGTCGAGGAGAAGGCAGACTTCTTCCGCTCGGTTGCGAAGAACCTGGGCGCGTCGGCTCTGTGTCTGTCGGGAGGTGCCTGTGAGTTGCGCGGCAATGGCTTGGTCTTCCACATCCTTCCTCGAAGTGTGTCGCTTATCAAGGGCTTGTCTCGGTCCCACAGCTTTCGGCTAGTACGCCTTACGACTCCGCCATCGAGACGAGACGAGGACTGACGAGCCGGTCCCTGCTTGCAGCTACCACTTCGGCGTCATCCGCGCCCTGCTCGATCAAAATCTGCTACCGCGGGTCATCACCGGTACTTCCGCCGGCGCAATCAGTGCGTTCACATCTTGCCATCCTCCCCTCCGTCGTAGCTGACGAATACACCCTGCAGTCGCCGCCTTCTGCTGCACCCGCACCGACGCCGAACTCCGCCAACTCATCACTCCAACTCTCGCAGACCGCATCACAGCTTGCGAAGAGCCCTTCCGAGTTTGGGCGAAGCGGGCGTGGAAGACGGGCGCGAGGTTCGATACGGTCCAGTGGGCGAGGAAGGCGAGCTTCTTCACGATGGGAAACATGACGTTCAAGGAGGCGTTTGAGCGGACGGGCAGGATCTTGAACGTCAGCGGTGCGTCCGCAGACTACTGTGGTCACTCCACTTCCTGCTCTCTAGCAACCGACTGACTCGTCCGACTGTCGTACAGTCATCCCCGCCGACACTCACTCGCCGACCAAGCTCCTCAACTACCTCACCGCGCCCGACTGCGTCATCTACTCCGCCGTCATCGCCAGCGCCGCCGTCCCAGGCATCATCAACCCGGTCGTCTTGATGACGAAGGGCAAGGACGGCAAGCTCCGCCCGCACGATTTTTCGCAGCTGCACAAGGACGGCTCGTTGCGGGTCGATATTCCTCTACGTGAGTCGGACAGACGTGGCCTGATTGCGCTCGTTAGCGCTGCGAGGCTGACCTGCCGCCACGCCTTCGCCTCGCAGAGGACCTCCACCTCCTGTACAACGTCAACTTCAGCGTCGTCTCGCAAGTGAATCCGCACATCCACCTCTTCAACTTTGCTTCACGCGGCTCACCAGGCCGACCGGTTTCGCATCGACGGGGACGAGGATGGAGGGGCGGGTGGTTCCTCAGCGCGGCCGAGCACTACCTCAAGATTGAGATGCTCAAGTGGTTCAGGGTGCGTTGCGCTGTCGGATTTCGTTCATTACCTGCTTAGGTATTCGAGCAAGCTACTGATTAGAGATCCCAACCCCGTGTGCAGGTCATCCGCGACCTTGAGCTTCTCCCCGAACTCGGCAACCAGAACTGGAGCAACGTCTTCCTGCAAAAGTTCGAGGGCAGCGTGACCATCTGGCCGAAGAGCAGGAGTGCGTCCGCTTCTACTGTCTCAAAAGGCTCTACTTGGCTTGCTAACCTGAATCCGCTACTGCAGTCGCCGACTGGCCTCGCATCCTGACGGACCCGGACAGGAACGAGCTGGCGAGGATGATCCGCGTTGGACAGCAAGTCACTTGGCCTAAAATCAAGATGATCGAGAACCGCCTGAAGTGCGTTTCCTCCGGCTTGTCGTCCTCGTGCTGCTGCTTACGACCGACTCGTTTGCAGAATCGAACGCCAGATCGACCTTGGCCGCTCTGAAGTCCGCCGCGCGTTCAACGACTCCGACGCGACCTCCCACTCTCTCGCTCCGCCCACACTCAGCCGCCAAGCCTCTTCGGGCGAGATCATGACTTCAGCACGTCCTCGAGCGACGAACGATCGCTCGAGCCCCGAGGAGAACGGTCGGGGCAGCCGTCGCAACTTCCGCGCCGTCGACATGGAAGCGTCGTCATCGTCCGGCGGCGATCCCGTCTCAACCTCGAACGGCGGCGAAGAGACGCCTGCGAAGCGTCGACAGGCAATCCTCGCTCGACTCGGTCTCAAGGGCGCGGCTGGGAAGGGTTCGCGGGATCTCTATGGCGGGACGGTCGAGAGCGGAGGCGAGGAGAAGTACACGGACGGCGAGAGCGACTGGACAAGCGGAGGAGAGGGGACGTCGTATGCCGGTGTTGAGCGAGGGTCGTCTTCGGGCAAGATGCGGAAGAGGCGAGCGAGTATGAGCAGCTTTGGCAGGCGGCCGAGGCGGGATACTCTCTCGAGCGACGAGGATCCCTGGCACTAGCTCTTCGCGCCTCTCCGAATGCACATAGCCTTCGCATCACCTGTGTATGCTTGACATCCTTATTTCGCAACGCATGTTTCGAACGATACGAGCGCCATAGACAGATCACGAAGCCTCCTTGAGGTCGAACGTCTCCTCGCCCTCGAGATCGTACTCGTCCTTCGCCTGCTGGACTGTCATAGTCGGCTCGAGCTGCTCGTGGTCAAACTCGACCGACATCTTGGCTTGTCGCGCGGCGTCGGTGATGCGGAAGTGCCGGCAGTAAGCCTTGATGAGCTGTGCCATCGTAGTCGAGGGCTTGACAGCGAGCGAGAGAGACTGAGTCGCCGAGCCGCGGATCGTGAGCGGAAAGGCGTCGCCTTCTTCTGCCTCGTCATCCGAGTATATTCCGCCCATCCCATAGTCAGCCATCGAAGGCGAATTTGCCTTTCGCGCCGCCGCCTCAGCCGCCGCCGCCGCCGCCTCCAGCTCGAGGTCGTCGTCTCCACCACCCGCACGCTTCGCCGCATCGACCTTCCTACACTTCTCCCAGATGTCCTGCGTATAGCCTCGCATGTCGACGTCGGCGTTCGCGTGCAGGCCGAGCGACGCAGGCGTGCCGAACTCGAAGACTTGCGTTTGGCGAGAGGTGGAAGTAGCGGAGGAGGAGTGGCGGAGGTAGGTGAGGATGAGGTCGGCGCGAGGAATGGTGCGACGAACGGAGAGGGCGTAGAAGAGGGCGGAGAAGGGTTCGTTCTGCGAAGCGGACCTCATCAGTGCGTTCCAGACTTACGAAAAGCAGAGAAGCCCACCAAGCCCAGCTCGAACGTTTCCTCCCGCTCGTACGCCTTTTTCGCCATCTCGGGCACGACGCGAGTCGGGTCAAACACCATCTTGAGCTTGATCGTGATTTTCGCTGAGGCGGTCTGCGCTGCGGAGCCATTCTTCTGCGGCGAAGGCGTCGTACCGGACGACGCGCCCAGTCGTGCTGAAGTGCCAACGAAGGAGCGGATGGCGGCTAGCGCAGGATCGAGCATCTCGCCGACTTCGACCTCCTCTTCGTCGTTCTCTGACTCAGCGGACGATATAGAGGGCGTCTGATCTCGGTCGAAAAGGTTGCGAGGGGATGAAGGTGGCTGAGCGTAGAGGTTCTTGCGCGGCGATGTGCGCAAAGAGCCGAGTGACGGGGCGTTAAGCCTGTGCATACGACAGTCAGCCGCGGAGAGCGCCAGGAAAGGTAGTCCAACGCACCCAGCATCCGGCAGGCGGTCCGTAAACTTGGCGAGTCGTTTCGGGGACCGTGGAGGCGGCGACAGACTCTTCCGCTTCGCCGGCGCAACCTTGACCGGCTCCTTCTCCTTGTGCTTGGCCTTCCTCCCTCCACCTAGCGCAATCTCGAGACTGTCGTCCGTATCCGCATCCTCGTCGCTCGACTCGCTGCTGCTCATTCTCGCAGCCTCCCTGCTCGTACCGATCGCCTCGACAGCCTTCAAACCGCCATCGTCGCTGTCCGAGTCGTCTAACCGCTTGCGCTTGCGGTTCTTTCCGACGCCCTTCTGGAGACGAGCGAGGTCGGCACCGCTCATCCCTGCTCGTCCGCCGCGCGCCCATTCCGGCAGCTTCAGGCTCTTCGATGGACCTGCCATGCCCTCGACGCCATCCGAGTCTGAATCGGATGCCGCTCGACCACGACGAGGAGACGAAGCAGATGTGTCGGAGTCGGAAGAGTCGGAAATCGCGACGGCCTTGCGTTTCGCTGCCGGGAAGTCGCGTTAGTCCCGCTGCTGACTTCGACCGGCGCACAACGCACCTGGACTGCCAGGTCTTGGTGTCGCAGACCCTCCCCTCCCCTTTGCAGCCGCAGGCACTCTTCCCACTGCTTTTCCCGCCGCACCAGGCACTCTGCCTTTCGCCGGCACGTTTCCCTTGGCCTGTTTCGCCCTCACGAAGAAATCGTCTGCTTCGTCGGATGAATAGTGAGCCTTCTTCGGCGCGGGTGCGGCGCGGGGGGCTTTGCGAGGGGGAGGGAGAGGACGGGAAGTCGAGGTTGAGGGGATGGGATCGGCCGAGGTGCTCGCACGTGGGGCGGCAGAGGATCGGACATTGTCGAGAGATGTCGAAAATGAAGCTGGGCGAGCGGAAGTCGAAGGCGCAGGAGAGGTTCGGGTTAAGGAGAGGTCCGGCGCTGAGGAGGAGGAAGGGAGCGTGACGACGTTCGATCTGGCGGTTGTAGCTGGAGCGGTCTTCTTTGGAGGAACTTCTGTAGTCCTCGAAGCGCTAGCCTGTGCACGCTGCGCTGCTGCACCCCTTCCGCCCTTCCCCAGGTCCGCCTCATCCAACCCGCTCAAGTCCAGGTCACCATCCGTATCCGCGCCCGTGAACTCGAGGCCAGAGCTCTCCGACGCCCTTCCCGTCCTCCTCCGTGCGAGCGGTGCAGCCGACGCGGCGACTTCATCCACAGAACGAGGAACTCGTCGCTCGCGCGCTGAGCGGCGCGGTTTGGGCGGCGAGCGCGTTTTGGAGACGACTTCGAGCTCGGAGGAGGAGCTCATGTTGTGTGCAGCGCGAGCGGAACAGCGGAATCCAGCGAAGGAGTGGAGGACGAAGTATGCGGGCAAGGGGAGTTCGAGCAAGGAGCATTCGCAAACAGAGGTTCGCTGGATTCCAGGCTCGGCGGGACTGCTTCTTTGCAAAAGAAAACGAGAAGGCAGAGAGAGAAAGAAGAACGGAGGTGAATGAACAAGGAGGGAGGACGGGAATGGCTGGGGGATGGAACGAAGGCGAGTCCGATCGCTCGATGAAGTCTGTCTTCCAGCAGCGTTGCCGAGTAGACGATTCTTCGGTCCGCTCAGCACTGCGCGCGGGGCGGAGCGTGAGTTGTGCACGAAGGAGAGCAGGGGAAGTGCACTCACGCCGGGTGCGTCCGCCGCCTTCGAGTTCATGATCAGTGCGACGATCAAGCCGTACAATCCGAGGACTTCGGCGAAAATGAGGATGCTGCGCGCGGGGAGAGGGCACATGTCAGCCAGAGCGCACGAGACCGCGCATTGCCGTTGGAAGGCGAACGCACAGGACCTGTGCGCAGAGAGATTCGACGCAGTCAGCGAGCAGGCCCGAAGCAGGGTAACGCAGGCGACAAAGAGACTGCCGACGAGACGCACCATTCCAACAAAGACACGACTCTGCTGCGCGACACCCCGCACACCGGCGTCTCCGACGATTCCGATCGCGAATCCTGCACTCAGACCGGCGAGGCCAACCGAGAGACCTGCGCCGAGCTGGATGAAGCCGGCGTAGAGCGACATGGGCGAGGCGAGGCCGCCCGAGATGAGGACCGAGACGACAAGGCCGTAGATCTGTGAGTTGCGAGCGAGCGTTAGCGAGTGAGCTTGCGGGTCACTCGACGAGCGAGTGGGAGGGAGGTACTCACGGCGATGATACCAGCCATGACGACGGGAATGATACACTTCATCATGAGGTCCGGTCGGAGGACACCCATCGCTGCGATACCGACGCCCGACTTGGCCGTGCCGTAGGATGCTCCCAGGCCTGATGTGCGGATCGTCGCAGGAGGAGTTGAGCGAATGGAAGGGGTACCGTCCAGAGGTGGGAGGTGTCGGCGGTCGAGGCGGTCGAGGGGATCGAGGTGAGAGAGGTGCAGCGGTACAGTTCAGTCAGCTTCGCATCCCAAAGTCCAAGCAAAGGACTGCCAGCACGCACAGGTAAAGACGATCGCGGCCGTGCAGCCCCTGCGTCAAGAGCGATCCAACATCCGTGGTCAGCCACTCCAGTCCCTCCAAGCCCGCCATTGAACCAGCCAACCACCGCTGCAGCCCACTCACATCGCGCCAAAGAAGGGAGCATAGATCTGCGAGCGCATGAGAGCGTGGGAGGGAGTGCGTGCACCGGGAGATGAGGGGGAGGACGGGTGTCAGTTCACAGTCTCGCCGTCGCCTGGCGTTTGAAAGAAAGCTGGACCGAGCCGACTCACGGGGCAGCCCTCGGAGAATGCACTGCACCCATCGAACGGCGCGTGTGTCGAGCAGACGGGGAGCGAGCGAGGACGTCAGTGTCTGGCGGTGAGGAAGCGCGACGGCGGCACGGCGGGCGCTCGTTGCGGTTCAGGTGGGTTAAGGGGAGCCCTGAGAACGCAGCGCACACTGAGCTCATCGTGTCTGGCTGTGTCGAGATGCGGTGGAGAGGGCGAGCGAGGGTTGTCCTCGTTGTAATCAACTGAATACAAACTCGCGGACTAGTGCCAGCTCCTCGTCCTCCATCGCCTCTCCTGCTGGGACAGCCATGGCTGCACGACCCGTGTTTGCTGCGCTCGACAACGTCCCCCTCCCCGTTCCTACCCTCGCGACACTCCACCGCGCCGAGCAAGACCTCCCCACAGTGACCGCCTACCCGCCCACCGCCGACGAACTCGCCAACGCCCGTCGTGTCGCAAGCGAGTACCGTCATGCTGCAGAGGTCTACAATCCCGTCGCGCGTGAGTGGCCAGCTCGCCGTGCCTCCGTGGTTGCCTGCGCTGACAGACTTTCGTTGATTGAACTCGCCAGCGGAGTTCCAGCAGAACCAGTCGGCCGCCGAGCTCTACGCCGTCGCCGTCGAGAACCTTGCTGCCACGCAGTACTTCACGGCGACCCCTGGCGGAGGACAAGTCGCCGTTCCTGCACCCGCCCAGCCTGGACCCACCTATCTCGCAATGCAGTGTGCGTTGCTTGTTCAAACAGTCTGAACAGTCGGAGAGACGGGAGAACCTTGCTGACATGCCCTCGAGCAACAGCTGCTGGCATCGGCGGACCCTTCCTCATCCTTGCCTCCGCTCTCGACGGCATCAACGAGGACTTGCGGGGAATCAGGGAGGACTTGCGGGGCGTCAAGGAGGACGTCAAGACGATCAATAACAACGTCTGGACCTTAAGGCCCCGCTAGCGAGACCTCCTCCTCAATCCTAACTCCAACCTCTGCGGCGGGTGGGAAAGTTGGAGGAGATGCCTAGCTTGATACTCTTTCGCTGTCGTTTGTACCCTACTCTCGCATACCAGTCCTTGTCGTTCGTACCTACTCTCGCATACCAGTACTCGTGACCTCGTTGATGTACTATCCATGCAACTTTTCCACTCCTTCTCCGGCCAAGCGTGGTCACCAGAAGCTCTTACGCCCAGCAGCGGATTCGAGTGGCTGCGATCCTGCACAGCTACGTGTTCCAATGCAGGTTCAGCACCTCACGCTCCTCACGACCCTCCCGCACCCAATCGTGACCCACTCGCCTCCTCCTCCCCACGCAACGGCATTGATCTCGCTCGGCGCGGTATAAGCGAGCGAGGGCGTCGAGACTCGTTTGGGCTGTTGAGGTGCTGAGCGGGTGGACTGTTGTGCGTGTGGTTGAAATGGCGAGAGGTCCCAGAGGAGGAGGGTCGCGTCGTCGCCTGCGGGAGCAAAGCGTCAGACTCGGCGGCGCTGTACGAGGAGGACAAACGCGACGCACTGACTGTCGCAAGCCACCCAGGCCCGCTCGTCTCGCCCGCTCCGCCCATCATCGTCGAGCCACCCCACGCCAACCCATTCACCGGCGCCCTGTGCCCCTTGACCTCGAAAGCCGGCTGTCCCGGACTCCGCGTGTCGAGAATCTGGACGTCGTTCGACTCGGCGTGGATGACGGCGAGGTAGGTTGGGCTCGTGGGAGAGAAGGCGAGGCGGAGTAGTGGTGGAGGCGTTGCGGTCGTCGAGGGGGGACTTGTCGAGGAAGAGCCGCCGTTGTGTTTGGAGGAAGAAGAGGAGGGCAGTGCGGGCGCGGCTTCGTAGAGAATTGTCGAGTGCTCGAGAGACCGCAAGTCGAACATTCGGACGCTGCCGTCTGCGCCGACCGAAGCGAAAATCTCGGGCGACTGGGGCGACCACTCGACGTCGTAGACTTCTCGGTCGTGCGCGATGAGCTGGGTGACGGGGACACCGGTCGAGATGTCCCAGACGGTGCAGGTCTGCAGGCGGCAGTGAGAATCAGCGCGAACAGAGGATGGCGAGGGCCTAAGTTGCCGCGCACAGTGTCTATTGACGAGGTCACAATGTGAATAGGCTGGAGCATCGACCAAGAGAAGCTCGTCAAAGGTGCGGAGAACTCGGCTTTCGACTGCGAGAGCGAAGGATTGTCAGCTCTTCTTGTCTTCGAGCGGAAAAGGAAGGGCAGACGTACATTCTGGAGTGTCGCCCGACTGACTAGCCGATTCCGCGTCGGCACAGCGCCTCCTCCAACATATCCGCTCGCACTTCGTCCTGCCGCCCCGTCCTCCTGCTCCGTTACCAAGTCCCACAACCGCAAGCACTCGGAAGTCGTCGCAAGCACCTCTCTCTGTTCGCCCCCTGAGCCGACTCCCCCGCCGCTTCCGCCCAAGCTACTGCTCAACTTCGCCGGCGCAAACTGCACAGCACTCGGTGGATACAGCAGCGGCGCCCTCGCGACAGCCCGGTACGCGCTTCCACCCGAGACGCGTTGTCTCGTCGTTCGCGACCGGTAGGCGGTCTCGGAGTCTGAATCGGACGCGTCTTCGAGGTCGAGGTACGCCGGATCGAGCGAGGCGACGGTGAAGTTGTTGCTCAGGCCTGCACCGCCTGCCGCGCCATTCGACGAGGAAGAAGAGGAGGGTGGAGCGGAGGTGCGGGTCTCGTTATACGAGCCGACTGCGAGGCGGAGGGACGAGGGGGACGAGTTGGATAGGGGTGAGACGGAGAGGGCGAACGTCGGGCAGTCTGAATGGTAGTCGAGGATTGTAGGGGGCCTGAAGAGCGTCACTCGTCAGTACTCGGTCCCTGCTACTCGTCCTAGCCCAGCGAGGGCCGTCCGCTCCTCCCTCGCGATGACAGCACCGTCCTTGTCCGGCCGACAACGCGCTCGCACGCCGAGGCAGGGCTGCTGAGACGGCTTGTCCGGACTCACATGCTGTCTGGTTAATCTCTGAGCTGCGCGCACGCCACGGACGAGCCTGTGCGAGGAGGGAGCGCCGGGAATGCCTGTGCGAGGTGGGGAGGCGCTCGAGGACGATGGTGAGGGCACTGAAGGGGCTGGGTGAAGCGATGCGCTGGCTCAGCAGGTCGTACGAGAGCCGAACTACAGTCTGAGCACCTCTAGCGAGCGAAGAGCGCGAGTGAGCGATAATGGGAGAGGACAACTCGCGAGGACCCCTCCTCGTCGAGGTCAAACTCGCTCGTCTCGCGCTCTTTCGCCGCTTGCAGACCCGCGACGACTAGCTAAGGCAGCAGCGACCAAACCAAAGCGCAAGGAGTGGACCGGAACGGCGCCCGCAGCGCAAAGTGTCACGGAAGGGTTGCTACGGAGAGGAACAGGCATTGACAACAGGACACGACTCGAGTCTACAAGCGAGTAGTACAGCCTCTACCACTTCTTGCCCGTGGCTGTCGGAGCGACAAAGGCCTCGCGGTGGGGGATGACCGGCTCGTCAATCTCGTACGCCTCGATCGCCTCCTGTGAGAGCGGGAGCCAAAGACGCAAGGTCAGCCCGACTGGGTCATCGTACGGGTGAAGGGAGTCGCGACGAGCCTTCCAGACATCCTGCGTCAGCTCGAGGACGATCTGCACCTTCTTGGCGCTCTGCGCCGCCGTCGAGGCGGCCGTCTCGGGATCGACGAGGAAAGCGATGGTGTCGCCGTACGTGGGGCTGCTCTCGTCCTCGTCGACTTCGATGGCGGCCTTCTGTTCGCGAACGAGGAAGCTGAAGAAGAAGGCGTTCTCGACGCTTTGTGCGAACGAGTGCGGATTGATGATGAACTCGAGGAAGGGAATGCCGCGGTCGCCAGCGACTTCTTGCAGGCGTTTTGCGATCTGCGGGCGCGTGCATCCATCAGCACGGCTTGAAGAGGCATCAGGATTCGAAGTGACTCGAAGCGCACCTTGGCAGTGACCTTGCCCGTCTCGTTCTCGTTCTTCGCAACGTCGTCCGCTTGGAGCTGCGCAGAAGCATACTCGTCAGCAATGAAGACTGATCGGAAGTGTTCGAAGCCGCTGTACGCACCTCCTCAGGCCTCATCTTCTCAGCCTCGTCAATCTGGTTCTTGGCGCGCTGCGTGCGCGCCTTCTTCTCTTTGACCTCGATCGCCAGCGGACCATACCTGCCCGTGAAACGAGATTCAGCGAAAAGCTCGACGGGTAGAGAGGGGCACGGCGCACATGAAGTCGAACGGGGCGGCACGCCTGCTTTGCGCCGCGAGCACCCTGCCGACCTTGATCCACTTCATCGGCCTGTCAAACTCAGCCTCGTCGTCGTCGTCGAGCTCGTCCTCGTCGTTCTCGGCCGCGCGCTTCCCCCTCGTCCGCTTCCTTCTCGCGTCCCTCGCGTTCGCCTGTCCTCCCATAAACTTGACGAGCCTCGCGATGAACTCGTCCGTGTCGAACGCGTCGGCATCGATCTTGAGTTGACGGGCTTTCAGAGCACCGGCTTCGGACGTGGCGATGAGGACCTTGGAGTCGAGGACGGCTTCGGAAGGGCGGTCGACACGCTTGAAAAGGACATTCGCGCTTGAGACTTTGTCGGCTAGGTCGTGGACGGACGTGTTCTGCAAGTCGCCTCGGAGATCTGTCGTTACGCGAGCGCGAGCAAGTCAGCCTCGAACTGTTACAGCGGCGGGAGGAGGAGAAGGGTGGTCGCAGGGCGAGAGGAGCGGTCTCAAGGGAACCGTACGTACCGTCGGTCGTGCTCTGGAGCTTCCTGTACTCCGCCCTGATCACCCTCTGCTTCTCCATCTTGCTCTCGTCGTCGTCCTCCTCCTCCGCGTCCTCATCAGCCTCATCTCCCTCCCCAGCCCCGTTCGACGCGTCCTGCTCGTCTTCACCATTCTCAGCATACAAGTCATCCTCATCCGCAGCGTCGTCGTCGTCCCGAGCGCGTCCCTTGCCCTTGACGTCGCGCGTCGGCGAACCACCCATGTTCTCCTTGTTTGTAGTGGTCGGGCTGGTCGAGGCGTGTGTGCGAGCGGGCATTCAGCTTGCGTGTAGCTAGAGAAACGGTCTGGGCGGGGTCTGGAGCGGTATGGCGGGGAAAGCGAGAACAGAAGGAGGCGAAGAGACGAGGACGAGCCAAGCGAGTGCGAAAGACGAGAATGCAGAGCCGTCGACAACAACAATGCAAAAATGTAGAATGAAGACACGACAGGACAGAAATCGATGCGCAGGCGAGACTGTGAGAGCGAGGATACGGGTGAATGGGCGAGCAGCAAGGCGATGAACCGGAAAAGACACACCTAGGACCCGTACAGCTCCGACGCTCTCCTTGCCAGATGCATGGCATCCTCATGCGCAAGGCCCGCCTCTTGCAATGCGGTCAGGTTCGTCGCCTTGAGCTCATCCGGAGTCGACGGAGGGTGCGCAATTGCGTCTCGCTTCGTTTTGAGGTCCCTCGGCCGAGTAGCAAGTTTATGGGCAGCTGTGAGGGCATTGTAGTAGTGAGGCTTGACGAGGAAGCGGAGGCGTGACCGAATCGGTGTTGCGGGATGGCTGGGATGTTTGCTCCTTCACACGGAGAACGTCGTCGTTCAGACGTCGCAGTTTCGACAGGACTTGACCTGTACCAAGCAAGTAGCGCGCTGTCAGCATGACTGAGCCCCAGGAAAAGCTGCGGACGACGCACCAGCCAACGCTCCTTCGCGCCAGCGATAGGCTGGGTCCGGGACCATCCCAGCATCCTGTGCCGCTTTGTGAACAGCGAGGAGGACATCTGCAGGGTAGAAGCGGATTAGGAGCGTCAATACGAGGAGCTGGGGACGCACTCACGACTACCAGCGTCCGAGCAGATGTTGTGAGGCATAGAGCGTCTCTTCCAGCGCATCCAGCCGTTCCTGCGTCACCATATGAGCCGTCTCCATTCGTCTCTCTGCCAGCTTATGCTCCCTCTCCATGCGTTCCTGGCCTGCCCTCAGCATGCTGTTCTCCTGCTTGAGCCCCTCTATCGCCTCGCCGTTCCGCTTCGCCTGGTCAAGCAGCTCCTCCAGTGCCGACGACGGGAGCACCTCGAGCTTCTTGCTCTCAATGATGCAGCTGCGGCGCCCCGTCGCCTGTACGTGGTCGATTTCGGTGGGGAGGATGGGCATGGGGAGAGACGAAGAGGCGTAGCGGACGAGGGCGAGAGGGCGGGCGGGAGTGAGACGACGGAAAGTGCTCAGAGCGCTCGAGACAAGCATGATGTGGTCCTGCAGGCTGATCGGAAGCGACGAGAGGAAGTGAGCGAGGAAGAGTAAGAGGAGAGGAGGTGAAACGGCGAATGGGGCAAAAGCTGAGCATTGAGACTGCAAGGACGGGCAGATAATTGCAACGAGTACGCGTGTGCGCCAAAGGGAGATCACGGCGTCCGGACGTAGCCATTGTAGCGAGGAACGAGCGGCCCAGCAAGTAGTCCGTCAGGAAGCCTACTTTGCTTGTGCATTGGCAGCGCACGAAGGCAGCGAAACTACATTGACATGGTGGTATACACGCACGACCGCGCCGTCACTTCCCGCGCGACTTGCGGACCGCCTCCTTCCAGAACGACACGCACGAGTAGCGCCAGTCGTCGTCTGCGCACGCATGGAGCGGGTCAGTGGCAGCCTTGGTAGAAGCGGGAGCGACTGTGAAAAGCGGGGGAACGGAGAACGCGGAACTCACTCATGTCGACCAGCTCCCTCCCCTTCGCCCTTCCCTGCAAGTCGCCCGCCTTTGGGCAGTCGCACTCGCACCCGACAACAGCCCCGCCCTCCTTCGCGCTGAGCGGACCAAGCGAAGACGTTGAGCGAGACGGGCACTGGAAGAACCAGTCGTGCTGGTAGCCGATGTCTTCGAAGCTGTCAAGGTTGTTCTGTCAGGATCTGCGGTGAGCGAAAGTCAGAGCGAAACGTACTGGTGGATCCTGTCGATGCCTGCGAGCGCACCGAGAGCGAGAGCGCGGACCGGCGCGTCCCCCCACTGCAGGCGACGAGCAAGTCGAGCGAGTGATCAGCATCTAGTCTGCGCGAACGTCGAGGACTTCACAGCTCACCCGCTCCGTATAGAAACCTCCCGCTTGGTCGAGCGCACGGAAGAATTCCTGGTACTCTCGCGAGCGGAAGAAGCGCAGGTCTCCGATCTGCGAACAGAATCTGCGGGTCAGAACCGAGAGGCGACGACGGTACCAACGGAGGCACGCGCACCTCAAAGTTTGTCCAGAAGTGACATGCGGCGTAGTCCTGGCCATTCTTGCGCATCAGGAACTCCCACATGTGCGGGTCGCGCGGCTTGATCCCCTTGGCTTCGAGGTAGTCGAGGACAGTCGGGATGAGCGAGGGAATCGTGTTGATCTGGTCGATGACGGTGATGGCGAAGCCGTAGACCTTGTTATGCAGGGCGAGGAAGCGAAAGGGGTCGTAGGAGATGGTGCAGTAGAAGCGGACTGCGAGGGGAACGTAAACATCGACTCGTAGTCCAGAAGCGCCAAGTCCGACGCACCTCCTGGCTCTAACCGCCAGTACCAGTCGTACTTGGCGAGCAGCGGATGCCGCGCCCACAAGCCCGAGTACCAGCGACACATGTGGTGATACCCTTCCCTCCCAGCATACTGCACCCCCTTCTCCTGTTGCAACCTGAACCCCGCCCTGACCTCCGTTTGGTCCATCCATTCCGGTATCCGCCAGTGCGCCTCGGGCACGACGCCCCATTCTGTCACCGCTCCCTCCGGCAAGACCTTCCTAACCTCGTGCTTGAACTCGTCCGGCAACGGCGGATCATCCGGGTCTGACATGAAGACGTAGGGATAACGAAAGCGTGCGTTGAAGCGGGACTCGAAATTGGAAAGGGTGGGAAGGAGTTCGGGGAGGTCGGATTCGCGGACGAGGAGGACGATGGCGGCGTTCTCGCGCCCCTCGAGCGCTGTGAGGGAGGTGTCGCTGCAGCGGCTGACTGGCGGTACATGTTTGTCGGTATCGACGAGTGGCGGAGGACGGCGAAGGAACAGGTGTGATGGGGAAGTCCAGGGAGAGGGATTGAGGGAAGTGAGGACAAGAACGGCGAGCAGAACGCAGGCGAGGAAGGGTGCGATTCGGGCGAGTAGTGGCAAGTCTTCCCGCACATTGGGGTGACCTTTTAGGCGCACTGGAGAAGTTGAATGGCGAGGAAGCATCCGTCTCGCTTCGGGAGAGTCGAGAGGAGGAGGGTCGGCTGTCAACAGCTCGAGGCGGGCTCAGCTTGCGTGTAACGGCATTGATCGGCTCTTGAACTGCGCTACCCACCTGTACTACGTCCCTCGTTCGCCGTAGCCGAAATTTCACCCTTGATCTCCTCCCCTCGCTGAACACGCTCCCCTCGACGTTGGCGCAGCGTGGCGCAAGCTCGTACGTGTGGTAGCAGTCAATCTAGGTCAGAAGAGCGTCTAGCAGGTCCAGCCAGCGTTAGCGTGTGGAGCGGCAGCGCGAGACCCCCGTTTCGTCGCTTGACCCTCTACACCTCGCCGCTGCTCCCGTAAACTCGCCTGCCCAGGCTAGCCGACCGACTCCGACCCGAATTGGACACTATTGCTGCCGCCTGACGAACCAGCCCCCACTGTCCTACGCCGCTGTCGCCTTCTCTCGCCTCCATGACCGCATCTCGCCTCGTTCAGCCTGAGGAGGAGCAAGCGATCACGGTGTTCTGCGGATCGAGTCCAGGGAAGGACTCTGTATATGGCGAGGCGACGGATCAGCTAGCTCGGGCACTGGCGCGACGAGGGGTCACCTTGATCTTGTACGTCCATCCTTGCGCCTCAGGATGCGTCCAGTCTTCGCTGACGTCTGAGTGGGCACCTCAGTGGAGGAGGTACGAAGGGCTTGATGGGCCGCGTCAGCTCGAAGGCGCTGGACGAGGGCGGCAAGGTCCACGGAATCATCCCTGCGGCCTTCCTCTCTGCCGAAGCGCCTGATCGGGCGAACAGCACGCGACCAAACGAGCAAGAAACTGTGGTTGGATCGATGCACGAGCGGAAGAAGCTGAGTGAGCCAGACTCTCCTGCCGATGTCCGCTTGTTCGCTCGCTCACCGCCTTTCTCCCAGTGGCCGACTTGTCCTACGCTTTCATCGGTCTACCAGGCGGTTACGGCACGCTCGAGGAAGTCGCAGAAATGACGACATGGAGTCAGATTGGTGTTCATCTGAAGCGTGAGTCGCCTCCGCATTCCGCTTCGTTTCGCTTGAGCTGACACGGTTCGCTCATAGCTGTCGTCCTGCTCAACATTAACGGGTTCTATTCGTCGCTGCGAGAATTCATCGATCAGTGCGTCGGATCCTGCTTCTTCCCTCAGCCTGCAACGCTCATCCACCTCGTCTCCGCTCACCGCCCGCCGGTCACCGCCATCCCTTCCTCTCCCTCTCGCATCAACTGCAGCGCTATCTCATCCGGCTTTATCTCAGAGTCAAACCGCAACTTCCTCGGTGCGTTCTGTGCCTCCGGCTCTCGCTGGACTCGCTTTTGACCATCCTCTCCCACAGTCTTCGTCGACCAACCCGAATCAGGCGACTGGGGCGAGGCGGCGCTGCAGGCCATCGACGATTGGAAGGCGAAGGGCGCGGGAGGAGCGGTGCCTTACTCGTTCGAGTGGAGCGAGGACCGGAAGAAGGGCAGGGAGGTCCTCTAGATCGCGCCTGCGGCGGAGTGCTCGCCGGTGTAGAGCTTACATTGCATCGTTGCATCCATGACATCGCTTGCTGGCATGTCGAAAGCTTGAAAGACCGGTGCGACAGCATCTTATCCTCTGCCATATCGCTCGCAACGGCTGGACGCGCTTCGGCGCCCTTCTGCACGCTTTTCTTGGCCCCCTCAACAAGCTACGAGCAGTCACAACCGCCCACGACTCGTCCTCGCTCCCTTCTCCTCCTCATCGCACGCACCTTGTCCCTCCTCTCTCCGGCCCACCCACCGCGCCCACGTGCTGCAATCGGCGTCGCAGGCCCGAACGGCAAGTCCACGGAGATGGGCTGCGCGGCGGAACGCTCGCTGTGCTCCCGGTGGCGTCAGTTCCGCTTTCTCTCCCTCCTCTCGCGGTGTCGATGCTGCGATCCTGGGCTAGGTCCTGAGCGCGGCATGGGGTGTCCGTGGGGTACGCTCGTGATTGCGATGGCGAACTCTCGAGCAACTCGCGGCTTGGCTTCTGGTTGGCTTGATCGCTTTTCTCTCGCTTCTCACCCGCCGGTCTCGTCATGGCCCCGACTTGCTTTCTTCCGTACCCTAAGCCCAACGCCATCACCGTATTCTGCGGATCATGTCTCGGCGACGACCCCATCTACGGCGAGGCGGCGGATCAACTCGCCTGCGCATTCGTTCGTCGAGATGCAACCCTCGTCTAGTACGTCCGTTCCTACTCCGCTCCGCCCTCGGCGACTGGTGCTCATCGTTCTCACGCCGCAGCGGAGGAGGCACGAAAGGCTTGATGGGTCGCGTAAGCTCCCGAGCGCTTGACGAGGGCGGCAGAGTCCACGGCATAATTCCGGCCGCCTTTCTCGCCCAAGAAGCGCCCGACCGAGCAGGAACTCGACCCAACGAGCAGGAGACCATCGTTCGCTCGATGCACGAGCGGAAGAAGATGAGTGAGCGCGGTCTCCTTGGATCCGCCGGTTCTCGTCCGCTGGCTGACTGTCTCATCTGCAGTGGCCGACCTCTCATATGCCTTCATCGGACTACCTGGAGGCTACGGTACACTCGAGGAAGTTGCGGAGATGACCACTTGGTCGCAAATCGGGGTTCACTTGAAGCGTGAGTCTCCCTTTCGCTTGCGATGTCCTGCACACGTGCTCATCTCGCTCGTCCAAGCTGTCGTCCTGCTCAACATCAACGGGTTCTACTCGTCGCTGCGAGAATTCATCAACAAGTGCGCCCGACTCCGCATCTCGAGAACCGTTCGTACCTGACCCGCGATCCGCCCTTCTTGCCTTGTCTCCTTCTTCTTCCCCGTTCCGCGCCCCTACACAGCTCTATCGCCGCAGGCTACATCTCCGAGAGTCACCGCAACTTCCTTCGTAGGTGCCAGCCTTCCCTTCCGCTCTGGACGCCTGCTGAATGCCTTTCTCGCAGTTACCGTCGACGGACCCGCCTCGAAGGACGCTTCATTCGACTGGGGAGAAGCTGCATTGCGTGCTATTGATGATTGGGAGGCCAAGGGAGCAGGCGGAGCAGTACCGTACTCGTTCGAATGGAGCGAGGACCGGAGGAAAGGGCGTGCTGTCCTCTGAAGCAGGACGAGGGTTTCGCTGGTCGAGTCGATGGCTGTATTGCGATGCTATGTACCATCCCTCGGGCTCGTCGGAGCGAGAGAAGCTGCTTCAGCCGGCTGGCAACCCTTCTACCGCCTCGGTTCCTCTCTTTGCCTCCTGACTCTCGCTGAATCGCTACGAACAGCTTCTCTCAAAGTGCCCTGCTCCACGATGTCTGACTCGACCTCCGCACCCTCGCTCCTCACGCCCGAAGACTCTGCCGTCCTCGCCTCGACCTCGACAATCCAGCGAGTCCTCATCGCGCAGAGCGTCTTCGAGAAGGGCACAAACGACTTTGCAGCAGTCGCGGCTGTGCTGCAAGGCCACGCTCTACTGAGTGACTGCTCACACGAGTGGTTTGAGCCGAAGGTGCGCTTTCACCTTCCCTCTTTCTCTCGCTCAACTGATGAAGGAATCGTCGGCGCAGAACCTGTCGAAGATCTGGATTGCGCTCGTGCACAACGTCGGACAGGATGCGTGAGTGCTGTGGATCGCTCGAAACGCGCCAATGTCGCATTGCTGACCGTTCTTCTTCCTGACAGGTCCGTCCAGCACCCTCCGCAAGGTCCGCTCCCGCTCTATCGCCTTCTCCGACCCGCTGTTCCTGACTACTCTTCACCTGGCAGCTCCCGCACTGCGCAAGATCGCCCACAAGTACTACATGGACCGCGTCGGCGAGCTCCACGCCGGCATGCAGCTTTGCCAGGACCAGTTCAGGTCTGCTTCGACTTGTTCTCCCCCCGTGAATCGACTTGCTCATTGTTACGTGCGCAGGATTGTCTACTCGGAGATCCAGGAATTGCGCGAGGGCAGGCTGGACTGGAAGTTGACCCACCCTGACCGCAACCTCCCGCCTTCACCAGTCAGACCCGCTCAGACGCTGCCGGCGAGCTCATCGATGATCGATGTCAAGATGGAGGATGTCGGCGTCGGGGCGTGAGGAGTGGTGCAGCTTGAGGAGAAGGAAGAAGGACCCGTGCTGAGGGAGACTCGCACTCGTGCGTTCCTCCAGTACGCTCATTGCCACCTGAAGCTGACTGCCCAGCCTTTGCAGTACCGTACGCCCCATCGCCTTGTGCGCATAGCCTCGCCATCCAGTCGGCTTCATCGTAGTAGCAAGATGAGCGGTTCGCCGGACCCGGAGCGCCCCTCATCAGCCGACACAAGCACGGGTGGTCGTTGCAACTGAATCGGAGCATACACACAGTTCTCTCGAGATGCTCGCGAGGGTTGCGCGAATGCGAGCAGAAACAGCAGGCGTTACAAGTATAGCAGCGGAACGAGTCGAGGCAAATCTCTGGGTGAAGTGTCTGTACGGATGGCAAAGGGTATTGGCGGGATACTGCGCGAGAAAGAAGGCGTCAGCGAGGTGCGCCAGCGAGGAAAGAGCGGCACGAATGCACACGAGAAGCGAGTTGTTGCGGTGCTAATTCTGCGAGGCGGGAAAGGCATCAGCGCTTCTGCAGTATCCACGAGAGAGGGAAAGGACGCACGGCGAAGACCCAGATGATACTGTAGAATGTGCAGCCGAGGAAACGGACGGCGGCGAGGACTGCGAAAGAAGCCGAAGGTCAGCATTGAGAGTTTTTTGGGCGGCGGACCTCGCTACGCACCGGCGACCGAGTACAAGAGGAACGCCATGTAGACGTTGCTCCTCGTCGTCGTGACCGTGTCGCCCGCACTCGTGCTCAGGATGGCAGCGACAAGCGCGCCATTCGTGAGCGTCCAGGCGAGGACGACATTCGTGCGAATGGCGCGGTACGAGTCGGTCATCTTCTCCTCGAGGTTGACCGTCTTGACGGGCGGCGGAGGTTTCGACGCGAGCACATGGCAGGCGTCCTCGTAGGCGGCGTTGCTGTGAAGGCGGCGGGTCAATTGGCCCTTCGCGCTGGCGAGCCTCGCTCGAAGGGAACGTACATGTCCTTCTCGTCCGTCGGGACCGTGACATCGACTCCATCGCCCTTCGCCGGCGCCACACCAAGGTCGTTGCTCGCCTTTTCCTCAGGCCGGTTTCCCCAGGTGACCTGCGCGACGGGCGGTCAGCGAATCCGGTCTCATGAGACTCTAAGCTAGCAGAAGCTCACATCTTGGACGTTGCTGTGGACGGAAGCGATGCGGTCAGTGACGGTTACGGAGCAGGGCAGGAAAGCGAGAAGGAGGGCTGGACGGACCAGAAGGCGTAAACCTGGCGTGTGCGTGAGAGCAGGATCAGTAAGCGTTTCCAAATCGAGGCCAGACTCAACACGCACGTTGATGACGTTCGTGAAGGATGGCGAGAGAAGGAGGTACTGGAGGAACGACGTGAACATGTGGGACGGCTGCGAAGCGAGACAACGTCAGCTGTCTAATCTTGAAAGGCATAGAAGGGTAGCGTACGTCGAAAAAGATGATCGACGAGACAAGGTAGAGGACGTAGGTCGAGAGGAGCGAGATGCAGATGTTGCTGCATGGGCATCGAGCGAGCCGCGTCAGTACGCGCTCTGAACCTGCAGTACCTACCTCACACAGTCGCACAGGCACGAAGACATTGAGGAGCGGGAGGTGGTGGCAAACTGCAGACGCACCGGAAGGTGGTGTTTGTGAAGACATCGCTGACATTGAACTTGCCGCCGTCCGCCTCGATCGTGTTCTTCGCCTGGACGACGCCATAGTACGTGATGACGCCCGCAGCGATCTGTACACGACATTGTGAGGATACCGAACAGTTGAGATGGCGCAAGGCGAGTTGGAGGAAGGTTGCGCACGAGCATGTACACCATGATGAGGGCGAACGAAATCATGATGACGAGGTAGAAGCCGTGCGAGCCTTGTGGCCGGTTGCCAAGCGCAAGGATGAAGCAGCAGACTGCGAGTGGCAGAAATCGTCAGTCTGGAGTCCTCCGAGCTCTGGGAAGCGAGACGCACGAAGCAATGCGAGGTAGTAGTATCGCACGACAATGTTGAAGCTGTGGGAGGCGCGTGAACATCAGCGCACGCGACCGCAATGAAGTTCGCCAGGTGGACGCACTACTGGATGCCGCTCAGCCCGAACGACGGGTCCGCCATCGACGTGGTGAGGATGTACATGATGATGTCTGCGAGCGACGCCCGTGAGCAGCTGAACAGGAAGCACACTGTGGCGCTGCTTACACCAGTTGCCAAGCGCGAACCAGGCGAAGCTGTTCCGGCAGGAGGGTCAGCAGTCAAGCGGGAAGGCTTGAAGCAAGCGTCACGAACAGCATGTTGAAAGTCTGGTAGAAGAGCTCGACGTGGAGCCAGAGCTTGCGAATGAAGGAGTGGTCGGAACTGCGGGCGCCGCTCATCTCGTCAGCGTTCGCCGCCGTCGTCGGAAAGGTCGACTCGCGCTCACCGGTAGAGATAGCCAAAGTGGTACGAAGAGTGGATACCGGCAAAGAACGAGCCGTTCAGCCAGCGACGCCGCTGAGCGATCAAGTCGGGAACTCGATCGGGTACGTCCTGCGAAGAGCTGATCGCGCTTAGCTTGTGACGCCGTCAGCGAAGGAAGCGCGGACGCACAGTGACGGCGTAGGCGCTGCGCTGGTAGTGCAGCAGCCATGCGCTGCCGCGCTTGGCCACGAGCTCCCAGCACAAGATGCGGTCCTCGGCGAGGTACCTGCGGGCATCTAGCGGTTAGTCGAGACCTCCGCGAGTCAATAAGGGGATGCCTTACATGTTCTTTGTCCACAAGTCGCTGCGTTGCGAACGAAGGTCAGCTTGCGAGCTAGGGAGGTTGGGTGGAGGGTACGCACGCATCGACCGAGTGATGCAGCGTCTCGCCCTTGAAGTACTCCTTGAGCGGTCCTTCGCCCTTCGCGTTGTTCTGCAGGGCGATGTAGCGGTCTGCGCGGAGCGTCGTGAGAAGGGCGCGGAGTCGAGGTGAACGAGGAGGAACGCACATGCGGAGAAAGCACCGGGCAAGACGGTGATGTAGCCGAAGACGGACTCGAGGGGCTTGTCGAGGATGTCTGCGGGAGGAAGAGTGTGAGATCAGTTGACTTTGAGCGGGAAGAGGGCGACTCACTTGACATCTTGTACTCGAAGTTCTGGGCGGCGACGAGCGGGTTGAGGCTGCACGGTCGCGCAGAACGTCGAATCGGTGAGACGGGGCTCACGCGCGCAGATGCTGAGATGCTAGTCGAGTGGAGCGGACGAGACGCACAGGTTGCGGAAGTATTTGCCCTTGAGCGCCACGATCTCGCCACAAGCACCGCCAACGTTCGAGTTGAGCTGTGCGACGTAAGTGATTCCGGAGGATCAGCTTCATCCACGAGGATGGCGGCCAGGCCGACAAAGCCAGTTCGCGACGCACATCAAACGTCTTCCACAACTTGTAAATGCTCGTCGGTCCCGGCTGCGTTCCGACGTCGAGCAAGACGCAGACGTTGGGCTGGAGGATCGGCCCGAAGGCGTTGAAGAACCAGCGGTGCGAGTTGATCTTCTTGGCGCTGCGAGCGAGAGGCTTGGGTGAGCGTCTGGACAAGCGGGAAGCGAGTCTCGTGCGGCGCACTTCTTTTCCTGCGTGCGGACAGCAACTTGAGTCAGTCATCGTGTTCTGAGGACGAGGCAAAGCAAAGAGAGCAGATGCTTTCTCCAGGGAAACGAGAAGACTGACCTTCAAGCAGAAGATGACTGCGAGAGAGGCGTCAGGAAAGCGTTAGTGCGCTTCGCTCCACATGCCTCAGCAATACGCCTACAGCTTGCGCCGAAGCAGCAACAGCAGGAGGTGAGGCGAGGAGGACAAGCGGACGCACTCTGAACGGGGACGAGACCGCGCTCGGCAGACTTGAATTTGAGGTCCGGGTCGATCGAGACTGTCGTAGAACGCGAGTGTCAGGTGTTGAGCATGATCGGATGACGGGCGCTAGCAGAAAGCTTCGACCCCCGCCAGAAGAGCGCAAACTCGAAACGCACTCTGCGTCGTGTACTCGTAGATGTGCGCCGTGACCGGCTTTCCCGCGACGACGTTCTTCGCGACGCCGTCCTGGTAGACGCCCATTGCTGCGAGCACCGAGAGCGTGCGCGAGTTGATCTTTGCGCGGCCGTCCGAGACGATGCAGACGACGACTGTGCGAGGGCGCATCAGCGAGGCGGATCTCGCTGACATCACGTGGACGTGGATGAGAGTTTGAGAACGCAGCGAGCGCAAGACGCACCTTTCTTCCACCCGTCCGGCCCCCAGGTCTTGCTGCGATTCCGCTCGCACAAGTGCTGGATATTCTTCATGACGCCGTGCATCGTGCGGCAGAAGAGGACTTCGTCTTCGTTGTACATCGTGAGGACGATGAAGAGCTCGGTGCGGCGAGGGGTCTCGTAGAGGATTTGGCGGAGGGCGTAGCGTTCGTTGAGGAAGTCGTCGGGCTGCGCGTGAACCCGGCGCAAGAACCATCAGCCCATGTACTCGTGAGATGATTAAGTGCTTGAGCAGACGGCAGAGAGTACGCACATCGCAAGTAGCGGCCGTGTACCGCATGTGAGTGAACTCGCGGTCGTCCTTCCTTGCGCACCGCTCGAGCAGCTTGGGCGGGACCTGACAGTCGAGGACGAGATTGCCGTGGTAGAGCTGAACGCCTGCACATCGAAAGCGGAAGCGAAGACGTCAGCTCGGAAGGCCAGCAGAGCGAAGGAGAACCGTATGAAACGCACGCTTGACCGTCTTGTACCGCCTCGGCTGCCGCTGCGGGATCCGCCCATACCTGACGACACTCTGCGCGTCTCCGTCGTCCATTCCCTGCCCGTAGCCGCCCTGCGCCGGCCCGCCACCGTAAGGAGGGTACGAATTTCCCGCGGTCGGGTCAAAGCCTCCAGGCAAGCCGAGCATCGCATCCGCCTGCCCAAGCGCGCCTCCCGTCGTGCTCCACCGCGCATGCCCGTGTCCCTGCGACGGCAACAGCGGCGCCTGGTCGTCGTCTGCCGGACCACCATTATTCGGGTCTGCCGGGTTCGCCGCGAAGGTCGGGTGCGAAGGGAGGTGCGACTGAGAGTGCTGGTAGGACTGGTCGGTCGGGAACTGGTAGGGAGGGTACTGCGTCGCTCCTCCTCCTCCCGCCGAATCGCCAAGATCGCCTTGCGCTCCACCTGCGCCTCCCGCTGCGTACACGGGCGTGGCCCACTGCGGCTCAGCCTGTCCACCGCTGTACAGCCCGGGCGTCGCAAACGGGTCCTGCGCCTGTCCGCCCGCGCCTCCTTGGTACGCAGCAGCCGTTCCCGCCGAGTAATCCGCTGGATCCGCAGGTGCGTGTTGTGCGGGTGCGTAGCCGTAGCCGTACTGGTCCTGAGAAGCTGCAGCAGGCGCAGGATAGCCTGGCGGGTCCTGCTGGTTCGAGAACGGGTCGTGAGACGGAGGTTGGCTGACGGGAGGTGCGGGGGTTCGTCGAGGCTGTGGGCCGGGCGGGAGGTCGTGGTAGTAGGGTTGCTGGCCGTATCCAGCCATCTCAGCAGTGTCAGACGAGCGAAACAAGCGACTTGAGCGAGCGGCGAGGTGAAAGAGAAGCGAGCGAGCGAGAGGAGGCGGTGAAGGGTCCTCGAGGCGACGGCGACGACGGCGCAGGGTTGATGCGGCTAGCGAGACAGGCTTGTGAGGCTCACAGAAGGATCCGTAGGTGTCCAGGCTCTCCTGCGAAGCGAGGCTGGATATCATACACATGCTCAGGAAACGGTTCGCCAACGCCGCGCGAGTTGTTCGGGGAACGCTCTCCATTGGCACGTCATCCGCTACGCCTGAGGCACTAGTCACCCGCCTCAGACCATTTCTGTTCCCATCGAGACTCCTTGGGCACAGGATTCTTGGCCGCTTCAAGCCAGAGGTACCGTGACGTCCCGCGATCGTTGTCCGTGACGCAGCCTAACGCCTGCGCTACGAAGGAGAGTGCATTCGGGTCGTCGGTGTCGCGATAGTACGCCAGAATCTCGGTGTCGAGCCACTCAGGATACCAGCCGGCCGTCTCCCAGTCGACGATGCCGACGACGTGTCCGTCGCAAAGGAGCATGTTGCCGGAGTGAAGATCGCCGTGCGTGAGGACGACCGGCGCTCCAGCGTCGAGGGACTCGACATGGGCGAGACTTTGAGCATGCGAGGCCCGCGTGAATCGCGGCGGCAACTCTGCACTGAGCCAGCGAAGAAAGTCGCGTGTCGTCGTAAAGGTCGGTAACCTTGTGAATACGGACGTCTTGCTGTCCCAGGAACAGCCGAGGATGGCGCGCTTGAAGTCTTCGCAACGCTCGTTGCCGAAGTCTCCGACAGGCGCGAGATTCGGACATCGGATAGAGTGTAACTCGCTGACAATGCGCTTCATGTCGGCGGCGATCGTTGCGGAGGACTCGCAGGACAATTCTGGGTCGAAGAACTGAAGTTGGCGGCCATCGATGTCTTCCCTGTAGATGAAGACGTCTGCGCCGTCCGCTGCGACCGCATAGACCTGCAGAGAGACGGGTGAGCAGCATTCACCGTAACGACACGCCAGAAGCCCGAGGCTCGCCTTTGGGACTGGGATGGATGTGCGGTCTCTCACCAACCGCATCACCGCAGCCTCGCGTTCTTCCACAAACGGTCCGTACTTGACGATCACGCTTCGTCCTCGCCATCGCAGGCGTCTGACGCGATGGTAGTGCTCGCTGTTCAAGGGTTCGCCGTGGTCTCGGACCCATTGCGGCGGCGGCAGGTCCTCCTCGCCCTGGGGCGACGTCGGTCGAGGCTGTCCATCGAGTTCGGTAACAGCTTGATCCTGCAGTTTCTTGATGAGTAGGGCTGCATCAGAGGCAGGTCAGCTAGAGTTGGACATGTTCGGTTCCGACAGAGCACACACCTCTTCTGCGCATCAACTGCTGTCGCGCGTTCGTGCGGTCCTGCAGGGCAGCGTTTGCACCCGAAGTTGCCATCTGTGAACGCAGTACACGGTGAGGTCTCGAGCTCGGCGAGCGTTAGATGCACGACCAGGAGGAACCAATCGCACCTTGGCAGAGAGAGCGTGAGGCAATTCGAGTGAATGCAGACAAGCGCGCAAGCAGAATCGCAAGGCAGCACCGCCTAGAATTTGAGCAGTGAGTCCAGCGAGTTGAAGCGCAGGAGGGAAAGAGGCGAACGCGCGACTTCGACCGCGACAACGACGGCTCAACTCGTCCTGACGGGCTGTTCCGCGCTGGAGTGTTCTCAAACGGCTGTTTTTATCAGTCGCACGCACAGAGACACGTCCAGAGCGAGGTCGCCGTCCTCTTCGTTCATCAATCAACCCTCTCACTCGTCCACCTCCCGCAACTCCCGCTCGACCGCTTCGCCTGGCTCAAAGACACGCTCCCTAGCTCGACGCAACTCACACAGTCCCCACGAACGACCTCCCACTCCCGCCCGCCGCTTGACGCCTCCCCTCGCATCCTCATCTCTCGCGTTGGTCCGCGGCGAGCAACTCGCGCCAGCACCCCCTTTTAACCCGCGCAACCATGTCAGCCCAAGCAGCAGCATCCTCGCAATCCCGGTCCCGTGCGTCATCCCTTTCCCGCTCCGCCAGCGGCCGACCCACCACTCCCGTCCGCCGCATCTCAACAACTTCCCTGCGCGCAGTCTCGCTCTCGCAGTCAAGCTTGAACAATGCCTCATACACCGCCCAGCCTCTCTCGCACCTCAGTGTGGTGTTTGCGGAGTTGACGGACGCCGTGAGCGATTGTTCAGTGCTTGTAGACTTGGTGAAAGGATGCTTTGCACGCTGCGACCAGAGTCAATCGCGAGCCGCTGCGCTTCTCAAGCAACTCGGAGAGCCTGGATCCAGAGATGCCGAGATTTCCACCTCTCCTTCTCCTCTGCCAATCCCAGTACCGTCCCCAACTCTGTCAATCGCTCGTCGCTCGTATCGCGGTAGTATCCCACAATCTCCGCCTCGACCCATCCTGGGTACCAGCCTCCCATCTCCCAATCGATGATGCCGACGACTCGTCCATCGCGAACGAGGATGTTGCACGAATGTAGATCGCCATGCGTGAACACGACTGGGGCGGAGGCGTCGAGAGACTCGATATGCGGGACGAGACACTCGCGCGTCTCGACAGAGGGGAACATGCGGATGCGAGGTGCGACCTCGACAACGAGCCAACGTTGAAAGTCGGCGGTAGTATCGAGGGCCGGCATCTGCGAATGCTTGAAGGAAGGTGTGCAGCCGAGGACTGCACGCTTGAGGTTACGATACGCCGATGCCGGATAGTCGCCTATTTGACCCTGCGGAGGCATGCGCAACTGCCGCAGCTGCTGGATGCAGGCCAAGACCTGCGGTGCAACCATCCGGCGAGTCGACTCGTCGCAGTCAAATAGCGTTGAACCCTCGATGTGCTCCATGTAGATGAAGACCTGCTTCTCGAACTCCTTGACAGCGAAGACCTGCCAAGAGATGGTTCAGTCAGTATCTCGAGCTGCGGCGCGACGGCGGAAAGCCTCACCTCAGGAACCGGTACGTTCGTGTTGGCCCGCACGAAGCGCATAATATCCGCCTCCTGCGGCCTGACGCACCAACCATACTTGACAATCATGCGACGACCACGCCAAGTAATGCTTTTGACGAAGTTGCGGTCCTCTTCGGTCAAGGACTCTCCGTTCATCATCACCCACCTTGGCGGCGGCAGGTCGTTTGAAGTCTCAGGCTCGTTAGGTCGGGCAAGATGAGCAGGCTTTGGCGGTGCCGTGCCTATGAGGGCTGGAGACGAGGACTCGAGCTGCGAGTTGGTGAGGTCGCCGAGGACGGGTAATGGATCCAGGCGGGGTGAAGTCATATCCGCAGGCTCTTCAGGTCAAGACAGCAGCGCCTTCGGCCAGCAGAAACTGAGGCAACGGAGGGGGAACGCCTGTTGCAGTGTTGGCGCGAAGAGGAGAGAGGTGCGAGTCTGGCGGTGCGGGCGGCTAGTAGGGCAGCCAAGGGACAGTGTTGAATATACAGCTGGCAGGCCTAACGAGCTCAGTCGGGTCCAGCGAGTGAGTGGCAGGAGGGAAAGAGGCGGACGCGCGACTTCGACCGCGACAACGACGGCTCAACTCGTCCTGACGGGCTGTTCCGCGCTGGAGTGTTCTCAAACGGCTGTTTTGATCAGTCGCACGCACAGAGACACGGCCAGAGCGAGGTCGCCGTCCTCTTCGTTCATCAATCAACCCTCTCACTCGTCCACCTCCCGCAACTCCCGCTCGACCGCTTCGCCTGGCTCAAAGACACGCTCCCTAGCTCGACGAAACCTCACACAAACCCCACGAACGACCGCCCACTCCTGCCCGCCGCTTGACGCCTTCCCTCGCATCCTCATCTCTCGCGTTGGTCCGCGGCGAGCAACTCGCGCCAGCAACCCCTTGAACCCGCGCAACCATGTCAGCCCAAGCAGCAGCACCCTCGCAAACCCGCTCACGCGCGTCATCTCTCTCCCGCTCCGCCAGCGGCCGACCAACCACCCCGCTCCGCCGCATCTCAACGACTTCCCTCCGCGCACTCTCGCTGTCGCAGTCGCGGTCGAACAATGCCTCATACACCGCCCAGCCTCTCTCGCACCTCAGTGCGGTGTTTGCGGAGTTGGCGGACGCGGTCAGCGATCTGACGGCCAACTTTGAGGAGTTGGAGAGCGTGCAGAAGAGGCTGGACGGGGTCAACGAGAGCTTTGCTGGGTGGTTGTTGGGACTGAGGGCGAACGGATACACGGTCGATTTCCTCGAGGTGAGTCAAGCCGGTTTGCACCCAGGATTTGTTCCTCCCGCAGCTTTGCTCGGAGCCTTTCGCGCGTCGCCTGTCCTACAGTCGCTGACGAGCCTACCTCCAGGCCCCTACGAAGCTGAACTTTGACCTCGCCGCCGAACGCGCCGCCCTCCGCTACGAGCGCGACCAAGCACAAACGCAGCTCCTGCACGAGCAACATCAAGAACAGCTCCTCGCCGAACAAGAACACCAGCGACAACAGCAGGCCGAATTGGACGCGGGTGGAGCGGGCGAGCAGACGTTCATGACGAATGACGAGGACCAGAGTTTCGTGTCGCATCATCCGGGACATGCCGAGGGAACGAGGGGAGGGACGAGGGGGCGCGGCGGTGCGAGCGTGAGGGGAGGAAGAGGCGGAGCGGCAGGAGTACGAGGAGGTAAGGCGCCGGTCATGACGAAGAAGCGGAAAGAGGAGATGGCCGTGAGTCTCGCTGCCTCTCACTCCTCAGCTTTCGCTTCTCTGTCGCCGCGAATCCGGCTTGCTGACGGTACTCTTTGCAGGCCTTCGCCGATCCCATCTTGCCGCTTCTGCCGATCGACGTCCGCGAAAAGCGCCGAACCGAAACCGAGCGTGTTCTCTGGTTCCTGCGCGAACGCGGCCAAGCCCGCGCGAGCAGTGCGTCCACTCTTCTTTCGTCCTGCTCCTGCTCAAGCTTCATAGCTGACGAGCTTGTTGACGTGCAGTGCAAGACTTGGTCGCCCATCTCTCGAGCGGCGGACCGACGCAGTCTGTTCCGCAGGTCCGGATCAACGAGGTGTTGCTGGCGCTGGTGAGGGCGAAGGTGGTAATCAAGGGTCCTGTCAAGGTGCGTTGGTGGAGCCGGGGCGCCACTCTTCCTGTCCTTCCCTCAGCGGATAAGTGGAAGAACTGGTCGGTCTGGTTGAGCTGAGCGCTGACCCTTCCCCTGCCGTACGCAGGGCATCACCTCTTACCGTCTCGAGCCGAACAAATACCCAGCCTAGCCGACAACGCTCCACTTTCGGCCCTCGTCTTCGGCTGTCTCTCTCTCGCGCTCTTCGGACGCTTTTCTTCTCCTCCACCGCGGTTGTCAGCAACACGAGCAGACATTTCGAGCTATCGTGCAACCGAAGCTACGTATCAAGCGCATCCTCCTTGACTCATCGACTTATCCGAAACTGCGAGTGGAGCGGAAGCTAGTTAGCCAAGCTTCGACGCGCACATGAGTGCGGCTGCGCACATCGCGACAAGCTTTTCCACCTGCTCGTTCCTGTTGAGCAGCGGGACGAGGTGCAGGACCGTCGTCTTGAACTGCCGCTCGTCCTCGTTCCTCAATCTCGCCCTGCGTAACGAAGCGTGTCGATTTTCTTCTTCTCAGCAATCCGCGAAGGTCACGCACAGTCCTTTGCCCTTCTTCTCGACCTCGACAGCGACCAAAGTCCTGTAGACGTGCCCTCCCTCGATCGCAAGCGTGACGTTCCTTCTTAAGCGGCGGGTCTGGTCCTTCTCGTACTCGACTGTCGAGCCGGGCTCGAAGACGACGGGTGAGGTGAGGAAGTTAGCGAGGTGGTGGTGGACAACGGAGGAGCGAGAAGGAGCTGCGAGCGTAGGCAGGCGAGTTGCGAAGGTCAGCGAGGAAGAAGCGATACTGCTCAGACTGGCTGTAGCTGGGAGCTGTAGCACGCACTGAGGAACTCGACGAAAGGAGCGCTGGCGATGAGGATCTTGCCGGACGGACGGTCGATGAGGGCGATGCGAGAGTAGGTGTGCTTCGGCTCGTATGGCTGCGCGTCGCAACGCTGGGCAAGTCAGCCTTATGTAGGATCGGCGGGTCCAGACGGTGGAGAGCGCACCTCGGGCTGTCCGACCTGCTCAACAGCCCCTGCTTCGCCCGCCTGCCATCCCTTCCCACCCTGCTCAGGACTCGCCGGCATCGAACCGCGCCGCATCCACACTTCCGGCTCGTCCACGTCTGGCGAACCGCCCACGTCGAAAGCGGTTGACGTGACCTCGAACGTCGACTGCGTCGACTCGGTCGTTTCCCTGCGGCGCTTCTTGCGCCCGAAGAAGCCGAAGCGGCGAGGCTTGGGCGACGACGAAGATGACGCTACAGGGCGCGGAGACCAAGTGCCATACCCTTGAGCAGACTGAGAGTAAGCGCGACCGGGAAAGGCGGGAGACTCGGGAGGAGAAGGCGGAAGCTGCGGTACGTTCGTCGACGACGGCTGGAGGCGACTCATTGCCGCCTGCTGCATCGACTGGAGCTGAGCCTGCAGGTACGGCGAGAAGGGCGGCGACGTGCTCATTTGAGCGGGCGAGGCAGGAGTAGGAGCAAGAGCAGCCGAAGCAGAAGCGACGCCGACTTCTTGCATGGTGAGCGTCGCGTCGGTCTGGCCGCCGAGGAAGTACTTGACTTTCCCGTCGCTGTCTTTGAGAGGCGTGATGTTGATGAGGTTGAAGAAAGGGTGGCCGTCGCTCCGGTCTGTGCGGGAGAAAAGGATTGGTTGTTGAGCAATACTAGCACGGGCGAGCGTACGCACAGTTGAGCACCAGCTTGGTGACTGCTTTGCCCTTCTTCAGGGCCTCGCGAAGCGCTTCGATGCTGTCAGGCGAAGTCCCGGGACCTTGCAGGAAACGGCCTGCGAAAGCGGATCTCAGGACCGAGAATCGTGAGAAGCGGAGAACCTTCCCTGCTCACAGTTGCGCGCGATGATTTCTGCGCATGGGAATCCCGTCACAGCGCCAAAGCCATCGCTGACCAGGACAATTGGGTTGTCCTCCTTCGTCCAGTCGGTCCTGCCGAGGCGCAACGTCAGCTGGCCTATGATGAAGCTAGGAGATTTCGAACGCACAAGCAGAAGCTTTCGCCGAGGCCATCGGTGGCGAGATCGCCCAAGCGGTGGCCCATCCCGCTCCAGCCAAACGCAGTCCTCCACCTCCCGAGCCGCTCATGCATCGACTTGATGACGCGGTCTTCAAGCCAGAGACGCAGATACGGCTCAAGTTCGCGCTTGAGGCCATCGATAGGCTGCGCGAGATCCGAGCTGTCCTGCGACGCCTTCATGCAGGCCTCGAGGATCGCGGCTCGACTTGCGAGAGGCAGGTTGAGACGCAGAGGCGAGGTGGCCTAGAGGTAGGTCGAGGCAAGCGCGTTCGACGTCGACTGGAATGTTTGGCTCAAGGCGGAAAAGGCGAGGAGATCGGAGCAGAGCGAGGCGGCGGGAAGAGCGCGACTGCCGGGAAGACTGGCGCAGAACTGCAAGAAGTCCCGTCCAGCGTCTGTCAAACGGGCAAGAAGCGTCAGTTGCGTTCGGAGCTGATAAGGTGAGCACACTCGGCTGACCTGCATCCTTCAGGACGTCCTCGACAGACGCGGCGGACGCAGCAATCTTGGCAAGCTCGACTTCAGCCTCGTTCGCGACCGTCCAGTTGGCGTAGCTCGTTGGTCCAGTGTAGTCCTCGCCGAGCGCTGGAAGGTGAGGGAGCGGTGGCAGGCGAGGAGGAGAGGTCGAGAAGGCAGATGGCGGAGGAGACAAGGCCGACGGGGTGGCTGGCTGGGCAAAGCTTGAACTACGACGCAGTCGAACTGAGAAGGGCGTCTGGACGGCTTGCGGGGCGGGACGAAGAGGTTGCGACGTGAAGATGGGCTCGGGACGAGGGCGGCGCGAGGGGGCGGCGGGCAACGGCAAAGCCGTCTCCGACTTGCTCGCCAAGGGTCGGCGAGGCGGGGTCGACCTTTCCATCTCGAAAGCACGTCGACCGGCGAAAGCAGGATCCATCGCGCTGTCCTCCGACTCCGACTCGTCTTGCGCTGGATGGTCAAGGGTCAGCGCGCTCAGCTCGTCGCAAACCGCCTTGCAAGACGTGCGCTGTTGCTCAATCTGCTCAGAAGGGGGCACCGACGCCGCTTTGCGCTGCTCGACGAGCCTCGCTGCGAAGCCAGGCGAGGCCGGGTCCTCGAGTTCAGCGGATGGGAGAAGCTGGAGCGAGGGCTCGGTCGGCTTGGCGGGCCGCTCGAATGACTCGAGGAGCTGGCTCGAGGGAGCCTTGGGCTCTGAAGGCGCGCGAAAGCGAGGCATCGAGCAGCGAGGTGAGACGAAGAAGGGAGAGAGGCGAGGGGGTGGCGAGGCGGGTCGTCGACGACGTAGGACGAGACCGGCAGTGCCCAGGCGAGCTCTGTAGTGTCAAGTGAGCAGACAGAAGCGCAGTGAAGTCCGCAGACAGCGTTGCTCGACCTGTCCAGCGAGTTGGGAAGGCCACCTCCAACAACGACAGCGACGGACGGCGATCAAGGCATCTAGTTTGCAAGAAACGGACAGGCAAAGGTCAACAGGCGAAAGAATAAAACGGCGGATAGCTGAGAAGGGATACAAGGGAATAGGACGGTCGGCGGCCTTCCCTCATGCCGTCGACAAGTCGTACACGGTTTCCGGCGAAAGGCCCGACACCAGCAGGTCCTCCTCGTCGGCGAGTGGGCCCCATGCCTTGCGGAAGACCTCCTCGCCCTCGACGTGCAGGTCGCGATCCATGCCTTCGAGGCGACCCGCCCGAACCTCGTCCGCCCAGATCATCCGCAAAGCGGCGCACAGACTGCGCAAGCCGAGTGCGAAGCCGAGATCGGGCTGGTTCGGGTGCGTAGGCGGGAAGCGAGCGACGATCCGGCCGTCAGGCGCGATGTCGCCTGGTTCGAGGTCGAGGTCGAGGTCGGCGGCCTCTTCGGGCGGGATGAAGTCGTCGCCAGTAGTGCAATGCGCAAAGTCGATCAAGCGGATGGTGACGGCGCCTGGCACTTTGCGCTTCTTGCTGCGAGAGCGGCAGTGCGAGCGGTCTCCGTCCTTGCGGTGGCTGTGGTGGCCGTGCGAGTGCCGGTGAGACGGTGCGGCGAGAGGAGCGCGACTGTCCGAGTTGTCCTCCTCGTCTTCGTCGTTTCCACCGACCGACATCGACCGAGGGCGGCGCTTCATGGCGCCGTTTGCCGGGGCGAGCGTCTCGCACGATCCGCCGAACGGAGGCCAAGCGTTCGGCTCGTTTGGCAAGCTCGACGACATGGTTTTGAGCTGCGTCGACGTCGTGTGCGGCTCGGCCATCTGCGCGAGAACGCTCGCCTTGTACTCGGCCTGGACGTCGGGGTCGCCGTCGTAGATGAGGAGCAGCGATGCAGCGTAGAAGCGGAAGCGGTCGAGGGCGAAGACAATCGAGGCGAGGCGATAGAGCTGGCGGAGGATCTCGGGGATGTGGTAGGCGAGAACGGATTCGCCGTCGTGGAGGAACGAAGCGAGGACCCAGGGGAACTCTTCGATCTTGACTTTGCGGCCGAAGTACTTGTCCTGAAACGTGTACGAGTCCTCATCGACTTTGTAGACCTGCGGGGGAGGAAGAGCGTCAGTACAAGCGAAGCGTCTGGAGAGTAAATCCTGCCTTACTTGCATGCCACAGATCCGCACGCCAAGATCGTGACTCGTCGTCTTCGAGCACTTCTTGGTCTGACTCTTCTTCTTCTCCGGCGTCGCCAGGATACCGTACTGCCTCGTGCCCATCTTAAGATCGAGCACGCACGGCTTCTTGAGGCTGCCGGTCAAGTCCTCCATCAGGATGAACTGCTCCTGGCGAGACGGCGTCGCAGCTGGAGGAGGTGTCGGGCCGGCGACAGGCGAGCGAGCATCGGGAGTAGGAAATGCGGGAGCGAGCGAAGAAGGCGAGTGCGGCTGAACGCGCCCGAGTGGAGAGGCGATGGCGTCGAAAGAACGGCGGACAGGCGATGGCAGGACCGGGATTGCTCGTCCGTTCGAGGCGGCATTCTCGTCGACATCGTCCATCGCGAACATATCCTCCGCCAAAGTCGAAGGCCGGCGACCAAGCGGTGCGCCGAGCGGGATCGAGTCGGCTGAACCGCGACGCGGACTCGCCGGCTCTTCGTTCTCGGCGTCCGCGGTATTGCCGTGGTCGGGGTCCCCGTGCTCGTCCTCGTGAGAGACAGGCGTGTAGATCGCGCTGTGGGTCTCGCGCAGCGAAGGCCGAAGACTATGCCCGCCTGGACTCGTTCCTTCGCCTCGCTCCGTCGAGTTTCCTCGCTCGTCCGCGTCAGCCTGACCCGCCTCTTCCCTCAGAGCGGCGGGGGGGGGGGGTACGTCGCTCGTACTGTGCATGCTCCGCATCTTGCGCCGCTTGCCCTCCTTCCAGCCACGTCGCCCTTCGCGCAGCTTCGGCGAGCTGAAGACCTCGCGAAGAACCTGCTCGCACAGCTTCGTGTTGACCTTCGTCTGGCCGGTCCCGGCGATGCTTGGCGAGCCGCGATAGGAGGCGAATGAGCCGGGCGAAGGCGGATAGAGGGAGTCAGGCCGGTTTGGCGAGAAGCGGCGAGCGAAGGCGGAAGGCAAGGTCGAAAAATCGGACGAGACGACGCGGCCTCGAGACCTGCCGTCGACGTACGAGACGTCGGTAGGAGTCGAGTTGGGTGTCGGAGGGACAGGTGCGATCGAGGTGGCCGAAGGCGAAGCGGCGAGAGGCGGGAAGTGCGGGAGCTGTGCGAGCTGAGTCTGCTCCCCAACGCTGCCGGTGATCGAGTACGAAGAGGGCGCAAAGTCGGGCGACGAAAGCATGCCGCCGCCGGGCGAGTCATTCGCCATCGTCTCGGGGTCGGTCGAGCGTTCACCAGCCCTGCGGCGGCGTCGACCGTTCGACTTGCGCAATCCTTTGACGGCGTCCCAGACCATGCTGTCGGGGATGATGTGCCGGTTCCGCTCCAGCGTGACCTCCGGCACCTCCTCCTCGCGCTCGGCTTTCTGCCGGAAGACTCGCCGAGCGGGCGAGGAGACGCCTGTACCGGCCGGCGACGAGTGCCGCCGCGAAAGGCGAGCGCCGCCCTGCTCTTCGGATGCAAGCCGGCTGAGCTCGTCGACCGGGTTCGGCACGGCGGAGGGAGCACGCCGGTAGGTGACGTTGAGGACGCCGAGGTACTGCGGGACAAAGGCGAGCAGGCGAGGGCTGACTCGCTCGAGGGCTTCGTAAAACTGGTTCTCGCGCGAGGTGAGCGGCTGCAGTCGAGTCGAACACGGGTTAGCGGCGCCTTTCAGCAGGAGAGCGGGAGAGAGACGCACCTTGCAGACCGCCTTCTTCGAGAAGCGGAAGATATGGCTGTGCCCGCCGACCTGATGGCGAAACGGCTCGAGCGGGACAGTCGAGCTGGTCCTGCCGTCTCCGCCGACAAGCCGGCTCTTGAAGTCGCTCGCGCGGTTCTCGTCTCGGCGGATCGACACTTCGCCTCCTCCTCCTTGCGCCAGCTTGTCCTGCAACGCGCCCATGTCGACCTCGTACTCTTCCTCCTTCGCGCCCGAGCCCTCGCCGTCCTCTTCACCATCTGCCTGGCTCGCCTCGTCGCCCGAATACGACTCTTCACCCGAAGACTCGGTACCTGTGTCGCTCGTGCTACCAGTCCAGCTGTCGTACTCGGTCCGCTCGTCCTCGGTCGTCTCGGCGGTCGATGCAGGCGGGTATGCCTCGTGCATCTGGACGAGATCGGAGAATCCGACGCGACCGACAGTCGACGGCGAAGGGATCGCCAGAGCTGCCGAAGTCGAGTGCACCTCCTTCGAGCCGTCGTCCTTCGTCCGCGTGTGCCGCCGACCGAGCGGGGGAGAATGGCTGGGCGTGTTGCTCTTGCTCGCGTCAAAGGAGAGGCGGGGGGAGTACACAAGCTTGAGGCCGGACGAGGAGGGAGCAGAAGCTTCGCTCGGCGGCGACTGCTGCAGCGACAAAGTCGCCTCTCCCTCGTCTTCCTCCACCGCCTCCTCGTCAAACTGCAGCGCGGGCTCGTGCAGCCTAGACGATCCAGGACTGAGCACGCTTGACGGCAAGGGGAGTGCAGGCTCGCCCAGCCCGACGTGCCGCATGTTGTCGAAGGCGGTCAGTTCGGGTACAGGACTGCTCGTCCCGACGCTGCGCGGGCTGTAATGCGAATGCGGGCTGTAGTGCGAACGGGAGAGCGGGAGGGCGTGTTGTGCGGGGAGATGGGGGCTGACAGGTCGCGAGGTTGACAAGCCGGACGGAGAAGGGTGAGATGGAGTTGGCGCTGTCGGGATGGGGTGAGCGTGAGGAGACGAGGTCGCGGAGAGCGGGATCTGGTGCTGATGGAAAGACTTCGAAGGAGATGCCGGGAACGGGTGAGACGAGACGCTGGGTGAACGAGTGCCGAGGCGACTCGGCGGCCGTGAGGGGTTGCGAGATCGCGAGGGACAGGGTTGGCTAGTCGCAGGGTAGGGTAGCGGCGCAAAGATTGTCGCATCGGGCGAAGCGAGCGGAGAGGAGAACGTCACGAACCCCTCGCCGCTTGGCAGGGTGATCGTCTGCTCCCGCTCCTTGCCCTTCCCAGACGAGCTAGACGGGTGCCGCGACTTGGACGGCGACTCTCGGCTGCCGCTCCTCTTTGCTGCGTCGTCGCCTCCTCTCCCTCGTTCCGCCGCAGACCTCGCCGTCTCTTTGAACAGCTGCAGGCTGACACTCGCCTTCCTCCCGCCACCTCCAGCCGCCGATACAGCCGACATAGACGTTGAAGCACCTTGCAGATGAGGTCGGGCCATCGCTTCGAGGGTGCTGTCGCGAGTCGAATGCGAGGAGGCGGAAGGTCGGTCAAAGATGGAGCTGCCAGAGGACGACTGGCCGGGCGACGAGGCCGGCGAACCGCTTCGTGTGCGCGTTCGCATCGTCTTGCCGGAAGTCGCAGACGAGGAAAGGGGAACAGGCGTCGACAGGGTGAGGTCGGAGAGAGCGCGAGAAAGGGCGGCTGGAGAAGGAGTTTTGCTGGCAGACGGGACTGGCGGCGGGAGCATAGCTGGGGTGTGAGGGTCGTGGTTTGTCATGTTGGTCGTCTGTTAGCCTGTACGAGCGGTCGAATCGTCAGTAGCGATTCCTCGGGTACGATTCGGTTGCTCAGGTGAGCAGCGCCTCGTCCACGTCGAGCCGTGAGCGGGCATTGAAGCGGCGCCAGTCAGAGTCCGCTACTGTGCAAACACCGTGAAGGCAGTCCCACTGCGCCCAGTCCCCTGCCCGATACACCATCTCGCCGGCAACGCCCATCGGCAGGAGGCGGTTGTCGCCACGGAGCGCACTCTCCCCGTCTGGCGAGCTTCAGAGAGCGCCATTCGTCCACAGACGAGTGTTGAGAGATCGAACGCACGCTGTCCCTCCTCCGCGTGCGCTCGACCCGACTGTGATTCCTCCCCCCGTGCGATGAGGCAACTAGGGCTCGTTCCGGTCCCTCTCGCCTCTTTCGGCTGGCGGTACACGTTCTGGCACTGTCAGTCGAGGTCGTTGAACGCCAGGCAGCTTCAAGTGGAGCAAAGGAGCGAGTGAGCGGTGTGGTTGCGGGCGAAGCGGCGAGGGGTTGCTCTTGACCGCGACCCTCGCAGCGAGCTGGCGAGATCTGAGCAGCTGTAGGAGCCGTCAGAGCTGTACCCGTGTGAAATGACTGTCCTAGCGGCCGGTCCACAGCTTTGTACCGTCTCCTCGCTTGTTTTCCACTTTCATTATTCGCAATGCATCCTGTCGACAACGCGAGCGCCGCACGTTTCTGATCAGCACAACCTCACTGTCGCCGTGCTAACCGAGGCCGAAGGAACTAGCGCGCACAGGAGCTCGCGAGGAGGCGAGGAAGCAAGTCCGCACGTTCTCTCGCTCGTCGCTCGTCGTCTGCAATTCGGAGTTCGCGATGCGCCGAGATGCCTAGGAAGCGCGAGATAAGAGGCACATCGGGCCAGAGAGTAGGCAAGAGCGAGTGGTCCTGCCGACGGGCATGTCCTTCGCCTCTTCTCCTCCTCTCTGCGCCCTCAAACCGACGCAGCAGCTCGTCTGGACATTCCTGCGGAGCGTTGCAAGCTTCTAACGCTGACTGACTGCGTGCGCTGCTTCCCAAGCGTCCCCGCTCGCTGCGCGCCCTTTTCTTCGCTTCATCAGCCTCGACGACCAGCGACAGGTCTCCCCTCCGTGCGGGCGCTTCGAAGGACGCACGGTCTCGAGCAATCGCTCTGTGGGCAACCGTTACCTGGGTTGTGCCCTCTCCTACCTCGCCCTTTGACTGGCGCTTCCTCATCCTCGGGCTTCCTCTCGTCGCTCATCAAATCGTGCGGCTAGCATAGGCTTTCAAGCGGGCCCAACCTACGCCTTCGTGTCCGAGGACCTCTCACACACCGCTTTGCCCCCACTGGCAACATTGCAGCCCTCGGCCAGTCCTCCCTCACCTCCCTTCTTCCGGCATGTCCCTCATCGCACGCACCCCTGGCTAGGCGTGACCTCCGTGGCCATGATGGAGCCGCTTATCTCTCCACTCCTCCCGACTCCCCGCGTCGACGTCTACAAATTGCCCAGTCTCCTTCCCTTCGGCCTCACCTACAACGTCCTCATGTCCCACAGCGACCGTTTCCGCATCATCGACTTGATCACATACCGCCCAGGCCTCCCTCCGTGGACGATGCGGCTGGAGCTGGCGTACCATCAATTCGATCCCGCGGCTTGGGACATTCTCGAGGAAGACGACGAGGCGGACTTGGCTATTGGTTTTCAGCTACTCAAGGACGGACGATTGCCGGGGAAAGCTGAGAGTACTGCAGACATTGAGCCGTTCGAGCGGACGTTGACGGCGTGCTGGTCACGGATTGTGCAACGCTGGATGCGCTTGTACGGTACGCCAGCTCTCCTCTTTTCCTCCTCGTCGCCAGTCGCGCTCACGACACCTTGATCCCACAGCTCTGCACGCCTGTCGCAAGCAGTACTTCCGACAAGTCAAGGCAACACATCCTGACTGGACCGACCAGGACGTGCGCGCGAATCTTCCGTTGGGCACCAACTTCGCCCCTCCGCCCGCAGCCAGCAGGTCTCGTGCGTTCCCTTCTCACAATTGTCTTTCGTGAAGCATGTTGACGATTCTCTGCTGCGCACCACAGTGTGGCCGCTCCCAACTCCGCACCCCGACCCCAGCCGACGCCCACACCTCGTCGACCTCTGCGCGCCCAACTTCGACTGGTCGCCTTACTGCCTGTGGGACGAGCCGACGACCGAGTCAGACTCTCGCAGGCAGCGGATGAACGAGGTCGCGCGAGCGCAGCGAGCGAAACTCGACGTTCTGGTCCGGCCTGGAACGGCTGTACAGGCGGAGTCGGCTAAAGGCGGAGCGACAGTTGTCACGGAGGCGTCGAGTGGCCGATGTTCGGAGCGTGAAGCGGCCTCGCGTCGCGTTCAGAAGTCCGCACCGTCATTCGTGTCCTCGTCGAGACTCGAGGAGCGCACGGATTAAGGCTTGTCGATGTTGGAGCGGGGAGGGCGGTGGGATTGCGCGAGCGGCGAAGGGGCAGCCATAGTTCGTCCCGTTCAAGCTAGGAGAATGCAGTCAAAGGCAGTCCAGCAGCACAGGCTCAGCGAGGCGAGCGACTTGGATTCGAAGCGACAAAGGGCGGAGTCAAGGAGCGGGCAAGCTTGGGAGAGGCCACACTCGCCCTCACGTTCGCTGTGGGGTCTTGCTAGTCCTTCGACGCCTCTTGGAGACTGTCATCCAGCCAGTCCAGCTTGCGCAGCGAATGGAGGCGTTGTCATCGCGCTACGCTCCTCACTCCACCTCGACGCGATTTTGACGACGACTTGCTCGCTCACACGCCCTTCAGGGTTCGCCGGCCCCGGCAGAGCAGATCATATGGATGGACGGTGTAGGAGCCGTTGTTCAAGCTTGACTGCGAGAGCGAGACTGCGCGGAGGGAAGTTGTTGAGATGCGGCGGAGGGGAGTGGTGGGTCGGCCGCTGGCGGAGGGGAAAAGGGACGAGGCGCGAGAGCGAGATTGCGAGGATGCTGCTGCTTGGGCTGACATGGTTGCGCGGGTTCAAGGGGTTGCTGGCGCGAGTTGCTCGCCGCGGACCAACGCGAGAGATGAGGATGCGAGGGGAGGCGTCAAGCGGCGGGCGGGAGTGAGAGGTCGTTCGTGGGGACTGTGTGAGATTCAGGCGAGCTAGCGAGCGTGTCTGTGAGCCAGGCGAAGCGGCTGAGCGAGAGTTGCGGGAGGTGGACGAGCGAGAGGGTTGATTGATGAGCGAAGAGGACGGCGACCTCGCTCTGGCTGTGTCTCCGTGCGTGTGACTGATTAGCACAGCTCTACTAGAGCACTCCAGCGCGGAACAGCCCGTCAGGACGAGTTGAGCCGTCGTCGTCGCGGTCGAAGTCGCGCGTCCGCCTCTTTCCCTCCTCACTCGCTAAAGTTCGGTCACGCTCTTCGCGAGTGCCGACTGCTGCCGCTCCCCTTCGCTACTTCGTCGACCGTTGTCCTTCCACCTCTGCTGAGTTACCGCCTCGCATCTCACCCTCTCTCTATACTGCGATCACGTCGCCTTTCCTCCGCTGGACAGCCTCTACAGCGCTTCTGCTTCCACTCTCGGCCATCAACGCACACCGTTCGCTGCTTGCAAGCCGCCCGCCCGCATATCTCACGCTCTCTTCGCCATCCCTTGCCGTCCTCTTCAACTCCCAGTTCTCACTTGTACGGCCCTTGCGCGAATCCGACAAAGCGCAGCACAACCAGAGGACTGTTCGCCTGCGTCACGCCGTGTGCGCAATCGCACTCTTCGCTTGCGTCACGCTGTGTGCGCAATCGCCTTCACGCTCCCTTGCCCTCACCCGCCGACGCGACCTCCTTCTTCGCGACAAGCAGACGAGCTCGAGGCGCAAACAGCGGATCGCAGATGCCGGCTCAGTCCAGTACTGCTGCGCTCTTGCGGTTGGAGCTCCTGCGCCTTCTCCTTCTCGCCACTATCCGTCCTACACTACCTTGCAATTTCGCCGCTTTTTCAACGCTGGAAGGTGTTCGTACAACACGCGCAAGCGGCCCAGCTACCACACAGACGCACGGAACGCGATCGGGATTGACTACCAAACCGAAGAGATAGCCTCACTTTCGACGAAAAGTGAGGTCTTCTCGCTGACGATCTCTTGCGCTTCCTCAAGGACGTGACGCTCACGGCAGCACTTCTTTGTCAACACTCTGTACCTGCAGAAGCTGCGTCGACGGTCTGGGATGTGTGCGGCTGCTGTTCCTTCTCTCGAAGTTATAGCTTTCGGCAACTTCCCGTCCAGCTTCGCAGCTTCAGCTCACTTCTCCGCACCTGACGCTTCCCTTTGGGCTGCGCGTACTCTCTCACGCAGAGACGTCGACTACTGCCAGCTCGATGTCGCTGGTGCCGAAGCTCACCCGCTGACCTTCGCACAATCCGCTTGCTCCGCCATTCCCTTCCCGCGAGCTCGCTCTTTTCTACGCACTCTTGCTCTACACTTTCGCTTCCGTGCATCGGTGAATGTCACGGGCCAGAAATCGCTCCGACAGACGCTTTCGCTTCAGATCTTCGCGACTGCGTCTCAACTCGCTCCTCCATTCCTCTCGCTCCTCACGAATGCTAAGCTCCGCGATCACAAAGCTCAGTGCGCGAGTAGCGAGAATGGCGACATGATGATGACGGCGCTTCATTGCAAAGGAACTCTACGAAACACAGCCGGAGAAGAAAGAGCGAGAACGCACCTGCGAGCGGAGTCCAGCCGCTGTACAAGTCGCCGACGCAGAGGCGAACCTCCGCGTCGTTGAGGGGAGGAACAGGAAGTAGAGGGACGTCAGCATCGTTCGAGTGAAGGAGAGGAGGGAAAGGTGAACGCACGGAGGTCCGATGACCTGCCCGCGCTCACCTTCAGCGGCGGACAGGCCATCCGTCCCCGGGACCCCCCCTCGAGTGCTCCTAAAAACGTCGGAGCACCCGAGGCTCCATCATCGACCTCACCACACCATCCTCCACCAATCTGCCACTTCCGTTGCCCAATCTCTCCACCTCGACCTCCTCGTTTCGATGGCATCATCCATGGCCAGCGCCAGCATGTACATCATTGATCCCCACCTGCCGAGCATGTCCGTCCAAGTGTTGTAGTATCGCTGGAGGAAGAGGTGCCGAGCGAAGAAACTGTTGCAGAGCGCGCGGGAGCGGTTGATGATGAGCACGCCCCTCGGCGTCACGCCAGCCTGCCAGAGCTGAAGGCCGACGAGGAGGAAGGCGACGAGGTAGCCGAAGGCGAGCGGTGCGCCGGCGACTGCGAGGAGTCGGGAAGGTCAGGGTCAGCTATCGAGCGTTCATGTGAAAAAGGGAGACGCACGTGTGAGGACAACACCAATCACAGAACCCACAGCCGTCAAAAGGGGTATGAAGAAGTCCGGCGACCCAGCGAGCTCTGCGTGCGACGGTCGAGCTCCGTCAGCCGGAGCGGAAAGGTCGGAAGAGGAGCCACAACGCACCGTCGACGACGTTGCTGGCGAAGTGGCTGAGGACGAGGATCGTCGCAACGAGGATGTGAGGAGGCGGACGGAAGGACCGGGCGGAGTCGCACGTTGGCCTATGCCAGTCGGTATGACAGCAGGAGGTTGGGCGTGAACGGGAACAGCGGCAGCCATCGTCGCCTTTGAGGTAGCGGGAGAGAGAGAAGAGAAGGGAGATGATGGCAAAGCATGTCTGGCCGGTTGGTGGGTGGTACAGCAGCTCGCGCAGTCGCAGCAAGGCGGAGCAGGTGGGACGGGGAACTCTGCGCGGATAGACCTCGCGAAGCGCTGACGGAAGAGCTTGGCGCGATATTGTAGCTGCGATAGCAAGCAAGGCTGAAAAAGACGGCAGGAGGCGCTGTACCAGGACCGCACGCGAACGAGTCGGGGAAGGGAGCGGCGGAGAGGGAGGGGCAGGAGGACGAACGGCCGTCGGAGCTCGGGCACATGTTGCTGAGTACGCTGCCCAGTAGCAGCTACGCACTATGTTTGTTCTGGTCCGTCCGCCTTCCGAGCCAGATGCGGTGTCGGGAGGAGAGCAGTCCCCCGACGACAGGTCGCCTCCGTCCACTTCGGCGCCCTGCACTACGGGAACGCCTGAGGCGCGGTCAACGGCTGCTAGAGCGCTCTGAGCCGCCTTCCATCGTTCAGTATTCCTCCCGGCGCCGTCGCAAGTCGCACCTTTGAGCAGCCCTTCCTCATCAAGACGAGCGGCGAGCGGCCCTCACAGGCGTTTGAGGCGCGCTGAGGGGAGGTTGCCGCTCGAGAATCACCCGAAAAGCGCTCTAGCTTCGCCGGTAGCGGCAGCAGGACGCTGTGGTTCCCCTTTCTACGTCGTCGTCCTCTCCCCTCTTCGGCCACTGCCTCATCGACCCGCTGCGCAGGCTTGACTGCCATGGCCATGGCCATGATGGACCCGCTTATTTCTCCTCTTCTCCCGACACCCCGCGTCGACGTCTACAAGATGCCCAGTCTCCTCCCTTGGGGCCTTCTTTTCAACGTCCTCCTCCCGCATAACGACCGCTTCCGCCTCGACGAGGTCATCCCTCAACGCCCGGGTCTCCCTACGTGGACGATGCGGCTCGAGCTGGCTTATCATCAGTTCGATCCCGCGGCGTGGGACATTCTCGAGGAAGACGACGAGGCGGACTTGGCTATTGGTTTTCAGCTACTCAAGGACGGACGATTGCCGGGGAAAGCTGAGAGGACCGAGGACATTGAACCGGTCGAGCGGACTCAGATGGCGTGCTGGTCGCGGATTGTGCAGCGTTGGCAGCGCTTGTACGGTGCGCCGCCTCTCCTCTTTTCCTCCTCGTCGCCAATCGCACTCACGACACCTCGATCCACAGCTCTGCACGCCTGTCGCAAGCAGTACTTCCGACAAGTCAAGGCGACACATCCTGACTGGACCGACCAGGACGTGCGCGCGAATCTTCCGTTGGGCGCCAACTTCGCCCCTCCGCCCGCAGCCAGCAGGTCTCGTGCGTTCCCTTCTCACAATCTTCTCTCGTGAGGCATGTTGACGAGTCCCTGCTGCGCACCACAGTCTGGCCGCTCCCAATTCCGCACCCCGACCCCGGTCGACGCCCTCATCTCATCGACCTCTGCGCGTCCTACTTCAATTCGTCGCGCTATCGCCTTCGGGACGAGTGGACGACCGAGGCGGAATCTCGCGGGCGGCTGATGGACGAGGTCGGGCGGGCGCGCCGAGCGAAACTCGATGCCCGTGTCCGGCTTGGCAGGACTGAAGAGGCGGAGTCGGCGCCAGGCGGAGCAGTTGAGAAGGAGACGTCGGATAGCCGACTTGCGCAGGGTGGAGCGGTCTCTCGCGGTCAGAAATCGGCACCGATGATCACGTCGTCGTTTGGGCGCAAGGAGCATGTGGATTGAGGCGACGTCGTCTGCGATGGGAACGCATCATCGTTGGATCGACCGTTGTTGTTTGTCACGCTACGTACTTGCAACCTGTATCTTGTGACGTTCGACTCGACGGGCAACTACGCCGCTCGCTTTTCCTCCCTCTCTCGCCGCAACTGGGTCCTTCGCGATCGTCTCTCCCGCCTGCGCGCCCCTTCGCGGGTTCACAAGGTGATTACAATCACAGCAAGCGTAGGGGAGAAGGAAGGAATCGGCGGCCAAACGGCCAAGGGTTAGGTGAAGGAGCGGAAAGCGGAACTCGCGTCTATCTCGCCTACTCGTCGTCGACCTGATACTCGACACCGCGACGCACCGCGCCCCAGCCGATCAAGCGCCAATGCTGTAGAGCGAGAGCGTAGTCAGTCTCCGCTTCAATAGCTGCAGAGCCGCCCGAGCTGAGCTTAGCAGGGATAGGACGAGAACGCACCTTCTCGATACGACGACTCAGCGCAACCTTCTCGCCCATCGAGCATGCCGCAGGGGTGTTGAGGATGACGCGCGCCAACTGCCGAGAGGAAAAGCGTCAGTCGGCCGACCAAGCATGCGGAAAGCGAGCGGGGACTCACGTCGGCCTTCACGGACACAACACGACCACCCTCCGACGTCTGCGCGCGTTCGAAGCGTCAGCAAAGCTCTTCAAGCGAGACTGAGAGACGCCAACTCACCGAACCAATGTTGACCATCAAGATCTCGTTCTTCGCAAGCTTGGCAACCTTGGTCTGCTTCTTGTCGTCCGACTTGACACCGAGCAAGCGACGGAGCAAGAAGTACGAGATCTCGATCTCGGTGTAGATGGAGGGAAGGGAGCCCTTGGAACCGAGGACTTGGCCGACGAGACGGTCACCACGAGTGAGTTGCGGGTCGATGACTGCGGGCAAGCAAGCGTCAGCGAGCGCAAGAACGAGAGAGCTGACCAGCCACGCACGAGTACCGACACCGATAAGACCACCGGGAACAGCGAACTTGAGCTCATTCTTCTCGGCGAGGAGCGAGACGATCTTGCTGCGGATAGGCTTGCAGTGGATCTTGCCCTCGGCGTCCTTCGAGACGACACCCGGTCGAACCTCGATCTCCTGGCCCAACTGCGCGCGAGGGAGGAGGGTTAGGCCGGACAAGCGCGAGGGGAAGAACAAGCGCACCTTGAGGACACCGTTAAGGAGCGAACCACCCGCGACACCACCCTTGAGCTCGTGGACCTCGGCACCGGGCTTGTTGACGTCGAAGGAACGGATCACGATGAGCTTCGGTGCGGTGGTGAAGTCGCGAACGGGAACAGGGATCTTTGTCGCAATGTACTCGACAAGCGCGTCGATGTTGTACCGCAGCTGAGCCGAGATGGGGATGATGGGTGCGCCGTCTGCGACGGTTCCCTTGACGAATTGGGTGATCTGCTGGTAGTGCTCGTCTGCTTGCTGTTCGCGGATGAGGTCGACCTTGTTCTGGAGGACGAGGATGTGCTTGAGCTTCATGATCTCGATGGCGGCCAAGTGTTCGGACGTTTGAGGCTGAGGGCAAGTCTCGTTCGCGGCGATGAGGAGTAGGGCGGCGTCCATGACGGCGGCACCGTTCAGCATGGTAGCCATGAGAATGTCGTGTCCGGGGCAATCGACGAACGAGACGTGTCTGCGTCGCAACAGAATCAGCCTCGAGATTCGACAGCGGGATTGGCTCGCGAACGCACCGCAGGAGCTTCATCTTTCCACCGCACCCGGGAACCTCGCAAGGCGGCTCATCCTCCTTGTCCGAGCTGTACGACCGGTACGAGCCTGGTCGCTCGCACTTGGGGTTCTGGCACTGGTAGATCTGCGTTCAGATGAGCGTCAGCGCGGAGTTCTCGCCCGTTTTGCGCGGGATGAGAGGTAACGAATCGGCGAAACGCACCTTTGCGTTGGCGTAACCGAGCTTGATCGTGATGTTTCGCTCAAGCTCGTTCTTGAATCGGACAGTGTGGACACCCGAGATGGCCTTGACCGTTTGGGACTGTTGACGGAAGGAGGAGAGAGGACCTGAATCAGCGAATGTCGTCGTAATGAAGCGGCAGGGGACGCACCTTTCCGTGCGCGACGTGACCGATGGTACCTGCGTGAGGAGATGAGGGCGAAATGGGCGAGGATGCGAATGGGACAGGCGAGGAGAAAGAGCAGAAGTCAGCGAGCGCTCTTCCTCCCAGTATCGCAGCTGTTCAGGCTGGCCGATCAAAAACGTCCAGCGCTGATTTCTCCGTCACAGATGAAGCTGAAGGGCAGCCTCTGCTGCTTTCCGCCCGTTCAGCAAGGCTGCTTCTCCCAACGGTCCTTCGAGCCGACGTCGCAAGGATCCCCGTTCAACGCGCCACGAGCGCCCGGGCGGCCTCATGGCAAGAGCAACGAGACGCCTGAGTGTCTTCCGTCCGTCAACCATTCTTCGCAACCGCATGGTGGCTGTGGAGGTCGCACACACGACCCGCTGTAACTCGCCAACTCCAGCTCGCCGCCGCCCAAAAAGTCACGCAGCCATCCGAGAGACCTCAATGCCCGCAACGAGAGACCGGCTGGACGTACCGATGTTGATGGTGGCCTGCTTCGAGATGACCTCTGGCGAGAGAGCATGCAGGTTCTCGAGGTCGACGTCGACCTCCTCGATGAGGGCGAGCTCTGCGAGCTTGCTGGCGACGGTCTGAACGGCGTTGTTGCTGACCTGGCTCGTTCCCTGGGCGGGCGAGTCGTCCTCCGAGTCGCTGTCGATGTCGGAGCGGGGAGGGCGGTGGGATTGCGCGAGCGGCGAAGGGGCGGCCATAGTTCGTCTCGTTCAAGCTAGGAGAATGCAGTCAAAGGCAGTCCAGCAGCACAGGCTCAGCGAGGCGAGCGACTTGCTTCGAGGCGACAAAGGGCGGAGTCAAGGAGCGGGCAAGCTTGGGAGAGGACACACTCGCCCTCACGCTCGCTGTGCGGGTCTGAGTGGTTCTTACACGTTCTCAGAACGCTGCTAGCCAGCCAGTCCAACCCCCGCGGCGCACGGAGGCGTTGTCATCGCGCTACGCTCCTCACTCCACCTCGACGCGACTTTGACGACGACTTGCTCGCTCGCACGCCCCTCAGGGGTTCGCCAGCCCCGGCAGAACAGATCATATGGCAGTCACAGACTACAAGGAACTGCTTTCGAGCGGTCAGGAGGTCAGGATGCGGAGAACGGTCTCGGTGAGCGGGAGGGAGGACGAGGGCGGCTACTCGGCAGCTGGCGGGCTGGAGATGGGTTTTAGTGCTTGCAGTAGTAGCATTGAACCTCACTGATCCAGCACTGGTCTCAGCACGGCGGTGCGGTGCACTTACAGTCGATATTCGCTCACTCGCTCGTCGCAGGTCCTCCAGGCGCTCCCTCTCCGCTCGTGTGGCTCTGTTGCTCCGTGTACCGGACGCTGACACCTTCTTCTATCCATCAGACTCCCCGGGCGGCTCCTCCGGCGGCGTGCAAGGCGCATCACGCTCGTTGAACTTCCTGCTTTTCTCTTTCTCCTCTTCGTCTCGCTTTACCTTGACCAGGACCCGCGTTCACCCGCTTGGACAGCTGCTTGCTACCTTCCCACGCTCGCTCAACCACTCGCAAGGCCCGCCGAGTCTTCCCACACCGCTGCCCCTCCCGCTCACTCGCGCAACATCCCCTTCCTCTGCCGCTCTTTCGAAACAGAGCGACACGATGGGAGCCGCACTCAGTCTTTCCGGTCAGTTGAGGAGTCTTTCCGACAAGCTGGAGAACGAGTTGGACGACCGTGCGTCGCGCAAGCCTTCCCCTCCTCCTCCCAGCAGACGACGCCCCTTGCTGATCTGCGTGCCTTCCTCGCAGTCTCACTCCCGCTTCGCGAAACCGTAGAGGAGCATATTGACACCCTCCGACACATCGGCGGCCTCGTCTCGCAGCAGGAGGAGGAGCTCGACTCGCACGAGGAGGAGAACGACAACTTGCGCCGCTGGCTCGCAGCCGCCAACGCGCACATCGGGATGCTCGAGGACAAGTCGGCAGCAGAGCGCCACAGGTCGGCGCAGGAGATTGGACACTTGCGACGAAGGCTCGCGGCTGCCGAGGCCCGTATCGAGGCGGACAAGGAGCAGGCGGACGCGAAGGATCGCGAGCTTGCTTCGCTTCGGGAGGAAGTCGCGCGGTTGCAGCGACAGGCGCCAGCGCAGCCCGCTCTCGACGCTCGTGCGTTCACGAGTACTCGCTTTCTTGGCCGGCCGACACTGACGGTTCCCTTCTCCCGCGCAGGGCTTGCGAACACCCATTTCGAGACCGGACGAACCGCGACGGAGCAGAACCACGGTCCGAGCCACGTCAACCGCCAGCTGGTCGACGTCCCAGAATCGGTGCTCGGAACGCCGGCACACTCTTCGGGCTGGAGTTACTCGATGGACCTGCCTGTGCGTCTTCCTTCCTCTCGGATCGCTCGACGGTGCTTGACCTTCGCGCTCCTCCCAGTCTTGCAGCAACGTCCGTCTCTCCGCATACCCGGTGAGCTCCGTCGCGTCCTCGCCTTCAAGGCCAAGCGCTGACGAACTCTTCTCTCTGACAGCCGTCCATCCCGCCTCAACCGGCCACAACTACCGACGGCTTCCCGCCTATCCGCTGGGCACGCATGACTTTCCCTCAGCCACCCCCTCCGTCCTTGCCCTTCTCCCAGTTGTCGTCGCACGGTCTCTACGGTTCGCGGACCTCGAGGTGGTGAGGTTCGAGACGTGCCATTCTGAAGGGTAGCGTCATTCGGTTGCTTTATCTCGGCTCTGTAGATTTGCTATACCCACTCTCCGCCCGACTTCGCACACGCACTCGTTTTGCTCCCCCTTTCCCTCCTCCCTCTTCCGCTCGCTCAGATTTGCTCGACACCTTGTTATACGCAACAAAATTTACTCGCGCGAGTTTCAGGCCAGCAAAGCAAAGCAAAGCTGCCGCCGCCTCTCTTCGCGTCCCATAACGCGCTCTGATGCGCGAGCTGCGGGAAGCGACAGCGATCGCACGTCAAGGCAGTGATCTTGATACTTCCTGTATTCCAACAGATCGTTCGGCAGATCGACGGTCGACAGAGCAAGCGAGTACGCCGACGGCGAGGGTCGCTCGTTCGACTGGATCGGCGTCAGGCCATGCCTCGTCTCCTACCGCGACGAAGGAGAAGGTGCAGCAAATAGGCTACTGTTTGAACACGATCGTCAGCTCACCGAAGGCAGGTGAAAGAAAGAACCGCTCCAACGTACCTGCTTTACCTGTTCCGCCGCGTCCGTCCCGCCGGCTCGTTCCCGCTTGCCTCCTGCGTCATCTCGTCCCAGGCCTTCTTCGCTCGTCCCATAGCCAAGTTCCACGCCAACCCACCGAGCCCATCACCACCCGAACTCGACGAGCCCGACCCGCCCATCGCCTTCTTCGCCGAGCGCTTCACCTTTTCCTGCGTCGAACCCGCAGGAGGGTTGATGAACTCGAGGACGGACTTCATCGCGTTGCCGACAAAGTCCTCGGCAGCGGCGTCGCGGTTGTCGCCCCATCGTCCGCTTCCTGCCGGCGCAGCGTTCCTCGACGACGACCGCCGACGCCTGTCCCGCGTCTTCGAGCTGGCGGGTGCGCCAAAGTAGTAGCCTGCGCCCTTCTGGCCGAGGCTGAAGAGTCCCCTCCCGAATTGTCCTGCGTACGACGCCGCGTCCCTCACGCCTCCACTTACTCCCTTCTCACTTCCTGCATTGTTGACGCCCATCCACACCGCTCCCAAGACAGCGGCGATCGAGCCCCATTTGACGAGCGAGATGGCGGTCCGGACGGCGAAGCGGGCGGTTGAGACGAAGGAGAGGAAGGCGGTGTACGCTGCGAGGGCGGAGAGGGCGAGCGGGAGAAGCTGCGAGGGGTTGTGGTACACGGACTGGATGTCCAGCGAGGCGAGCGTGTACAAAGGGTTCGCCAGCGAGTTCGGGAGGTAAGGAGTGATGAGGTCGAGGAGCGGGAGGAGTGGGGATTCGACGGGCATCGCGGGGGTCGTTGTGCAGTCTGTCCTGTTGTCTAAAGCTGCTCGAGAGTTGTGGCAAGCCAGGCGAAGCGCAAGGCGAGTGAAGAGGCAGAGGTCAAGGGATGACATCGTCTCGCAACTTCGCCTCAATCAGAATGTGTAGACGTGGAAGAGTGGCTGCAGAACTGCTTCAGATTGCGTGCATACAGGTCGAGAACGGCGAGCGAGAGTCTACGAGGCGAGCGAGGGTCTACCGCGCGTTGAACGTCCTGCTCCAGAGGAACGCCTCCGACAGCAACAGCTCCGTATCCTTGTCGGACCAGTCCTGCGTCGGGAGAGACTGGAGGAAAATGATGATAGACTGCGTGTCAGAGGCAGCCGACGCGGAGCCCGAGTCAGCGAACCGCAACAGCCTCGACAGAGCGATCTCGCAAAAGCGGCTCAACGCACCTGGAAGTCCATCTCGCGCAGCTTGTCGCTCCACCGCACGAGGAAGGCGAGACAGACGTAGAGGTGAAACTCGGAGAAGGCGTCGCCGCCTTCGGCCTGTGCGAGAAGCGGGACGAGCAGTCGTAAGCTCAGGCTCCCCAACGAAGAACGTGATAAACCGCCTCTCGCCCCGAGAGGCGGTTTCCAGGACGCTTCGTGAAGCAGCGAGCTCAGGAAAGAAGGACGCACGAGGTAGGTATCCCACATGCGGACGATGTTCCAGACGCTCAGCTCGCGCATGAGAAGGCAGTTCATCCACCGGAACGCGAACTGGATGAACTCGACGCCTTGTTCCTTGAGATGCGCCGCGAGAGGAGCTATGGGGAAGCAAAGAGAGTCAGCCGGGATGTCTCGTGAGAGCGTCGGACTTTCGGAGAGAGGCGCGAGAGATCGAGTGCTGTCGCCCGCTCATCAAGCACGACACAACCAACAACACTCACCATCTACCCTCGCGCACAAGCTCTCCATCTTCTTGACCAACCTCTGGATGCCCGGCTGCGCAAAGATATAATTGTCCTGGATCCCGTCGAGCAGCTTCGAGAGGCACCAGAACGAGTCGGCTTCGAGCGCTTCGAGGACTGCGGGAGGGAGGACCGAGACGTCGAACGTTTCAGGGTCGCCGTCTGCGAAGAACGAGCGTTAGCGGACTGTGTCCCTTCTGTGACCAGTACAGAGTCCGCAGCATGCGGGTCACCAGCACGAGAGAGAGAATCGCCGACGCACCGATGTAGGCCGCCAGAAAGACCTGAAAGAACGGCGTGACAAGATCGTTGATCCCCTGTACATACCCGCTCGCCGGATGCCTTATCGCCCAAACATACAAGATCCGCTCCAAGCTCCGCTGCGTCGCCTCAGCCTGCCACAAAAGGACGCCAGGTCGTGTTCGGGGGACGTCGATGCTGATTTGGTGCCAGATGGGACCGTCGAGGCCTTTGACGCCGCGGGAGAAGGCTTGTTTGACGAGTGAGGCGTATTCGGAGCGTTTGCGGGCGAGGGTCGTGGCTCGTCGAGAGAGAGGAGCTGGGAGGTAACCCTGCGAATCATAATCTCGAAGCACCATCAGCGCGTCGCCCTGGAGAGAGGCAGCGCGGCGAGAGTAGCGGCGAGTCGCAACTCACCAGCAACAGCTGCCACACCATCGTCCGCAGATCCGCTGGCACGCCGCTCCACGCCAACTTCCTCAGCTCCGTCAAGTCGACGTTATCCTCTCCGAGCACGTCGAGAAACTTCCTCTTTCTCCGGTTCTCCCGCCCCCGCTCGCCCTCTTCTTCCGGATTCGGTGGTGCAGCGTCGAATTCGACGATCGAAGGATCCTGAGACGATACTGCCGGAGCGTTGAGCTGGACGTAGCCGGCTGCGAGGTCGTCTTCAGCGTCTGAGTCGGCACCAGGGGCGGCTTGTCGCGACTGAGGGGTCGCGTTGGGATCGGGAGAAGGAGCGTCGGGTACGGAAGAGACCGAGGCGCGGTGTGCGTTCGTTTGCGTGGGTGGTGGAGCGGGCTGCCAGGCGACTCGGAGGCGAGCGAGGACGTGAGCTGGATCTGGGAGGCGAGAACGTGTGAGCGTGAGGTGAGGTGAGGTGACGAAGCGGATCCAGATGCACCGTGTACGAGCTCGTCAACGTCTGCTCGAACCGCCTGCTTCCACCGCTCCTTCTGGTAACCCTCTCCCTTCTCCCGCACCTCCTCGCCCTCTTCCTTCCGCTCGCGTTCCTGTCCCTCCATCTCTTCCGGCTCCTGCACAATCTCCCCCTCCTCTAGACTCTTCCTTCGCTCCTCCTCCCGCACCTGCTTGTCCGCTTCCTCCTGCACTTTGCTCGCGCCCGCAAGATAGCTCGCTCCTCGTTTCGGCGGTGAAGGCTGTGAAGGCGGGACGGAAAGAGTGGAAGGTGATGACCGACTGCCGCCTGTGAGAGCTGCTGCGACGGCTTCTGCGCCGAGAGAGGGTGAAGGAGCGCTGAAGAGGGAGGAAGCGGTCGAAGATTGTCGAGGGAGGGGAGGGGGAGACCGCATCGAGAACGGGTTGAAGGACCACGCTGACCCTGCGCTTCGAGGTGGCGACGAGGCTGAGGGAAGGCCTGCAGAGCCTGCTGGAGGCGAAGCGGGTGTCGCCCCACTTGGCGAGACGGGTCCTCGTCCTCGAGACGCTGGAATCAAGAGCGAAATCGACCCCATCTTGCCTGCAAGCTGCGCGACGCTCTCCTCGTCGTCGCTGCCCTCGTCCCACGGCTCGTCGTCATTCCCCAGCTCATCCAGCTCCCGGACATTCGACCGGACCCGCTCCTTCTTCAAAGTCCCACGTTTGCTGCCGAGCGATGTGGAAGATGTCGATGCCTGCGACTGGTACGATCCAGCTAGGTTCGAAGACGATCTACGGTGGTGGTTCGCGAGGAAGTCGTCGTGGCCGGTTGACGATGATGAGGAGGTGTGAGCGGGTCCTGTCGCGGCTGAGGGATTCGCTCGCGACCACAGTGGCATACTGAAAAGCCTAGCACTACGTCCAGCGGGCCAGACAGCCCAAAGAAGCGTCCAGCGCGAGTCGTCGGATGTCAAGCTGGTGGGGACGAGGAGGAGGTGAACCTCGACGACCTCAAGCACGGTCGGAATGTAGAGTCTGCTCAGTGTGACGCCCTCGTAGAATTACTGGAAGCATCCGCATCCCATACTGCGAGGACGAGGGGTCGTTGTGGTCGTTCCTTCGTCTCTTTCCCTTCGACCACTACCTCGCCACTGCTTGCAGCGTTGAAGGGTTCTCGGTGCTCTCGTACGGACTGCTCGAAGCGACTCTCGACCCTCGCGAACTCCCAGCGTGCCCTCGCGTCTTCACCTCCTCGCGGACTGAACTGTCGTCGACGACTTCATACCAGGCGCCTGTCCAGCACGACGCCTGCCCTATTGATCTCTCAGGACACCTTCTAAAGCGACTTCGAGGCCGCGCGACTCAGCAAGATCCGGCGTGCCGGCGCAGTCCCCTTCTTCTCTTCGTCGACTTCCACTTCTTCCTCATCCCGCCTGCGTTCGGATCCGCCTGACTTCCGCCAAATCTCGCCCGTCTCATACCCCGACACCTCGCGATGGCCGCTGCTGCTGGATCAGGCATGCCGTCACAGCACCGACTCGTCAACTTCTTCCTCGACGGATACTCTCGCTACACTTTCATCCTCGATCTCGAGCTGGATCTGTCGGATCCGGCACTGTCCAAGATCTTCCCGCTCACAGGAGTTCCGCTAGCGGGCTCGTGGGCGTGCGGATGCCGGCGGTCGGGCGAGGATGTGCACGTATCCATCTCGTGGGGCGAGTTGTCGATGGGCAGCTTCGGCCAACGCGTGTCGTGCAGACTCCAGCTCTACTGGCTCGACGAGTCAGCAGTCCCGCAGTTGCTCGGCACTTATCACACCGAGTATGGTCCCGAGCCGAAACCTGACCCAGGAAGTCCGACGCGAGCTAGCTGCGGTCAAGGTATGGCGCTCTCGCCGCTGGTCTTCCGTTCGGCGATGTGAGCATCTGGCGGGAAGTACGATGTCAAGACGCATCGCTCGTACCACTTCGTCTTCAACCTCGAGTCTCTCGGTTCGGAACACCTTGCCGCGCCCTACAACAGGTTCAAGCAGGAGCCAGGTCAGTGTTCCTTCCTCTCGACTGCAGAGATTCTCGCTGACATCATCTCTCGCAGTGCCCGCACTTTCGCCCACGCCTTACGACGTTCGTTTGGTCTTCCCAGCTTACGGCGCCGAGATGTGGATCGAGTCAGGCTTCCTGAGTCAGGCCTCGAGTTACTTCAAGACTCTCCTCTCGTCCGACTTCGCGGAGACCGCTGCAGTCACTACCAAGTACTCGGAGATGCGCCTCACTCCCTCGACGTCGTCCGTCTCGCAGGACCGCCTCGCCTTGACTGCTTCGGGTACCAAACGCTTCATCCGTAAGACGGGCGCCCTCATCTCGCACAGCTCAATGTCACGTGCGAAGGAGCATGCGACGATCAGCGATCTCCGCACGGCAGCGTCCGAAGCCGACTTCGACTACTTCGACGACTCGGACGACGAGACCGACGAGCTGTACTTCGCTCACTATCCACCTCAACAGCACCGTCTCGACGTGCTGCAGCTCGCCTACAAGGAGATCAAGGTGACCAAGACTGCGTTCACGACCTATCGAGCCGTCCTCGCCTGCCTGCGAACGGGCTACATCACCTTTGCGTCGCTCTGGTCCACCTTCTTCTACAGTACGAGCGAACAGGCACAGTCGAGAAGGTCGTACATCGAAGCGACCGTTGGGCGCGCGCCGCCCACTCACCCGTATCCCGTCTCGCCCAAGTCCGCCTTCCGCCTCGCGCACCTCCTCGAGCTCGAGCCGCTCCAGCACCTCTGCCTTGCAAACCTCAAGGCGCAGCTCACTATCAAGTGCGCGCCCTACGAGCTTTTTTCCGAGGTGTCCGTCTGCTACGACACTTGGCGCAAGGTCGTCCTCGATTTCGTCGTCGACAACTGGGATGCGGTCACAGGTTCCGCTGAATGGGACAAGATCAGAGGCGAGCTTGAGCGCGACGAGATCGAGGGAGCGACATCTATCATGCTCGAGCTCATGCGGCGAGTGGGCAAGGCTGGTGCGTCTCGACTCCTTCCTCCTTTCCAGCCGTCCCTCTCGCTCATGCTCGCTCTTGACAGTATGATTTCCTTCTGATTCTGCATCATAATCTCTCGAGCTGCCCGTGATATGCAAAAGCCACCGTCTTCGCCTCTCGCACCTTCTCAATCTCGCCTCCTCGACGCCTCCTCTTCGCTACATTTCCGTACTCAGGCCATCATAACGCTTTGTTTTACAAGAATCTGGCTACTCCAGCTCCAGCCTTGCGTCCGCTCTCCGCGCAATGAGCGACCCTTTGTCGCTTCGCTCGTCTCCTCTCGTCCCGTTTCGTTCGATCAGCACGGCGACACCTTCGGCGCCCGATTACCCTTGGGAAAGTGCTGTCACTGCTCAGCAGCCTTCGATACGGCGCCAGACCCGAACGTTGGCCGTCGCAGCTTACTTGTCTGCTCGAGCGTTATCGACAGCGAACGGAGGAGAGTTGCGCGAGTAAAGCAGTTGCGCATTGCGAAGTAGCAGTCAAACGACGCTAATGCGAGTGCGAGGGAGCAGGGTACGGGGAGGAGAGGGAAGCAAAACGGCGAAAACGGCGAGGGCAAGTGCGGGAGGAGGGGGTCCGGCAAAACGGCGGTGCGAGTGGTGGATAGTACGCAGAAGGGCAAATACTAGCTCAGATAGGGAACGATACGAACCCAATGACACAGCAGCGTTTCTAGAGACGACACTCCGAACGAGCCCCGCAAGGCTCATTTCTCATCCTCCGCGATAATCCAGATCCTCCTGACGGCGTGCATGCCGAGCTCATCGTCCCAGTAGAGCAGCACTTCTTCCGTGCGGGCGATGTTGGTGACGGGAGGCGGAGGGAGGTGAGACTGGTCCGAGAGCGAGCGGAGTCTGCTCGTGCCGGCGTGAGGAGGGAGCGAGGTGGCGGGCGAGTGCGACTCTTGGATGCGCACTTTCTTGACGAGGCGGGAGCGAGTGAGGGGATGCGGCGAAGCGGAGGAAGAGTGCTTGAGGGATGAGCGAGATGGCGAGTCGGCATGTGCGCTCTCATTCGGGCGAGTGTTCGAGCGAGGGTTGGCGTTGGAGCTTCGCTTGCCGGGCGCGTTGGCGGAGACAGGCGGGATGACGGTGAAGGTGTAGCCGTCGAGCTGTGGGAAGGAAGGACAGTCAGTCTCGGGGCGAAAGCAACGGCGGAGGATGTCGAGGTTTGGAAGGAACTTGGACGTACGCCTCCTGCTCGAGCTGCGTGAACCTGCGCGCGACAAGATCAGCAGGCGATCGAGCAGGATATGAGCCGGACTCACCGCCTCTCTCAACGAGAACTGGCCTTGTGGGCGCGCTCGGAGAGTTCAATGACCTGCTCAGACGAGGCCGTCAGCTCCCGCGGCAACAGCAGTGAAAGGGAGGAGTGCCTCGTACCGTGTCGAAGACCTTGTTCAGCTGTAATGAATCGGGTGAATCGTCAGCCGCGCTTCGAGGCGAGAAGCCGACGAAGGACGGCTCACCTCGTTCGAGTAGCTCGTCTTGGTCGTATCGAGCAGCTCCTGGCACTTGTTGTGCACCCAGCTGACGACGAGATCAGACGTCAGCGCGAGCGCGTCCAGCTGAAAGACGGAATCACATACAAGAACGACCGGTTCGTCTCGCCTGCGAGAAAGTAAAGTCAGCGCAGCTCGATGCCGCTTGAAGGAAGGTCAACACGCACTCGCCAAACTATCCTGCACGCCGTTGAACGCGGCAACGAGGCCGCCGAGTCCGGACTCGAGCCTCAACGAGCTCCCATTCAACTCCTGCCGCATGTCCGACACCTCCTTCTTCGTCCGCGCCTCGCGCTCCTCCATCTCGTGAAGGCGGCGTTCAATACGCCCCTCGCGAGCCTCCAGTCGCTGCTCGTACTTCTCGAGTTGCGCCTCGCGCCTCCCCGACTGCTGCTGGTAGCGCGCAATCTGCTGCTCGAAGCCCTCCATCTTCCGCTTGTAGTCATCCGCCCGCGCATCCTGAGCCGTGAGCTGTGCCTGGAGCTGCTCCACCTGGGTCGAAAGGTTGCCCTGGAGCTGCTCCAGCTGGGTCGAAAGGTTGCCCATCTTCGCCTGCAGCTCGTCCGCCTTGCGCTCCTGCTTCGCGCGAAGGTTCTGCTCATACGCGAAGCGCTGGGCCGAACGACTCGTCAGCGGAAGGGAGAGTAAGATCGAAGAGAGAGCACGCACGTGTGCGAGAACCTGGTCCACAGCTTGTGCGACCGCACCCTTCACGGCGTGCTCGACAAGCCGTTTGAGCGACGCCTCCGACAAGGGCTGGTAGGCGGTGCTTGAGCCGGACCTGCATGGAGTGGTCGGAAGAGGCTTGCTAGGGGTAGACATGGCCAGCTCGTGTGTTGCGAAGGGGAGTGGGCCGAGTGAGGAGGCGAGAGTGCGAGAGGAGGTAGAGCGACGAGGAGAGCGTGGGACTGGGCGAGCGGCGCGGAGGTGGGTCTCGAGAGCAGTAGAAGCTGGTCTGAGCGGGTGTACGCGGGTTCTGGTCAAGGTAAAGCGAGACGAAGAGGAGAAAGAGAGAGGACAAGCGGGAGGAGGAAGTTCAACGAGCGTGATGCGCCGCGCACACCGCCGGAGGAGCCGCCCGGGGAGTCTGATGGGTAGAAGAAAGTGTCAGCGTCCGGTACACAGAGCAGCAAGCCCGCACAAGCCGTGAGAGAGCGCCTGGATGACCTGCGACGAGCGAGTGAGCGAACGACGACTGTGAGTGCGCCGTATCGACGTGCGGAGACCAGTGCTGGATCTGTGAGGTTCAATGCTACTACTGCAAGCACTACAACCCATCTCCAGCCCGCCAGCTGCCGTGTAGCCACCCTCGTCCTCCCTCCCGCTCACCGAGACCGTTCTCCGCAACCTGACCTCCTGACCGCTCGAAAGCAGTTCCTTGTAGTCTGTGACTGCCATATAATCTGTTCTGCCGGGGCTGGCGAACCCCTGAGGGGCGTGCGAGCGAGCAAGTCGTCGTCAAAGTCGCGTCGAGGTGGAGCGAGGAGTGGTGCGCGGCGACGACGCCTCCGTGCGCCGCTGGGGTTGCACTGGCTGGCTAGCAGCGTCCTAAGGACGTGTAAGAACCGCTCAGACCCGCACAGCGAGCGTGAGGGCGAGGTGGTCCTCTCCCAAGCTCGCCCGCTCCTCTACTACGCCCGCTCGCTTCCTCACCAGAATTTGCCCGTCTGCCTGTCGTACGCGGAGCTGGAGACGACGCGGACATGGTATACGATGCGGATGCATGCAACATAGTCAACCCCTGCACCTCGTACAACTCGCAACGCCGTACTCGCGCTAGTCAAGAACCCGCAGCACCCGCTCACTCGCACGTCCCGCCCCACAGCGTCCCATTCACCGTCGCCGCATCAGCCCCATTGCTCAGCCGCGGACTCTTCAGCCCTCCTCTAGCCGGCTCTCCCTTCCGCTCCGACTCGCCCGATCCAGATCTCCCTCGACCACGCTTCGCAGGCGAAAGATTGCCGCCGTTCTGTGCGTATAGATGAGAGTGTGAGACGGAGAGGGACGAGGGGTTTGTGGAAGGGAAGAAGACGCCTGGACCGCCTTCGGGCGGTGGAGGGGGGTGCGGTGGACGCGCGGGACTGGGGAGATGAGATGCGGAAGCGGAGGCGCGCTTCAAATCTGGTGGGACGAGAGGTGGTGGAGCCATTGGCTCGTTGTCGGGCGATTGAGGAAGCGGGACGGTCGGGTCGACGAGCGTGAAGGAAGATGGAGGTCGTTCGCGTCCTCGTGTTCGGCCACGCTGGGGCGATGAGGCGATAGAGTAGGAAGTTGAGCGGGAGATGGAGGAGCCGGTGGATGGGGAGACGGAGGAGGAGGCGTCGGATCGGCCTGGTGAAGGAGAAGGTGGAGATGGCGAACGGTTCTCGGCCGCATCGTCGTGGAAGGAGGATCCGCCCGTTCCTGGCGCAGACGTCGCGTCGACGTCCATGGGAGTTCCTCCTGGGAGCGAGTGAGGGAGGTTGGAGGGCGTGACAGGCGAGAAGGCGGGCGAGGTGTCGAGAGGAGGGGGAATTACAATCGGCGGTAGGGGAGGAGGCGAAGGTAGAGGAGCGGTTGATAGGCGATAAGAAGGATGTGAGCGGACGAGGGAGGTGTAGTAGTGCGCGAGAACTTGACCGGAAGTCTGTACGCGGCAATGTGAGCTTTCGAGCGGGCAAAGTCAACCGTGAAGACGCACCGTCAACCGCCAATCCAGCGCTTCGCAGAACTCCTTCTCCAACAGGTTCATCTCAACTATGCTTACACCACCAACCCGTGCATATCGCCCGTTTGTGCAGAAGGCATCGCTGAGCGCTTTGCTTCCGACGCTGATGGCAGCGATGATGAATCGATGGACGGTGAGTGAAGAGATGGTGAAGGTCGACATGCGTGTGCAGACTGCGGAGAGAAAAAGGGTCATCCACAGCTGCGGGCGAGGGAAAGGACGAAGGAAACGCACCTTTGTCGACGTAAGGGAGGAGGATAAGGAGGCAGCAGGGCTCGACGTTGGTGTATTTGGCTATTCGGAAGAGGTAGTCGCGGACGGAGATGTTGGGCGGCGCTCGGGAGTGGAAACGGGTGAGCGAGTTGGGCGTGAGCGGGATGCGGTCGTTGTGTTCGATCAGGCGGTCGAGCATCGATGCTGCGGGCGAATCGGGCGGTATCAGCCTTGTTCCCTCCGCACCGAGACGCTCGTTCCACTCACCGATGAGGGTAATCAAGTCTTCGACCTCGCAATGTTCGAAGGCAGAGGGCACCTCGCGCACGCCGTCGCCCGCCACCACCGTCTTGACGATGATGGGACCATCTGCACGCCTGACAGGATCCTTCCTGACCGCCTGAGCACCTGGAGCGCCCGGTGCTGCCCCTGCCGCCGGCACAGCAAGCGAGTCGGGGTGCGCCGAAGTGGTCGACGACGCGGGCTGGGACAGTGCGGACGGGACGGAAGGTGCTCGTGAGGGTCCTGGGACGGCGTTGGCGTTGGTCGGATCGGGTCGCGTGCCCATGTCGGTCGACGAGGGGCGACTCCGAAGTGAGAGAAGCGGCGGGAGAACGGGCGCCGGCTTGCGAGTCTAGCGGCGGTACTGGCGAGGCGTGGCGTGCAGCATCCGTGAGAGCAGTCACAGCGTCTATCCAGCCACGGCGGAGCGGGGAACGGAGAGATACGAAATGGCAGAACGTGCGGCGACGGCGACGACGACCCCTGTTCACCGACGACTTGCTCTCTGTCATACACGCCGATAGAGTCGTAGAACCGTGCATGAGAGTCGAGAATTATGCTCGGAACTGCGGGGGAATACGACAAGTCGGAAAGGAGAAAAGTCTATGTCGAGGACGGGGGAATCTACCGCGGTCTACGTGGCGTCTAATGCTGCGAGATGATTGCACTCTTGCTCAAACCCACGGCGTGCCCTTCCGCTTCGCAGCGGCGAACCGGGCGAAGGCGATGAAGACGACGCCGACGAACACTTCTCCGCCCGAGAGGATGCCGGCGCCAATAAAGCCTGTTCGGCCGGCGTTGTACGAGATGACGTAGCCGCAGATAGGGGTGCCGACGAGGGCGGCGAGGGACTGACAGAGGAAGGCCATGGCCTGCGGAAAGAGGCGAACGTGAGCCGGAGATTGACGCTTCGTGTCAAAGGCGAGACTCACCATACGGATGCCGACTGTGCGCATGTCCTCCGTGAGCGCAGCGATAGCTCTGCGTGCGTCAAGGGCGTCAGCAAGAGGTGACGAGCGAGATGCTGAAAGGAAGGGCGCCACTCACGCCGGCAGCATCGCGACGAAAGCGCCCTGGAATGCGCCAAACAACAACGACCACACAATCACCCCCGCGGCATTCATCATCGCCGGGATCCAGAAGAAGATCATCAAGCCCGAGACGGTTGTCGCGGGAATGAGGAGGTTGAGCGGTCCGTACTGGTCGGCGAAGTAGTTTGGGAGGGTGCGGCCGAAGACGGAGGTGGCGTTCAGCATGGCGAGGGAGTAGAAGGCGATGTTGCTCCGGACGCCGTTGAAGAGGGCGTATTGTTCCTGCGATCGCGAAGGGAGTCAGTCCGCCGCGAGCGCTGCAGGTGGCGACCGTCAGTTACCGAGTAGAAGAGCGGGGTATAGAGACCTGTGCATCGGAAGAATCAGTCCCTTGCCTAGAGCAAGACAAGTCGAGAGCGAAACTCACCAAGCCAGACGAGGCTCGCGCCCAGGACATACAGCCTGTACGCCCTGTTCGCCTCGCCGCGGAAGACCCCAAAGTCGAGGAACGAGGTGATGCGTCCCATCGGACGAGGCGGAAGACGGGAGGAGATGGCGAAGCAGGCGAAGGCGATCAGGCCGAGGTTGATGAAGCCGACTGTGGGAGCGGCGAGTCAGCGGAAAGCTCGGTTGAGAGCAGGGGAGGCTGGCTCACCGGCACGGATGGTCCAGCCATATCCGACCTGGTAGAGGAGCTTGTTCATCATCGACGGGTAGACGACACCGCCGAGCGAGCTGCAGCCGCGACGAGTGACTCAGCGCAAGCTCGCGGCGTGAGACTAATCTGAAACGCACGAGCCGGTTGCGAGGAAGCCGAGAGCAAGCATTCGTCGTCTCTTGAAATAGTGCGAGACGGCGGAGCAGGCGGGGAGGAAGGTCAGGCCCGAGGCGAGCTGCGAGAATCGACGTTGTGAGCGGCGCATCCGCGATGAAATTGCTCGAAGCGACGCACTCCGCATGCGAGACCTTGTGCGAGGAAGATCTGCCAGTAGGTCGAGGCGTACGAGAGGCCGAACAAGCTGCGAAGCGTGAACGATGCGTCAGATCCGCCTGAGCCCGAGTCGTTCGAGCTTCAAGAATCGGAACGCACCCTGCCGTGTACACGAACAATCCCGCGACCAGCAAGTGCTTGCAGTACCCCGCATCGAACGCCTTGCCCGATAAGACGGCCGTGAAGAGGTTGGCGGCGATCTGGAAGCTGCCGATCCATGCGATGTCGCTTTCCGCGTAGGTGGAGAGTTGGTTCCGACTCCAGTAGGAGAGGAGGACGCCGAAACCGTTGGGGTAGCCCTGACAAAAGGAGAGAGGTCAGTGCTTGACCCGAATGAACAAGACGAGCTGAAGGGCGGGACTCACCCATGCCGTGAAGCTGATGCACCACGCGCCAGCGACGACGCTGTATAGCCGAGGAGAGTTAGCGCAGGCTCCTGGGAGTATCAGCCAGACCGTCCACCGAGACGCGCTCATGAGCCAAAGCGAGAGGGGACCTGCAACTCACAGCCACGCCTTGAAGCCACCGTCTGGATAGTCGTCCACTCCTGAGGGAACCGTCGCAAGCGCCTGACCCTCCGCAGCCTTCTCCGGATCAGCTCCGCCGTCCGCTGCTCTCCGCTGCGCCTCTGCCTTCTCCCGCTCAATCTCGCTCGTTGCCTCGTAGTGCTCCGCCGGGTAGTACCGCTCGAGGTGCTGGTTCGGATGAGGCGGCAGATGGAGGTGCGGGAGATGGGGGTGATGGTGTCCGTCGTTAGTGGCGGTCTTCGTTCCGTCCTCCTGCTCATCCTTCAACCCCTTCGCCGCCTCATCCGCCCGAGCCGCTGCGAGACCGTGAGCGTGAAGGTCGACGAGTGTCGGAGTTCGCGAAACCGCGGCTGACGGAGCAGGCGAAACGGGCGGAGTGAGCTCGTCTTCCGCCCAGCGGGTGCGCGAGTCCTGCGGTGGTGCCATCCTGCGAGCTGCCTGAGCAGGTCCTGGGCGCGTGCACGAGCGTGTGAGAGACGGAAGCAAAGCTCTGTGTCGGCAGCCGGGAACGCGGTCGGACTTGCTGCCCGAGATTCAGCCCGTGCCGCGCATCGAGGTCGGAAGCTGGTGTCGCTCGACCACCCCCTTATGAGGCTGCGCCTGCCCCTTGCCAGCATTCAGAGCTCCGTTGGTGACCCTGCAAGCCTGCTCAAACGCCCACGCGAGGCCGTGGTGACGAGTTGGCGTCCGGAATTGATGAAGTTGGTCGAGCGGGAGGAGACGCTCGTCCGGCGGTGTCGTCGCATCGCAGTCATCCTGGCGTGGCTGTATGTAGCTTGTGCCGGCGGTCGAGCTGCTGGGCGTGCAGGCGAGTCGTCCAGCGGTGTGTGGTCGACTCCACAACGAGGAGAGGTGTGCGGAGTCTCCAGGCGGGGCGACGTCGAAGCGAGGGAAACGTCGGAGCAGCATGCTGGCAGTCTTGCATGATGCAGCGTTGAGCAGAAGGACTTGCAAGCGAAGAGAGAAGACGTCGAGGGACAGTAGAGAGCAAGAGAGCGAGAGAACGTCGGACGAAGCGAAGTTCGCCTCGAGGACGGCAGCATCCTCGGGTTCGTCTGCCGAAGAGCATTCGCCGAGGTCTTCGTCGTCGACTGGCGAGTAGCAGCGTCCATGTCAAGCTCATAACTCGCATCTCTCGGCGGCAAGCGGAACTCGAAGATCGCGAATAAAGATATACCGAAAGCTGCGAAGGCCCCGTACGAACACAAGTCTACACCCACCGCGTCCCCTTCTGCTTCGAGACGACGAACCACGCCCACAGGTTCAGACACGAGCCGACGATGACGCAGGCTCCGGCGAAGCAGAAGGCGCTCACGTAGGTTGGGTCGTGGTGCACAAGCGCGCCGGAGATGGGCGTTCCCTGCGTGCGTGGAGAGTGTCAGGAATTTGTTTGTCTAGATCGCCTAGCGGTGAAGATAGAAGAGGGAGGAGACGCACAGTCAGAGCAAAGACCGAGACGATCAAGAACATCGTCGCCGTCCGGTGTCCCAGTTCGTTCATGTTGGTCGTAAGCGACGCGACCGTCGCAGGCATCATCGAGACGTCTGCGTACGCACGCTCGTCAGCACTGCCTCGGGAGACTTGGCGGACGCGGACTCACAAGCTCCGGACGAGAAGCCAAAGAGAATCGTAAAGACCACGAGACCGGCGGTATTCTTGCACATGGGGATGAAGAGGAAGATGAGGATGCCGGAGAGGAAGCATTGCGGCGTGAGGATCGTGAGAGGGCCGTCTGCGAGGCGAGGGATGTCAGCGGTTGAGGCGACGAAGCGGAGGAGGGATGGGGGACGAACAGGTGTCGGCGAGCCAGTTGGGGATGATGCGACCAAATACTGATGCGGCGTTGAGGATCGAGAGCGAATACAAGGCGAGATTGCTGCTGATGCCGTACTTGAGAGCGTCTGCGAGCGAGGTTGTCAGACCGGTGCATATCGTATGCAGCAGATGGAAGGCGAAGCGTACAGTCTTGTATCTGTAGACATTGAATGTCAGCGTCAAGATCCCGCAACAAATGAGGAGGGCGAGAGACGCACGAAGAAATAAGGCGTGTACAGTCCCCACTGTTGCGAGCGCACCAACCGTCAGCAATGCTGCACGCTTCTCACGCTGCACGAACTAACGCACCATGATGATAGCCTCGCCGATAGTGACGAGGAGGAAGCCCTTCTCGCGCAACGGGCGGAAGTCGAAGATGCGCTCGACCTTGCGAGGCGGGAGGCGGGAGTTGATGGTTAGGGTGGCGATGATGACGAGTCCGACGGTGAGGAAGGCGACTGCGCGACGAAGCGCTGTCAGCGGGACCGAGACAGTGCGGGAGGAGCCGCAACGCACCTGCTCGGACGGTCCAAACGAATCCGATCTTGGGAAACAGATGATTGATCATGACAGGGTAGACGATTCCGCCGATCGAGCTCCCCGTTGCGAGAACGCCAAGTGCCGTCGCTCGTCGCCGGCGGAACCAGTGCGAGACGGACGAGGCGGCGGGGATGAAGGCGATTCCGGCTGCGAGGCCACAGGCGATTCCTTGGCCGAGGAAGATCTGCCAGTACTTCGTGGCGGAGGCAAAGCCGAACATGCTGCACGCGGCGGAGTTAGCGAGGTGGGCGAAGACGGGGCGGGAGCGGGACGCACCCGGCTGTGTAGAACAGTACTGCCGCGCTCAGCAGGTACTTGATGTAGCCTGCATCGAACGCCTTGCCTGCCAAGATCGCGCACGCCAGGACCATCGCTAGCTGGAGCGAGCCGATCCAGGAAATGTCGGAGGATCTGGTACGGCGAAAAGGTTAGCTGGGTCGTTCGGCCAGGATGTACGCCGCGACTCACGTATAGTCTCGCAGTTGATTGTCTTGGTAGTAGGTCTGGAAGACACCGAACGCATTCGTGTAGCCCTGCGAGCCGGAGTGAAGGGTCAGTCTCGATGCGAGCGAGGAAGACGAAGGCTGACGGAGAGCTCACCCAGGACGTGAATGATATGCACCATGCTCCGGCGACCACGCTGCGAGATCAATATTCGTCAGCAAAGACCCTAGTACGCGTTACGAGCAATGCCGGCGGACCGGCACGCAGGTGGAGAGGATGCGGCGAAAGGCAGGACGTACCTCCAAGCCCTGAAGCCACCGTCGGGGAAGTCTAGTACGACAGGTGCGCTCGCCAATCCCTTCTCAGCGTCGCCCGCCGTCGTTCCCGCTGCATCCGCCTCGATACCGCCATCCGAAGTTGTGCCTCCCTTTTCTGACGCCCCACCCGTTGGTTCGCCCGCAGACTCCGCCACGGTGTGTTCTGAAGACGCTGGCTCAAAGTTGATTGGCGGCAGCTGCTCAGCGAGGTGGTGTGGGTGCGGATGGTGGTTGTGTGGGCCTGCCGAAAGACCGGCACGAGAAGAAGTCGACATGGCAAGCGAACCGACGGGTCCGGTTCCTGTTGGCCGTCGAGGAGAGCGTGGAGTCTATCTTTCCAGCGTGTTTGCAAGCTAGCCGAGCGAGTGTGAGCGGTAAGAGAGCGTGCGGAGGAGGGCAAAGTTGCGGGACCGCGGCTTGCTGACTGATTGCTCACTCACTCGCGCTATTCTGGCTCGTGATGGCGACAGGACACCGCTAGCAACACCGAAGACGATGCTGAACCCGCTCACAGCCGCTCGCACGCCGTCTCCGCTCGAATCACCGCCGCTCACCCCGCTCGACTCGTTCAGCAGGCTGGACAAGGTGAAACGGCGGGGGAGGAGTAGCGGGTGACATGCAGAGGGCGACACTGGAGGCATGACTGGTTCGGGCACCACGACGGACCTCCTGATCACCCTGCTCTGCTCTCGCACCTCCTCCTCGTGCGCCAACTGATGAGGCGGGTTCGCTCACGTCCTCGCCCTTTTAGCGGTCTCCTTCGACTGCCAGTACTTTACAGTCGCTCTTGCCGTCTTGCTACAGCCGTGCGATGGCCCCACGAGCCCGCTTGACCTTCACACCCTGCCCCCTGCCTCCCTCTGCTCATCAGGCGGCGCCTGCTCTGCTCTCGTCTTCCGCCAAATAGGAGAAGCCGTTGCCGACACTGCCTCCGACACTTGACTGCAGCGGTCTGTTCTCCCTCCTTCAGGGCGGAGGCGTCGAGGTTGGCGGACTCGAGGTTGCCATTCAGCGGGGCACGGCAGTCACTCTTGCTTCGGTGGGCGATCACGGGAGCGAGTCGTGTAATGAGCTGCGCTGGCATGGACACGACGTAAAGGGAACAGCCGGGACGTGGTCGCTGCGGCTCATCGCGTGAGCTTCTCCACAACTCTTCTCCTCCTCTCGCCAGGGCTGACGCCCAACTCGCAGCGCAACCGAAGCAGACGTCGAGGCCATCCACCGCGCCCTCCTCTTCCTCCCGCCAGCGCACGCTCACTCTCCCACTCACCCGGAACCGTCTTCACAGCAGCACGCCGTCCCCGCTCCCCCTCCTCACCGCCATCCTACCGCAATTTCCTCCTTCTCTACTCCCCCTCCCAGCGCTCTATCATCTCCGTGCTCCCCCTCCCGTCCTCGCACGCACACCCTACCGGCCCCTCACCAACACACCACTCCTCTCCCGCCGAATTCGCAGCTTACATCGACCATCTCGTCGAGGGGATCAGTCCAGATCCGACGAGGGAGGTGATTGAGCGGGAGGAGAAAGAGGAGAGACGGAGGAGAGAGGAGGCGGCGAGGATGGAGGAGGAGGGGACGGAGGAGGGGTGGGAGGAGGGGGAGGAGCCGGTGTTGGACTTCTTGGTCTTGCCAATGGCTGAGGCGAGATCAGCGGAAGGAGGTGTGCGCGCGAGGCAGCGCAAGGCGCACAGGACGAGCTTCGACCGGCTCGACCTCGAGATGGACCTCGCGCCCGACATTTCAGCGCACGCCCAAGCGAAGCACTCACCGGTGGTCCAGCGCCTCCGGCCGACGTCGATGCTGAGCGTGTCGAGCTTCGCGACGTTCGTAACGGCGGATGAGGGCGAGTCGAGTGACGAAGACGGCGGAGGGACGATTCGCTCCATAGCGACCGGTCGAGCGGATGCGACAATGGACAGCAAGTTGAGCGGAGCAACTAACGCAGGACTGGCACCAATGCGCTTGCGAGACCCGTCTTTCGACCCGCCTCACACTCTTACGAATGGCAACGCCGTACTCCTCTCCTTCCTCGGGGCAAGCACTGCTCCTTCTTCGTCGTCGACCGGCTCCGGCGGCACGCCCAGTGGCTTCAATCTGACTGCTCGACGGCTGTCGCCGCAGGAAGTGGAGCAGCTGCGCGAGCGAGGAGAGATCGAGGTTGCGCAGGTTGAGGTCGAGCAGGAGCAGTTGGCGGCGACAACCGAGCAGGATTATCAAGGCTGGTGGAGCTGGCTATTCGGGGCAGGCGGGGGAAAGCAAGGTGTCGAGACGGAGGTGGAGCAGGAAGGCGGCTCGTCAAGCGCCTCAAGCTGGTTCGCCTGGCTCGCCTCCGCCTTCATCCCGCAAGCTTCGTCGTCGATCCATAATGCTGCAGTCAGGCGAAGTCGCACGTCATCACGAACAGCAGCGGGGGAGACGACGTCGCGCCTGTCCGTATTCTACATCGACGAAGCAGGGCGGGGCGGACAGGCGTTTGTCGTTGCGCGAGGAGAACAAGGGCGGTAGAGTTGTTCTTCCGCCAGCTTTGTCGCCCACGCTCGTCTGCAACGTCCGTCGTCATTCTACCCTCCACTTTGACGGCCTTCTCAAGCGCGAGGGGCACGCTCCGACGCCGGGGTGGAGCAGGGAGGGGTCGCTGGAGCTCGCTCGAAATGGTGGACCGTGCGCTGCCCGCCCAGGAGAGACGGAAGAGACAGGAAGCGCCGGTAGAGACCCGGGCGGAGGAGGAAGAGGAGGTTGCAGAGGAGACCCGGTCTGTCCCGCTCGCTGGCTGAAAAAGTGCACTGGGGCTGCTTGATCGATGAGGAGGAGACGCAGGCTGGACAGGGGTCCGACGAAGGAAGCGAGCCGACGCCATGCGGGCCGACAGACGCTTGTCCACTTCGCTGGCGTCTCTCTCTCGCTCCTTCTCCCTCCCAGACTCAGCCAAACTCAGTCTGTGAGTAGCTTTCGACGCATGCGAGCGACAGCACTCACCCAGGCTCGCTCACTGACCCGCTTCACTCCTGCCCGTCCTCCCCCCGCTTCGCACCGCTGCACGTCATCTCCTCGCGTCCCCGGTTCTTCCTCTCGCCCGTGCAGGTGCGTGGCATCGTATACACTGTTTTGCTAATTTCTCGAGGACTTCAGCTAACCCGCGTACACTTACCCGCACGCAGAATACACGCCATGTCGTCGAAGTCCGTCCCCACCGTCCAGCTTCACAACGGCAAGAGCTTCCCGCTCATTGGCTTCGGTATGCACTCTAGTCACTGTTCTTGAGCTTGGAAGTTCGTCGAGAACTTACGCGGGCGATTCTGCGCATCAGGGACTTGGCAGAGCGCGCCAGGGGAAGTGGGCGTGCGTTTTCCCTTTCCTCCCTCGCTAAAGCTTCGTTCTGACGCTGGTTACCCACTCAGAACGCCGTCTCCGTCGCCCTCAAGGCCGGCTACCGCCACCTTGACCTTGCCAAGGTGCGTCCTGTGTCGAAGCGCTTCACTCCTGACTTCTTCGCGATAACACTCGCTTTTCGCGCTCTGCAGGTCTACCAGAACCAGAAGGAGATTGCTCCCGCAATTGCCAACTCGGGCGTCCCCCGCGAGGAGATGTTCATCACCGTGCGTTGCCGGCTTCCTCGCTTCTCCTCTTCCAGCGCGCTGACTCTCCTCCGTCCGCTCTGTCTCACTTACTCACGTTCTACAAACTATTCGATGCTCGTCACGTCTGCAGTCCAAGCTCTGGAACTCGCAGCACCGTCCCGACCTTGTCGAGCCTGCTCTCGACGACACCCTCAAGGAGCTCGGCCTCTCGTACCTCGACCTCTACCTGATCCACTGGCCCGTCGCTTTCCCCGCCGAGGGCGACCCTCACCAGAACCTCTTCCCCAAGGCAAACGACAACGAGGTCAAGATTGACGACTCGGTCAGCCTCGTCGACACCTGGAAGGCGATGATCAAGCTTCTTGACACCGGCAAGGTCAAGTCGATCGGTGTCTCAAACTTCTCGCCTGAGATGGTCGACGCTATCACCGAGGCGACCGGCGTCAAGCCCGTTGTCAACCAGGTGCGTTCGCCAGCTTTCCCCTCGTCTTTTTGCCGGGAACTCACCCACTTCCTCTCCTCCGCTGCGCACAGATCGAGCGCCACCCTCACCTCCTCCAGCGCGAGCTGATCGAGCACCACAAGAAGGCGAACATGTGAACTTCTCTCCTTCCTCCCCTCCTTTCCTTCGTACTAACTCCTCCTGCGTCCATAGCGTCATCACCGCCTACTCCGGTTTCGGCAACAACTCCGAAGGCGTCCCCTTGCTCGTCCAGCACCCGATCGTCAAGAAGATCGCGGAGAAGCACGGTGCAGACGGCGGACAGGTTTTGATCGCTTGGGGCATGCACGGAGGACACGCGAGTGCGTCCGACTCTCTCTCTACTGCTTGAGAGCGTGTGTTGGAACGCGTGCTGACAGAAGGAGATGTGTGCAGTCATCCCCAAGTCGGTTACGGACTCGCGCATCCAGTCCAACTTCAAGATCATCCAGATTTCGGACGAGGACGTCAAGGAGATTGACTCCATCGGCGAGAAAGAACCGCGCCGTTTTAATACCCCGATTCGGTACACTCCGCTGTGGCCGGTGAACTGCTTTAATGAAGAATCTGAGCGTTCGGCGAAGTACCAGGTCAAGATCAAGTAATCCACCCCTCCTTCCCCTCCCCCGAATGTCCAAAAATGCAACAAACGTTCGTAACTACCTCTCTGCTTCGTGGCGCGACGTTGGGACGAGTTTGGGAGACGTGAGAGCGAGGAGAGCGGAGGAGGAGGGGGTCGAGGGGAGTTGGTGAGTGTGACCGCGCAGGGGGGCGGGGCGGGGCGGGGGTGAGATGAGAACGTCGAGTTGTACAGCTAGGAGGACGCAGGAGAGAGCTTGGGCATTGAGCGGCGAAAGGGAAGTGACGAGAGCAAGCGGATCTCCCTCCCTGGCTTTCCTCGCGCCCGTACAGGTGCGTGCTGCCGTCCACTTCACGTTTCAAGTCTCTTTGGGATACCAGCTCACCTGCCCTTACTTACACGCGCACAGACTAAACCCCATGTCGTCCCAGCAGTCCGTCCCCATTGTCCAGCTTCACAACGGCAAGAGCTTCCCCTCCTTGGCTTCGGTGCGTACTCTAGTCACTGTTTTTGAGCTTGGAAGTTTGTCGAGAACTTAACGCGAGCGATTCTGCGCGACAGGAACCTGGCAGTCGGCTCCAGGTGAGGTCGGCGTGCGTTTTCCGTTTCCTCCCTCGCTGAAACTTCGTTCTGACGCTCGTTATCTGTTCAGAACGCCGCCTCTGTCGCTCTCAAGGCCGGTTACCGCCACCTCGACCTTGCCAAGGCGCGTCCTGTCGATGCGCTCAATCCCTGATTTCTCCGCGCTGACAGTCGCTTTTCGCGCTTCGCAGGTCTACCAGAACCAGAAGGAGATTGCGCCCGCGATTGCCAACTCGGGCGTCCTCCGCGAAGAGATGTTCATCACCGTGCGTTGCCGGCTTCCTCGCTTCTCCTCTTCTTCCAGCGCGCTGACGCTCATTCACGCGTTTTTCCCGACTCTCTTCCACCTTTTGTGATATGCATCGCGGCTGTCCGCCCCCAGTCGAAGCTCTGGAACTCGCAGCACCGTCGCGACCTCGTCGAGCCTGCTCTCGACGACACGCTCAAGGAGCTCGACCTCTCGTACCTCGACTTCTACCTGATCCACCCGCCCCTCCCCTCACCCAAGTGTCCAAAACTGCAACAAACGTTCGTACCTACCTCCCTGCTTCGTGGCGCGACGTTGGGACGAGTTTGGGAGACGTGAGAACGAGGAGAGCGGAGGAGGAGGAGGAGGGTGGAGGAGACCGGGCGAATCTGGCCGCGGAGGGTGGCGGTGAGGGTGGCGGTGAAGTGGGAACGTCGAGGTGTGCGGGTGCTGACAGCGGGGAGACGCTGCGCGCACTAGTTAGCGAGAGAAGAGTGTGGAGGAGAAGCGAATGTCCCTCCCTGCGTCTCCTGCTCGACCTTGCGTTTCTCATGGCTCATTCAGGCATCGTTCGCTCTCAGGTAGAGTAGCCAACGTCAAAGAGCCTTACCCGGCGACGTTTGCAGCGGAAGCGGGAGAGAGCGAGTTAAGAGGTCTGACCAGCGGGAGCAGGAGGGCGCGATAGCTGGCGGTCGACACTGGGATGGGCAGAGGAGGCAGCAGTGTGAAAGAAACGTCAAGTTAGATACCAAGCAAGCCGCACAAAAGGGTATCGGCGATGTCTGGCTCGAAAGCAGGGTCGGGGAAAGCCAAAGTCCTTTCGCAGCGTTCTCCCTCAACTCTGGGACCCCCGCACCTCGCTCGTTCGACGTACGCACTTAAATACAGTAGCCAACGTCGACACGCGTTACGCGGCGACGTTTCCGGCAGATGTGGGAGCGGGCAAGCGAGCTGTCTGAGCAGGAGGCAAAGGGTGCGGTGGGCCGTCAACCGCTCCAGTCAGTTCGAGCGAGCTGCGGAGGCTAGCTGAGCCCTGCTAAATCATAGTGAACGAGCAACATTGCCCCTCGAGTGGGCGCGCGATGAGCAAGGCCCTGCACAAGCATGGTCGAGAGGAGGACGGTGAGCGACGACGGCTGGACGGCGGGAGCTGGGACAAGTTCGTGCTGGTCGAGCAAACTCTTGCGAGCAGTGTGAGAGTGCCTTTGATGAGCCACAGCGTGTGTGATGCGAGCGAGAGCGGTGCGAAGTGAGGCGGGCCAGCTCGAGCTCGCGTCGTCGCCTCCTCCTTGCTCTCCGTCTTGCTTGCCAGGCCGCCCACTCTCGACCTCCGCCGACAATGTCCTCGTCAGTCTCGCCATCCACTCCACCCTGCCCAGCCACACACACCCACACAACCACGCGCGAGCGAGCGACGTCGCCTCGTCGTCGGGCGGAAGAGCTTTGCTCGCACCGGCTCATGCTCGCTCGCTCGGCGCCTGGTGGACTCGCTGGATGCATGGGAGGACCACACGAGGGCAGAAGGAACGGACGAGCTGACCCTTGCTCGCCCCCGCCGCCGTCTTGTCGCGAAACAGCCAGACCCCCCTTGTCCCGGAGACGCTCCTCAAGGTGCGTTCACCCCTCTCGCCTCGCTCGCCTGGTAGACTGGCCGGCATGGCACGGACGGAAAACTACTGGCGGGACAAACGCTGACCTCGTCTCCCCTTCGTTGTCGGTTGCCGTGGTGGATTCGGGCTTGGGTGCGAGCAGAAGCGCAAGTCGACCGAGAAGTCGCGCGAGGAGAAGCGCGCCGCTGCCCTTGAGGCCCGCAAGGTTCGTTGGCGCGTTCACTGGGCAGTGCTGGAGCAGTTGGAGCGGACCCGAGTCGACCAGAGCACGACCACCCCTCCTCGCCACGCCCTTCTCCCTTCTCTCTCGACCCGACCCGACTCGACTCGACGGCAGCGCACGACGCACGTCACGCACGCGGCAGTGATTACGAATCAATATACCCAAATTTCCGATGTCGCCCTCTGCCTTAGGCGGCGGGGGTGACGATGCGGTCAACCACTTGACTATTTAATACCATCTTTCGGGACTGAGCCACGACGCTCGCGCGCTGCCGTCAACATCCGCCATCCCCCGCCACACAAGCTCCGGTCGATTCGGGTGTCGCGGTGGGAAAGACGCGGGAACGGGGTCGAGCTGACTCTCTGGCTCGGGGCACACGCAGGTCCGCAAGGCCAAGCGCGCGGTCATCTTCAAGCGCGCCGAGCAGTACGTCAACGAGTACAACAAGAAGGAGCGCGAGGAGATCCGCCTCAGGAGGCAGGCCAAGGCCAACGGCGACTTCTACGTCCCGGCCCAGCCCAAGGTCTACTTTGTCATGAGGATCAAGGGGTGCGTTCGCGAGTCTCTCTACACTGCGTGCTGTGTGGTGTGCGTGCGGGAGGGGTGGCGCGAGGCACTTGGGCGGGGTGTAGGGCGGAAGACGGAAGGTCGACCCTTGACCTCATTCGGTTGGGAGTGGTTTGCGATGGTCTCCCTTGGTCGCACGGGCATCACATGAAGCATAGCGAACTATCGAAATCGCAGGACTGACGATTGTTCGCCTCCCCGCCTATCATCTCCTCCTCGCCCCCGACCTTCCCCTCCTCAGTATCAACAACATCGCCCCCAAGCCTCGCAAGATCCTCCAGCTCCTCCGTCTCCTCCAGATCAACAACGGCGTGTTCGTCAAGGTCACGAAGGCCACCTCGGAGATGCTCCTCAGGGTCGAGCCTTACATCACGTGGGTCATCCGGATTCCCCTGATTGGTCGTTTCTGCCTACAGCGCTGACTGTGCGTGTGCGCGACGCAGGTACGGCGAGCCCAACCTCAAGACCATCCGTGAGCTCGTCTACAAGCGTGGCTACGGCAAGGTTCGTTCGGTTTTCCCCTCCGCGCTTCCAGCCTCCTCCACCTCTCTCCACCTCTCTCGCTTGCGCAACGACATGCTCGTCAACACCGTCGACGCTAGCGCCGTCGGAACCGAAGCCTCCGTTGCCGATCCTGACTTCCCCCTCCTCCCGCAGGTCAACCGCCAGCGCGTCCCTCTCTCGTCCAACGCCGTCATCGAGGAGAACCTCGGCAAGTACGGCATCCTCTCGATCGAGGACATTGTCCACGAAATCGCGACCGTTGGCCCGCATTTCCGCGAAGTTAGCAAGTAAGGATCCGTTTTTTCGTCCCGGATCGATTTTTCGGGTCCCTGAGGCCCTACAGGCTCTCTGCGTTGACTTTTGGGGCTGCTGCTGACTTGGCTTCGTCGTCGCAGCTTCCTCTGGCCGTTTAAGCTCTCGAACCCCAACGGCGGATCCCGCCCGCGCAAATTCAAGCAGTTCATCGAGGGTACGTTTCTCTTTCTCTTCTACTCTCTCTTACTCTCTTCTGTCATCGTGGTCGTCGTCGCTGACTCCCTCGTCCGCGTTCGACAGGCGGTGAGCTTGGAAAGCGCGAGGCGTTCATCAACGACCTCGTCCGCAAGTGCAACTAAGTGTTGCACTTGCAGCGAGTGGAGTGCTTTGTTGGGTAGCAGAGCAATTCGCGGCAACGCAGGGCGGTTCCTCACTTTCTCTCGTCTTCGTTGCGCTCGAGAGGCTGGCTTTCGTTTCGCGAGGAGGCCTTTGAGCGGTGGGCTTGCGAGCGTACGGTGTGTGTGCAGGAGAGCTAGCGGTGTGCGTGCGCGACAACGGGGAGGACGGGATTGCGCGAGACTTTGCTCAGGAAGTTGAGGAGGAGGAGGACGTCTGCGCCCTGCTCCCTCACTGCGTCGCTTTCTCAATGCTCGTCCTAGTCACGCCTGCAGAGCGGTGCTCGCTCTGTGAGGTATCGACGGAGACAACAAGCGAGTCTTGCGATGCAAAGGTGCGAACGAATGAACGAGGTCGAGGGTCGAGGAGCGGGATATGTACAGAGTCGACGAGCGGCTTCGGGCGGATCAAATGAGGCGGAACATGTTTCTCTTGACTGTGCGTGCGAACCTCGTCAGCCTTGCGCCTCCTCCACGAGTAGGAAGGACGAGGACACACCATTCGGCGCCAACCCCTCCGGCTTGCCATCAACCAGCGTCCCCAGCGCCGCCGCATCTCCTCCACCAAACCGTTCCTCCAAAAGCTGCTTGTACGCTTCAGCAGGATCTTTGCGAGGGCGACGGTCGTGAGGCGTGTGAGAGTCGGAGTGGACTTTGGAGGGATCTGCGGCGTGGAGGGTGCGGTCCGTTGACGCCTGTCGTTCGAAGCAGATTGCGAGTCAGTTACGAGAGGGTAGATGGGAAGAGTAAGGTCCCAGGACGCACAGACGACGCCCCGCTCCCTCCAGCTGATGAAGATTCCCGCGACGCAACAGCCGCCGCCGCGCTACCCGTTTCGTCCGCCGAACGTGCGAGCGTCGACTTTGATCGTGTGAGAGTGCGTAGGATGGATGTTCGGAGCATGGCGGCTGGTGTGAGGAGTGAGAGAGGCGAGAAAGGGTGAGGAGGAGAGGGGAGGCAGTGACGGCATTGGCCAGGCGAGGCGGGAAGAGGCTTGTCTCGCTTGCAGAGGCTTTCTTACAGGAGGAGACTTGCGAATACATTCCGCGCGACGCGGATCGCAGCGACGGCGTTGCAGGTAGGTCAGCGTCTTGCTCCAGAGTCGAGGAGAAGCGGAGGACGAGCATCGCGACGTGGGTTGTTCTTCCTGCGATACGGATACAATTTGTAGGTCCGCCTGAAGTGTGCGACGCGCTGCGCGAGGTCGTGTTCGAATGGCGAGCGAGAGAAACAGTGGGAAGCGAGAAAGAAGCGTCGACGGCGTCGACATCGGGGTGTCGAAGCAAGCCATGGTCGGCGAGATCTTCAAGATCGACAAAGGTCGTGTTGCTATAGCTATGCGTCCCGGGCGAGATGCGCAAGCAGTCCGCCGGACCTGAAGCCTGAGGACGAGCAAGAACGGGTTCGAATGACCTGCGGGCGTCGCCTCCCACCGCCGCAGCAAAGTGACTAAGCCGGTCCGCCTGCGCAGCGTAAGAACACGTCGATGGGCACGCCGGAGAAGGCCAGGAAGCGAGAGCGAATCGTAAGGAGGCGTAAGGAGTTTGAGGAGACTTCGATAGAGAGGCATTCGCCAGCGCCAAGTTCGCCTCGCTGACCGTTCCCGCCTGGCTACTGGCCCTGCGCTAGTCCTGCGCGCCCAATCCCCGCAGGTCGCGCGATGTCGAGGCGAGGCGGACGGGCGAGTTGCGAGTCGAGGTGGACGACGGCGGCGCCTCGCGCGGTCGGTGTTGGACAGGCTGGGAGCGACATGGGAAGCTGAGCATGATAGCAGGCGCGAGAACGAGTCCCAGCGAGCGAGTCGTTGCGTGCAGCGAGTTGTGAGCGCTGGCAAACCTCTTCGCGCTCGAGCTCGCCTGCTCCCCTTTGCCCTCTGGATCCCTTGCTAGCTCCCACTCGACCCACAGATGGCTGCCCGTTCCAGTCAGTCTACCACTCTCCAGCCCTACCCGACCCAGCCCGTCCAACAACCACCCCTCTACGAGCCGTCGTCGCCTCGCCCGCCCACCTCCTCGACCGACACCTCTCCTCGCTCACCCCGGCCCACAGGCGGGTTCGAAGGGACGCAGTGCTGACGGAAAACTGCTCGCAGACCTCCCCTGGGGCCTCAACCGCGGCCACCCGACCACGGTCATCGCAAAGGTCCCCAAGCCCTCGAACCGCAAGGGAAAGCAGTCGGCCCGCTCGGCGTTCGTCAAGTCGGTCGTCCGTGAGGTGCGTTCTGGCGTATGAACTGGGTGGACTGCAGGGCAGCAGCTGATGAGGTCGGGTGGGTTGAACAGGTCGCTGGCTTCGCTCCCTACGAGAGGCGTGTTATGGAGTTGATCCGCAACTCCAAGGTGCGTTTCCTCGCTCGTTCTAGCGTATGAACGGGGACAAACAGCTGACCCTGCATTTGGTGCGGCCTACAGGACAAGAAGGCTCGCAAGCTCACCAAGAAGCGCGTAAGCTTCGACCCGACTCTCCGAGCGTGCGGTTGCTGCGACTGTGTGGACGGACGGGCTGGATACATTGCGGGAGAGGATGAGCGAGATGAAGCGGGCGCGAGAGTACGGAACGGCGAGATCGCGCAACGATGCGATGATAGGAGGGTTGGCACGGAGGAGAAGGAGATGCGGCAGGCTTCGGACGGGGAGACCAGGTTGGCGCGAACCATTCGAACGCCGTACTGATGCTCCCGCTCGTTCCCCGTGCACCCACAGCTCGGCACTCTCCGCCGTGCCAAGCGCAAGGTCGACGAGCTCACCGGTGTCATCGGTGCGTTTCCCCCAGACCCTCCCCTGACCCTGCACCGAGCTAACGAGCGTACGTCCTCACAGCCGAGCAGCGCCGCCACGCCGCCTAAGCGCTCCACTCCTCGACATGACACAACCGGCTTGTTCCTTTTTCGTCTTTGCTCCTTGTTGCAACGTCCGTTAGGGGATCCCTCTACTCGGTGGCCTGAGAGAGGCGTGTGTGTGCGAGCTAGTGAGGCGGGCTGAGGAGGATGTGGGGCTGCTTGAGGAGTTATCGAGGAGAGGACGAGGAGAGACTTGCTCTCGCTCACGGTCTTTCGTCGAACCGCTTCGTGTACTCATCGAGAAGGACCCGCTGGTGACGATGACAGGCTGCTTGCGGCTCAAGAAGCTGTCGTTGTCGCTCAAGTCGTCGTTGACGACCGCTTCAATCGCCGAACTCGCTCGTTTCGCCTCGGAATGCGCTCGCTCGCTTCGCTTCCTGTGCAATGGACCCTTGCGAGTTAAGCAGAGCACAGCAGCACACAGTACAGCCTCGTGCGAGAGTGTGAGAGTGAGAGAAAGCCCCCTGTCGCAAACTCTGCCTCGCGCTCGCCTCGCAACCACGCTTTGCTCCTCGTCCTGCTCCCAGCTCGCACCACCCTCGTCCCAGACCGACTCGAAAAGTGCACAGCGACACTCGCACACACACATTACCCCGTACTGACCACTCGAACGCGCGCAGATGGTTAGTCCGCCCTCCTGATCCCATCCCCCATCCACCTCGCTCGCTCGCGACAGCACGGCTTCCGTGCCGCTACTGCACCACCCATGCGCACTCTAGCCACCCTCGTGACTCGCTAGACCCTCACTCGCACGCTCACCGGGCGAGGGCGGGTCGACGCAGCACACCGGTATCCGCGTCCTCGACTTGCCTCTGCTCGTCGTCCTCCTCGCCCGAGCGCAGGTTCAGAGCATGCAACGTCACTCATGAGGCCGGAGGAGGAGTCAGACCCTCGCACGCGACTCGGACGGTGGCACCCTCGCGTGTCGCCGTTCGCAGTCCGTGCTTGTGTGTCCCGATAATCGCGCAGGAGGCCCGTCCCTGGAGGGGGACGCGGCCTCGGTAGAGCTCTTCGGTTGCCCTTGTCGTCCGTGCTGGCACAAGCGGTTGAGATCGAATCTTAATGACACTGCTTACCCCTCCCACCCCGGCGGCGATTCGTCGCTATACAGGTCGGTTCTCTCTCGCGCATTCGCTCGCTTGCGAACGGTTGCTGACTCGATTCGAGCAAACAGGCCCCCACTCGCAAGGTTGCCAAGGCTCCCGGCTCGTCCAAGGCCTCGAAGAAGACCACCAACCCTCTCTTCGAGTCGCGCCCCAAGTCGTTCGGCATCGGTGCGTGCCCCCGTCCCGGGTTCCTGGCCTCGCTGCTGACATTGACACGCACTCGCGATTGCAGGCCAGTCGGTCCGCCCGACCTCGGACTTGACCCGCTTCGTCAAGTGGCCCGAGTACGTTCGTCTCCAGCGCCAGAAGGTCATCCTCAACCAGCGCCTCAAGACGCCCCCCGCGATCGCCCAGTTCGCCAACGTCCTCGACAAGAACACTGCTACGCAGTTGTTCCGCTTGCTCAACAAGTACAAGGGTGAGAGCAAGCAGGAGAAGAAGGCGCGCCTCGAGGCCAAGGCTGCCGACCTCGCTGCCGGCAAGAAGGACCTCGACGAGTCGAAGAAGCCCTACTTCGTCAAGTCGGGATTGAACCACGTCGTCTCGCTCGTCGAGAACAAGAAGGCGTCGCTCGTCATCATCGCCGACGACGTCGACCCCATCGAGCTCGTCGTCTTCCTCCCCGCTCTCTGCAAGAAGATGGGCATTCCCTGTGGGTAGCGCCGTTCCTTCCGTCGTCGCGGGCGTCGAGCTGACTTTGAAGGTCGACTCTCCCCTCCTCCCTCTTCCCCTTCTCCGCGTCTTCTTCCGCCGCTCTCCACAGACGTCATCGTCAAGTCGAAGGCCCGCCTCGGCGCCGTCGTTGGCCGCAAGACCTCGTCGTGCCTCGCGTTCGGTGAGGTCCGCAAGGAGGACGAGGCCGAGCTCGCCAAGCTCGTCTCGGCCATCAAGGCCAACTACACCGAGAAGTACGAGTCGGCTAACCGTCACTGGGGTGGTGGAATCCGTGCGTCGCATCCTCTTGGCTCGTCGTCGTCGCGTGAGGCTGACCTTCGCATCTCCCTTAGGCGGCCGCAAGTCGATCGCTAAGCTCCAGAAGCGTGCCAAGGCGCTTGGAAAGGACATTGCTTCGGTCGACAAGTCGCTCTAGACGCTTCCTCCGGTCCGCCCGTCGCTCTGAGCTCTCCCGTCGTCCTTGTTGTCTGTCTGTCCCTTGTATTTCAAGCCTTCGCTACAAGCAGGTTGCAGACGCAATGACGAGGGATTTCTCTGGGCCACATTCTGCGGCCGGTGTGCGAGTCGAGAGGTTTTCTTGCGAACGCGAGATGAGACGACTTTCGACTTGTGCAGGGAGGAGGGGGAGAAGGGGCTCTGAGGGTTTCCACGTCGTCCGGGTGCTTTCGCTGGTCTTGCTGGTCTCGGAAACGTCGAGTTGGAATGGTCGGCGAAAGGAGGAGCTGGTTAGTTGACGTGACGGCCAGGAAAGCGAGGACGAGGAAGACCTTCTCGCCGTCGAGGGCATGGGTCGCGAGCGTTCCCGTCTCGCGGCACTCCGGCGCCCGCTCCTTGTCCTTGCAGCGTTCGTAACGACGCACACAACCTCTTCCACAGCCAGACATCCTCGCGAAGCCCGCTCGACTTTGTATTCAGCCTCAGCTATTCCACCCTTACAATCTCGCGGTAATCTCGGGCGCATCGCCTCGTCCGTGCAAGGTTGATGTCCTGCCGTCCACCTGCGCGCCCTGTTGCCGCCTAACGAGCCCATTCCGAGCGCTCGAAAGAGATGCTGTCCTCTCGCTCGTCCTCGCGTCGTCGCTCTCCCTCTCGCGCCTCACTCGAAGGTCCGCCCGCTGCGACTGATCAAGCTTTGACGGGCTAGGACGCTGCTGTTGGGCTGTGTGGCCCCGACTAGCTTGCTTCCGAGGCGCCCCAGGCACTCTCCCGCTCGCCAGCGCACTTGTCAACCTCACACTCCTGTCTTCTCCTGACCCCTCCCCACCCACTTCCGACGACCTCGCCAAGCCGGTCCTGACCGCAAACGTCGGCCAAGCACGTCTGAAGCGCGTGCGACGCCGTCCGAGCCATGCCGCACGCGTCGAAGCACCTCAAGTCCCGACCACCCGACAACTGGCCGCTCCCTGCTGCTCCGGACGTTTCTGCGCCTCTCGGTTATCCTCCGGTGGCTATTTCGAGCAGATTGGGAGCGGGCGAGGCGAGTCCGAGCTGGGGCGGGAACAGGAGTGGGACTTGGGACGGTTGGACTGGCGAGGAGGGGACGAGGAAGGGTGAGAAGGACAGGCTCGGTCGGACGGGCGGGCAGGATGGACGTTACGGTGGAGTTGACAGGGAGACGTTGAATGGTGCAGGAGGAGGCACAGCTCGCCCTCGCCCGACTCCGCCTCGCCCGCCGGATCCCCTTCCTTCGCCTGCTCCCTCGCCCAAAAACGCTGCACCTCACCCGCCGCTTCAACCTCCCCAGCTCCCTGGCACCCGCGAAACTCGCCCGCTTCACGGCCCTTTCCTGCCACAAGACCTCTTCGCCGGGCAGAACAAGCCTCGCGTTCGCCTCGACCCCGACTGGCAAGGCTTCCCTGTCGAGAAGCTTTACCTCGGCGCACTCGACGAGCGCGAGTTCGCGTACTTTGCGGTTCAGCGAGACGCGCAGATTCAGCAGGGGCTGCTTGAGATTGGTTTGGGAGATGGGAAGACGAGGAAGGGAGAGGTCAATTTGTCGGGCTACGCGTTCGAGGGCTTCCCGGGCGTCAAGATCTCCTTCAGTGCGTCTCTGAATGATCTGGCGCGGCGCTTCCTGCCTGTCAACTCGGCTCGCCTTTGACTGACTCCTCCCTTCGCAGGTTCCGGCAGCCTGTCTCGAATCTACTGCGCGCCATACGAGGGCAATCTTGGCGCAGACGACAACATGAGCGACTTTGAGCGGATCGCGCTCGTCCTCGAGACTCGCTGGACGCCAAAGTTCTTCGCCTACTACTCGAGCGGGGGCGCCGACAACAAGGTCACGGGCCAAGTTCGCGTCAATGCTCTCGAAGCAACCCACTCGCGCCTCCTCCCTTACCTCTCGCGCCACTTTTTCCTCGTTCTCAAGCTTCCGCGCGACAAAGCGCTCGTCGGCGAACCCTCGACCCGCTTCTCGTTCCGCGACTTCCTCAAGACCTGCCAGGACGTCCACCTCCCCGCCGTCGTCCAGCTCGCCTCACTCCCACCCGTCATCGAAGCCGAGAAGCGCTACTCCCGCAAAGCGCTCCGCCAACTCCGCCGCGCATTGTCAACCATCTCTCCCTCGATCGCCTACCACATCGAAGGCATCGCTCGCGACCTCTCGATGACGCCCTTGGAGCTCGAACGACTCGTCGAACTCCACATCAAGCCCTGGGAAGCGACGTTTGAGCTCAAGGACGCAACTATCGAGGAGATCGTCATCGAGCTTCGCACGAAGCTCCTCGAAGATCGCAAGGCGCTCGCCGAGCTCCTCCAGCTCGGAAGGGTTTCGCCGAAGGATTTGCAGGATGTCGTCTTCGATATCGAGCAGCAGGCGGAGGAGGCGAGACAGGTCGTTCTGGAGCGGGCGGAGGTCGACTTGACGGGCGCAGCGGCGGCGGCGAAGAAGAAGAAGGGCACGCCTTCCGAGCACATTTGGTGCCGCAGCATCATCTACACTCCGAGCGGGACGATCCGAGTCGGTGGAAGGATTCTCGAGAAGGTCCGTCAATGAGCTCTCGCTCGAGATGCGCTCGCTGACGCTTGTCCTTGCAGTCGAACGCCGTGCTCCGCAAGTACTACGGGCTTGTAGATCACCATCAAGAGTCGGACCACTTCCTCCGCGTCACCTTCCGAGACGAAGACGAAGCGATGCTTCTTCCTTCGTCGGGCGCACCGCAGGACAAGCTGCTTCAAGGCTCGGTCGCCAAGTCCCTCAAGGATGGCATCTCGTTCGCCGGAAGGAAATTCGAGTTTCTCGCGTGCGTCCTTTGCCAGCCTCCACGAGCTTGAGCTGACCTCGCCAGTTGCACATAGCTACTCGCAATCCGGCCTGCGCGACCGCATGGTCTGGTTCGTCGCGCCGTGGCAAGACGAGGACAAGCACGGCAAGGCGAGGACAATCAACGCGGACACGATCAGGAAGCGCTTCGGCGTGTTCGACAAGATCAGCCACCAGCCTGCCAAGCTGGGCGCGAGGTACGTTGACATGCTGCTCCACTCTGCAGATTGCTTGGCGACTGATCGTGTTTGCTTTTGCGTCGCTAGGTACAGCCAAGGCTTCACATCGTCGCACGCAACCGAGGTGCGCTAGAAGTTTGGCTTCCTTTTCCCGCGGTTGCAAGGTTGACGTTCGGGAATACAGACCCTGCACTACATCCAGATCGGAGCTATCCCCGACATCGTCGAGAAGGACAAGAACGGCGTCGAGACCACCAACCACACCGACGGCGCAGGAACGATGTCGCTTGAGTAGGTCTCGCCTCGTCGCCGGTCTCGCTTTGACGTTTGCTGACGTGCTCGAGCGTGCAGGGTGCGCGACCAGGTGTGGCAGGCGCTGCAGATGAGTGGGTTCCGACGTGACGTGGACGGCGCTCCGCCGACAGTCGTCCAGTTCCGCCTCGGAGGGTCGAGTCAGTCTACCGCGTCAACTCTCGCTTCGATCGACGCTGACAGATTGACCACTGTGTGCAGAGGGAGTTTTGGCGGTGGACAATCGGCTGGAAGGTGCGCAAGTCAAGCTTCGGCCCTCGCAAGACAAGTTTCAAGGTCTGCCAGATCTCGGCGACGAGGGCTTCTGCCTGAATGTCTCGGACGCCTTCACACGACCTGGCCTGCTTCGCTTGAGTGCGTTACGGCGATCCTCCTTGCGCTCATGCCGTCCTTACATGCGAGTCGAGGCTGACCACCTGGTCATGTCCTTCGCTCGCATGTTCTCGGCAACTCTATTACGCTGCACGCTCTACGCTCCTGCTGCGCTACCTGTCTCGCTCCTGCTGCTGCCAGACCGTCCGCTCATCAGCGCCCTCGACGACCTCGGCATCTCCATCGAGACCTTCGTTCGCTACCAGAAGCTGGCAGTCGACGCTCTCGCTCCTTCCGAACTTGAGACGCTCAAGGGCGCCTTGAGCGTCCTTCACCGCTTCGCATTCGGTGGAGCGACTCGCTTCAAAAGGTGCGTACTCTCCGACTATCAACGAGCGCGCGCTGACCTGATCCCGTTCGCAGTCTCGTCGGCTCCCTCGCATCCCTGTCCGGTTTTGTAGACAGCATTCTGCACGAGGAGCCGTTCCTCCGTGGCGCCCTCGAGGTCATCCGCACCCGCAGCCTGCGCGACCTCAAGGAGCGCGCTCGCATTCCGGTACCCGATTCGTACGTCCTCGTCGGCGTTCCAGACGAGGATCGCGCTCTCAAATCGGATCAAGTCTACGCCTGCCTCCGATTCCCCGAGAAGCCCGACGAAGTCGTCTACCTCGAAGGTCGCATCCTCGTCACCCGTTCGCCTTCCGTCGATCCAGGCGACCTTCGCATCCTCAATGCCGTCGGCAAGCTGCCGGAGCACCTCGAGGGAACGTTGCGGATGGCTGGTCTCGAGAACTGCATCGTCCTGCCGACAGTCGGCGACCGAGCGCTCGCCTCGATGATGGGCGGAGGAGGTCAGCTTTCAGTCTTCCTTTTCCTGCGATCTGCCTCGTGCTGACGCACAGCCCCGCAGACCTCGACGGTGATACGTACCAAGTCATCACGCTTCCGGACCTGATCCCTCTCCGCACCGCCGAGCCTCGAATGCACAAAGGCCCGGCCCCCCTCGAGCTTGACCGACCCGCCACGATCCACGATGTCGCAGACTGCTTCCTCAACTACCTGACGAACGATACGACCGGCATCATTGCCACGACGCACCTCATCGTCGCCGACAAGAGCCCGAAGCATGGCTTCGACCCCGTCTGCCAGAAGCTCGCCGACTTGCACAGGTGCGTAAGGTCTGAGACTGATGTTAAGCCGTTCGACTGACCGGGCCCCGCTACAGTACATCCGTCGATGCGCCTAAGACCGGCATCGTCGTGCCTCTCGACAGCATCCCGAAGCTCAAGACGAAGGTCCGGCCGGACTTCCTCAGGAAGACGGACGAGCTCGAGCCGAAGGAAGGTCCTCAGTACTACGATTCCCAGCGCGCCCTCGGCCATCTCTACCGCAACATTGAGGACACCGGCCTCACCATGCCTACTTGCGTCGTCTCGCCTGCGCTTGGCGACGGCCGGTCCACCTCCTTCCGCGTGCTCGAGCTCCGAGTCGAACGCGATATCGCCAGCCTTTTCGATGCCTCGCCGGACATCCTGAGGAGCGTCGTCGACAGCCACCGGTCGACAGTCGCCGCAGTTCTCAACGCTTTCTACGCCGCGCTTCACGACCTCGCTATCGTCCACAGCCTGCCTCGCACCGATGGTCGATCCCTATCCGAGGTCGAGATCTTCGCGACGGCGAGCCTGCAGGAGGTCCAGCGGGGAGAAGCGGCTCGCGGCAACGCGGTCTCAGCGATGCACCGCCAGACAGCTCGCCTTGTTGACTGGCTCGAGGCGCAGCTGACGGGACCGCCTGTCGAGTCTCAGCACACGGACGTCGAGTCACTCAAGCTGCGTTACTCAGCCTGGCGAGTTGCAGTTGAGGACGGCGATGAGTACGACTTCGGCGTGAAGACAGCTCGGTGGGTCTGCCTCGCGCTGGTCTTCGAGGCCATGCAGAGCGAGGAGGAGCGACGCTTTGCGGCCAGTACCGGTGCGTCATCCGCAGCGAGGGCGCGACCCGCCTCATGCGCGCCACCGCTCGCCAGGATCTCGGCCTCACCTCGCCAAACTCTTCCGCCAGGCCAACCCGACCGACGCCCCTCCGTCGGCTCGCTCGACAAGTCGTTCGGTATCTCGTCAAGCTCGTCAAAGCCGCTCATCCCCTATTCAACCCGCCCGAGGCTGTCCGAATCGACGCCGCCTACTTCTCCCGCCCATTCCCTCGCTGCGCCTCTCCCGCCCTCCGCCTCGCCTGTGCCCGCAGACCCCTGGACTCGCGAGCTCGATAACCGGAAGACGCCGGCGCAAGTCGTCGAGACGGCCGACAGCAGCGACATGGACACCTCGAGCAGCGAGGACGACGACCAAGGTCTGCGGGATATCCTTGCGAGCATTCCCCCCTTCCCTGCCTCTACTGGCGCCCCGCAGCGTGGGCCAGCGCACGACGACGACTCGGACTCGCTTGCTTCATCGGCAGACTCGGACAAATCTGTCGAGCTCGACGAGGAGGCCGCCGAACGGTTCCGCAGGCAGCTCGAGCAAGAGGAGATTGAGCGCGACGAAGCGGAAGCGAGAGAGCTGCTCTACCAGCAGTTCAGGCGGAGGCAGTACCTCGAGGGGAAGTACCTCCCGTCTCAGGCGCGAGATCCCGTCGCCTACCGCAAGCATCGCGACGACTTTATGGCGGATGACCAGGGCCGCGCCGACTTCCAGGCCGCCGAGCAGCGCCGTCAACAACGCCCGCCTCCGCCCGCATCAGCCGCAGGAGCGTCTGTCCGATCGAAGTCGCATGCGCCGTTAGAAGGTGTCGTCGACTACTTCGAGCAGCTTGCCCAGGAGCAAAGGCGTCGCGAGATGCAGGAGATCGAGTCGTCGAAAGCGGCGGGTCCACTGAGCTTGGTCGCGCCGTCGACGGAAGACTGGCCACCCCTTGAGAAGGCCAGCGCGCGTCCGACCAGGCGTCCTTCCACTCGCCCCCCTCCGGCAGCCATGCGCCCTCCGTCACCCTCCGCTCCTTACTCGCCGCCGATCCTCTCGCCTAGGCCCGAGGCTGAACGGAGCGGAGCGCCTCAACGCGGTGTCGACTACTTCTTCTCCGACCGCATCTCGCCCTCGCCTCCCCGTCCCCCTCCCAAGCTCCCGGTCCAGTGGAATGATGCTGGGTGGTTCAACAAGAGTGTCGGACCTGCGACGAGCGCCGCTCCGTCAAGTCCGCCCCGAACACCCTCACCTCGCCCGCCGACGCCGCCGCCGCAACGAGCTTACGCTGCGAAGGGCAACGGACCGTTCTGGGCGCATTTCACGGACTACGACAAGAAGCGGTACAAGTGCGTTTTTCTCGAGAGTTTCGGTCTCGGGCTCGCCTTCAGTCTCGCTCACCAGTTTGTTCCCGCAGGTCGAACCAGACGGGACTCGCCAAGCTCGCTCGCTACTGCATCACCGCCGACGGCGAGACCTTCGCCGACGCGTACGGCCTAGGTCGTCCGACGAGGAAGAGTCGAGGCGAACCTCGACCGAGCCAGAGCGGCGGCGGGAAGAGCTGGATCCCGGAGACGCCTCAGCAGGCGGAGCAACAGGCCGAGGACGAGCCAGGATGGGGGTGGGGTACGGCGACGGGCGGAGTGCAGGGAGGCGTCGTCTCTCACGACGAGAGTGCGTCGCAGCGAGCAGGATGGGGCGGGTCGGGCGGATGGACAGCCTCGTCGAGACCTGACGCTGCTCCAGAGCAGGCGTACCCGTCATTGGCGCTGTCGCGGGCATCAGCGCGGCACCTTCCAGCATGGACCGAGTCGTCACCGTCACCTCGACTCTCCTTTTCGCCCTCCTCGCCTCGACTCTCCTTTTCGCCTTCTTCGCCTCGCCGACACGACATGGACCACCCCGTCACGCCCATCATGGACAATATCCGAGCGATCAGGGAGCAGCGAGACGCGGAGAAGAGGGCGCGGAGGAGGCGCTAGGCTGCGCTTGAACGAGGGAGGAAGAGCTTGAGACTCGACAGCTTCTGAAAGTAGACTCGCATCAGTCCCGCTTGTTGTTCCAGCTACGCTTCGCATGTACACTCTCTTGCAAGACGCTCCTTGACGATCGTTTCTTCGCCTCTTTGCCCGTAAAGACACTGCGAGATTCTCAAGAGATCCGCCTCGAGAGCCTCTTCCGCCGCAAGCGATCTTGCTCGCCGCATAGACGCGAGCGGCGAAAGCGACGGGCGACGCTCAACGGCTGAGATGCGCAAGGGATATCTGCGTTGCCCTCCCAGGTCTACCACTTCCACTGCGCGCCGTTGTTGTTGATCAACGGCCTCGCGCGCGTCGCAAGCGCAAAGCCCGGCGCCTCTGTCGAGTTCCTGATCTTCTTCCTCCACTGCTCCTGCTTCTTCTCTCGCCGGCGCTCCTCCTCGGTCCTGCCCTCGGCGAGAAGGACGTGCAGCTTGGCCGACGGGTGATGCTTGATGCCGAATCGACCGCGACCCTTGATGTCGAGGCGCTTGAGGTAGACGCCCTTGGTAACCCATGATTGCGCTGCGGGTGAAGTACGAGTCAGCGAATCGGGTTGGAGCAACAAAGAGCTAAGCACAGCGAGAGGGAATGCGAACGCACCGATGACGAGCTTCTCGCGCTTCAAACCCTTCGCCATGGCATGGTCACGAGCCAGCGCGACCATGGAAAGCAGTCGGGGCGCGTTCTTCTTTTGCGAAGCCTGCGAGGGGGAAAGACGGCGTCAACTTTCTGCGTTCGCCAGGCGAAAGCTCATTGAGGCCAGCAAGCAGGCCCGGCGAAGACCTTATGGCCAGCAAAAGCCCGGCGAGCGAACGCACCTGCAACTGCAAGATAGCCTCGTCCGCCGTTCGCCCTGCGATCAAGCGCGACAAGTCTGCCAGCCTGCGCCGCGACGTCTTGAAGTTTGCCGTAGACGATTTGTGCTGTAGCCGAGCCGAGTAAACGTGGTCAGCGCGACTCGACCCTCCTGCACCTCACGACTCCCAAAGCGAGCGAGAGAGTGCGGCCCAACTCACGTAGGTCGCCTGTTTCTTCGGCTTCGGTGCAAGTCCAACCCTCCCCTGCGCCTCTCGGACGTCCAGCTCCTCCGTCGCAACGTCGAACAAGCCCTTCTCCTCCGCCTTCTCCTGTGCGCTCGCCTTGGGTACCTCCGCCGCGGCAACGCCTTCCGCCGGCTTCTCCGCCGCCTCAGCCTTCTTCTGGCGCTTCGGAAGCAAGTTCCTGAGCACGTCAAAGCCGAACGAGATGTGTCGGACCTGCTGAGGCTGTCGGGTCGAGGCGATGAGAGAGTGAGCGTGGGCTGGCGCAGCGCTGGGCAGCGCGCGCGATGCTGCGTGCAGTGTTCGCAGTGCTGTGCGAGTCGACTGCATCGTGTACGGCTGCACCAGCAAGCGGTGCAGGGTGTGGACGAGGACGACCCTCTCCTCGACTTGGCGAGATGAGAGGAGAAATTCTGGACTCGCTCGAATCGCTTTCTGCAGGAGCGTACAGCTTGATAGACACCTTGGAAGGCACAGCCAACTCTTCGAAACCCCGCTCGATGCGGAAGATGCGTCTTTTACATTTGCCCGAGCGAGTCTACCTCGTCCCGCCAAAATCGTGCCCGTGATGCTGAGAACCGTCGTACAATGAGACTGCTAGATGAGGATGCCGTTGCTGTAGCCCTGGAAGAGACTGCGGGGCAAGGGAAGCGGTTAGCAGTGTGGAGCGTGGGAAACGAGCGGGACCGGACGCACTCGTATAGTCGTGTGAAGGAACTCTGCGCCGAGTTGAGGATGAGCTTGTCGGCGTACTCGTCGAGCTGGGCCTGCGGCAGCGAGAGCATGAACCGCTCGCGCAACTGCTGCGAGGTGAGCTCGCCGTTCGAGAAGCAAGGCAGGGACGAGTCTGTGTGCAATGTGTCAGGTAAGTCATGGACGGCAGATCTCCAAGATACGGATGCTCTGCAACGAGAGAGTATGCCCGTCCGACGGAAGACAGCGTCTGACTCACCCTTCTGCATGAGCTCGACGAGGGTGATGATCCGCTCGGCGTGCTTCCTCGCGTCCCGGAAGCACCGCTTGAACAGGGCGCGGAACTCGGCAAACTTGGGCGAGTCGAAGCCGCCGAGGATGTCGATGTAGTCCTGCGGGAGCTTGAAAGGCGCCATCTCGAAGCCGATCGAGCCGGGCGAGTTGGACAGCATGAAGCCGAAGTCGATGTCTGTTGGCAGGAACATCACTAACGCAAATTGACTGGAGGAGCTGTACAACGCACGGATGAGGTGGCCTTGTCGGTCGAGGAGGATGTTGCCGTTGTGGCGGTCCTTGAGCTGGAGGAGATAGCAGATGACCGAGTACGCCGCGAGACTTTGGATGAACGCGTCCTGCGCCTTGCGGTACTTGGACGAGTCGGGAGAGCCGTAGGTCTGGCGTGTCATAAGGGTCAGCGGAAGCGACGAGTAGAGAAGGAGGTGGGCTCACGTTGACGAAGTGATCGTATAGCGAATACGAGTCAAACGCCTGCGTGCCGTCTTCTGCTCGTCGTGCGTAGGCATTCTTCTTGAGCGAATGGACCGAGACGGCATCGTTGATCGTCTCGATGAGTCCGCTGTTCTCGGACGTGACAATCATGCGGAAGCTGCAAGGCGCACAAATGAGAGCGTGAGTGCACTTCAGTCAGGCGCGATTGAGCGACGCGATGCTGCAGCGACGCACTAGTAGACCCAGCCAGGACAGTCCTCCTCCTTCCAGATCCTGCCGAACTCGCTGATGAGTTGGACGGCCAGCTGCTCCTGCCGCAAGTCGGCGCCGGTCTTGACGATGCACGAGAGGAGTGACCAGGACGGGAGGTGGCCGAAGGGTGAGGCGGAACGAATGCGGGCGGTCTTGGACGTGAAGGATTCGGCAAAGACGGCGCCTGCGAAGCAGACGGGGTCAGCCTGCGGATCGGAGTCAAGTTGCGGGAGACAAACACACCTGACGGGTCGTCTTTGTTGACAGCCCGCATGACGACCGTGTTGTCCTGCGTCTTGGCCGAACCAGCCGCGGCGGTCCACCCACTTCGCGACTCGACGTCTCCCCTCATCCGCTCCATTCGCTCCTCTTCCAGCGCCATCATTTCGCTCATGATCCGGTCACGGATGGCAGCAGCGTCCTGGGGCGCGAGCACTCGTGGCCGCTGCGTCGGGAGCGGCGCAGGCGTCGAGGATCCGCTCGTTCCGGTCGTCGCGGTCGATTTCGAGGGTGCCGAGCCGGACGACGAGCTTGCCTCGGCTGCACCGTGCGACAAAGCCGCAGCGACGGGGTTGAGAGGTGGCTGACCTGCCACCGCACTAGTCCCTTCCGCCGCAGACGCCGTGTCGAGACTCGCGCGAGTGCCGGCACCGCCTTGTCCCGCCGAGGCAGCCGGGGTCTCCTTCTTCGACAACCGCGCTTTGACCGCTCCGAGACCTGCTCCGAGACCCGCGCCAACGACTCCTCCGATCCCTGCGACGGTGTAGACAGGGAGGGTGACGAGGGTTCCGGCTGCTGCTGTCCCTGCACCGACAACACCACGAGAAGCGGTCTGCGAAGCGTCGAGCTGCGCGAGCATGATGGCGGCCATGCGCATCCGTTCGGCGTAGTCCTCGAGCGAGATGGGCGCTCGAGAAGCAATCGAGCGTCCGCCTGGTCGTGCAGTTCCGCCTGACATCCGCCTCGCCGCCTTCGGTCCGACAGAAAGGGGTTCGCCGGTCGCACTGCTGATAGACGTCCTGCTTCGTGAGGTTGTCGACGAAGCAGTCGATGCCGTCCGGTCCCGCCTCTTCGCCTTCGCCGCCTCGTCCTTACGTCGCCAGGCAGCCTCGTCAACATCCCGGTTGTGAATCTCCTCCTCCACCTCCTCCGTTGGCGGCTCGGCAAGCGGGTCGTCCCGCAGCGAGATGTCGCCGTAAAGCTGCTCGACCAGGTCCATCTCGCCCGCCGGTTCTGCAGCAATGTCCCCCTCGGTCGGTGCGCCGCCGTCGAGTCCGCCGCCCAGCGCATACTCTGCCCGCTCGGCAAAGGGCGTTCCGGGCGAAGGCGAAGTCGGCTGATGCGGAATCACCGGCGCGTCCTGGCCCTTCGAGGGCGTCGACGACCCGTCCGCCTGCTTCGCGTACCCGTCCATCCCACTCTCGAGGCTTAACCTCCCGTTCTCCGCCAACGCCTTTCCCTTAGCGCCAATCGATGCCGTAGCCAACCCCTCCCTCTCCCTCAACGCCCTCCTCAGATCCTCCCAGTTGCTCCGGCGATCCGGGTCAAAGTCCAGGTCTTCTTCGAGGACTTCGACGTAGATCACGAAGGGCGCGCGGTCAGCTGAGTTGAGGACGACCGATTCGCCTGGCGAGATGCGCACGACGCGGGCTTGTTTGCGCCGTGGGGTGGGCGGATGGGGCTTGTCGAAGGGTGAGGAGGGCTGCGGAGAGGAAGCGGGAGGCTTGGGTGTCGAGTCGGGGAGGACAGCAACGGGAGGGGGACGGGTGGACATGCCGAGTGAGCAGCCGCGTGGGAGTCCGTGATTGAGAACGGTCAGCTCGGCGCGGAGAGACGATAGGCGAGCGGGTTTCGGAACCAGAACGAGGCGAGTCGAGATGTCTTGCAGACTTCGGATGAGGTCGAGTTGTGATCGGCATGCTTGGAGGAGAAGGAGGCGGGAGAGGAAGGTCTTTGGTAGACCGTAGCCAGGCATGCTTGTGCCGGAGAGGTGCTGCGAGGTGGATGAGGGCGAGTTGAGGAGGTTCGAAGCGGACTTGGAGGTCATGGGTAGTGAGGGGACGGAAAGGGACGGCGCGGTGCTCTGCCGCAGTACGCTGTGCTTGAGTGAACCACGTCGCTCAAGCGGCGAAAGAGGCGAGGTGGAGCTGGCGCCCGAAGAAGTCGGACCCTGCTTGGTCGGCGACTTGGCGGAAGGCGAGGGGAGGAAAGACATGGACCGCGACTCATGCGCGGAAGGCAGAGGAATGCGAGGAGATGCGGTGATCCGGTCGCCAGGCAAGTAGTTCGGCTGCGTCTGACTCCGCTTGGTTGGCTTCGACGCCGACGATACAGTCGCCTTCTTCGACCCCTTCGCCGAGCCGTTCAACAACGCTCCCGCAATCCCCGTCTTGGCCTTCTTCGCCACCACAGCCTTCGCAACACCCGCCTCTCCCTCACTCCCACTTTCACTGTTCCCTCCCTCCCTTGCTCCGTCCTCATCCGCGTCGTCTACCTCGTCCCGCGTCGGAGGCTCGGTTCGCCGTCCTTGTTCAACGACCATCCGGCCGGCGACGTTGACGAGTTGGGGCATCCCGATTGCCGCGAGGAGCAGGCCGATTCCGACGAAAGATGCAGTCGGTGCGTTGATTGAGTCCTGCTTCTCCTCCGCGTCTTGCGTCGGCTTGTCGTTTGAAGCAGGGGGGGAAGGCGTTTTGGAGGGAGAGGAAGAAGAGGCGGCGGAGGAGGGGAGGGGAGGGTCGCTGAAGATGATCTCCTGAACGCGGTTCAGGATCCGTCGGCACGCGGCGAACTGATCTGATTTTGGCATTGCTGCGAGGTCGGAGAGGGAGGCTTGGAGGTACCAAAGGGTCTGCAAACGCGAACAAATTAGCGAGATGTCCTTGCCGACGAGAAGTCGGGAGGGAGACTTGCGATGACGGCGATGTGAGCATCTTCCTGGCATCGCTCTAAGATGAAGTTCTCGAGTGCGGTCGAGGGTGAAGGGCGGGTGATGGCCAAATAGCTGCTCCGCAAACCAGTCAGCCCGACGCTCCTTTCCGAAGCGAAGATGGACGATCCACGCACCACAGCTGCGGCCAGTAGAACTCGACATCCTCGTACTCGAACGACCGCAGTCGATTGATTAGGTAGTGTGTGATGCCGATCGAGTTCGGGTAGGTCTTGAGACTGTTGCGGGAGCGGACGAGGAGGACCAGGTCAGCGGGGATGGTCCCAGCCAGCGAGGGCGAGCCGCGCAGCTGTCAAGAAGCTTGTGATAGATAGACAGCCCGTCCGTATCCCGTCTGCGCTGTCCAGCGACTCCATATAGCGTACCGCTCCCCTGGACACGACTCGGGTTGTTGTCCCCCGCTGATGAACGTGTCGCTCTTCTCACACGGCAGCAGCCCGCCCTGTTCAATTCGGATCCGCTCCGTGATGCGCCCAAGTACCGCTCGACACGCGACTCACTATCCAATGGCGAGGTGGACGTCGAAGAAGCTCGACTCGAACAGCCGGAGGAGGAGGGCGGAACCGCTCCCTCCGCCCGACTCGAGCGCGGTTGCCCGGCTCATTGGGCGTCGTGCAGCACTGACAGCGCTCGCGTGAGCAGCCAACCGAGCAGGAAGAGCGAGCGAAGCCGGTGTCGAGGTGGTCGAGGAGCGCGTGCCCGCGACAAGGCGTCGTCGCACCTCGCAAAGTCGTGTGCTGAGTGGTCTGATCTGCTGAGTATTCTGTCGAACGCCCGTCGCGCCAGCAAGAACACGGGAAGAGACTTTTCTCGAGGTCGTCGAGTTCCGCGGTCTCACTTCGTCTCCTCGTCCACTTCGCGCTGGAGAGCTACGGCTGGCTAAGCAGCATTCCAGCGAGCTCTTTGAACGTCCATTCAGCCATTCAAGTCAATACTGCGCCGTGGTCGACCTCTCTCCCTCCTCATCGCTTGTCGACCCCCACCTCACTCGCTCTCGCTCACAACCGCCTCGCTCGGACTGTCTGCTGCTTCTAGCTGCTCAACAGGTATGTTAAGCGACTCCCGCGCTCCAGCTCCCGCCCGCAGGTCGAAGGCGGACCCGGAGGACCTATCGTCAGTCGGCTGATATCGACCAGACGGAGATGCGCGATATGATGCGGACGGAGGGCTTGCACGGCGTGGGACGTTCACGATCTGGTTGCACAAGGAGGTGCAGGTCTCGGACTCGGACCAAGGGCGGCTGTGGACGAACGATTTTGGTCCCGAGGGCTTCGAGCGGGGAGAGAGGCGTCAACTCTGCTCGAAGGGCTTGTAGCCATATGACTGAACGCTGACCACTGCTTGAACGCCTACAGGCCGACCGAGATGGTCGCAACCTCCCCGCCCGCGACCACCACATCATCCACCTCGAATCCCCAGCGTCCTCCCGTCCGCAATAAGTCCTCCTCCGCTCTCTCGACCCAAACAATCCGCACCCTCTCTTCGACCTCGTCCGGCAAACCTCGCCGAAACCGGTCTTTCACAGCCCTCGCAGGCGGAGGAGGAGTTCACCACGGTCATCCAGCAGGACACCATGCCGTCTCTTTCGCTCATCACCGGAAGAACTCGCATGGAGCGCATGCGATGAAGCGAAGTGGGAGCGCGAGTGGGAGCGCGAGGAAGTCGAGTTTTGGGCTGGGCATGACGAGTCTGGAGGGAGGAGCGGGAGAAGACGAACATGGCGAGCGAGATGGGAGGCCGCAGCGACCGAGTCTGGCGACGAGCCGGTCGAGCTCGAGCAGTACGGTTACAGCAGTCGGTGGAGGAAGTCGCGAGCGCCTCGAACACGAACAGTCGGATCGCGGACGCTCTCGCTCGCGCAGTCGGACGCGTGTCGAAGCGGAGCAGATCCAGCAAGACCAGGCGGACGATCAGCGGCAGCGGTTGGAGATCAACACGAAGGCCAAGGCGAAGGAGCGGTTGACGGGCAGCGTCACGTCCGGCAGCGACTGGGAGAGCGCGACCGACTCGCCGCTCGCGATCGGCAAGAAGTTGCCCGATGTCGCCAGGTCCGTCGCGCCAGAGGGTCAGTCGGCTCTCGCGCAGGGTTTCAGCCAGAAGGACGACGGCGAGGAGGGGCACGACGAGCGCGGCGTCGAGGAGTCGCCCAAGTCGGGCGAAGGGCGGGTCACCGCGCAGGACGAGGAGCGCGCGCCGGCGCCTCAGCGGGTCGAAGTCTCTGCCGCACCATCAGACGAGCAGGGTCTCCCGCCTCGACCGACGGGCAAGAAGCCCAAGTTCCAGCTCGGTGCGTCGGAGGACCAGGAGGACAACGAGAGTTTGCGTGCGGATGCTAGGGCGGATGAGGTGTCGACTCCGCGGCAGGAGAAGAGTCAGGCCGAGGTGGAAGCGCAGGCGACGGAGGAAGCGGTGCAGGCTGTTACCCCGCCGGTCGAGGGTATCCAGCCGGAGCACATCGCGCAGGCTCAGCTCGCGCAGACGGACGAAGACGTCGTTCCCGACTCGGGCGGCGACGACTCGATCCCGCCTTCTGCTATGCCGCCCGCCGCAACTGCGATCCTCCCCTCCCTCCCGGCCATGATCCAAGCCGCCGCACCGACCGAACCTCTCGACGCGCCTCTCCGCCCGGACGCAGACGAAGAACAACAAGCCGCGGCACTCGCCGCCCCCGCTCCTCCAAGCGCGCCGCAACATCTCTCGCCGCCCGACTCGTCGCCCCTCGGTGGCCCAGCTGCGGAACCCTCGCTCGCCGCCGCCGCGCAGCCCGAACTTGCGTTCCCGAATGGCCCGCCGTCCGGTCCGCCGTCGAGGCCTGAGTCGGCGGGTGGGAGGACGAGGGGCGGGGGGTCCGCTGAGCCGTTGAGGACGCCTGCGCCGCCTACGCCTACGTCGGAGGAGGAAGAGGCGCACCTCCCTTTCGAGGCTGAGAAGAAGGACCGGAAGGAGAAGGCGAAGGATGCCGAACGGAATACGGACGACGTCCCGCCCATCCGACCACTCCCTCAGCGCGCCCCGCCCACTCGCAAGGCGTCAAACACCTCCATCGTCTCAGCCGCCTCGACTCGCTCGGCTCTCCATCGCGGTCCAGCACCGCAGTTTCGCCGCACCGCGAGCGGGATCGCGCCTGTCATCGTCGACCGCGGCGCGACTGCTCGAGCGGAACTGACGAGTCCCGGACCGGAGTCGCCCAATGGCAATGGCGAGTTGCGGCGCAGCGTGACGGGCGAACGGGGGACGTCGACGGGTCGACACCAGCGCACGGAGAGCATGAGCAGTGTTCGCTCGTTGCGACAGGCGGCGGAGGCGACGACGTCTGGCTCGCACCGGACAGGTCCAGGCGAGACGCGCCGCCTGCGACCGACAGAGACGGCTGGCGGAGCGATCGCTGCGTTGGGCAACATCGCCGCCGCCGCAGGCCGGACTCCTCCTCCTCCTCACGACTCGTCCGCCGCGCGCGAAGGAGCCTTGACGCACGCCAAACGCTCCGCAAGTGGTTACTTCAATGCCCTCCGGGGCTTCACGGGTGCGCCGACCGCTTCGTCGCCTTCGACTCCGCCTCCGTCTTCTTCAGCAGGCGCAGCGCAGCGCTACCCGATCCCCGGCGCGCAGGGACAGGTCCCGACTGCCTCGTCGAGTCTGGGCCGAAGGTCCCGCTCGTCCGACTCGCCCAAACCCCCTCCGCTCGTCGTCAAATTCGTCGACGCTCCGCCTCCCCCTGCGGCCCCCTTGATGCACCTCACCAAGTCGCAACAAGGCACCGACACGCCCTCGACTCAACCTTCGACCTCTCCCTCCCAGTCTCAGGGAATCCCGCCTCGACTGTCGGCAAAACACCGCAACGCTTCGACTACTTCGCTCGGACCTATTTCGCGTACGCAGCAGAAGGCTTTGTTGGCGCGTGATGCGCCGCATGTTGGGAGCGGACGAGCGGGCGCTGGGACGCCTACGACCGATGCGGGAGGAGGAGCGGCAGGCGCGACGCTCGTCCCTCCGCCGGTCCAGGGCGCGCAGGCTATGACACCGGCCCAACAACAGTTTCTCGCTTTGCAGCACCAACGCGCTTTGAACGCCTCGAATCCCGCGTCCAACACCGGCTCAGCATCGACTTCCTCGTCGCCCGCTCCCGCCGCCTCGCACGGGATGCAGAAATGGGCGATCGGGCTCGTTCGTGAAGCCGAGCGGATAGAGAGGCAGTACAGGGCTGTGGAGAAGTGGCGTGATCCGGTTGGGGAGAGTTTGGAGAGGGTGTTGGTGGTGAGGATGAGGGCGAGACGGAGGAGGGAGGATGATAGGGAGAGGGTGAGGAGGGCGGTGGAGGGGTTGCAGCAGGGAGCGGGAGGGGGAGGGGGGGAGGGACAGCAGCCGAAACCGAGGAGGGCGGGTGAGCGGGACCTTTCTCTTCCTCAAACTCCATCGCTTTCGCTGACCTTCTCTTTGGCGGCGTTTGTAGCTACAACTTCGACGTGATCTTTCACTCTCATCGTCTCCACCCCAGCTCTTCGCCAACTCATCCCTCTCTCACTCACTCACTCGCATTGCCGTCCTTCTCATCGCGACAACCTCGGCCTCCATTTCGCTCTCTCTCGCCTTCTCGCATGTCGTACGAACGCAGCTCGTATCATGAAACAGCAGCCACACAGCTCGTTGCATCCATCCATCCAACCCTGCATGGTTCACCGGCGAACGCAAGAGACCGGTGACGATGCTGCGCTCTTCTCGTCCGAGCTTTGTCCCAATCGAGCGACGCGGGGCTCTTGCTCGAACGGCGGAGCTTGTCCAGCTGGCCGAGTTCGAGTTGCCCGCTTGAGCGTTCTGTCGTCCAACATCCGCCAAGTTACTCCTCTCTTCACTCCGCTCCCTGAAGGCCCGAGAGTGAGCGCAGCGGAGTGGCGAACTAATGCTCGAGCTCGCCGTGCCGCTCGCTCGCCGTGCGCGCTGCGGTGCGGAAATGAACGCCGGCTTCGCCAGTTGCCCGTTCGAGGCGGAGAGCCATTCGATTGTCGAGAGTGGGCGGATTTCATTGAGAGTGTGGAGCGGGTGCCTGGGTGAGCCGGGTCGGCGAACAAGTCGTTGGGCGTTGGAGGGAGCTGGCAGAGTGCGAGAGGGAGCAGGAGGACAGTGGACAGAGAGAAGGCCAGCAGCACCTCCTCTCTCACGGACACCGGCGTCGAGAGGAGGGTTCGCCAGCTTCGGTGCAATTTCGCCGTCGAGTTGCTGTTCCTGAAAGATGAGACCCGCTCTAGCGCGGTGCCCCTTTCCACCCCGGCGAGGACCCCTTCGCCTTGTGGCCGTCTGCCGTCCTCGCTCTCGCCGTCTTGCTGCTGCCTGCGTGTGGCTCAGTGTGTGCTAGACTTGGCTGCAGAGGCTACACAGTCACCCTCCAAACACCGTCCACATCTTCCCTTTCCGCCGCCCGCGACCTCGCCGCACTCTGCGCTCCTCACACGGCGACCAACTCCACATCGACCCCCCCCCCGCTCTCTCTCCACCCACGCAACGATGGGAATCCTCGACCGCTTCACACGGCGAAAGGACAAGGGCATCGCGCTCGAGGACGACGAAAAGGCCTACCGCTACGAGCAGGACCCGACTCGCGAGCCCAAAGACCGGCCGGCGAGCAGGGCCTCGCGCTTCAAGGAGGTGACCGGGTCTAGGAGACGCTACCTGGGTAACTGGGCGCCTCACCCCAACATGATCCGTGGCATCCGCTTCGTCCTGTGAGTCGGTCGCCGTTCCACCTCCTCGTCGCCGGTCAGGTGGGGTTGAGCCAACACTGACAACCCGTTCGCTCGCCTCTCCCGCTCGTCCAATGCGTCGGCTGCACGCTCCGACAGCTACTCGTTGACGTCCTTGGCGGCCTTGACGACGGCGGCGTTCTGCATCTCGGTCGTCGTCTACTACAACACCCACGGGCCCGTCATCAAGCCCGCCTGGGGCTCTCTCATCGCCGACATCGTCTTTGGAATCGGCACACCCGGCGTCCTCTTTGGCATGATGCTCGTCCTCCCCCGCTTGTTCCGCCACGGCGGCGCTCTCGACATCCTCAACCAGACTCGCATGGAACTCCTCACCCTGTTTGGACTCGCGGTCGTTTGGGTCTCGGGCGCACTCGCGCTTGCTTGCGACTTGCGAGGCCAGGAGAACTGTCTCTGGTGCGCCGGCCCTCTCCCTCTCTCTCCCTTTCGCCGGCGAACTAACTTTTCTCGCGCCCAACTCGTAGGGACGGATACTGGCACTACCCGAAGCCTTCGGACTTCCAAGACGCCTGCAACCGCATCAACTGGGCTGTCGCGCTCGCCTACACGACCTTCGGGTTGACGTGCCTCCAGATGGCCGTCATCTGGGCCATCGCAGGCTACATCCTCCTCTTCCTCGACCAGGAGGTGCGTCCGCCCTCCGCTTCTCCATTGAGTGCGTGTACTGATGCTAAGGGTGCTGGGTAGGTCCTGACGGAACACACCAACTCGATGGGTTCGCGCGCCTACCTCGCCCGTTCGCGCGCCCAACAACAACACAAAGTCCTCCGCGCCGCTCGCCAATCCGGCGTCTCGACCATGGGCCCTTCGTCCGGTTCCGGTCGGCGCTCGTCGAGTTTCGGAGCGGCGGTCGGAGCGAGTCTGATGGATGACGACGAGATGAGTGAGAATGCTGGGCCCGGACCGATGGCGGGTGGGGTGATTGCGAGTCGCTCGCTGCCCAACTCGCAGCGCGCCCCGGCGGGACCGATGATGGGCGGCTCAGCGCCTCACGTAAGCGTCACCAACACGGATGGCACGACGCTCTCTCGCCCCTCGAGGTCCAACTCGCAAGGCTCCAACGTCCGATTCACCGACCACGCCCACGCTCACGACGACGACTTGAACGAGGCCCAGCCCGTTGCGGCGTCGAGGAGAGCGCCGGCGCCGGGGGGGATGTGGAGTTCGGGCGCGCCGAGGTTGGGAGATGAGGAGCGCGCGGCCGCGCATGGGGAGGACCCGTTTGAGGATCAGCGGGGTGGGTACTATGGGTATGAGAACGAGGCGGGGTTGACGAGCGAGAGGGACAGGCGTACGTCGTTGCTTCCCTTCGTACCGTCGAGTTGAGCGATGGCTGACGGAATCGGTGATTGTCGCAGACTTGCACGTCTAGGCCTAAGCGCCCCCCTTCTCGTCGTCGTCGCCCTTCTCGCAAACCAGTACTCGCAACACCCCCTCGCACCGCACCGCAACCAAGACCCGTCCCTCCTCGACTCGACACTCGCCTAATCACCGCAGCCCCTCCTTCACCCGAGGCGAGCGCGACTCCCCCCAATCAACCTTCTCTTTCGACGTGTATTTATCGCCTCTCAACCAACGGTTTCTGTATCGCCTTATCATAACCTCGACCTCGACCCTTCTCTTCGCCCTCTCGGCGAAGATGTTGTCTATTCCCTCTTCCCTCTTTCTTTCGTTGGACACTCTTTCTTCCGGTTCTGTCTTTTTTGCCCTTCGATGTTCGCCTTCAGTCGTACAGCAGTACCCCTCTCGTAGTTCGTCCTCCTGGAGTAATTCGCACACACGCCACACGGGTTTTCACACTTCGCCCCCCGCTCCTTGCGAGCGAGGCCGGCGATCTCGTTCTCACTGGCCAACGTCTTCACTGGGTGCACCCGACTGGTCTCTTCGCGACAAGCCAGCACCTCCTCCGCGTCGACTACTCCCGAGTCCCGCTCGGCTTGCTTCGACGTTTTTCTGTGTTCTTGAGGAGTCCTTGGGCAGTCGACGAGTCTTGCCGCGTTGAGGAGGATCCCGCCAGAGCAGAGGAGGAGGGTTGAGGGGAGGTTGAGAAGTAAAGGTTCCTCTTGCTGTACTGTCTCTCCTCGACTGGTTTGCTCTACTTGCTTGCTCGATGGTTTCGCTTGTACTCACGGCGCTTCGCTCGACGCGAACGACAACGACCGCGCCATCCGCACGCTGACCTTCCCAATTTCCGCCGGACCTTCGTCTTCTCTCCATCCTCAGCCATGCTCGTCCCCTCCCTCTTGCTCTTCGGCCTCCTCGCGCTCGCTTCTCTCCCGTTCTCCAAGCCGACGAGGCGAGCTTCGGGACTTTGGAGGCGAGAGGGGATACGGGTGCGTTTCGCTAGCGCTTGCGAACGAGGCTCCGTTGTCCCGGGGGCTGACTGACACCGGCTCGTCCGACTCGACGACGATAGTCGTCTTTCGGGACTTCCACAGCGGCGACTGGGACCCGTCCATCAAGATGAAGCAGTCGTTCGCGCTCTCGACGACGCTCAACTACCTTGATGATCTTTCACGAGGTGCGCCCTTCCCATATCGCTCTCATTGCGATCCGAGCAGATCTTTGACAGCATCTTCGCGCAGAACGGCGAGGAAACAGCAACCGAAGTCCTGCCTCACGTTTCGTCTCGGAAGGCTACAAACTCAGAACCGTCGCCGAGTGTCTCCGCGCGAGTCGGTATTAGACGGTCGACAAGCCAAGCGCGCGGAATGCGACGTGGACTTGCGAGGGGACGCCCGGGATGGTGTGGTGAACAGCGAGTATTCCTCACGACCGTCTCCCTTCGCACCCTCCTCTCCCCGTCTCCTTTAAGCCATGTAACCTCTCTCTTGTAGCCTTTGTCCAACAAGTGTCGTGCTCCCTAGACACGCGCATCCGCACTTCTCGCAGTCTCCTCTCTCCCTCCTGCGCTCCTTTCCGTCCTCCTCTGTCCGCTCGCCGAGGTGGACGTTCCGTTTCCCTTCGTCTGCATCTGTAGCGCGAGACTTTGACATACGAATTTCGTCCTCTGCCGTCGAGAACGACTTGTCGAGGAACTCCTCTTCGCGTCCTTCCCTCTCGCTCTCCTTTCCGTTCTGCGCAAGTCCCGCTACTACGTTTTGTACACCGAAATAGTCCCACCTAGTCTTTTCGCCTACGAGGCCGACGAACCCCTTCGGCAGGACCCGCCTTCGCTCCTTCGTCGTCTGCCCGCTCACACGACCCGCTCAAAAGCGCCAAGTAGACCGTCGCTGTCCGTATAAGCTTCACAAGCACCCGCCGAGCACAGCTGACACCGCTCGCTCTTCTCCCACAGCTCTCCTCCGCCTCATCACTCCCTCCCCACCTCCATCCCCTTCGACCCCTCACACACAGCTCAGCATGGTTCTCGGACGCCTGATGCACTACACATTCGATATCGCACTCGTCACGACCGTTCTGGCGGGCGTCAAGCGGCATACGGGCTTCCAGTGAGTCTCCGAGGTTGGTCTTGGTCCCGCGGGTTCGGAAGGCGGGAGAGGCGGGCGCCAGAGGAGGGTGTCGCTGTGGGCGGGAACGAGAGACTGGAGGAGGACGGCCGGCAGAACGGCGGAGCTGGCCAGACCACGAGACTGCCGAGGACATCCTCTTGCCCGTCCAGAATCGCGATCGCTGACCTTCTCCTCCTCTCGCCCTTTCTTCCCACACAACAGGGTCAACACCTCTACAATCCCCGAAGGTCCCTTCCGCCAGACCGCCGACGTCGTCCTCGGCACCGGCGAGCGACTGTTCGACTTTGCGTCGGCGATGAGCTACACTTCCTCCTTGTTTGAGCGCGAGACGCCCAAGCCTAAGTGAATGGGACAAGACGGGCATTGCAGGAGAGGGAAAGAGTGTATGTAATCCTAGGCAGTTCATGTCGTTCCTCGGGTCGTTTCGCTGGGTCTGTCGCGTTCGCGGCTGGGTCGTCTTCTCTTTCTCTCTCGCATGCGCAAGGTCACGATGACCAGTCTAGTTACTACACGCTAGAACCGCAGCTGCACAATTGAGATACAACGACATGCTGGCCTCGCAAAAACCCGCGGAACGACTCCTCTCACCCGCCTCTTGCTGATCAGCTGCTACTTCATCGGCCGCGGACCGAAGAACCCGCTGGACGGCATGCCTGGCTTTGGCGGCTCGAGCGGGCCTGGGTCGGTCGAGGGCTGCGGAGCGGGAGCGGGCGAGGAGGGGACGGCGGCGGCGGGCGGTTTGGGCTGTAGAGCGAGGTGTGGTCAGCTATAGAGCAAGCAAACGCTCGGTGCAGCTGGTCTGAAACGAAGGAAACGGACCATCGAGCCGCCGTGCTTCGCTTGAAACTGCTCGACAGGATCGCTCGTCAGTCGCCGCCGCTTGCCCGCAGGTCACAAACTCGCACGCACCGCCATGAGCTCGGCGATCTCGCTCTGTAGCGTCTTCTTCTCGTCGCGCAGCTTGCCGACCTGGGGAGTCAAGCGAGTGAAGTCAGCAGGGAGTAAGGGGCGAAGCGCAAGTCGAGCCGCACCTCCTTGAACATTCGCTGGACCTGAATAGTGCAGAGCGCACGAAAGAGGTCAGCGAAGGCGCAGTGTGGCACGCCGAAGACGAAGCGCACCTCGCTAGTGAGCTGTCCTCGAAAGTCCTTGACGTGCTCGTCAACGCCTGTCCGGATGCCGCTGCCCAGTACAGCAGCGTGAGTGATAGCGACGCTAGATGTAGAAGTCGCGACGCACCCTAGCAAGCGCTTGACCTCGTCGGTGAGAGCCGGATCCATCGTAGTCTTCTTGCCGTCCTTGACGTTCTGGGCTACTTCGCGAAGCAGCGCGTCCGCCTTGTCGCTCTTCTCGGCAAGCTTGGCAACCATCTCGTTGATACCTGACGCACAGAACAAGGAGTCAACAGCGGCTCGAGCGTAGGGGGGAAGGGGTCGGGAACGCACGCGCCGTCCTCTCCGCGTTGTTCTTCGTCTCGAGCTCTAGACGAGCAATCTCCGCCTTCTTCGCCTCAAGCTCGGCTTTCTCCTTGAGCGACAAGCCCTGGTTCTTGGCCTTCTCCTCCGCCTCCTTCGCTTCTTGCGCCGCCTGCTTCGCCGAGATGTCGCGCATCGTCTTGAGGATCTCGAAGACAGCGACTACGCCTCCCGTCGCGTTAGTAGAGGTCCAGAGTCGGAAGCGAAAGAGATGGACTCACGCGAGACCGTGCCGGCGTCAATCTCGTCCCCCTGGCCCTCCGCCAACGCCTGCAATGCCGCGCCGAGCTTCTCGTCCTTCTTGAGAGCGTCGACTATCGGACCGTTTGGCGATGCGTCTGCCTCGGCGAGAACCTCGTCCGTCTCGGCGCGATCCTTCGCTTCTTTCGCCGCAACAGCTCCTCCGCCCCATCTTCCTGGTCGGTCGGCAACGGGTTCAGGCGCGCCTGCGAAATAAATCAGAGATTAGCCTGAGGGACCGCAGGCGATGTAGCTGGACGCACCCCAGAGACGGATCGCAGGTAGCCTCGGACCCTTCACCTTCCCAACCGTCCCGCCTTCCTTCGCACCGGTCGCAATCTGCTTGTCGAGCTGTGCGAATGAGCTTAGCGGGTTGACGCCGAAGCGAGGCCGCTTGTCGACGGACTCGGGTGCGACGGCTGCGACGGCATCGGTAGGCGGAGCTGCGTTCTCGTTCGGCTCGTGCGAAACAGCTGCTTCTCCGGCTGCGGCAGCTTCCTGCGCGACGAAAGGATGATCGACAATCGGATGCTCGACATCGGTTGACGTCGTAGCAGCCGGCACTGGTAGCAGTCCTTCGGCGGCCTGGAGCGAAGCGAGGAGGTGCTGCGGGAGATCCGCGATATGCCTGGCAACGCCGTCAACCGCACGCGCGAGCTCACTGAACTGCGCTTCGCGCATCGAGCGGTCTTCGGCAACCCACTGCGGGCCGAAGGTACGTTAGCAGGGACTCGAGGGATCATGCGTGGCAGACACTCACTCGAGCGAGTTCTCCGACAACTTGGGCGATGCGGTCCTGCTGTACTTGGCTGTGCACGAGAGCTGCATCCTTGAGCGTCAGCATGGTGGCCAGAGATGTAAGGAAGAGGCGGCAAAGCTCACCGCCATTCTGCTGCTCGAATCCGTCAAGAAGTCGCCAAAGGGCCTGCACAAGCGATTCCGTCACTCGAACCCACGAATGCTCGGCAGCGAACCATAACGCACCTGTTCGACTCTGCTCGTGTCAGAGCCGACCCAGGAAACGCCGTAGGGCGCAGGTCCCGCACCGCTCCACTCGCTGTATGGCCGGAGCGTCGGCTGCGAGAACAGAGTCAGCGGCGAGTGGGGTGAGCGCTCGGAACTCTACACACCTGCTCGGCGTATTGCTGGGGCTGCGTCGCCTTCCTGACTGTCGACGCTTCGGACGACGCAGGACGGACGACACCGCTGCTGGCGAAGGGGTCACGAGAGCGGGCTTTGCCACCGAAACGGGCGAAGACGTCTTCTCCGAGCAAAGAAGCGGGGTTGCGAAGAGGCGGGTCGGGCTCGAGAGGTGGCAGGCCTTCAAGTTTCCGGCTCGCAGCGTCTCGCTCGCGGCGCATCGTCGTAGGCGAGGCCACCGAGGAGGGCGCGGGCTTGGGCGTGAGGTCGGCTTCGTTCTATGGAGGAATGCTCAGTCCGGGCGCCACAGGGGAGAGAAATCAGGACGCGCCTTGAACTGCTCGAGCGTTCGCGCCCATTCGAGTTTCTCCGAAGGCGTCGTATGAATGGCTGCGCGAGTCGTGAGAGAGGCGTTGTCGTGGATGATGGTCTCGGGGTATTGGTCGGGCAGTGGCGGCAGGGGATGCTGGCGCTCAAGCGGGTTCCTCAGCAAGTCCTGGATGTGAGCGTCAACTCGCGCCTTGAGCTCGTATTCTTCCTGCTCAAGTCGACGAGCGCGGGCTTCGGCGTCGCCCTTCACGAGCTCTTCCTGCTTCTGGAGAAGGCGCTCGTTTGCGGCGACGAGGCGGTCGAGCTGGAGGAACGAAGTCAGCGTTCTCATAGCGAGAGCAGGCGACTGTCGACGCACCTTGTCCCAGAGCGCCTGTCCCGCCTGAACCGTCTTGATTGACGACGAGTCTCCCAACTTGTCCTGCACGACCCTCAGCCGCGCCTGCATTTCGCGGTAGCGGTCCCGTCGAGACTTCCCGACCTTGCCATCTCGCGCTCGCTCGAGAGCTGCTTGTACATCCCGCTGTAGCGCTTCGAGCTCGACGGCCGTAGCAACCGAAGACGCGGAGCGAGATGCGGGCGATAGCGTTTTGCGCAAAGGTTCCTTGTCCGAGCGGAAGGACGATGGTCTGGTAGGCATGGGTCGGAAGGGCGGCTGGTCGTACGGCGTCGAGTACCTCGACAAGTCGGAACGGGCGCGTCGGTGACCAGGGAGTGGAGGTACAGGAGGAAGAGGGGTCGAAGGCTTCTCGGGCGGCAAGGGTGGAAGAGAGCGGTCGCTGCGGTCCGAGGAGATCGTTGCGACAGGCATTTCGCGCACCCCGGCCGCCTTCTGCGGGCTACGCCGACTCCACGATCTAACGGTGCCTCTCGTCTCGGAGAAGAAGGAGCCCGGCGGCGTGAGCGAGCGGACAGACGCAGCCGAATCCGCGACGACATGGGCGGGCAGCTGCGATTGCTCGGCGACGGGTCGAATCGCTTGCCTGTAGGAACAAGAATCAACTTTGCCCTGTCAAATGAGAGAGAAGAAGGACTGACTGCAAGGCGAGAATCCATCCGACCCTGTCTGCGCGCGTCTCGGCAGCGAAAAGTAGTCTGTCCCCGTCTTTGAGAACGACAGCGAAAGGGCGAACGAAGTTGGGCAGCGTGGGTGCATCGTCGTCCACCCTTGCGCACTCGGCGATGAAGACGGTGGGTCGGTCGTGAGGGTTCTGGTCGGTCGGGCGGAACTCGAGACTCTCGCGTGTGAGCACACAGTACCGGCGAGGCCAGTCTTGCGGGTCGGCGAGCGGGTTGCCAGTCGGCGGGACGAGGAGGTAGCCCTGCGAGACTGGGTGTCAGCAGGAAAGCGAAAGCAAGTGGCGGACGCTTGACGTACCTCGTGCAGGATGGGCAAGCCGAGCGTAACGGATCTCGCAAGACGAGTGTCGACGGTCGAGGCGCGATCTGCTGGTACAGGCAGCGGCTTCTCAAGTTGGTACGAAGGCGTCGCCTCGCTCAGCTCGGCGACCTCGTCGTCTCGACGGCTAGGCAGAGCGCCTAGTGTCCAGGACGGCTCTGACTGCTCAATCTGCCGCTGGAAAGCCTCGAGAGCCTGTCGCCGAAGCGTCCTTCGCCTGTCGATCTCGGCAAGCGGGTCCTCAACATCCTGGAGAGGCTGCTGCGGTGGGTTCGCAGGCGAAGATGACGCCGTGGAGCTGGTCGTGCGGATCGATGTTGTGCGTTCCGACGCCGCCGCCTTCGGTGCATGCGGGATCCGCTCGTCCTGCGCGGGTGGCGGGCGAGGAGTTGGCGTGAGGACGGCGGAAACGGCTCCGCCTTCGAACTTGGCCGCCTTTCGAGCAAGCTCTGGCGAAATGCGACGCGTAGGACTCGACTGTCGCGCGACGTCGGATTCCGAGCGGGACGAAGGAGGATGGACGGAGGACGACCCGCTCGAACTGCTGGGAAAGATGGATCCGACTGAACCGCTGCGACCGAGGAGTTGGGAGGTAGCGCTGACGTGTTTGTCGGGCGAGATGCTTCGACGGCTGAGCTGGGTGATCGGGTCCGAGCCGAGGGAAGAGTTGGACCAGGACGAAGGCAAGGGTTGGCGAGAGCGAGGTGGACGGGGGAAGGATGCTGCTGCATCTTCTGCGCTGGATGTAGCGCTACTCGTGTAAGAGAAACGGTTGGGGAAGGTAGATCGCGGCTGTTCGGGACTGGAAGGGGTTCGAGGGATAGTCGAGGAAAGCGAGAGAGGGCGGGGCTTCTGCTGGAACGAGTCTCGCCAGGTCGACAGCGACTCTCGCTCCGTACGTTCGCTGTTGCGAAGATCATCAGCGCCAAGTCCGAGCGAGAAAGAGGGTGAACTTACGGCACGTCCGAGAGCTGGTGAAAATCGAAGTCGATCTCTTCGCCGTTGCGCCCGTAGATAGTCGAGGTCTGCGTACGGCGAGAGTCGCTCGCATGCGTATCTTGCGCAGGCACTGGAACGTCGGCGTGCGCGGTCGATTCTGGCGATGACTCCGCCGGCGAAAGAGCTGGCGGCTCCGTCGATGGTTCACTAGCTGCCGGCGCGACTGGAACGGCTGAAAGCGAAGGGGCCGTCGATGTCGGAGGTGTCGGTTTCGCGCTCTCGGCGCTCGGCTGCGAAGACGCCTCGCTCACAACCGACTCCGCCTTTTTCGCCTCAGACGCCGCCTTGGCCGCTCGCTGAGCCTTCAACCGCTCCATCAAACCGCCGGCGAGCGCGACGTTGCTCGGCGAAGGTGAGCGTACGGAAGGAACCGGGGGTGAAGGTTGGCGGATGGAAGAGGCGGGAGAAGGCGCGCTCGTTGGGTTCGGTTCAGTCGGTGCCGAAGGCGAAGGCGAAACGGTCTTTGCGGGCGAGTCATGCGGCGACGCGGTGGAGCGGGAGCGAGAAGGTGTACTGGGAACCGATGGGCTGAAAGAACGGTCCGAGGCAGAGTGGCCGACTAGTTTCGGGACGAGAGAGCTGGTCGTCGCCGTCTCTGCCTGTCCCGCCGCTTCTTCCGCCCCATCCATCGCGTCCGTCAGCGCGCTGCTATCCTCCCTCTCCCTCCGTCGCTGCTCCCGCGCCGCCCTCGCGGCCGCGATCCGCTCAGAGGCAGAAGTGTCGGACGAGGTAGTGAAGGAACGGATCAGGTCGCTCCTGGTGGACGAACTGGGCGACGCAGGGCGCTCTGGCGGTGTCGCCATCCTGAAGTTGAGTGACCAGACTCAGTCGCGCTGGTGGGGAGAACGGGCGAGTTGAGCGGTCTGTCCGGAGAGGCGAGAGACGCAGAAGTAGCGAGCGTGCGCGTTGCTGGCCAGGCAGCGCGCCACAGGGAGTCTGTACGAGCCAGCAGGCGAGCTCGAACGTAGCGCGATCATCCTCGACCGATAGGAGAGCAGCGGTCAGTGCGGGTTCAGCGATGAGGCGAGCGGAGTTCGGGGGTGCGGGAGAACGCTGTGAAACCACTGCGCCAGGACGGCGGCAGTCAGTCGGAGAGCAATAGACGCTTAGCAAGCGCGATCAGGAAAGGTTTGCGAGAGGAAAGAGGAAGAGGAGGAGCTGCGGGACGACGGACGAGGACCACACCGAGCAAGCTTGGCGGACGCCTCACTGGACGAGCAGGACTCAGCGAACCATGGTTAAAGGACGGAGCCCCGTTGCATGCGAAGAGAGGAGGAAGGGAGGTATCGAAAGGACGACAAGGTGTTGAGAAAGGTCGAGGGGTGACATGCGACGAGCAGGATATACGGAAGCGTCTATAGCAGACCAGGATACTCTAGACAACAGGGTAAGACCGCCCTTTACCCGCCAAACAGCTTCTTCTTCTCGTCGAAGCTCGACAACGTCCACTTCTGCTCCTCGTCCCGCTCCTTTCCCTCCCTCGGCGACGCCAAACCAAGCCCGATCCCGATCCCGCTCGGCATAGGAAGCGTCAGGTCCATCGTCGTCGGGCGCTGCTTCGTGCCGAGCGCAGGAGGCGGACCTTTCCTCCTCGACGCCTGCTGGACCTGCGCCGACTTGAGGTCCGTCTCGGACGCGTTGTTTGCGAGGGTTGAGAGCGAGCTCGAGGTGATAGACGAGGCGAGGGACGAAGCGAAAGACCGGATCGAGCTGACGCTACGCTGCGTGCGGTGCGAAGGGCGCGCCGGCCTTGACCTCATCTCTCGCTGGTCGACCAACCGTTCCACCGGCTCCTTCTCCCCGCCCAATCTCGCCTCAAACTCCTCTCCAACCTTCTTCTCCGTCTCAGGCGTGAGCGGCTTGCCCAACGAATCGATCGCTTGCCGAAACTCCTCGCCGAGACTCAACCTTCCATCTTGCTTCTTCTCCCTCGACTCCTCTTCATCCGTCTTCGTCGCCACAATCCCGAGACCGAGGGACGTAGCAGAGCCTTCCCGAGGCGGCACAACCGCATCGCGTGAAGCGAAGAACCCTCCTCCACCAGCTCCGTTCGCTCGATCGCGCGAAGGTACGAACGCAGGTTTCTGCGCCGTCGGTGCCGAGGGAGAGAGGAGGTTTGAAGCGGATTTGGTCGTGCGGAGTGGGGGAGAGGTGCCGGCGAATTTGGCTGCGATGGGCGTGGCAGTCGAATTGGGCGTCGTAGCTGGCTGAGTAGGCGATGAGAGCGGGATTTGTGAAGGTGAGGGAGGGGGGAAATCAAAGGCTGCGAATGTGGGCGTGACAATCGGCGATAGGTGGCCGTCGCTCGATGGTGCGGCGGGGAACGAGGGAGAGGGCGGCTCGAGCAGTGGCGAGGAAGTGCCGGGAGTAGGTGAGCGCCGAACGGGGTACTGCGGACTGGGTGAACGCGTGCGGAACGAGGCGGATGAGCTGAGAGTTGGCGAGTGATGGCCGGATGCGGAGGCTTGTCGCGAGCGGGCGGCTGCAAGCGGCTCGTCAGCTCCTTCCATCCTCGCTAACATGTGGAGCAGTTGCGGTACGCACACTCGTTCGCCTTGCTGAACAAGATCTCCCTCTCGACAACCAACACCTGCAAGAACCCGGGACTAAGCCTGAGCGTCGGGCTCAAGATCAGCCTCAGATTCGTAAGCGTCATCTTGTTCGTTTCCGAGTGAGCCGAGAGGTGCGCGAGGTGGTACGCGATCGCTCGAAGGAGGTGGTAGTTCTCCGCCGGGAGGGAGGTAGAGAAGAGCGTGCTGAGGTGTTCGAGGTAAGAGTGGGGCGCGCGGGTGTCGGCTGAGAAGGCAGCAGTTGCGGCGGATGTACCGCTCACGACGCCGTTGGTGGATGGGAGGGTGGAAGGAGTGGTCGATGAGGCGGAGGCGGCGTTCGAGAGGAAGTTCGTAGACGAAGCGGGGTAACCGAGTGCGGAAGTCGTCAACGCGTCAACGACGGGCTCGAGGTCGTGCGAGAGGAGTGGTTCGGGAACTGTGCGAGTGGCGGTCAGCAAGCGAAGTCGGCGACATGGAGGGAGAGGCAACTCACTCTCCCTCAACCAACTCTTTAACACGCTCGCCACCGCATGCGGATCCAAATCGCCAGGATGTATCTCCCTCAGATCCACTTCCTGTCCCACACCCGCATCAAACACCGCCCTAAGCTGCTGCGTATGCAGACTCCTCCCAGGAATCCGATACACGCCTTCTTCCTTCTTTCCCCATTCTTCGAGGTATTCGAGGCATCGGTATGCGAGGCCAGGGAGCCAGTACCGTGCGTCGAGGCCGGTTACTTCGTCGTCTGCTGAGCGAGTTCGAGGGAGTGAGGAAAGTGAAGGTGGAGAACGGGTGAATTCGACGAGTGGAGCGAGCGGGCGTCCGAACGCAAGTCCGCGAGCGTTCGGGACGCGGATACCGAAGAGAGTGGTAGGGAGTTTGATCGAGGTGCCGCCTGGGGGTGGACTTGGGGAGGGATAGAGGGGCGAAGGAGCGGAGAGGTGTTCGAGGTGTGGAGTCGATACGGACGATGAGAGCGAGCCAAACGAGGGGACGGGTGAAGACGAAGCTGAGATAGGCGGTGAAGTTGAGGGCGAGCAAGACTCGCCAGGCGATCTGGGTCCGCCGAACCCGCGCCACGACTCTTGCAGTTTGCCCTTGCCCTTGCCGCCCCACTCGCGTGCGAAGCCGACTCCCGCGCCGAAGCGGTCCTTCAGCTTGGCCTGCTGGAAGCCTCGTCCGATCGCGCTCAATGCGCTCGAGGGGTTGAGGCTCATCGACGAGGTGGAGGAGGTAATGGACGCGGCGGAAGAGATGGAGGGGTGCTGGGGAGGACGGTGGCGTGATCGTTCGGGAGAATTCGAGGGAGTTGGGCGGGAGACAGTGAACATTGCCGGCTCAGGCGAGGAAGGAGAGGGGAATTGGCTGGAGGACATGGCGGAGAACGGCGAAAGCGACGGTGGACCGGAAGAGGGCGTTGCGGCATCGTAAATGCTCGTCGAAGCTGCCCCTGCGCTTGAAGGTTGAGGCGGAGCAGGCGAAGACACGAGGACTGGTCGAGGAGGAATCGACGGCGGTTCCCTCGAGCGATTCGAGCCCGGCGTTCCCGCCCGCTGCCCGTCCTCCCTCTCCGTCATCGCCGTCATCCATTTCGCGATACTGTCCTTCCTCTCCTGCGGTCCCGCCTCGCTCGCCGGATCGGACCCGGCTTCCTCCTCGCTACTCCTCCGCACACTCGCCGGCTTCGGCGGTATAGGCGGTCTAAACGAGTGTCGCTTCGAGCTAGCTCGGGGCGTCGGATGCTTGACGGACAGGCGAGAGGGCGGTTCAGGGAAAGACGTCTCCGAGTGGTTGTCGCTCGATGTCGAGGGTCGCGGTGCGGACGCGAGGTACAGCGGGATGGTCTGCATCCCTGTGCGAGTCCAGCTGCGCGTCCCTGCACGTGCCCTGCGTCGACGAGAGCGTGGGAGGCTGCGATCGACGCGGTGAGGACGAGGGTGGTGGGGAGACGGAGCGGGAGAAGAGGCGGCGGGTCTAGCGGGCGAGTGAGCGCGTGTACAGCGTGTGTACTCGAGTCGGCAGTCTCCCAAACAGCCACAGCAACACCACAAGCGCGGTCAACTTGCGAGAAGCGAACCCTTTCTTCATCTTCTCGCTCAATTGAAGCGAGAAGGGGAAGGGGCTCTTCATTCTAGCGGGAGCAGACACGCTATCGTACCGTCTAACAGCTTGAACAACCACCCTCTGCTCACCGCCAATGACCGTCGCCCGCGCCATCCTCGACGAACCTCTCCTCCTCGCTGCGGCAGAACAACTCGCCCGCGCTCACCACGCGAAGTACGATCCCTCGCACGACTTCTACCACGTCGAGCGGGTGCGCCGACTCGCACTCTCCATCGCACGCTCCCTCCCCGACCTAGTGGACTCGCTCGTCGTCGAACTCGCCGCGCTCTTCCACGACCTCCTCGATGCGAAGTACCTTCCCAGAGACGCGCCTGTACCATCTGCGCAAGAGCATCTTGCTGGGTTCTGGGCGGAGAACGGCGCAGGGTTGAGCGAGGAGAGGAGGAGGCTCGTCGAGCGGATTATCGAGAACGTCTCGCATTCGAAGGAGGTCAGGCGGATCAAGGAGGGCAGGCAGACCGAGTGGCATGAGACGTGTAGCGAGCTGCATTGGTGCGTCGCGGATTATTGCGGACGTGGGCGAGGTTGTCAAGGAGGAGGAGTTGACATTTCTCCATCTCCCTTCCTTGGGTGTACACAGCGTGCAAGACGCGGACCGGCTAGACGCCATCGGAGCCATCGGTGCGTCCCCTCGCCGCCTTCCCCTCAAACCCCGCGAGCTGACCCTATCCGACTCCAGGCATTATGCGCTGTTCCGCCTACTCCGCCCTCGTCTCCCGCCCGCTCTACATCCCTCCCTCTCCCCCCTCTCCCTCAGCAGCGGAAGACTACTCCACATGCGCCCTCGCGCACTTCGACGACAAGCTGGTGATCCTTCATGAGCGGATGAGGACGGAGAAGGGGAGGGAGATGGCGCGGAGGAGGACGGAGGTGTTGAGGGGGTTTAAGGAGGAGGTGGAGAGGGAATGGAGGGAGGCGTGTGGAGATGAGTGAGGGCGGAGGAGAGGCGGGAGGACAGGAGGAGGTTTACGGGATGGAAAGACGAGAAATGGGTCGACGGAGTCGCTCTCGACAAGAGCGCATCAAGTACGACCGCGATCATACTCTCCTCAACAGTCTTCGCCCCTCGCCTCCCCTCGCCAATGATACGACGCAACTAGCGCGCGACATACGCCATTCCTACCCGCCGCCTTCGCCATCAGCCCTCTCGCGTCCTTCAAGTCTTGAACACCGACTCGCGCGCCTTCTCGACGTGAACGACGCCATGTTCTGCTGCGAAGTATAGAGGCGTCATAAGGTGTAGACGGTCGTGGCGTGCAAACGAAGCCAGGAAACCTCGCTTTCCTCGTCTTCTGGCAGCTCAGCCGGCTTCCAGCGCTCCCTGTGGAGCTTCTCTACACGATCCTGGCAACGAGGGTGAGCAAGACGGACGAAAAGCCCTCCCCTCGAGGCTGCTTACGTGAGCCGTCTCCAGCCCGTGGTCACTGCAGACGCGGTTCTCTCGAATGCACCAGTCGACTCAGTCGCTTCACCTCTTCCCGAGGCTTTTCGCTCTCTTTCTCGGCTCTGTCACTTCCACTAGATTCTAGAATGGCTGCTCAGGTCGCGACACAGCAACAGCAGCCGTCGCCGGCACAACAGACCTCTTCCTCGACCTCCGCCACTCGAGGATCCTCTCGCTCTCGTCGCTCGCATCGCGGGCGCGGCCGAGGGGGACAGAACGGTGCGCAGGGACCCTCAAGAACGGATGCGGCTGGCGGCGAGCATGTCGAGGCTGTGGCGGATGAGCGCGGGGCTTCATCAGTCAGACGAGGAGGAGGTCGAGGTGGACGAGGGGGAGGTCGTGGAGGTCGAGGCGGGTCGCGAAGAGGTGGACAGAACGCATCAGGAGTTGGCGCACCTCGTCCTACGGGACAAGGCCGGCGCGCTCGCTTCGATGCGACCCTCTCTTCCTCCTCGGCAGGTCTTCATGCGTCGGCCGCACCTTTCGTCCCGCCTTCTTCCTCCTCCACACCCGCATCCGGCACGTCGACTCCTCCCGCCCCGGCACCCGTCAATCAGACCCTCGTCGAGCGACTGACAGCCGAGATCTCGTCTGGCGAAGCCGAATGCACCGTCTGCTTCGACACGATCTCTCGCACGGCGCGGATCTACTCCTGCACAGAATGCCACATGCCTTTTCATCTCTCGTGCATCACCAAATGGGCCTCGACAGCCGTCTCTGCCTCAGCCGAACGCGCACAACTCCTCGCATCCCGCCAGACGGACGCCCGAAACCCGCCCGATCCAGCCTCGCTCGAAGGACACTGGGCCTGCCCGAACTGCAACACCAACTTCAAGCCAGCCGACGTCCCGAGCAAGTACTTCTGCTTCTGTCGCCGATACGTCGATCCCCATTCTCGTCCTCCCGCCATCCCTCATTCGTGCGGCAAACCCTGTGCGAAACCGCGTCCGGCGGGTTGTCGACACCCTTGCTCGCTTTCGTGCCACCCCGGACCGTGCCCGCCTTGTCCTGTCGTCCTGAACGAGAAGTGCCATTGCGGTCGCCGGACGCTCGGGTTGAGGTGTTCGGCGCTGCATGATGGGAAGAAGGACACGGAGGAGCGGCGGGCGGCGAAGGAGGCGCTCAAGTCGTGCGGAGAGACGCACGATGCGCTTCTTAGCTGCGGCTTGCACCGGTGCGAGAAGAGCTGTCACGAGGGCGAGTGCGGCGAGTGCGAGGCCGTGCGGATCAAGAGGTGTTTCTGCGGGAGGGACGAGACGGAGGGCTTGTGCGGAGCGACGAGGCCGGACGAGCGGATTGACGGGTGCAGGATGCCTGGCGATCCGGCGCAGGAGGTCTGGACGGGCGAGTTTGCCTGCTCGTCGCGCTGCAACGCCCTCTTCGACTGCGGCAAGCATCGCTGCGAGGAGACTTGCCACCCTCACACCTCGACGACTCCGCCTCACTGCCCTTTCTCGCCCGACGTCGTCACTACCTGCCCATGCGGCCAGACCTCCCTCTCGACTCTCCTTCCTTCCCCTCGCTCCTCCTGTACCGACCGCATCCCGACCTGCGCCAAAACTTGCTCGAAAACTCTCGACTGCGGCCACGCCTGCCGCCAAACCTGCCACGACGGACCCTGCCCTCCCTGCCGCGAGACCGTCCCGCTCGTCTGCCGCTGCGGCTCGACGAAGACGACCCGACTCTGCGGCGAGCCCTACCTCGCCACACGCGTCGACCCCGACTCGGGCGAAGTCGTCACGACCGACGAGTTTCTCTGCGCGCGAGTCTGCAAGGCGCAGAAATGGTGTGGGCGGCATCAGTGCGGGAGGACGTGTTGTCCGCTTGCGTACCAGGAGGCCTTAATGGCGGGCAAGGGCAAGGGGAAGAAGAGGGCTGTAACATTGCAGGAGAGTCTTGCGGAGCAGGAGGCGCAGGATCCGCTCGGTCTGCATCTCTGCGACCGGGTATGCGGGAGGAAGCTGAACTGTACGTGCGGCGCCTCTCTCGGTTCGATGAGTCGTGGCTGACCCGGTTGACGTGCGCAGGCGGCATTCACAATTGCGAGCTCAAGGACCACCGTGGCGCCTGCCCGCCTTGCTTGCGAGCCGATTTCGACGAGTGCGTTCTCCCTCTTCGTCTCGTCTGGGCTACGCTGACTTGTTTGCAACACAGACTCGTCTGCAACTGCGGCTCGACCGTCGTCCTCCCACCCATCCCCTGCAACTTCGTCATTGACTGCCGACACCCTTGCATCCGTCCCTCCGAGTGCGGCCACCCTCGCCTCCCGCACGCCTGCCACGAGGACCCGCAGTGCCCTCCCTGCCCCTACCTGACGGTCAAGCGGTGCGCATGCGGCAAGCGCGAAATCCCAAACGTCCGATGCGCGACCGACGAGAAGAAGGTTAGCTGCGGCATGGTCTGCGGCAAGCTTCTTCGCTGCGGCGGTCATCGCTGCCGCAAGTCGTGCCATCCGCCCGGCGAGTGCGAGGCGGTCGACGACCAGGTGTGCCTCAAGCCGAGGAAGCATTGCGGTCACCCTTGTCCCCTTCCCTGCCACTTCCCCTCCGCCTGCCCCGCCGATACGCCCTGCCCGAAGCTCATCCCCGTGCACTGCGCCTGCGGACACATCACCCAAAACGCTCGCTGCGGAGCGTGCGACGACAAGCCCGAAGGAAATGAAGGCCGTCTCCTCAAGTGTACCGACGCTTGCGCAATCGCCAAGCGCAATGCTCAGCTCGCCGAGGCACTCGGCGTCGAGAAGCGCGAGATCAAGACGAAGGAGGTGGAGTACTCGCCCGAGTTGCTCAGTTTCTTCGCGGCGAACCAGGCGTCGGCGCAGCAGATCGAGACGCAGCTCGTCGAGTTCGTCAAAAGCGACAAGCCGAGCTTGCACTTCCCCGTCATGAAGCGACCTCAGCGCGTGTTCATCCACGAGCTCACCGACCACTACGACTTGCGCTCGGAATCGCTCGATGAGGAGCCGCGTCGCTCGGTCGTCGCGCATCGCACCTCGACTTCCGGCATCCCTTCGCCAACTCTCGCCGAAGCCCTCGCAGCGACGAAGAAGCCGGCGAGCGCGACCCTCAGCCTCGGCAGCCTCCGGAGGGCGCTGCCGGAGAAGCGCAAGGAGAACGCGATCTACCTCGAGGGCGTCCTTGGCTACGACGAAGAGATGTTGTCCGACATCCTTCGCCCGCACATGCGCGGACTGAACTTTACCCTGACCTGGGTGGCAAGTCCGGCTTTCGTCCTATTCCATCTTAGGGCGAGCTGACATCCCATGCCTCGCAGACTGACGAAGACGTCCTGGTCTCCTTCGACGCACCTGTGATCGACCTCGACACGAAGCTCGCCTCCGTCGCCTCCGCTCTCCGCACCGTTATCGCCGACACCGGATTCTGCGTTTCCGCCGAGGCCGTTCACGTCGGCGACGATGGGCGCATCGCTCGTGGCTCCTGGACGCCCGTTCTCGGCTCGTCATCCGCGCCAATGAGCACGAAGGGTTCGTCGACCGGCTCGGCGAATGCATGGAGGATGCCGCTAAAGACGGGCAACTCGTTCGCCTCGCTCAGCGCTGGCAATAGTCCGCCTCGTGCACCGCAGCCCGTTGCGAACGCATGGGGCAGTGTGATCGGCAATGGCCATGCCAAGGTGCGAACCGCTCCTCTCCGTGATATTTGCACAGTCTCGCTCATACCGCGTGTCTCTCGTCGCAGCCTCCTCGCGCCGTCTTCGCTCCCCGTGGTGAGGAAGAGCGAGCGCTCCCTTCCCTTTCGGCACCCACATCGTCTGCGCCGTCTCGCATACCCACGCCGAGCTTGCCGCCGCCGCCACCAGTCGCCCAGAAGGATGAGGACGTGCCGGACGAATGGGACGCGGACGTCGAGTAGGGACGGCATTCTCTCGCATCGTGGACTCGCATGGTAGCACTGCATCTCTGGGCAACGCGGCATTCGCATTTTCGCGTCGATACCGTCAACTTGTTAGCAAAGTCTGCGCGCAGTCGCCTTTCTCCCTTCGCCTCCTCACTCCGCTTGCCCCGCTCACCGTTCCTAAAATGCTGGACCGTCTCGCATACCACTCTGTGTTTTCCCAACGCTCCTGGCTGTCCCGCGGACCACTCAGCTCGCTTTGACCTCCCGGGCCCATCCTGATCGCTCAACACGACCGAAGTCGCTCAACTCGACTTGCACGGCTCGCAGAGTCCACTGAGCTCGAAGAAGGCTGCTTGATTCGTGTGCTGATTCTGCCATCCTTCACGTCCTCCTCTTCCCCTCCACACCCGTCAACGCGTCAATCCTCGGTAACTTGATCTCGCTTCATCCGACGGTAGGCCGGGCAGGCGATGTGGGCTGGCGCAGGCGGGCTATTCCGACGCTTTGTTTCTCCAGCAATACCCATCGAAGGACCAGCGCATGCACAGGCGGACCGCGAGGAGGAGGAATCGTCGAACGCCAGCTTCAGGACGGCTGAAGAGGGTCTCTACGGCGAGTACAGCAGCGCAGGAAGAGCCACCGCTACACCGGACATCCGCCTCCAGTCGCCGAGCGGCGGGATCTACAGCCCTTCCTTCCCTTCAACCACCTCGTTCCGCTCGACTTTCTCGCAAATCCCGCGCAACCAACCAGCTCGCTCTAGCCATCCTCAGCCAGGCCACCCTGCTCCTGCTCCTGCTCCTGTATCCGACATACGCGAGCCGCCTCGAAACAGCCCGAATCCGACCGTCGCCGTCCCTCCAGCTATGCCATCGACAGCACCTCCTCTCGCGAATCGAGGTCTTATGGATCGCTTAAAGGCGCAACGGGCGGCACGGATGGCTCAGCCAGCGCCTTCCCCGGTTCAAGCAGCTCGCGAGGATCTCCAGCAACCGCCTCCTTCGCCTCAACCGCCGAAATTGCCTTCACCGCCCCTGCAGCCATTCCCGACGTCAGCTTCCGAGGTTCTCCAGCATTCTTTCCCGGCTGCGGAGGTCGACGGCGTATCACACGTGTATCTCCCAGACGACCTGTTCGTTCGATCTGCCTCGCCTTTGCCGACCCACCTGACGCATTGTTCCGCAGCCCTCTTCACGACGTCACACACGACGCAACCCGCCTCTACGATTTCACCCGTCCGCCGCTAGGCTCGATCGCCCAGCCAGCAACCGAAGCGGGCGACCTCTACGAAGATCCCTACGTCCAGCCGTCTTTCTCGCACACTCCGTCTCTCGAACCCGCCAGTCATCTGCCCTCCCAGCCTTTCATCCGACGACGCGATTCTCCCACGCACTTCCACGGCGTCGAATACGCTGGCGAGCTGGACCAGGTTCCCTACTCCCCCTGGACTCTCCCGCCGCTCCCGCAGCAGAACGCACATCGCGTTCCATCTCGTTTGGGCGAGCGCACGTTGCTCAACGAAGCGGCTCCAGTTCTCGTGGCGACACCCGCCCCGCCAGTAATCGACTCACCAGTGCCACCGGCTCCTCCGCCAAACACGGCTCACGTCCAGCCGCTCTCGCAACCATCGCTCAGTGAGGAAACGATGACAGACGACGAACCCGCAGACCCGTGGGAGAGACGGGCGAGGCGAGAGAGGCGCGAACGGCAGGCTTTGCTCGACTGGGAGCGAGCGCGTCGCGAGGAGGAACGCCGAAATCAACCGCCTCCGCCTCCCGATCCTCCTTCACATTCTCTCTCGCCAGTCGAGCATGTCGCGAAGGCAGTCAGTCCGACAGAAGGACAGCCGCGTTCGTCGTCGCGCTCACACCAGTCTTCCGCTTCCTCCGCCAGTCCGCCTCCTAAACCCGAACCGGTGCTAGCAGAAGTGCGTAGGCTCTTATTGTCTCTCCTACGCGAAATTGACTTGAAGTCTCTGCAGGGCTGGCTACTCCTGCCGCCAACGCACCGGCCTTTTACCGACGGCCTCCTGCGCTTCCCGGAGCAATGGACGCCGGTCTATGTCCTGCTTACGCCAGTCACTCTACACCTCGGAGGTCTGCAAGGCGAGCAGAATGAGGTGAATCTTCCTCTCGCCGACGTCGTCCGTGTCGTCCGCTTGTCCGACTTCAACCAGCCGACTTTCGAGCCCTTTCGAATCGACTTCGCCAGTGGCGAGTACCTCCATCTCGCGGGCACGCAGGCTCTTGACGCCGCATTCTGGTCGCTCAAGATCGAGTGCGTCTGAACTCTTTCGCTCTGTACCTGCTCCGCAGCTCTGCAAACTGACGCTCCGCTCGGCAGCAACGCGCGCACCGGCGCCTACCACCGACCGCCAAGTATCGCTGAAGACGTCGCCTCGCTCGTCTCGACTACGCCAACTCGATTGTCGCTACGAGGGGGTCGTGCCTCTTCCCGCTCGTCAAGTCGGACAACGCTTCACCCGCTGTCGCGAGAGCCGACCGCCGCTCTTCCGACGTTCCCCGGCACGGCGTCCAAAAGCGTCGAGAGCCCTGCCTGGATGCGCGACTTCCACCAGGCCGTACCCATGAACGCCTACATCGAAGAACTCCCGGCCAATGCCGGTTCTGACGACTGGGGAGCGATTGACGACGAGCTGCGACGGACTGCGCAGGCCGCTCGTCTAGTCGCAGCGGGCAAGACGGGTTGGCCCGCCAGGCCACCGCCGGAAGAGTCCCCTCCGCCGTCTCGCCCGCCAAGCGCGCTGCAACAATCCGACGTCGACGCTCTCGGGTTCATTCTCGGAAAGTTGCAGCAGCAGAGCGATGCGCTATCTGCGCGGGCGGTGAGGCAGGAGTCGAAGTTGCAGCTCTCGCGGGAGGAGTTGCGCGGACTGGAGGAGCGGATCAGGGAGCGATTGGAACGAGAAGGTCGGAAACCCAGCAGGTCGGAGCAGAAGGTGCTCGACAAGGTGCGTTCGGTCTATGAGTGCCCTCCAAAGCCGTGCTGAGCGAGCTTCTCCATCAGGTCGAATGGCTTCTCCATCTAAACGACGTCCAGCTCCGCAAGTACGCTTACGCCATGCTGCGCGACGGGTCTTCAAGCGCGTCTGGCAGTACGGCGAGGGCCTTCCAGAAAGAGCTTGACTTGATGACCACGATCGAGAGAGAACTCGAGTCGTTGCGGAGAGAGACGAAGGAGGTGCGAACTTCTCGTCGCTTTCAGTCGATGATAGCTGACGGTCCACTTGCTCACAGCTACCGACGAACGACCGCAGTTCAGTTACAAGCAGCGCAGATTCGCCCTCGCAGCGCAGACCTACGCGCTCACTTGCTCGCAAGCCTAGCGCTATCAGCCGGTTCTCCGCCAATACGTCGGAGAACGTGAGTTTCGTTTTCTCTTCTTCTTAGTTCGATAGAATTGACCGCTCGCTCGACAGATCCTGTCGCCGACGACCCAGATGCAGCCTCAACCGCTACCGATTCCTCGCTCGTCTCCGAGACGCAGCCCCTTCTCGCATGCTCGACGATCGTCCCAAGATGTATACGATGTCCCGGAAAACTCGCCTGTACACGCAGCTCACTCTGAGCACATTTGAGCCGTACTAATTTGCGCCGTTCACCAGGTCTTGCACGAGGCAACGACCTCGACCTTCAAGGAGACGCCCACGCATGAGGGCAAGGTTCAAGAAGCAAGGAGGGGCTCCTCGACATCTGAGCGAAGGCGTCGTCTTCAGGAGGTACGTACCGCCGTCCCCCCGACCAACCTTGCCTTGACCACTTCGTCTCGCAGCTCTTCCTCGACGTCGAGTACCTCTTCCAGCAGCAGCAGTCCTGTGCGTACTGTCATCGATTGAGGCGCGGGCTCTGCTCACGCTGTCAATGCAGACATCGCCTCTTCGCACGACCAGCAAGAACGGCTTCGCCGCTCGCTCGGCAAGATTCTCAACGTGCGTGGCTCAGCCGCTATACTCGCTTCCGCTGTTGACGAGCTCTTCCTCATGCAGCTCTTACAGCACGACTCGGAGTACCGCAGCGAAACTCTCTCCTCCCTCATCGGCCAACTCTACGACCTCACCTCTCGCAAGCTCGATATCCCTCCTCCGCCTTCTCACTTTCCGCGCCATCCGCCCCATCCGCTTTCAATCTACAGCGGGTCGACAGACACGACGTCGGTTTCGTCCAGCGCGTCTGCCTTGAACATGCCGCCGAAGAAGGAGATGCATCTCCTCCCTTCGGACGTTCGTATGGCACCGCGCCTCATTCCCAAAGAGCTGACGCCGCCTCAGCTGCCAGCGAGGGCGCCAACGCAGGCAGTCTCGGGGCGCGCCGCGACCAAAAAAGCGGTCGAGCAGGGCGGAAAAGCCGGCGCGACGAACGGAACACGGCCAGTCTTCGGTGCGTACCGTCGCACATGAGGCATTCGTTGCGCATAGAGCTGACGAAGTACATGACAGGCGTCGATGCGGCGCTTCAGCCTGCGCACCACATGCACCGCTGGCAAGCAGGTCCCGAAGCAGCAAAGGCCGCGCGGGAGATCGCCGCAACCACGAAAGCAAACGAACCAGCACCATCTCGTACCTCTCCTGCACCGGTCGACAAGACGAAGCAACCGACACCGGTCGTCAGGCAGGATGAGCGCGTCGAGAAGGCGCTCGAGACGCTCAGCCGGCCCGGAGCGAAGCAGGAGAAGGCGGGCGCAAAGTCTGGCCTCAGCAGCGAAGAGGCGGCGAAGAAGGCTGTCGCTGTGTGGGAGTTGCTGGACGCGCAGAAGCGGGCGAGAGAGGAGGAGGAGCGGGCGAAGAAGCAGGGAAGAGGGCGAGGAAGGGGTTTGCGGAGGTAGAAGAAGGCCCATCTGCTGCGATGGCCATCCTCGTACATCGCACACTACTCAGCGCAAGCGTGCATCCCAAGGTGACTCTGCGAGCGAGTGTCGCGAATGAGTGTGAGGACGACGCCCTGCTCGACGTCTGGCACGCCTCAGCCGATGGCGCCGGAGCATGTGGGCATTCTGAAGCTCTGCTCAAAGAGCTCAGCAGTGCAAGAAACCCCCATCGAGCGAGGTCGACCGCATCAACCTGAGCGGGAGAGGCGAAGTCGCGAGTTGTCCTCACACACCGCTCGCCATCGACCGCGTGCAGCCATGGCCAAGCGAGGAGCAGAGAAGCAGCTCACACAGGACAACGTGGACGACGACGAGCGCCAGGAAGAGGTGCGCGCGCTCTCTCACTCCATCTCCTCCTTGCCTCAACCTCGAGTTGCTCACGCCAGCTTCACGCGTGCAGGGCGGCTCGGGCGACTTCAGGAAAGCGTCAGACCAGGCTTTGTCGGGGCGCAAGTGCGTAGCCGGCCACTCTGGCTCACCGTGTGCGCCCGCTGACCCTCGCCGCCTCATCAGGATCCGAGGGCTGCCCAAGCGACGAGGCGGAGGTGCTCCCGGTGCCGCGCCCGCCGCTGCACCCACAGGAGACGTGCCTGTGAGTGGCGCGAGCGATTCGAGTCTGCTGCGCCGCTGACACTGCTCTCCTCCTGCAGAAGCCTTCACCTTTCGGCGGCGTCGCCTCGCCCAACCCTTTCGCTGCCTTGAGCGCCTCATCCTCCACCCCGGGGGCACCCAATCCCTTCGCTTTCGGCTCGAGCGCCGCGCAGCCCGCATCGAACGGTGCAGCTCCCTCGTTCTCCTTCGGTTCGACCACCTCCACCTTCTCCGCACCCGCTTCTTCGTCTTCGACCCCTTCCTTCGGCGCACCAGCCACGTCCAGCTTCACCTTCGGCGCTCAGGCGAAGCCCGCCGCACCCGCACCCGCACCCGCACCCGCGCAGTCCGACAAGCTCAAGTATTACACCTCGCTGCGGGCTCTCAACGTCTCGCTGCTGGAAGCGCTCTCGTCGCGAATCGACAAGGATCCGTTCATCGACTTGTCGGCTGAAGGCACGTTCGACAAGCTGGAGCAGAAGTACGAGGAGCACCGGGCGCGGGTGGACAAGGAGCATGGCATAGCGAAGGAGGACAAGATGGCGGTCGAGGCTCCGGCGAGCTCGTCGGCTGCTGCAGCTCCCGCTCCTGCGCCAGCGTTCGAGATCCCCGAGATCTTCCGCAACCCGCCGAAACCTGTTCCCATCGCCGACCTCACCGACACCAGCGGTGCACCCGACGCCGCACCCGCTTCCACCTCGTCCTCAGCTCCTCAAAAGGCGACGGTCGCAGCGGACGACATCCCCGACATCTTCAAGAACCCTCCCAAGCCTGTTCCCATCGCCGACTTGTCGGAAGAACCTGCCGAGAACAAGATCGCGCCGCCTGCCCCGCCTGCAGTCTTTGCTTTCGCTGGGAGCGCTGTCAAGTCGACGTCGAGTAGCTCGTCGAACTCGGCTCCTCCCGCGGGCGGATTCGTTTTCAAGCCTGACTCGGCGCCCAAGGTCGAGAAGAGCTCCTTCACGTTCCCTGCGGCCAGCTCTTCCTCGTCTGCACCTTCGACTTCGGCACCCTCGTCATCGGCGCCAGCCAAGTCGTCGAGTCGTGACGAGCTCAAGCCCCCTTCGGCCCCAAAACTCGCCCCCGCCAAACTGACCAACCCGCCTTCGAAGCCCAGCCCGCTCCGGTTCGGCGAGAGCGTCAGTCCGCCTACGACGCCTGAGAAGGGTGCGACGGGGGGAGAAGAGGCGCAGAAGCCTAAGGGTGGGTTCTCGTTTGGAGCGCAGTTTGGGAAAATCGCAAAGGGCGAGAAGGAGGGTGAGGCGAAGAAGGATGAGGGAGAGAAGCAGGAGTCTGTGAAGGAGCAGGAGGAGAAGAAGGAGCCACCTAAGCCGGCGTTCTCGTTTGGCTCGTCCGGGTCGCCGTTCTCGTTCGGTTCCGCCACGTCCACCTCGACTGCTCCCGCGTCGACTGCCTTCTCCTTCGGTAGCGCGGCGACGTCTTCGAGCTCGACCGAGACACCTTCGAAGCCCGCCTTGACTTTCGGCGGTCCAACGCCTTTCTCGACTCCCGCCTCTACCTCCCTGTTCTCCGCCAAGCCGGCCTCGTCTCCTCCCATCGCCACCTCGTTCGGCTCTTCCTCCCCTCCCTCGTTCGGCTTCGGCGCCGCCCTCCAGACGAAGGACAAGGACCAGCCTGCGCCGTTCACTGCAGGCCGCAACACGGGTTTCGCGTTCGGCTCAAACATTGGCTCGGGCGGCTCGACTGGCTCAACGGGCTTCGCGTTTGGCTCGGGAGCTCCTGCGTCGGACAACAAGGGCCAGGCTGCGAAGACGACTACCGGCTTCTCCTTCGCTACTGCGCCGCCCGTCTCGACTTCGACCGATTCGACCTCCGCTCCAGCCGCCGCCTCTTCCACCCCCTTCTCATTCACCGCCTCTTCCGCCCCACCCGCCGTCTCCTCCGCCCCCTCCACCGCAGGGGAAACCGACTCGCGCGCGCAGACGCCCGGCGCAAACCCCTTCACCGCTCCAGGCGAAGGCGAAGAAGGGGAAGACGTGTTGCATAGTGTGAGGGGGAAGGTTTGGAGGATTGAGGGAGGCCAGTCCAGCGAGTTGGGGATTGCGAATGTGGCGGTTAAGGAAAGGAAGGAGGGAGGGAAGGTGAGGTTGTTGGCGAGGAATGAGACGAATGGGGCGGTCCTGATCGTGCGTCCGCTCGCTCTCACTCTACGCAAACCGTGAAGTGTGCTGACGCTCACAATGTCGTCGCAGAACTTCTCCCTCTACCCCTCTCTCTCGCTCAAGAAGGAGAAAGTGTTCGTCACCTTCCTCGGTTTCGGACCCGACGCCAAGCCCGTCACGTACAGGCTGAGGTTCAAGGACGTCGCGATGGTCGAGGAGTTTGTGGACGCGGTCGAGGAGGCCAAGAAGAAGCTCCCGGCGGCTTGAGGCGCGAGGAGAGAGGGTGGTAATTGCTTATGATTTGCTGCATTGCGCATTCGTTCGTTTTACTCACGTGTACAGCTAGTCTTGCGCTCGAGAGAGACGTTCCCAAGGGAGGAGAGGTGGAGTGTCCGCGAGCAAGCGGTATCGGCGGTCAACGATGCCAAGTCCCCCAGCGACGGCGTCAGTCTTCGAGCGACCGGTTCGTGCAGAAGAAGCATGGTGCTGCGCAAGCCATTCAAGCTTCACGGACAAGGGCAGGCGAGCCAATTTGGAGCGAACGCAGCGGAACGTCACCACCACGGGGGGCGTGGACGGCGGTCGTTGAGGCGGACGGCGCTGAGATAGCGAGTGAGGTGGTTGTGGAAGAGAGAACAAGTACAAGTCTACGCCTACGAGCGTACTGTACTTCGCGAGAGAGCGAGACGAACGATCCCTGAGTATGTGACCTTCCTGAGTTGGCGATTCCTTGCTGATCCGCCTTGGCTGATTGGCTGAGGCTGCGCGTGAGCGTGTGCGTCACGCGCAATCGCGGCGCAGTACGTCACTCTGTCGCCTGCGAAGGAGCAAGCCCTCGAAGTGCATCCATTCCGCTCCTCCTTCTCTCTTCTCCCTCTTCACTCAGACAAACAATGGCTCCCACCACAGGAACTCACATCCGCGACATGTGCGTACACTCGCCAACTTGCACGAAACCCGCACTCGAGAGCTGACGTCTCTCTCAACCTGCCTCATTCCCTCGTCCTCGCATCGCGACACCTCCTCGTCCTCCCGCAGCTCTGAAAACCCGGCAAAGAACGCGGTCACCTCTCCCACCGACCCCCAGTACAAGGCCGTCGACACTGACCGCAAGCTCAAGGTCTTTGGCGTCATCGAGGCGTTCAGGTGCGCACATCGAACCCTTCAGGTCTCACAGTTCGGCTTAGCTGACGAGCACGTCTTTGCAACGACGCAGGAACGGCAAGCTCCCCAACAACGAGTCAGTCGGCAGTCTCTGCAATGTTGGGAGGGGAAGAAGCTGACCCAAGTCTCCCTCTGCAGGCAATGCATCCAGGCGCTCGACTATGCCGTCGGCCACTCTCCCATCAACGAGCGCAGGCTCTCCAAGGACGGTCAGACGCTCGTTGAGGACACCCGGAGTGAGCAGCGGCTTTCCCGCCTTCTCCCTCGACTTAACGCTGACCCACCTCGCCCGTTAGACATCATTCGCGTCTTGAAGGAGATCGTGGCCGAGAAGAACGACGACGAGCTCTTCCAGAACTTCTTGTTAGTCCCGCGCAACGCTCGCTTCGTTGGAGACACCACCGCTGACTTGCACGTCTCCCGCTAGCTACCACACCCGCTCCGTCCGCCCGCCCTCGCTCGGCGATGTCAAGAACGTCGCCGTCAACACCGACCGCAACCAGATGCAGTCCGACGCGGACCAGGCCGTCACGCACCTGCGCACGCTCGGCAAGCTCATCTTCACCAACTCGGAGGCGCGCAAGCTCCTCAAGGACATCGGTCTCCTCGGTCGTGACGTCGCTGCTGACGCCGCCGTCAAGGCTGCCGAGGTCGCTCGCCCGGACCAGGACCAGCTCCGCCAGGTCGACGAGCCCGCGCCTTCGAACCAGTGGGTCGGCCCGAACGGTGAGGTCCGCGACCACACCGACCCCGTTCCCGACACGGGTCTCCAGGGCATGAAGGAGGAGGCGTACCGCAAGAAGGACCAGGCGTACCAGGCCAAGGAGGAGGCCAAGGGCGAGTTGACGGACCGCGCGTCCAACGTCGCTTCCGCCGCCGACCAGGGCCAACAGTCGCAGGCTGGTCCCGCTACGGGCCACATCGGCTCGGTTGGCGACGCCGCCAACGCTGCTCAGTCGACCGCGTACTCGGCCGCTCAGTCGGGCACCCAGTCGCACTCGACCGGCGGATACTCGTCCGGCAACGGCCAGCCTCCGTACTTTGGCGGCGCCCAGTCCGCCGGCGCTGCTACGACCGGCTCTTCTCTCCACGCTCAGCCCGGCCAGACCCTCGCGACGAACCAGGGCGGATACTCGGCGACCGACGGCTCGCTCGGCTCGATGCACTCGACTCAGCAGGGCGGCTTCTCCTCTGCCCAGGCGCCCGGCTACGGCCAGACTCTCTCGACCACTGAGGGCAGCCTCGGCAACTCGCAGCCGAACCAGCAGCAGCTCGACGAGGGTCGCGCGCGCGCCCAGGCCGGCAAGGATGCTGGTGTCGGTCAGGCCAAGGAGGAGGCGAAGGGCGTTCAGGACAAGCTGCTCCAAAAAATCCCTGACGAGCACAAGGAAAAAATCTCCAACCAGCTTGACAGGACCAAGGTGCGCTGCGATTCCATCCATCTGTCGCGGCGAAGTCGCGGAAAGGCGCTCCTTCCTCCTCGGCGCTTACTGACTTCCCTCCTCCGCTCCTTCTCGTCTACAGGACTACCTCAACGACAAGTTCCCTCAGGAGCGTCGCGACCGCTTCATCTACCGCTTGAAGAAGGTCATCGTCGAGAACCAGCGCCACCAGGACTACCAGGAGGCGATCGACTTCTTCCTCGACCGCGCCGAGCACTACCAGGTTCAGGCGAAGGAGGCGACGCGTCAGTCGGGCGGCACGGCCGGCACCGTCCGCCACGACAACGACTTCCAGCAGGCGACGACCGAGCTCCGCACCCTCCTCGAGCGCTTCGCCAACGGCCGCTCGATGCAGCCCATCTGGGACTCGGTCGACCAGCTCTACACTGACGCCCAGAACGATGAGGGTCTCCGGTGCGTTCGCTTTCCCTTCCCGCCGTCGTCGCTTCCACCCTTGACCTTCCCAAGCTGACTCTTCCTTGCGTACGCCTCCCACCTTTGCCTCCCACAGCTCGTGGTTCCGCGAGCTCGACCACTACATCCGCCAGTGCCTCCAGGAGCCGGGCTACATCATGAAGGACGAGGCCGACCGCCGCGGCCGCGAGCTCAAGGAGTCGGGCAAGCACTACTTCGACCCCCAGAACGGTCGCTACTCGGGCCACAAGGACCGCTTCTTCGACGAGGTGCAGAACTTCTTCACGGCCTACGCCGACGACGGTCTCAACCAGCGTCTCGGCGAGGCTGTCAAGACTCTCGTTACGGACCTCTTCATGGACAACGAGGGCAACCTCAAGTACAAGCCGCATCTCTGGGGCGACATTCGCAAGGAGATCCTCCCGGCTCTCTTCCAGCAGATTGGCTACGTGCCGATTCCCAGGTGTGTTTCAATCGCCTCGCCTCGCCTCGTCTCGTCTCCTCTCCGCCTCCCTCCTGCTTCCTTTCACAAGTCAGGCTGACACTTAGCGTAACAGGGCGGAGTACACGTCGAAGGAGGTCGACCTCGTCATCGAGAACCTCACCCTCGAGACCGCCAACCTCCTTCCCAACATCTTCGAGATCGAGGCGCGCAACTACTGGAAGCTCTCGCCGTACGACAACCTCGGAGACGTTTCGAAGCACGCCTTCTGGGTGCGTCTCGTTTTCTCCTCCTTCGCGACGAGGCCGTCGACGCTGACCTCGCTTCGCCCCTGCAGATCTCGTTCTCGCAAGTCCAGTGCGACCTCAAGGATGTCGCTTTCTGTGCGTACTGCCCCTCTGATTGCACACGGGTGGGAACGACGCTGACTTCGCCGTTACTTTCTCGCAGACATCAAGAAGAAGACCGGCTTCCCTCGCCTCACCGACTCCGGCTACGCCGACGTGTTCATCGGCGGCAAGGGTATCTCCGGCAAGGTCCACGTCGAGTCGACCGGCCGCAAGCACCATGCCTTCAAGGTCGTCGAGACCAAGATCAAGATCGACAAGCTCAAGTTCGCCGTCCGCGACGCGAAGCACTCGACGCTCATCAACATGCTCCGCCCTCTCGCGACTGGCCTCATCAAGACGGCCGTCTCGAAGGCGATGGAGGCTGCCATCCGCGCCGGTCTCGAGCAGGTCGACAGCCAGCTCTCCGACTTGAGCGAGCGCCTCGAGGACGCGTCGAACCAGGAGGGCACCAACAAGATCGACGCCCTCAAGCAGTCGTTCCGCGACAAGAAGGTCGAGGCCCAGGAGAAGAAGGAGAAGGCCAAGGCCGCTGCTCGTGCGTTGCGCCCTCTTCCCTTTTTTCGGACTCGCGCTGACATCGTCTCGCCCTCGCAGCCGACGGCCAGTTCGCCATCACGCTCGACCCGAAGGACAAGCTCGTCAACTGGTCCGCGCCCGACTCGATTGTCGACAAGGTCGCGAACCAGCAGCAGAAGGCGCGCAAGACGGGCGAGATGGGCTGGGAGTCTCCCGCCTTCTCGATCGTCGGCCCCGGCTCGACCTCGAACGCGCGCTCGTCGAACTACAACTACAGCCACGGCTCGGCCGCGCAGCCCGCGCACCAGCTCTGAGCTGTCGATGTCGTCGTTCGCCGCACGCACGCAACCTCGTTCGCCTGTACCCGTACCCTCTTGACACCCCTTGCTGTAGATACGATTCCCCCAAGTAGTGCTAATTGACCCTGAACAGTCCGTTTGCTCCAATTCATGCCTCGCGTTGGAGAGTCGTTTTCGTCTCGTACTTTCGCTCGCACCGGCTGTTTCGTCGCCGCTACGGCTGGCTGCTCGAGATCATTCGACTCTCGTTTTCACGCCTCGCCATGAGGTGTTCTACAGCTTCGCGCGTTGCCAGAAAGTCCCCTCACATCCCTTCCTGTTCCTCCCTTTCCCACCGCTCCAAATCCTCCCTCTTCCTCCTCTTCCCCTTCTTCGCGCCTTCAAGCCACTCCTCCCACCCTCTCGCGCTCTTTCGCTGCCCATCCCGTCCGCAAAAGAACCGCCACATCCTCTCGAGGCGCGCAGAGCGAGAGGAGGGTTCGTCGAGCCAGGTAAGTAGGTCGAGGGCCGCGGAGTCGACGAAGGAGCGGGAGCGGAGGTTGCGCAGGTACGTGTGGAGGTCGGTGAAGGCCAGGTTGCGGATGCGAGTGTAGCGGGAGTTGGATGCGTAGGTACGGACTGAGGGAGAGCGAGGGTGATCAGCGGCGCTAGAAGGCAAGGACGGGAGAGTGACAACGCACTGAGGATGTAGACGGGAAGAGGAGCGGTCTGTACCATCCCCGCAACTTCGGGCAAGCCAATCTCCTCGTTCTCCCAGATCCACTGCATGACCACCGTCATCGCTTCGAACTTGGGCAACAAGTCGGAAGTGATGCTCCTGTAAGCGCGAGAACGGTGCAAAGGAGCTGCAGCGACGATGGCCGCCTTGTTGGGCTGCCACATGCCGATGAAGCGTCCAAGTCCGGGTACAGCAAGCTCGTTGTCCTGCAGGCGATCTGGCTTGGCGCTCCATTTCTCCGGCGGTGCGACAGCGCATGCGAAGCGGACGAACTCGTCGGACAGCAGAGAGGAAAAATCGGCTTCGACTGGCTCGTCGACGAGGTAGGGCTGATAGTGGTTGAAGAAGAGACCGGCGACAGGAGGGAAGACGGCCGACCGCGAGAGGACGTCGGGCAAGTCTTCATTGAAATTTTTGGATAAGCTGGCCGTGCGGGTTTGGGCTTGTCGCGGACCGCGGGAGCGAGACTTCGCCGGAGTCGACGGGCGGGTTGGAGTCGTCTGCGCTGTCTCCGCCTGGCGACTTTGCGAGTCGGATGATCTGCTCGGCGCCGTCTCGGCTGTCTCTTCGGCCGGCAAGTCGAAGAAGTGTCCGATGCGCTTGTGACGCTCGGCGACGGGCGAAGACGACGACTTGGTTCGGGCTCGGGGCGTTTTCGGCGGGGCGTCTGTTGCGACAGCAGAGCACGTCGCCGCTTCTGACTGTGTCACGCCGTTCTCGCGGGTTGAGCGACCCGTCTCGATGCGCACGACCTCCTGCTGCTGCTTCGAGCGATTCCTGCAAGGTCCGTCCGCGCCCTCGTCCTCCCTGCCGCGCTTCGAGCCCTGCTGCGCCGCTGAACCCTGCTCCTCTTCCTCGTCGAGCCAGAACATCCGTTCATCCGAGGGTTGCGCCGTGTCCAACCCGTACTTCCTCCATCGCGCGAGCACAGCGTCGAGCGGTCGATCGGGCCAGGGGAAAAAAGGACAGCGGGTACGCCGAGCGCCAGGCAGTGGCTGTAGCTGCCATTCGCGCGAGTCTGAGCCAGGAAGAGCGTGGTGGGCGAGCGCAAGAGTACAAAGCAGATGAAGCGGTCGTGAGGCGGTGCGAAGTCGGCGGTTCACCTCGACCACCACGCCCTGTACCGCTCTGAAGGCGTCAAAGAGCTCAATCCAACTAGCAGAAGGCCATCTTGTCCAAGTGGACTCGCCTGCCCGCTGTTGCAGCGACTTTCTCCGTCCTCCTCCTCGTCGCGAACAGACGCGACCTCGCAGACTCGACATCACGGCTTGCTGAAGAAAATTCGGTGACACCATGCGCTCACTACTTCCACAGAAACGCCCTTCGCCGTCTTCGACACTCGCGAACGGCGGCGCACCTTCTCCCGCCGACCCCTCTCTTCCCGCATCGAAACAACCCCGCATCGACTCGTCAACGGCATCGTCGAGCGCGCCAAAGCGGCCAAAGAACGCAGAGATCTTTCTCAAGGCGCACGAGAAGGGCGCCAAGCCGTTCAGGGACGCGCAGGAGCACTTTGTCGAGGCGCAGTTCGAGGTCGAGGATGCGGCGAGTTGTGCGTGCAGGCTCTCGGGTTCGCCTGCTGCGTTCGCTGACTAGACCTGTGCCGGCAGACCAGGAAGCGCTGCTCGCGATGGAGGGCCTCACGAACCAGCTGCACCACCCGAACCGGTTCGTCTCTTTCTCCCTTTCGTCCGTAAGGCTCGCTAAGCAGCCCTTCTCTACGCGACAGACACCACGTCCGCCTCCTCCTCTCGCTCTGCTTCTTCCCTCTCTTTTTCAAACCGCCCGAGCAATCCTCCGCGACCTATGCTCGCAACGCCTCGAGACCCGCTCGCCCAACCTCCACCGCTCGAACACGCCTGCTCACACTCTCCGACGACCCTATCGCACTCACGCATCGCAAGATCCGCGAACTGGCGCGCGAGATGCTGAATGATGTGATCGGGACGAATGGGGCGGAGGTCGTTTGCGCAGCCGTAAAGGGTTATGGACTGCCTGAGCGGCGAAAAGGCGGGGAAGACGAAGCGGACCCGTTCGGACTCGCAATTGAGTCGAAGCGCAAGGCGAAAGGGAAGGGAAAAGCCGCCACGACAGACCCGGACTACGAGCACCCGCACGACTCGGCTGACGACCCGCTCGCTGTCTCGGCGGACCGGATCCTTGGTGCGGAAGACCTCTGGGACGTGTTGGCGGGCACGGTGGCAAAGGTGCCGCGGCTGAGGACGAGGGAGAGGCCGGTTCTTGAGGTGGGAGGATGGGAGGTCGTGCGAGTGCTGGTGCGAGGTTGGGAGGACGAGTGGCGGAAGAAGCGCGGCGCTGTCGGCGGTCTGTCGGGTGCGTCTCCCTACTCGCTTTGCCGTCGCCATGCAATGCTGACGTCGCGACCACAGAGCCGCCCGAACCCCTCAGTCTCCTCCGGTACTTCAAGCCCTCCGCCTCGTCTGGCGCCGCTCGCGAGCTCTCCTCCAAAGCGCTCGACATCGCCTTCTGGCCGTTCTCTGACTACGCGATTGATCTGGACGCCGAGCCCGAGTCGGACGAGGACGACGAGCACGGCGATACGGACGAGGAGCTGCTTGCGGACGAGAAGAAGGGCAGGAAGCGCCAGGTTGCGGCGATGACGGAGAGTCAGCAGCAGGAGGCGTGGGAGGCTGATGGAACGACCTTGCTGGACAAGAAGGAGGTCGGTGTCAAGCTGGTCGGCGTGGTGAGTCCGCTCGCCCGCTCCGCTAATACAAGCCGCTTACATTCCGCTTGCCGCAGATTGGTGCATCGGCCGTCGACGGCTATTTGTCTGGCCCTGCGGTCATGGCTGAACTTGTGCAGCGGATGAAGGCCCTCGCGCACGAAGACTTCGTCTCGTTCGTCGAGGTGAGTCCTTTACCTTCCACACTCTCGGGGTACTGAGAGCTGATGCTTGCCACGCACAGCTCTTCTCGACTCACAAACTTTGCACACCTTTCACGATCCGCTTACTCGCCGCCTACCTCGAGACGCACTCGCATCCACTCGCCGCTTACCCTTCCCTCCTCCCGTCTTCCGACATCTCCTCTCTTCCGAATCCGGGAAGCACCTCCCCGCGCAAACTCTCCCTTCACGCAACCAACAGCGCCGCCTCGCTCGACTCGAACCACGCCAGCGGCTCATCCAGCACGTCCTCCTACTGGCGAATCCCTTCGCTCGAGTCTTCCGACCTCCTCCACCTCATCGCCCGCGTTCCGATCGAAGTTCCGCTCCCTTCTTCGGCTGCAACGACTTCGAAGATGACGCCAGGACTGCCAAGGACGTTCACAAGGGCCGCACGGGCGGCGGAGAGCCATGCGCTCATCAAGCATGCGTTGGTTGGACTTCTCGTCCCTGAGGCGGGTTTAGCAGGAACGGCGGGACGCGACGATGCGCTTAAGAAGCTGCGCAACATGATGGACCGGGTAGCAGAAGTCGTTGAGGAGGCGAAGACGAGAGTCGAAGCCGCCAACGGCGCGGCGGCGTAGGCCTCTGGTCGACTCCTCTCGCTCGTTGTCTCCCGCATCGCACGCAATCCTGACACGTATACTCGATGCTCCGGAGCATGACAGTCCGCCAGCGCACTCCTTGAGCCCGCTCATCCCTTCCCCTTCATCCCCCACCTCCCGGTTACTCGACCGGCTTCGTACGGTTGAACCGTTCGAGCGACGAGACAGTAAGCGACTGGCTCGCGCTCGCTTTTCTTTCAGCGCTAGCGCTGTTTCATGACGCTCGATCGCGGTGGGGATGACAGCGAAACGATTCTCCGGCGGGGAAGACGACGAGGAGGAGCGGAGAGGAGGAGGAGGAGGAGGGCGAGCTTCCGACGCTTCTTTCGCTTCTCTGCCACTCCCTGCTCATTGGCTCCAGCCTCACCGACACTCGAAGCTCTTACCATCTCCCACGACCGACACCAACGCTCAAAGTCCCCATTTCCGCCATGCTCGTCCCCTCCTTCGCCGCTGCCGCTCTTACAGCGCTTGCTTCGTTCGCCTCCGCTTCGCCCGTCAACTCGGCTGGCAACGGCGCACCCGCTCAGACCACTGCCAACCTCACGAGCCAGTTCCAGCCCATCATCGCTCCGGTTACGCCCCCCGAGTTCAAGTGGCTCTACACGGCCATCGTCAAGTGTCCGGCCGACCTTCTTCGTGGCGACGTCGGTCCTTACGGTCAGCGCAAGGCTATACCCATTGTTGGAGGATACCTCGAGGGACCAGGCATCAACGGCACCTTCCGTAACCTCGGCGCCGTGCGTCTCGGTTCCTTCATTTGTGTTGCTCTATGGCATCTGCGCTCTTACTGACGGCCGTTGTCCCACGCTTCGTTCCTCTCGCCGGCGGACGCTGTCTTACGCAGGACTGGGGCGTCGTGCGTCGGCCGTTTTCAGACGCTTTCTAGCACAGCTAACACTCTATTTGTGCAGGTCGACCCGCGTTCAGGCATCTTCACCGCCGACACGCGCTACAATGCCGTCCTGAGTGACGGCAGCGACCTCTACTTCAATACCTTCGGCCCGAAGACGCAGGACGGCTCGCTCCACCTGCACATTAAGATCGAAACAGGCTCAGCTGCATACTATCACTTAAATCACGTTGTCGCCGTCGGTGTCCTCCACAACCTCGGCCACGACGACCTCAACGTCTCGACGCTCCGCATCGACGCCTTCGACGTGAGTTCTTCCGTTCCCCTCCTCGCACCTTCCTCTCTGACCTCCCCCATCCTCAGTTTAAGACGGACTACACCAACCTGACGCTGCTTCCTGAGTGAGTAGCGTGGGAAGGGACTCAACCTCCTCGCGCTCTTTGCGCTGACCTTCCCAAGTTGCAGCTCAAGACGGACCACACGAATTACAGACTGCTACACTGAGTGCAAAGCGAACAAGGGAAATTCATAACGTTTGCACAGCGTTCCGCGGACCTCCCGGCGAGACTTGTCTCTGTCCCGTCTCTCCGCTCTTCATCCTGCCTCGTTCTTGTCACTGCTCCCCGCTCGCACGCCCTCGCGATGGCCGTCTTCTGGCTTGTTGGATTCATTGCGCTCGTCTGCATCGCCGGACAGTCCAAGCCTGCTGCCAGACCGCCGAGCGCACCTCCCTCGCCTCCCCATCTGAACTGGCTCTTCACCGCACACCTCGACGTCCTCCCGAACACTGCGCCGCTCGTTCCCGGCCCGCGTGGTGTCAGGCTGAATCTCCCGATCACTGGCGGGACTGTCCACGGCAGGCATGGCATGAACGGTGCGCTTTCGGCTCTTCCTCTCTCCCGCTCGACAACTTGCTCTAAGGGCGTTCTCGGTCGCAGGAACGATTCTCCCGCACTCGGCAGACTGGGTTCTCGTCGATCCTGTCAGCGGCACCGGTTCCGCAGACGCGCGCTGGGTCATCTCGACGCCCTTTCCTCCCATCGCCGCTCCTCCCGCCTCAAAAGCTCCTTCGGCTCAGCAACCCATCCTTCCGCCTCTTCCGCCGCCAGTCGCGTCGCACTACATCTTCGTCTACACCGAGGGTCCGTCGCTGCCCAACACGGCGAACACCAAGGCTCATTTGAGGGTCAGGTTCGAGACGGGAAGTCCGGCTTGGAGGTGGCTCAACTGGGTTTGCGGTGCGTTTCCTCGCTCTTCGTCCTGCACAGTCTTTCACTGAACAGCCTGGACGTTTCGCAGCCGTCGGGATCCTCGAGATCACCAACCCGAACAACTCGACCGTCCAGGATGTCAAGATCGACGTTTTCAACGTGCGTCTCGCGCTTACAGCCTCTTCGCAGAGTGAGCAGTGTAGACTGACGTACCCTGTCGCTTAGCTGGCGGGCGAGTTCGGGCCCGCGACGATGCAGGCGAAGTGAAGAGGGTCGCAACCTCGACAAGTCATGGCGGCTGCAGTCGCCCAGGGCTTGCTTAATCTCTCGCAGTCGTACTTTCCGAGCAGGAAGTGAGCAGTGTGTTCTCTGTCTGTAATTCTTCGGACGCGAGTCGCTGTGAGGAAAGAGGAGAAGCGAATTGATTTGTGGTCGCAACATGTCGGTCAAGATCGGTAGAGCAGACGACGGATGGATTCGAGAGAGACGGAGAGGAGAGGGAGGAGAAGCGATTCGCGCAAGATTGGAGGTGGACACAATGAGGGGACTTGGGCACAGAGGGGAACCGTTGGATGAGGCGAGAGAGCGAGAGTGGGGGCGCCAGGACTAGGGAGCGAGAGACATGTGTGCTGAGAGAGAGGGAAATTAGGGAAGGGAAAGGGGAGGAAACCGAGGGAAGGAAGCTAAGGCTGGAAGCGCTTAGTCTGCGAGCCGAGAGAAAGTCAGCTCGGCTGTGACACAGAGTTGAGCAGGCTAGGCTCACATCCGCCGCCGTAGCCGCCCTGACCGCCCTGGGGCTGCTGCTGCTGCTGGCCGTCTGCGAGGATGGGGAGGAAAGGTCAGCGATTGTCTCGACAGGCAACAGGCCTGAGAACCTGTTGATGCGGTCGAGCACGAGAATGAGGAACGAGTCGCACAGCCACCGTAGCTGTAGTCTCCGCCGTCGTCTGAGAGGGGGAGAAGACACGGAGACCGGGAAGAACCGAGGATCAAATGCGAGGCGAGATCCGAGGTCAGTCGCGAAGGAAGGAAATGAAGAGCGTCGAAGTCGTCACTCGCCGGCTTGGCCCGTCCCCTCAGTCCCGACTACGAGACCAGGGAATTGACAAGGCGCAAGCAGCGGTTGGAGACACGACGAGGCTTGACGGAGAACACAGAAACGGAAAAACGACGAGGAAACGTCACGCACAACCCTGGCCGCCGTAGCCGCCCTGCTGCTGACCGCCGTAAGGTGCGCCCGAGCCGTAGCCGCCGTCTGTCCCAGGAGAAAAGGCATCGGAAAGAACCACGAGTCAAGAGCCAGTCGACGGAACGGAAGGGAAAGGAACGGAAGAAACGCAGCGGGAGAAAGGAACGAGAAGAGGAAAGTGGAAACCTACATCCGCCCGACTGCTGGCCGTAGCCCTCGGCACCGCCGTAGCCCTGCTGGGCACCGGCGTAGCCCTGCTGGCCGCCGTATCCGCCACCGTAGCCGCCCTGGCCCTGCTGGCCGTAGCCAGACTGGCCACCGTAGCCGCCGCCGTAGCCGGACTGGCCACCGTCTGCTCGAGCGCAGCAGTCAGTCGCTAGATCGGAAAGCTTTCGAGAAGATGAACGAGTACGTACATCCTCCACCCCCGTATCCTCCACCGCCGTAGCCGCCCGAGCCGCCACCGTATCCGCCACCGTATCCACCGCCTCCACCACCGCCGGTGCGCTGGTTGGCGATGTTGACGCGGATGCGGCGACCGTCTGCGAGCGAGAGAAGCGGAAATGTCAGCACAGAAAGGTCGAAACGTAACATGTGGAAGACTTCACGCACCCTGTAGTCGTCGGAATCGTCGAGAAAGGGTCATGGAAGGAGTGAAGAGAGGCGAGAGCGCGGAGACCGAGGCAAACCCAGGACCATGTCAAGTTGAGGAGGACGAGTCGGATAGGCCAGGACGAGACGGAGACGGAACCGAAGGACACCCAGGCGCGAGTAAGGGAGACGGGAGAAAGGAGACGACGGAGGCAACAGAGTCAGAAGGAACCGCTCGAGAACCGGAAAGTGATGCGCGCCCGTTCGAAACCCCTTCTTCCGCTCAGTCCGCGTCGTATCCGCACTGCACACTGCTGCCTCCCGGAGAACGGAGACCTTGGAGAAGGAAGCCCGAATCCGAGAAGCAGCTCTCGTTCCGTCACGCGCCGTGCCCCCAAGCTCGCTTCCGCATACAATCGACGCGCGTCCCGCAATCCGCATAGAGTGTTCAAGGGGGTGCTTCGTTGCCACGGGATGGAAAAGCGTGGCCTCACAAGCTCCTGCTCGTTCATGGTCTGGATCGCGGCGTCGGCAGCGGCCTGGTCGGCAAAGGTGACGAAGCCAAAGCCGCGCGAGCGACCCGTTCCCGGCTCAGTCATGACGATGCAGTCGATCACCTGGCCGAACTGCGAGAAGGCGTCGCGGAGCGAGTCCGAGTTGCTGTGGTGTGATGGAGATGGGACGAGCGGGAAGATGTCAGCGAGATGTCGGCGGCGGCGCGGCGGGGGCTCCTGCAAAGACGCACGTTCCCCAAGAGAGGTTACCGCAGTAGATCTTGGCGCTCATTCTGGCTGTCTGGTGCGTGTGAGCGGAAAGCGAGAAAGGAGGGTGGGAGGAGGAGGCAAAGCGGCGTTTGGCTGCATCGCTCGACCCCTTCACAACGCTGGGGCCGCATTTGCTACGCCAGACTGACCAGAACGCTCTGCTTGACCAGCTCAGCGAACCCGCGCACGCTTGCGCGGCGTTGCGAGCGCAGCACGCCGCTGTTTCGCCTCCAAACAGCCTCCCAGACCTGGCACGCGGCATCGGGACTCAGTATGGGGCTTGCGAAAGGTGGAGGCAGTGCATTGTGCTGGAAAGGGCAGCCTGGGCGATTATGGCCCCCGGCGGACGTATTGCCGCTGCTGCAAATCGTCTCACGTCTCGTCGGGGTGACCCTGGACTTTTCTTGACCCCATCTCGCGCTTTAAGACCACCCTGCATTCTCGAAACGCTCATGCAATGCTTCCCGAGCTCCTCTTGAGCTCGCGCGAGCAAGCCGTTGCCGACGTAGGCGAGTTGAGGCGAGTTCTAGGGCGAGCTCGACTTTCCGACGCTGCCTGTGGCGCTTGTAGGCGCACACCGGGCCCCTCAGACCAAGCTGTAAATCTCGATTCACGCGCTGCGACCGTTTCTGCCTGTGTGTGCAGACGGTGACGGACGAGCGCTTGTCATCCGCCTATGGTCGTGCTCCTCCACGCGCGCTGGACGGGCCACGACAGCATAACCTGCGGCCTGTCGGTCAAGAATGTGCTCTGCAGCTCTCACCAGTCTTAACGTCGACTGCATCGTCATGACTGAGCCTGGAACGGGTCGCTCGCGGCTTTGGCTTCGTTGACGCTGCCATCCAGACCATGAACAAGCAGGAGCGCTTCTCTCGCGACTGTAGGCAGCGCAGGATGGCTAAAATGATGGGATACAACTGCTCGAATGCAAGTACCGCATCACACAATGACCGCCTTCTCCCGCGCGATCGAACCCTCGTACCTCCTTGCGAAAGCTGCCGAAAGCGAGAGTCAGGCTCAGGTTGGGCAATGAGGAACGTTCTGTACGCACCTTTTAGCCGGGAGGGAGGAGCGAAGCGTCAAACGCCTCGACCTGGTCGCCGGTGGTGTCCTCGTCCGCCATACCGGACCAAGGTGAGGCGATGGGAGCTGCTCGGAGAGCCAGCATCAGTATTGCTCAGCAATCACGAACAAGCGCTCGATACGCACCACGGGGCATGACCATCGCGCCGGACCTCGCCGCCTCGAGGATCCCGTAAGGCCTGACGAGCTTGAGGAACGCGTCGACCCTGGTCGTCTTTCCAGTCATCTCGACGATAACCGAGTCGTTCGAGACGTCGACAAGCTTTCCGCCAAACTGCTTGGCGATAAGCTCGATGCCAGCGAGGTGCTGGTGCTTTTGCCGGAGCGCCTCGCTGGGCGACAGACGGGGTGCGTGGTAGTCGACGTCGACGCCCGGGTGGATCGAGCCAGCCGCTTTGACCGTGTTATCGGCGTGCTGCTTGGCGGGGGAACCCTCTTCGAGACCTTCGGTCGCCGGGAGGATGTCAGGACCCTTGTTGGCGAGCTGCTCGCCGAAGTACTCGGGGCCGAGGATCGAGATCTTGGCGAGGAGGAGCTCGCGCTCGATCGTCTTCGTGCGAGTGTAGTCGAGGACAGCCCAGACCGGGACCTGCGAGGGGGCGGCGAGATTAGCTTCTGCGAGGAGAAGTTGCGGAGGAGGCGGAACGCACCAAGTCCTCGAGCTGCCGCCTCGCCTGCTCAATGACGCCATCCTGGCCCCTCAAGACGATGCACATCCGCGACAAGTCCTCGACCTCGGTCGCGCAGACGACGAGCGAGTCGATGTTGAAACCGCGGGCGGCGAGGATTCCGGAAACCCTCGACAAGACTCCCGGCTCGTTCTGGACGAGGCAGTTGAGGGTGTGCCGCGTGAAGGGCTGGAGCGAGGGGGGAGGAGCTGCGCGGAGGGCGGGCGCGGGCCGGGCAGAGGAGCCGGGGTGGAAAGGAAGGTCCGGAAGGTCAGCTCGTTGGTCCTGCGGCTCTGGCGACGGCTAGGAATGTGACTTGCTGTTGTATAGGATGTTAGATACGGCCTCCTCTGGGCTCCATGTCGGCGGCTCGATAGAAGGAAGGGGAGGAGGCCTTGCTCGCGGGTGCGACCATTTGTACTCCGCCGCGGCCGTAGAACTCGCTGTTTCATGCGGCTGCTTGTTAACAGGCCTCGTAGGGGCCGACTGGGCGCCTGGGGACGTCGAAAAGGCGCGGAGCGGGATAGGAGGCGTTGTTGTCGAGTGCGATGGAGAAGTTGCGGGAGATTGGCGAGCGACGGCGCGCGCGGCTCGTTGCCGTAGGACAGCGAAAGCCATGGTTCTAGCGAAGTGCTGCGAGTGTTCTGTGCAGCCCAGCGAGCAGCAGAGAGACGGCGAGCGAGTAGTTCAAGCCAGAGTCAAGAGGCGGAGATTGTGGCCGGAAGCACGAATTTCGCTGGCAGTCAAGGCGAGGCTGAGAGGCGTTCTTTCCAAGTTACTGAATCGGTACAATGCCCGACAGTCTTTCCCGAAGCCGTGAAAGCCATTTCCGAAGCGAGAACAGCTCGACCACGTACGCGCAAGAGCGTCGTATTCCAGCAACTCAGCAACGAGAGCTCCAGCCGCCGCCAGAGAAAGCGGGAGCGACCCATATGAGCACCGCATGCCCGTTGCAGGATCAGATGGGGAGAGGTGACGAATGTGTGCGAGCTAATGTACATGCGACCGCGGCTTGGACGGCGTTCACTTCTTCGAGGAGTCCTTGCCGTCTTGCACTATACGCACAGGAGCGTCAGTATGCGCGAGAGGAGCGGCAAGGTAGGAACGCACAGTTGAGGAGAAGGGCATCCGAGTCGAGCATGAGCTTGTTGCCAGAGTTGCTGACGAGGCCGGCAATCTCGCGCGCAGCCTCCATCTTCCTCAGCTCCAGGAATCTGTGCGCGACGAAAAGAAGAGCAATCATCAGCTTGCTAGTCTTGTTTGACAAGCAACTTAACGATGAGGTAGAACCGCAGACGCACCCCTTGTTCTGCTTAACGGCCTCACCGATGAGCTCCGCACTCCTCGCCTCACCCTGCGCCTTGACGATGATGCTCTGCTTCTCCTGCAGCGCCTGGTCAACAAGGTACGCTGCCCTCTGCGCCGTCTGCTGCGCGATCTGCTTCGCCTCGACCGCCTCGGAGAAGGCGGGGCTGAAGGTGACGTGCGTGATCGAGACGTCGTCGAGGATCAGGTTGAAGCGGCCCGCGCGGCGCTCGAGGTTGTCGCGCACGAGCTTCGAGACCATCTCGCGCTGGGTAACGAGTTGGCTGCGCGAACAAGAGCCCGTTAGTGCTGAACACACGACCGAGCCGCGCGTAGGGACTCACGAGGCGTTGAACTGAGCTACGACACTCTTGAGGACCTCGTTGACGATACTGGGCAGGACAACCTCGTCGTAGTTGGCGCCAAGCTCGGTGTAGATCTTGGCCAGCGCGTCCACCCGTGGTCGGCACAGGACACGGCAGGTGATGTTGACCATCTGCAAGTCTGCGGGCGTACGTAGGATGGGTCAGCTGGGAAGGAGGCGAGGGGGAAAAGCGGACGAACCCTTGGTCCCGGTCAAGGAGGCGATACTTCGCGGCTTCGAGCGGACGTCGTAGATGATGGGCGTCTCGAACCAGGGGATCTGCGAGCTCGGTGTCAGCTGATCTGCCTGTCCTGCAGCTGTGGAAGCGAACGCACCGCGATGTGGGTTCCTTCGTTGTAGACCTCCTCCGTCACACCATGCAGGCGGGTGTACTTGACCGCGCGGTGACCTCCGTCGACTGTGCGTCCAAAAGCACAGGATTGAAGCCACAGCAAGCGGGAGGAAGAGGGAGCGATCGTCGTCAGCTCTCCCCTCATCGCCTCGACACTTCGGCACCGCTCAAGCAAGCCCGCACGCACCGTTGAACAAGCTGGCGTTAATCGCAAGACCACCGACAGCGAGCGCGACGACTCCTCCAGCGCCGCCGAGCATCGCACCGAGTCCGGGACCGCCGCCGCCGTTTCCTCCGCCTCCAGGACGAGGGCCGCCTCCCTGTCCGAATGCGCCTGCGCGCTGTCGCAGGTACCGAGCGCCGAGTTCTGCGAACGAAGGTCCACGGCCAGCCATTGTAGTGGGAGAGGTGCAGCGGTTTGAGAGGTCGCGAGGTGAGCGAGGAGCAGGAGTTATCCTCAAGCCGCTCGAAGTGTGCCGTTCGGGGGCTTGATCACACTTTCAGACGGTAATATCACTGCTGCCCGAGCGACAGCTCTCCCTGTGGCATTCTGAGCAGCACAGAAAAAAGCACTCGTCGCCTCGCTTCATAGCTTCATACGCCCTCAGGCGATGCGTTCTGCAGCAAACAAATGCAGTGATAGCTTCAGACGATACAAGGTCTCCTCAGTCAGCCGAATGAAGCGGCGCGGGAGCTTCGCCTCCTCGCCTCGTTGACATCTGTCCCTCGACCCGCTCACACGCTCGCACGCGCACCAGCTGCGCACGATGCCCTCTCTCCCGTCTCTCGCACAGATTTACAAAGACGCCAACGCAGCCGGCACCGCAAGCGACCTCACGGCGCGCGACTTGAGACGCTTGTTGGCTGAGACGGGCTGGACTTGCTCCGACGAGGAGTGGAAGGAGAAAGGGCTGAGGGACGAGGCGAAGGCGGTTTGGGGCGAGCTGGTGGCGCGTCTGCGCGACCTGATCGGTTGGATGAGGAGGAGCTGACCGTGGTACCCTCTCGGCAGGCCAACGACGGCGAGGGAGACGCGTCTTCGCCTCCTCCGGCCAAAAAGCGCAAGACGAGTACGGCTGCAAAGGACGAGGACGGGGCGCAGGAGAGGAAGGGCGGGAAGAAGAAGATGGGGGAGAGGAGGAGCAAGTACGAGCGAGCGGCCGACCGGAACTTCGAGGTGCGCCGGGGTCTTGCCGCTCGCAGGATCCAGCTAGTTGTGCTGACTAAGATCGCATTTCACGCTTCCCGCAGACCTTCGCAGCGGCCATGGTTGACGAAGTCGTCGAAGGACTCGCCGGAGGCGCCGCAGCTGTCGCCGCCGCTCTCGGTCCCGGCGGGTTGGACGATTCTGACGAGGAGGAGGAAGACGAAGACTACGCTGGTTCCTCGTCTGGCTCCTCGCCTCCCTCACCGTCGAAGAAGGGGAAGAAGCCGTCGGCTTCCTCGTCCGACTCTGGTTCTTCCGACGACGACGACGATTCGGGATCCGTCGCCTCGTCGAGCGCTGCCAAGAAGGGCAAGGGCAAGGCGAAGGCGGCGATGAACGGGAAGGGCAAGGCTAAGGCTGCGCCGGCGAAGAAAGGCGGGAGGAAGGGCAAGGCGCCCGCAGGAGGCTTCAAGAGCGCCGAGTTGATTGCCGACTCGGACGACTCGAGTAACGAGCTACCTCCGTCGAAGGCGATCGATGACAGCAGCGACGAGGACGGCGGATCGAAGAAGAAGGGCAAGAAGCGCGCGAGTTCGGTCGGGAGCGGAGCATCGAAGGGAAAGGGAAAGGCGGACAAGCCGAAGAAGGAGCGTAAGCCGCCGGCGCCGAAGCCTGGAGACGCGGAGAAGGGCACGGAGGAGGAGGAAGAGAGGATCAAGAAGCTCAAGGTGCGCCGGCGCGAACAGCCTTCTTCGTCTCCCGCTGTATGCCAGAAGGCCGGACAGGGTTTGACTGCTCTAGCTTTTCGTATTTCGTAGGCCCTCCTGACCGCCGCCTCCGGCCCGCGCGCCTTCTCCGCCTCGACCGGCGCCGAACGCACCCTGACCGCCGCCCGCCGCATCGAGATTCTCGAGAACCACCTCGCCAAGCTTGACCTGCCCGTCAAAAACGGCAAGTTGCCGACGATGGCCAAGGCGAAGGAGATTGGAGAGCAGAGGCAGCTTGATAAGGAGATGGCTGTGAGTTCGCCATCTTGTCATGCTGTCCGCGCAGTCTTCGTCCCAGTTTTTGACTGGCTTTTGAGGAAGAATGCACTCCTAACTCTCTCTTTGCGCTGTTCAGGAACTCGGCGGCAACCCTCTTCACGCCGGCTTGCGCGACGGCAAGCAGATCACCGCAGACTCGGACGAGGACGTCGCCAGCGGTCCTTCCAAGAAGAAGCTCGCAAGCAGTTCGGCGCGCAAGAAGGATGTTGCGATGGAAAGGAAGAAGTTTGCGGCGTTCCTTGGCGACCAGTCGAGCGACTCGGATTGAGCGGGATTTGAGGAGGAGATGGTAGGTCGGGCGCGCTTGATTGCAGACTAAGTCGCTTGTTCTCGCTGGGGAGTCGTTCTCGTGACGTGAGAGCCCTGCTTTCGCTGCTCGCTCACTCGACGTCGCTTGGGCCGCTCACAGTTGTCGAGAGGAGCTTCGTCCCTTGTCCTCCTTCACCTCACCTCGCTTCTCACCATGGCTGCTGCTGTCGCTCACGAGCTCACGCAGACATTCCTCGACAAGCCTTGGGCCAACGCCTACCCGCTCTCGTTCCTTCCCGCCGCAGGAAACGCCGTCCAACCGACTTCATCAGTTCGAGGAGGAGACGAACCTGTCGAGCTCGACATCGAGCTTCCGGTCGACGAGTGGGGCGAGTGGGGTGCTGGCAGCGAACTAGGCGCTCACAGGGATGAGGGGAAGGCATCGGCGAAGCGGCAGCTCGACGCGGACGCTTCCTCTTCTCAATCGGCGAAGCGCTTCAAGGACGATGAGGGAGCTCGCTCCATGGACCCTCCTGTAGTCTTTCACAAGCGTCGCTCACACAGCGGAGGCAGGAAGCACCAGAGGCGGACCTCTCTGCGCTCTCCCAATCCCTCGCCTCCTCCTGCAGCGCGACCGCTTCCTCCGCAACGTGCAAGATCCATTCCGCGCGAAGAAGCGTCGACTTCCGAGGGTGCTCGACGACACAACTTCGTTTTTGACTTCACCTCAGAGCCGCCAAAGAACGGCGGACGGAATGGCAAGAACCGCCCGAAGCCTGCTCAACTTCCGCCCGCCGACGAGGCGCCCTTCCTGACGGAGCAGATGCTCGTTCCCGACCTTCACGGCATCAGCTTCGCAGACTACATGCCTTACCTCATCGACACACCCGTCGAGCCTAAATGGAGCGGTCCGCTCTTCCAGCTGCTTCTCGAGTTCTTCCACGAGTGCGAACCGCGTGAGGTCTGGGCGTCGCGTCCGGAGCGTCTGATGCGAGGCGCTTCACTGCACTGGGTCTCGAAGCAAGTCACGATGCGCCAGCCCGACAGACGGGCGATTCAGGCGACCTTTTCTCCCGGACGCTCTCCAGGCTGGGAATCGTTGAATGACGACCGACGCGTCAAGTTTCTTGCGATGCTTGATGTCATGAAATGGCTCTTCGAGGACGAGACCTTGACCGTCGACGCCGTCTCCCATCTTGTACGACACGCGCCTCTGCCCTTGCACATTCTTGGTGCGTGTCGTCACCCGTCTACCTCGTCCAGCCTGATTGACCACGGTTCCGTAGTTCGGGAGTACGCCAGCGTCGTCCGGCTCAGCGAGGCAACCCAACACGCCGAGCGCGAGCTCATCCAGCACCTCAACTCGCTCCGTCGCGTTTCGCCGCATCAAGCAGCAGCCATCGTCCTCCTCCGCTGGTTTCAGTCACTTCGTTCCCCGAACCGACACTACGTCTTCTTCACGCACCCGGACGGATCATTGCGCTTCAACCTGAGCGAGCCGCCTTGGGCGTGGTGGTTCAAGCGTGTCGAGGTAGGCGATCCTTGCACGGCGGAGGTTCTCGACGAGTGGGAGAAGGGAGTGCTTGCCGAGGAGGACTGGAGCGATTTCTGAACAGCCGTACGGACTTTGCTTGCAACTTGGGAAGGTCAACGCCAGTCAGCAAGTCTTTCTTCGTTCCCTGCTGCTCTGGACGGCCTCGTAGGCTGCTCAGTAGCCACGCTGACTGCGTCTGAAAGCACTGCAAGGTCACCCAATCGTTCCGACCCTGAGAGCCGACTCACCGGGACCTCCGCCTCCTCCGCTCACCTCGCTCTCGCTACACCACGGCTGAACCCGCTCGCGCTGCGATGGATGACCTCCCTGTGACTGCTGCCTACTCTCCCGACGGTGCGCTTGGCCCGCCGAGCGCTCCGAGCGACACGACGCTTTCGCCTCTCTCGTCTCGCTCCTCACTCTATCTCGAGCTCGTTGGCGACGACTGGGACAAGATCAGCGTGTCGAGCGCTCAGAGTGACGCAGAACGCGACGCCGGCAGGATGCAGGCGCGCGAGGTCGACGACGAGTTCCTGTATCTCGACTCGGAAGATGGCTCGAAGGCGGCGAACGATATTTCGGCTGGCGAATGCATCGGCGACGACGAGAACAAGACCATGCAGTCAGGACAGACCACACCGTCGTTTTACTCGGACACAACCTCCCGCGCCGCCTCGCCTGACCTCGTCTTCCAGGACGAAGAACCCGCGCCTCGTCCGTCCTCGCCCTACTTGACGGAGGAAGAGATCAAGCTTGACCTCGGTCTTCTCTCCAACGCCAACTACGACCTCTTCACGACTCCGGTCCCCGTCGAACCGTCCTGGCAGCCCGAGATTCTCGAAGGAATGCTGCGTCTCTTCAAGGATTGCGCCATGAAGACACACCTCGGCGACTCGCAGACCTGCGACTGGAAGATCCCTCCCGAGATCCTCATGGACGAGTTCGACTCACACGGCGCCCTCAGGCCCGTCCTGCGCAAGAAACCGGACGGCGAGTTCATCCGCAACAATTACCAGCTAGGACGCGCCAAAGGCCTCCCTTACCTCGACGACGACCTCCAGACGCACTTGCTTAACATCTTGGAGACTGTTCGTTGGGTCTACGACGACGAGGCCATGGACATCGAGGCGGTTCACTACCTCCTCAAGTACGCGCCACTTCCCCTTCAATACCTCAGTAAGTCACCCGCCTCTTCAAACTACTTGCGGCGAGCCTGACGGTCCGCTTGACAGTCCGTAGCTTTGCCTACGTGATCCCGCTTCGCGAAGGCGTAGCAGCGGCGAAGGCTACACTTACGGATTACCTCCAATCCCAGTCCCCGCTCTCTCGTCGCCAGTCCTCCGCGCTCGTCATGCTCGACTGGCTTGCTGAGCCTCGCTCGCCGGACCGCCGCACTCTCCTCTTCACGCGTCCGGATGGGACGCCGCGCGTGCAGGTCGATGCTGAAGAACCTTGGGCGTGGTTCTTCGACAGGGCTGGGCGGGGCTACCCTTACGATGCGGGCGTGCTCGACGAATGGGAAAAGACTCTTTTGGCAGAAGAGGACTGGGACATCGCTTGCGCCTGAGGAGGAGGGAGGACGGAGTCGCTTGGGGTTTGGGAAGGCCGACAACTGAACTCGTGGACTCGTTACTCGACATCTTTCTCGCTTGAAGGCTGCAATCACAGACTACTGTGTCGAGTCTTGCCCCCTATATCGAGCGAGCGGACCAACGAACGAGTCCCGCTCGAGTCCGCGGACCCTCCCTTTCCTCTTCCACCTTCCGCTCACCTGCTCTCTTGGTCATGCCGCTTGCCAGGTACTACATCGCCCCAGGCATGCTCGCACCGCTTCCCGCTCCAGTCGCCGTGCGCCCCATCGGCTGCTTCTGCTGCGCTCCGGTCGGGATCGAGGAGGAGGACGGCGAGGCGACGAATTTCGGACTTGGCGAAGACAAGGAGGCTTGCCGGGAGCTGTACGGCGATGCTACGGATGTCGAGATGGAGTCACCAGGGCAGGATGCATCGGTGACAGGCGATAGGAGTGTCTCGAGCGAGGTGGGTGGGAGGAGGAGGAAACGACGACACGAAACCGTCGTTGGTGACGGTGATGCGAACGACAGTCTCCTCATGAAACGCCGCAGAACTGTTGCAGTCGGCCTCGCCGCCACAAGCGTCGTCAGAGCGGACCTTCCCTCCATCCTCCAGGTCCCGCACCTCCTCCCGACGCCTCCAACTTCGACCCTCATACCGGCGGCGAGCTTCCTCTTCGACCCACTCAAGAAACTGCGCGCGTATGACCCGTGCCTCTTGCCGCCGCTCATCATCAACGCCTTGCGCAAGTCGACTGCCTACCTCGCCGGACCAGGCGATTCCGTACCTTCTCTTGCGCCGCACTTCAAGGTGTCCGACTTCTTTCCCGACGACGGAGACCTCGTCTTCATCCCCGACGTCTACTTCCTCGAGCGACCGGTCGAGCCCGCCTGGTCCGTCGACTACTACCGCTCCTTTGCCCGCTTCCTGCAAGCGTGCGGTTCGTCGAACGAGTCGCTCGTCTACGAATGCAGCCTCGCGGCATTTGGTTGCCTCCGTCCAGGCAGCGAGCCTTTGCTCGAGCAGTCGCGGCACATCACGTCTCGACAGCCTGATAAAGGCGTCGTTTACGGGAACGCAGCCCTCGCAGGCCCGCTCGACGGCTTCGAGCAGCTGCCGAAGGTGTTGCAGAAGTGGGTATTGACGCTGAGGAAGGTATTGATTTGGGCTATGGAGTGGCCGAGCGAGCTGTCGCCTGGTCAGGTCCTCCGCTTCATCAAGGAAGCACGACCTGCGGCGCATCTCGTTGGTGAGTACTCGTGTTCCTCCTCCCGCACACCATGGCTCACTGACTGACCTTGAGTTGCTATCCCCTCACAGTCCGCGAGTTCGCCGACGTCCTCCGAATCCGCCACCTCGTCCTCCGCCTCGAATGCCAGATGCTCGCGTCTCCTCCTTCCCGTCCATCTCCCACCGAACAAGCCGCTCGCACCATCCTCGACTGGCTGAATGAGACGAACGACGAGCAGCGCAAGTTTGGGTTCTTCTGCGAAGCAGACGGAAAAGCGAAGGAGCCGAAGGATGGGTGGGAGAAGCGGGTTGCGAGGCTGGCGAAGGGCGTGAAGGTGACGCGGGAGGAGCTCGATGCGGTAGCAGCAGGCGGAGGCGGTAGCGTGAGGAAGGGGTAGGACGGTAGGAATCGCTTCAGATCGCGCTTAGGATCGCTTCTGCATCTTGTCAGTACACCACCTTTGCGAGGCGGGACTCGAGCAATAAGGAAGCATCGAAATCACAGCGAGAGTCTAAGGCGAAGGGTCGCAAGCCGTCAAGGGTCCGGATGAATAGCTCTATAAATGCAAGGTCCCTACCTAGTCCGCGCGACACGAGAGGTGGCCCTCGATCATCGCGAGCGCCGCGCCAAGAGCCCTGCGAGCGAAAGCGTCAGTGATTTCTCCGGGAGCACTATATGAAGACGCGGGTCGCAACGCACCAGCCCAACTCTACGTTCCCGACCTTCTTGCCCATCCAAACCTGCCTTTCCTCGTCCAACTCGTACCCCAGACTCAGCAACGAGTACATGAACGTCAGATCGAGACAGTACTCGGGCCTGTCGCTCAGCTCCTCCATCGCCTCCTTGTTGTTCTTGAAGCGCGACCAGGAGGAGGCTTCCCGACCCGCGCAGACGTCGGTCGTGAGTTGGCGAAGGGCGGAGATGGAGAAGGGCGAAGAGAGACCGAGAGGGGCGATGCGGTCGTAGAAGTAGGAGAGGCTGCAGAAAGTGAGCGTTTAGTTCAGCCTCCGCAAGAATCGTGCAGAGGGAATTGACTCACGCCCAGACCTTGCCGGCAGAGAAGACCTCGCCCATCTTGGGCTGGTAGACACCGGCAAACGCGCAAGGCGGCTTCTCGCACGCAGCGTCCTTGGCGATCATGACCTCGACGACGCGCCTGCACGCCTCGAAGCCCGCGCCAGTGCCGACCATCGTAACCTCGACCTCCTCCCTTCCAGGTGGGTCGAGCTTGACGACCTTCGTCTCGCCCTTGAACATACACGGATTGTGAATCTTGTCCTTGGGCGTCAAGTCCTCCCACTTGACCGAGTTACCCTTGGGCGCGCTCTGCCAGACGTACGAGAACGCAACGAGGTTGTGCACGGCCCGACGAGCTTGCATCAGCCCATAGCCGAGGTGAGAGTGCTGGTACAGGACGTGGTCGGCGCCGGCAAAGTCGAGGTCGTAGACGTGGTCGCCTGGTGCGAGCTTGTCGCGCGAACCGGGGTCGTAGATCGGCTCGAAGACAATCTGCGTCGAGGCGCCGCCGAGGTCCATGATGGCGGCTGTGCCGGCGGAGGCGGGTTGGTCGGGACCGATCAAGCCGAGGAGCTACGGGAGCACGAGTCAGCAAGACGCGAGGATAGCCAGAATGAGAGGTGCTCACGAAGTTGATGGTGATCCACGCGTAGACGCCCTCGTCCCTGCCGTCCATGACGACCACGCCGTCCTTCACAACCGCGAACGGCCAGTCCTCCTTCAGCCACCGCTCCACCTCGTCCAAGATCTCCTGGCTCTGCCTCGCGCCCAACAACCGCAAGCCCGCCGTCGCCTTGACCGCGATAGGCGTGCACGAGCGCTCCGACTCTGGCACGCCCTCAATCGCATGCTCCATCAGTCCTCGCAACGACTCGGCCGCCTCGCGCGGTTTGCCCGCGTACGACGAGAGCCCAGGCTTGGTCATGAAGAAGCCCTCGTTCTCGAGTTTCGGGAGCGCCTTCGGGTCGGGGTCGCAGTGAGAGAAGGTGTAGACGTGGATGCGGGAACCGGTCGATCCGGCGTCGATCATGAGAGCGTAGGTCGTTGCCTTCAGACCCTCCGGCGGAGTGCACTTGCCGGACGAGGCGGACTGCTGCTTCTGAGGCGAGTTCGGGGGGAGCTTGTCGACCTGGACCGCCGCCTCATTCGGCGCCTTGTCGGTCGACGCCGCTGTTCCCGACTTCGAGTACCCGTCCCGTCCTCCTCCGCTCGACCGACCGAAGAAGAAGACCACAAAGATGAGGGCGGCAGCAATCGCCAGGACTCGCTTGGGCGTGAGCGACTTGAAAGGGTGACCCGAGTTCCTCGCTGCGCGCGACGACACTCCGTTCCCGAGGTTCATATCTTCTGCGTCGTCGTCCGAGTGTATGGAGGAAGCGAGGGGCTGCTGCTGGGCGTTTGACGAATGGTGGAGCGGGAGGGAAGGCGGGAACGAAGGCATGCGCGACGACGACGGCGTCTTTTTGCGGGCCAGGTTGGCAGTCGAGGGAGTTGTCGAGGACCTGCGCCTGGTGTGTGCGTCGGCGCGGTACTGGACGAGGGTGGGCGAGAGAGGCGGCAGTTTGGATCGGCTGGTCGGGAGAGGCAAGGCGGGAGCGGGAGTAGGGCGTGTCGAACGAGTGTAGCCTGTAGTCGCGCAGTCCCTGTCTAGCACGCGTGTCTAGCGGTCTTTCTAGCCCGTCCAAGCAAGCACAGTCGCGAGCGAGAGTCGACGGCGGGAGCGAGAGCAGGAAGCGAGAGAGTTGGCGTCCACCTCGAGACCCTCGCTCTCCTGGGGCCAGATGGACGGACTGAGCTGGCTTGTGGAGAGTCCAGCATCCCACCTGATCCGCGCACGACTCCACAAAAGCGCGCGGAGGCCAGGAAACACCCTCTCGTCCTCGCCCTCGCTCAACGCCGCCTACTGGGCTACACTCCGACTAGCGGACGACCAGAAGACGGCGAGATAGACGAGAGCAGCGGTAGAAGCTGTCCTGACTGTACTCGAACGACCTGGGTGACGACGCCGCCGACCTTCTCCTCCTCGCTCTTTCCCTCGACCGTGCTCGCCGTTGCCTTGAACGCTTCGGCTTGTTCTGGCGCCTCTCCCTGTCGACGCATCTGGAGCGCGCAGCACGGGACACGGCCGCTCGAAATAGGCCGCGTCCGTGCACGACCCTCGTCCTCCTCCTCCTCCCTTGTCTCCCTCTTCCTCTCTTCCTCTCGCATCGCTTCCAGACTCTTGCTTGACCCGCTCGTACAGGCTACGCGCACGGCACCCACACTCTTTCACGACCCTCACACTCGTTCACCCGCTCCTCATCTCTCCCTCCCCGCTCGAACCGCTCACACGACCATCATGTTCTCCTCGTCTCTCGCCTCGCTCTTGACGCTCGCTGTCGTCGCGCTCAATGCCAAACCGGCTCAGGCTGCGATGGCGCAGGGCAGCATCGACCCCATGAACGACTGGCATCTTAGGGTGCGTGCGGGACTTTGCATTCAGATGGGTTCAAACAGCCGCGACGGGCGGCAGAGAACTGACTGCCATCGGAGTTTCGCCCCTCACAGTACGACAGGGCTACTTTCGCGACGACTGAGGCCTTCTGCCGCACCTGGCGTACGGCGTGCATCGACCTCGTACGTCCACCTTCGCTTCTCCGCTCCGCTACTCGCTCATTCGGCGGTTCGCGCAGGTCGGCCCGCTCAACGAGCACCACCAGCTCGACTGCCGCTTCAGCACCGACAGCGGCGCGCTCGTCCAGCAGGGCAGTGAGTCGGGCAGCTCTCGCCTCCCGAATCTGCAGTAGCTGACCCTTTGGCTCTTACTCTTTGATAGCCACCATCTGGGCCAAGTGCGGCGGAAAGCCCAAGTCGCCCGACGGCACCTGGGCCAACGCCCTCGCCGTCGTCGACCGCGTGCGTTCCCGTTCTTCCGTTCTGCTTCACCGGCCCTTAGAGTGCGGACGAACGCTGATCCTTAGGGAATGCGGAATTCACAGACCAGGCAGCTTGCCAGGACCACCTTCGCCAAGAGCGTTCACATCGTTAGCGAGCCCGTCTCGCAGGATCGCTGCGTCGAGTTGCAGAAGAAGGACAAGAAGTGCGTCGGCGGCTCCCTTTCTCTCGCTCTTCTCACTGCACCAGGTGGGCAAGGAGGACCGTGGTGGTCTAACAGGTCTCTCGCTCAGTATCGTCTGCGACGGCGCCGCCGCTCCGTCGATTAGCAAGCGCACGACGACTCCTCACAAGCCCACGTCGACGCACAAGGCGACGTCGACGCACAAGGCGACGACTACGCACAAGGTCACGGCCACGCCCAAGCCGACTCACAAGACCTCGTCGCACAAGCCGACCCACAAGACCTCGTCGCACAAGCCTACGACGACCAAGAAGCCCGCTCACCCGACGCACAAGCACGACCACCACCACGAGCACCACCACGTCCTCCCGACCAAGCGTCTCTCGGGACTCGTCAAGAAGGTCGCGGCGAAGAAGCACGAGAAGCACTGAGCGACTCGCGCATTCCTCCAATCACCTGTTCTTGCTTCGGCTTCACAGACCCTCTTTGTTCGTCGTTTAGTATACCCTGTTCGGGCTCGCATCTTGCCTTGCTTATTCCCTGGCCTCGTCGTTTCGCTTCGAGTGTTCGACGAGGACGACGCAATGATTCGTTTCTCCGTTTTACTCGCCCGCGCTTGCGAGAGCCTCTCATGAGGCGGTAAACCCTCACGAAAGCATCGCCAGTCTGTACGCTGTGTTATCAACTCGCGGCCTTTGTCATCCACACAGGTCTCCGTCCTCGTCGCTTCTCCTCCTCCTCTTCACTCTCCCATGCTTGCCTCGACGCTGAAACGACCGCTCCCGTCTCTGCTGCTCTCTCGCTCTCCCGCAGCCCACCTCCAGCCGCTCCTCGCCCTCGCCACCTCCGGCCCCACCACCCCAGCACGAGGCCTGGGACGCGTTGCTCGCGGCGTACACCGGTCGGGCGCGCTCTCGCATACACGGACTGGAGGCGGCGGAGGAGGCGGGGCCGGGACTGGAACGGCGACGAGCCAGGGAGAGTGGAGCGAGCGGAGTAGGGAGGAGAGCGAGAGGAGACGACGCTCGCCCAGGGAGTTGGTGGCGCATTTGGACCAGTATGTGGTTGGACAGGAGAAGGCTAAGAAGGTCCTTGCTGTCGCGTAAGTCGCCGTTGCTTGACGAGTGAGGAGGGTCGACTGACTCGTATCGCACTCGCTCGCAGAACATACAACCATTACGCTCGACTCGCTCAGCTCTCTTCCCACTCCGACTCGATTTCAGGCGAGCCCGCCCCTCCGACCGGCGCACAAGTCATCCCCGCCTTGCGACCCGTCACCGCCGCACCTCTCGCCTCGCTCATGCACGGCTGGGTCGAGATCCGACCTTCAGCGAAGCAGTTCAAGGCCTTGAAGGAATCGTTGAAGCGGGCGGGAGTGGCGATTGACCTGGGAAATTTTGAGGGAGACGGAGCGAAGCCGAAGAAGGGGAAGAAGGCGGCGAAGAAGGAGGAGGAGGCCGAAGCTGAGGAGGGAGACGAGCCGAAGGACAAGGCGGTTGCGACGAAGAAGGACGGCGAGGCGGAGGAGGGCGCGGAGGAAGCGAAGCCGGCGAAGTCGACACGGAGACGAAGAACGACAGCGGAGGAAGACGACGACACGGCTCCGTCCAATCCCAGCCGACGCTTCTACCGAACGGCCGACGACGGTCTCGCCATCATCGAGTCGCCGCCCAGCACGCCCCTCACCGACATCTTCCCCATCCTCCAGCGACCCTCCATCTTCGTCATCAACGAGCAGGACGTGCCTCTCTCTGGACCCGGCCTCACGGAGCTATCGTCGCGCGTGATTCCCTGGGATCCCTCAGAGGACAAGTTGCCGAAGGAGGAAGATGAGAAGAAGGCGGCCTCGTCCTCGAAGCAGGACCGACCACCCGTCGACGACTTGCCTTCCCCTTCCGACCTCCTCACCGACTTCCTCGGCCAACGTCCCGGCCAACCTCTCCCACCTCGCCCATCCGCATCCTCCCAGAATCCTCTCTTCGAGAAGTCCAACGTTCTCCTCCTGGGCCCGACCGGCTCGGGCAAGTCGCTCCTCGTTCGAACGCTCGCGAAAGTGCTGGACGTCCCGTTTGCGAGCGCCGAGGCGACGAGCATGACGAGTGCGGGATACGTGGGCGAGGACGTCGAGAACTGTATTGCGCGGTTGCTCGAGGCGGCGGATGGAGATGTCGAGAAGGCCTCGCGAGGGTGAGTCTCGCTCGACGGCTCGTCACGCGGTTCGCATCCTACGGCTTGCTGACGCCCACTGTCTTGTGCGAACCACAGCATCGTCTTCATCGACGAGATTGACAAGATCTCTTCGTCGAGGGGTCTCTCGAAGGACGTTGGCGGCGAAGGCGTCCAGCAGGCCTTACTGAAGATGCTGGAGGGTGCGTCCGACGTGTTCCTCTCCTCTCGCTCGCCGGTACTGACGGACCTCGCTGGTGCAGGCACGAGCATCAACGTGTCGGAGTACGGCTACAACCCGCCGAATGCGGGCATGTTCGGGATGCGGAGAGGGCCAAGTGCGTTGCGCTGCTCGCTTGCGGGTTCTCACGACGCTGATGAGCCATTCGACAGTGCGGGAAGCGGTCATTGTTGACACTACGAACATCCTCTTCATCGTCGCTGGAGCTTTGTGAGTCGCAGCATCCGTCTTCCGACATCGGAACACCGCTGACATCTACGTCGACAGCGTCGGCCTCGAGAAAATCATCCAGTCCCGCCTCGCAAAGGGCAGCATCGGTTTCACCAGCCGCATCGCGCCTACACCCTCTCAATCCATTAACTCGCCCGACTCAGCGACCACTTTCTCTCCCTCGAACCCTTCGACTTTCCTGAGCGGCACCAGCGGGAAGGGAGCCGATGGCAAGCAGCAGGACTTGAGTCACCTGCTCGACCAGTGTGAGCCGGACGACCTGGCTTTGTTTGGCCTCATCCCCGAGTGCGTCCCTCCGCTTTGATCGAGCTTGCGGCGATGGCTGACACCGGCCTCGACAGGTTCATCGGGCGCATCCCGATTACCGCGGCACTCAAGACGCTTACCGAGGAGGACTTGCTTCGAGTCCTGCAGGAGCCGAAGAACGCTCTCGTCAAGCAATACACCGAGCTCTTTGCAGCAAGCGGCGTCCAGCTCCTGTGCGTGTCACCTCGCGATCCTCCCGCTCTTCTCGATTGACGAGTCTCGCGCACAGCTTCACGACTCCCGCTCTTCGCGCCGTCGCCGCATTGGCAGTCAAGAAGCAGACTGGCGCTCGCGGTCTCCGACGAATCATGGAGCAAGCCCTGCTCGACAGCATGTACGAGATACCGGACTCGTCGATCAAGTATTGCCTGATCACGGCCGACGTCGTGGAAGGGAAGGAACCCGCCAAGTACTACTCGCGCAGCCAGAAACATATGTTTGAACTCGACTACACGGCGGAGGAGGAGGCAGGCGAGGAGCCGCAGGGAGGTGTTGCCGAGAAGAAGCGCGCTGCAGCCTAGATCCACCGCATTCTGTTGTCCATCGTTTGGCTCGTTTACTCTCGCAATGCATGTCGCGTTTGCTAGTCTTTCGCGGGCGCAGGCGTGAGACGGCGAAACAACAGGTTGCGGGCACTGATACAGACTTCTTCGCCTCTACAGCTTCGGCTTCGGTTTTACGCCCTTCCTGACGTCCGCTCCGTGCGCCTGCTTCTCAATCTGCGTGGGGGTACAACTGCCATCAGCGTTGAATGTCAGCGAACGAGTCGAGGCGGAGGCGCCAGGGAGAAAGGGCGAAGGAGACGAGACGCACGCCCGAATCGGCTCCTCCTGCGCCTGCCATCGTTGTCCCTGCCTCGATCAGACTGCCCTTCGTGTTCGGATCGGCGTGAGGCTGCGACGAGCAGAAGGAAGTCAGCTTCCCTTCGCAGAGTGCGACGTCGTCGCTCTCCTCGTCCATGTCTTCGACTCGCCCCAAGTCTCCGCAACACGATACCGTCCGCAGAGGGAGGACGGAGAAGACACGCCCAAACGCACCTTTCCCGGCGTCGGTTCTCCCTGCCCGCTCTTCGCCCCCGTCTGCCTGAAGTCGTCCTTCCCGCCCGGTCTTCCCAGCCGATGCTGCATCTCAGCCTTCTTGTACTCGCTATCCTGCTTCTGCTGCTCGCTCAGAGCGGGCGCATAGTCCTCCCTCGAGAAGTTGGTGTTGGTAGCCGAGTTTCCCTGTCCTCGCAAGGCGTCTTGCGTGCCTGGTCGTTGAGTGTCGGAAGAGCGCTGGTTCGGCGGGATAGTCGAGTCGGAGGGTCCTTCGTCAACGACGGGAGAGGGGTGGATAGGCTGCTGGCCAGGCGATGGTTTCGTTCCCTGGCCCTGGATAGGCTCGACGATGGGCGTGGGCTCGTTTTTGGGAGGCATAGTGACGGTCTAGCGGGTGCAAAGACAAGCAGGCAAGGTGGAGAGAGCGAGAGATAAGCGGGGCGGAGGCGGAGGACAAGTGACGTCGTCCCGGCTACCTTGACTTTAGGGCGGCTTGTTTTGGCGGCCTTGGGAGGTCCAAGCATTCGCAATGAGGTACAACGGAGCGAGGCTTGCGAGCGACGAGGGAGATTGTGCCGACCGCTCTGCCTTGTCGACTTTGCGAAGGTCGACATGATATGCAGTGTCCGCGCGATCTATAGGCCATGCTAGGCTTCTTATGCCGCCCTGGTCCGCTCAAAACCTCGAGAGCCTCCGTCCGCCCAGCCAGGTCGCGAACCAGTGCTGCGAGACCCGTCCAAAGTCATTTCCTACGCTCCTCGCCTAAGAAACGAGAGGGGAACGCACGTAAGCCAGCGACACGCGGTTGCGGAACGACAGCGCTTGAAGCCAGTACGCCGAGCGCCAGGCGAGCCATGCTGTTCGGCCTGTCAACTCGCCTTTCGGGCCTTCCTTGACTTGGCTCCGGTCGAGGATGGCGGACCAGTCCCCGAGGTATGCCATGGTCTGCTCACGAAGGATGTAAGAGAGGAGGAGAGGGGCAGAGCGGGGGCACGTACGCCGCGGTTGTGGAAAGTGAAGCCGCCGGGAGGATCCTGTCCTCGCGCGTCGGCGTTGAGGATCTTCGACAGCCAGTGCGCTTCCTGCGAGGCGACTGTCGACGTAGAATGTAGCGTGAGTATGTGTGTATGGCAGGAGAAGGAAGCGAAAGCACCCTGAGCAGTCGCCGGCAGCTTCTCCTTTAGCGCGCTCGCGTCCCCAATGACAAACACGTCCTTGAGCTCCTTCCCCTCGTTCGTCACCGGGTTGAAAGTGTCGCTGATCTTCAGACTGCGACATCGGAAATCAGCTCCGGCTCTGAGGGATTAAGCAGATGACCGCACCTCTGAGTCTTCTCGTCCTTCTGCAAGTCTTTGATCGACTGAATGAGGGGGTTCGGGGCAAGGCCGGTGTTCCAAACGAGCAAACCGAACGGGACTGCGCCACCGACTCATCAATCACCGCTTTCGCAAAATCCGACGAGAGGAACGCACCTTTGCCCTCCTCCTTGATCTCCAGATACCCCTCATGCACCGCTGTGACATGCCTCGAGCCCTTGATCTGGATCCCCTCTCGCACGAACTTGGCTGTCGCGTACTCGGCGAGACTCTTGTCGAACGAGCCGAGGATGCCGGGCGCGACGTCGTAGATCGTGCTGCGCGGGCGAAGGTCAGGGTTGTACGGAACGTGAGGCGAAGTGGACGCACATGTTTACTAGTAGAGAGAGCTTGGGGTAGGCTTTGGCTAGCTCAGTCGTTGTCAGGTCGTGCAGCTCGCCCGCAAATTCGACGCCTGCGCGAGTCGAACGGTCAGCGAGAAACCTTCTGGACGTCCAGCCGCAGCTCACCTGTCGGTCCACCGCCAACAATCGCAAAGGAGAGGAGGTTTCGCCGCTCGACGTCCGTCACTGTCGGCTGACTCGCGAGCTCGAAGCACTCGAGGATTCGGGAGCGGATCTTATTCGAGTCCTGGTGGTGGGAGGGTCAGCAAATCTTCGCGTACTAAGCAGGCTAAACTCACCCGGATGTCCTTGAGGAAATACCCGTTGGCAGAAACGCCAGGAATGCCAAACGTCGCCGAGTAACAACCGACAGCGATCACGAGCTTGTCGTAGGAGATCTCGAAGGGCTTGTAGCCGGGAAAGGAGGCAGTGGGCTGGACGGAGCTGTCGGTAGCGTCGGAGATGGAGGCGTTGATGCGTTTGCGCGTGCTCGAACCGGTCGCGGGCATGCAGACGAGCTGTTTTCGGGCGAAGTCGACTTTGTCCGCCCAGGCTTGGTAGTAGGTCTGCGCAGGACTGTTTGTGCTCTTCGCAGCTTATACGAGGGCTCGACGAGGACGTACAATGTCATGGAAGCGCCGGACTGGCTCGAGGGCGGAGTTGTAGTCGATAGTGCCGACGGACGCGCTCGCCAGTAGAGGCGTGAAAGCGAAGTACGAGTTCGGCGAGATGACCGTCACGTCGTAGCGCTTCTTGTCCACCTTTCGGAGGACCTCGTAGCCGCCTGAAAGTTGCGAGCGAGCGGAGGCGCGGAGGAGACGGCGGTCAGCTCCCTCCGCCTTCGGTCTCAGCGGAATGAACGCACCCCATCCTGAACCCAAGATCACGAGCTTCTGCTTGTCCCAGCGCGGCGAGGAGGAGAAGAGTCGAGTCGACGAAGCCGGAGATGTCAACTTGCTCGTGCGAAGAGCAGAGGTCGCGGCGGTGCGTGCGGATGGTCGCGCCGCTCGTGTGACCGTAGCAGTAGTCCCGAGCATGCTGTACACGCGTGTAGTACCGTCGAGCTGGTGCAGCAGGAGGTGAAGCGGTGACGACCCCACACGAGTGAACTCGGCCAAGTTCGCACAGAGTCACAGACTCGTGAAAGGCTGAGAGAGCCAGCCTCGCAAGACTGTCTCGTACGAGCAAGCAGAGTACCGGAGAACGACGTCTCGAGTCGGAGAAACGAGGAAAGGAGCAGTCCCGAATGCAAGCCGACAGCTACCGTCGACAAAGCAAGTCAATGACCAGAGCGTTGGGCGAGGTGCTCGTTCGACTGTTTGATGGGGGGCGGCGAGCGTCCCACGGTGCCAGGAAAGCCCAGGTATTGCACATACAACCCGCAAGGAAACGCTCGAGGGAGGAGGACAAGGTCGACCTTCGCAATCCTCCCTTCCCTCTCTCGGGACTCCCCACCCTGCACTGTGCACGCCCTGTCACAACGTCGCCGCAACACCCATCCTCAACACGTCCTCCTCCGAGCCAAAGTCCCAGCCCTCGTACGCGTCGAAATTGACCTTCACTCGTCGGTAGACTTCCTCGAGCATGAACGAGCGGAGGTAGTTGACGAGCCACGGGCGGCGAGAGGACTTGTCGGCGGAGACGTGGTAGTGCGGGAGGCTGCGAATGCGAAGGTGTCAGCGTTGCACCGCCAGCAGAGGTTCCATTCGACTGCTAGAAGAGCGCAAGTCACTGCCGCTTTCCGCGGGAGAGAAGGGACGCACATGTGGGTGACAGCGCCGTTGAGCGCCTCGTCAATCTTCGCCACCTTCTCTTCCAGCGCCCCCCGACCCTCCACCGACCGCGACTCGAGCGCCACAATCCTATCCCTCAACGGCCTCGCCACGTCCGACAAATCGATCTTATCGCGATACCCGAAGGAGACAGTCGCTGTATAGAGTCCATCGAACTGGCGCAGGCGGTCGACGAGGTAGCGGTCTTCGGGGGTGACGTGAGGGACGCCGACGACGCGGACGGAGAGGAAGACGATGATGCGAGGGAGGGCGGGGTAGGAGCGCAGGAAGCCGACGAAGGAGTGAGGGGCGCCGTCTGAGCTCGAGGAGGAATGGTTGTGGAAGCTGCGAGCGGGAAACGTAGATTAGCCTCGGACGGAGGAAGCGGAGCCAGCGCGCGACGTACAGGGCAAACACGGGCAGCCTGGCGAGCGAAGCACCGCCAACAGTCGCCTCGTAAGCCGGCGGATGCGGCCTGCGCCTCTGGACGGGACCCGCCTCTCCGCCTCGCTCGAGCTGAGCGACCGCTGCCGTCTCCGTCTCCGTCTTGCCCTCGCCCTCCTTTGCGTCCTTCTTCTCGGTCGCTGCGGCATCCGCTCCTCCCCTCGACGGCTTCATGATCTCCGACAGCCTATACCGATGATTCTTGTCAAACTGTTCCTCGAGTCCGCGTGCCCACGACCATCCGAGCAAGAGTACGAGGAGGATCGTCGCCAGGCCGATGGAGAACCACGCGCCAGTCGGGACTTTCTTGAGGGACGCGCCGAAGAAGAGGCCGTCGATGAAGGCTGAGAGGAGGAAGTACCCTATCGCGACGAGGACGGGGAGGTGCTTGACTTGGGCCATCGCGACGGCGAGAATCGTCGTCGTGATTATCATGACGCCCGAGACTGCGAGTCCGTAGGCGTTCGTCAAGCCCGCTTCGGTGCCGAAGCCGATCGTGAGACCGAGAGTGCCGACGAGGACGAGGAAGTTGACTGCCGGGACAAAGATCCTGCCGCGCGAGGTCGAGTCGGTGTGGACGATGCGGATGGGCGGCATGACGTTGAGCGAGACGAGCTGCTCGACGAGACTGAATGTCGCGGTGATCATTGCTTGAGAAGCGATGACTGCCGCGAGGACGGCAAAGATCCAGACGGTCCACCAGAGGCCGCCGCCTACGCCGCCGGGGATCGCGTTGAAGAAGACGTTCGAGAGGACTGCTTCGCCGCCGGTGACGAGCTTGGCGCCTTGGCCGAGGTACTGGAGGACGAGACAGGGCGCGGCGAAGCAGCAGAATGCGAGGCGGATCGAGCCCTTCGAGAACTGGCCGAGGCTGCGGGCGAGCGAGCATTAGTATCGAATGATAGGTGTGAGAAGCGGCAGGAGAACAGGCGACGCACTTAGCGAAGAGCGCCTCAACACCCGTGATACAGAGGATCACGCCTGCGAGCAGGTCAAAGTTCTTCGTCCGGACGAAGAGCATGACGGCGCGGGATGGATCGAAAGCGCGGAAGATGGCCGGATGAGCGGCGATGTTGATGATCCCGCAAATGCCGTTCAGTCCGAGCCAGACGAGGACGATAGGCGAAAAGAGGGTGGCGATCTTCTTCGTTCCGAATGGCTGGACCATGAAGAGGACGACGAGGACGCCACATGAGATGCCCACGACTGCGTTGGCGGCTTTTGGTGCGCCGTAGGAGAGACCGACGATGGCTGAAGTGACAGAGACGGCGGGCGTAAGCATGCCGTCGGCAACCGTGAGGCAGACGCCGAAGAGGGTGAGGCAGAAGAGAAAGAGCTTGATGAGCGGGCGGTGGAGGAACGAGGTGGCGGCGAGTGAGGATGGAGGCGCAGTCGCCATGGTGTAGGTCGTCAGGGTTCGCCAGCCATCTTGCTTCGACTGGCGGGGAGGGTAGAGCGTCGTGAAGACGGCAAAGGGGCCGCCTTCGCCGTGCGACGTGCCAAACTCGAGCGCGATGAGGCAGTACTTGATGACCGGGACGAGGAGGATCGCCCAGACGATCCTGCGGACGAGCGGGAGTCAGCGCCGCCTGCGAGAGAGACAATCGTTTTGTACCGGCACGCACGCGGAGACACCTCCAACGATGTCCTCCTCGCTAGGCATCGCGCCAGCAGCCGGAAAGATTCCGTTAAGCGTGTAGAGCGTCGACGTCCCGATCTGCGCGCTCCAAAGGGTCAGCTACAATCCTCTGAAGCTCAGGGGCGCATGTACGTCGCCATAGATCACGCCGAGCGAGAGGAAGGCGAGAACGAGCGTCTGGCGGGTCGTTATCTTGGGACGTTCAGGCGGTTCGAAGGAGGCGTTCGTGAATGCCGACTCGCTCTTGAGCTCTTGGTTGGCTGGGGCAGCGGCGGTCGAAGCGGCCATGGACGCTAGGAAGACCAGCGGACAAGCGAGAGGGGAACGAGAAGGAGGTCAAGAGCAGCGGCGCGTCCTCGCCTGAGTGCCCTGTGTGCGATTGTCGACAGGAGCCCTTGTCGTCGAGTATCGTGCCATCCGCTAAAAAGATAGGCGATTCTGCTGCGACAGCGAGACTTTGGCCATCAGGCGAGAGGCGAGGGTCTTTCGCCTCAGGTCCGGCGGGAGCACCGCGTGGGTCGTCTGGAGAGCGTGTGCCAAGCCCAGACGAGGCTGTCCAGTGCTCTTGCAGCGTGCGCACGTCGTGAAGAGACCTCCAGCAGCCGCTTGTCCTCGTCGCGGCCGAGGTGATCAAGGCGAGAGGCGAGCGAAGCAGCGCAGCGGTTTGACGAGGTGCAGGCCTGTATGATAATAAGCATGTGGCGATCGTTCGAGCGTGACGGCGCGGGTGACAGGCGATTGTTGGAGGAGGAAGAGGAGGAGAGGGGCGACGAGCAGGGAGTGCGGAGGTGCGAGCTTCTCGTGCAGCCTAGAGACGCGAGTGGCGCGAGAAGTACAGTATCATGCAACAAGCCCTACGAACGAAGACACGAGAAAAGCTGGACAACGAAAGGCGACAAAAAGGACGGAGGGGCGACGACGAGCGCCGCTTTTGGCGTGACAACGAGGTGATGGAGGAACAAAGGGAAGCTTGGAACCGCGAAGCCGATGCACAGGATGAAAAGGAAGGACGACAACAGAACTCGGGAGATGCGAGGAGGAGCAGAATGATGTGATGCGAGGCGGAATAGGAGTGTGAGCGACAGGACTGGATGTGTGGCGTGTGTTGGAAAGCGGACAGATGAGGTAGCGAGACGATGGGCGAAGGAGGAAGGCGGGGCGGAAGGAGGACAGTAAGGCGAAAGACCGTGAGCGCAAGTGTCGTAAACGTTGTGAGTGGTCGGGAGGGTTCGGACGATCAGGCGAGAGGCGGGACGAGCGAGGAGCTGGACGGAATCGTCGAAAAAGGCGACGCGACCAGCCGGTCCTCCTCGTCCGTCCACCTCTCGAACCTCCTCAACATCCCTCTCCTCGGCGACGGCCCACGCGACTCCTGCAGCGCTCCCTCAGATCTCACCCTCCCCCTTCCCAGCCAAGGTGGGCGTGGGATTCAGATGAGATGCGCGCCCATATTGAGCGTGTTGCTCTGCCTCGGGCAATCCCACCCATAGTACACCGGATGCTCCAACTCGCGCACAGCCGAGTCGAGCTCGATCCCTGCGCCCATCGAGACGCCCGTGCACATGCGCATCACGCCCGAAGTGGTCTTTTGCGAGGACCACGGGTTCGAGGGGAAGTTGAGTGGCGCGGCGGGAGCTTGGGGCTGGGCGAAGGCGCCGCCTGCTGGGGAGGGGGGTGGCGGAGGGTACGCCGAGAGAGGAGGGGAGGAAGAGAAGACGTGTGTGCGGCCGTTCATGTCGGTGAAGGAGGTCGGGTTCGAGGTGGAGGGGAGGCGAATGTCGTGTTGCGACGGCTGCTGTTGTTGTTGGCAGAACGGTCCGCCGGCGGACGGGTTCCACTGCTCATTGTAGGGGAGGTCGAGGGGAGTGCCGGGCATCGAGGACGACGAGGCGGTCGAGAGCGAGTTGTTCGAGTCTGCGAGTGGAAGAGAACGTCCGTCAGCTCGCACGGCCTTCGCTTCAGTCTCGAGCAAACGCACACGCACGCTGGTGCAGCATCCTCGGCGCGCTAACCGCCTCCGTCCACGGGTGAACCGGGTTGCTCTCCAAGCGCTCGGCCGCGTCCATGTCCATCTCGACATCCTCGCGGTCCATCGCGCCCTGGTCCATCATCTCGAGCGCACGCTGCTGTTGCTGAGCGAGCGCGCCGGCGAAGCTGGTTGGCGGCGGTGCGGAGACATGCTGAGCCGCGGCGGGTTCGCGGTGGAAGTCGAATGTCTGCGGGGTCGCGACGGGTGCGAGGCAGCGTGTCAGTCGTGTCTCGTGCCCGTGCAAGCTCTTCCGAGTGCCCGCCAAGGCGAAGCTCGGGCGATGCGGGTTGCCCTTTGCGGAAGGACCCTTTCGCGAGGAAGGGAGAGAATGAGGAGGGAGGGAGGACGAGAGAGAGCTGGACGCACCTTGACGCGCTTGCCAGGCGACACTTCGGGCTCGCCATCGTCGCGCGAGCGCTTCTGTACGGCGGCGGAGGCAGTGAAGATTGACATCTCGTTTGTGAGCGCGGGAGGGTCGAAGAAAGAGGGTGGGTGAGTGTGTGAGGTGAGGATGCGGTCCGGCGCGGTCTTGAGGGCAGTGAGCGTGTGTTTGAGGGTGTACTCGAGTGTAGCAGGTGTCAGCGCGTGGCCCGGAGCGGTGTGGTGAAAGTCAAGAGGGGAAGCCAACTTCGCGCCGAGGACGCGCCGATGGGATGGCGGGGAGAGATGGCAGGTCGTGTGCTGCCGAGGGGAAGGGCTTGCGGGACTACCGTATGCTCTTTCGAATGTACTCGTGTTTCCATTGCAGCGCTATCGAGGCGGAAGTCGCTGCGGCGCAAGTCTCTTCGCGACAACAGCCGGGAAAACCGGAGTCCAGCGAGGGAAGAGCGACGCCGTATCGCTGCTGGTGTGCGAGTCGCCGCAGTGCGATGAGAAGAACATGCTCATGGCAGCGAGAGGAAAGCGCTGGTACAGCCCGAGCGAGCAACAAGCTGAGTGACTGTTCGAGCGAGGGGCAGCCGGCGAGAGCGAGGTGTGCGCTGGTCCGTGAACGAGATGTCTGCACGAAAGGCAATGCTCGTTAATCAGCGAGGTCGCAGAATCAAGCCTGGCGGCACGGCGGGATAGCGAAAGGCGCGAGGCAGGAGAAAGGTCAGCCAATGTTAGCGGCGGCGGCGGGGGCGGCAATTCTCGCAGACACCATCCCTCGCTGCGACTGCGAGGCAAGCGAGCCGCAAGAATGGCAGAACACCGTGACATTCGAACGAGGAGGCGAGCAGGAGAGGAAGGCGAAGAGCCCGGGTGACTGCGCGTTCAGACGAGTAGGCGTCGCAGCCGGGCCCTTCTGAGCAATATCTAAGCCATTCCGCGTACCAGTTCGAGCCCTCCAAGTCATCGCCGCCGTGCTAGCTCGTTCAGCTGATGAAGATGTCGGGAGGAGATGCAGGACCGCCGAAAGCACGGGTGAGCAGCAGACTTCGCGTTAGCACGCTTGAGAAATGTAGTGAAACGTTGCCCATCCTGCAGCCGAACCAGGAGGATTCACAGCGAGTTGTCGAGGCTAGAGGGTCGCGAGCGAGGTTGTGATCCTCCCAGTCACCGCACAATCGCTCCTGCGGGATGTTGCAATATGGCAGACTCCCATAAACGCCCTCGCTCGGCGTCTGGCTCGTCAGCTTCGTCCGACTCGTTGTCTGCGCCGCCCTCTCCCTCGACCAAGGTCTACCGGTCGTCGTCCCCCTCACAGTGCGTGACCCGTTCCGTGACCAGTTGTAACACTGTGAAACTGGCGCTTAGAAGTGCCGCAACAGGTCGCAGTGGACCTGCACGCTCCCGCCCACGTGCGACCGCACCCCCTCGACCTTCTCCTCCTCCTCCTCCCTCGAAGCGCACCACCGCGTCTACCATGCCTTCGTATGTACCGCCCCACCTTCGACCTTTGACTTCGCGATCGGTAAGAGCGAGAAGAAGCGGTACAGGTACAGGGAGGACGGGAGGAAGGAGAGGATTTGCGGCAGGGTCTTTCCGGACGAGAGGATGTTGCAGCTGCATTTGACGGAATGTCACGATGAGCTTGCGCAGCTCAAGCACGAGCGAGGGGATAAGATCGTGCGTCCAGTCGTTTTCCTCCCTTCACGGGAGAAGCTGATTTGTTGCCTCGCCAGTTCGCCTGCTTCCTCCCTTCCTGCACCCAACTCTTCTCCACCCCGAAGAACCGCCGACTCCACCTCATCGCTCAGCACGGTTACCCCTCGCAGTACTACTTCTCGGTCACGGTCTGGGGCGTCGAGAACGTGCTGAAGAAGGGTGGAGGGATGGTTAGGCGGGAGTGGAAGCCGCGAGACGGGCAGGAACGAGGGAGAGGAAGCTCGGAGGAGGCGATGGGATTGCCGCCTTCCCCTGCGCAGGAGCGGCACCAATCGCCGCCGCACCTCGAACCGTCTCCGCCTCCAATCGTCACCTCGTCCGCCGATGTCGACGACCTCGCTGCCGCGCTCTCCGGCACGAGCATCTCGCTTGTACCCCGTTCGGTCCGCCTCGCATGCAAGAATAAAATGCAGATGTAGTAGACCCTCTCCGCAGCTGTTGTTGTAGATTCGTCTCTTGCAACTCGCACTCTCTCCGTTGCAATCGGAATGGTATCAAACGACAACAGGGAATGCTGCACAACCTCGGGGTATCCCTTCCCCTCCGCTCAGCCAAACCGCGCCGCCTCGATAGCCTTCAGGACCTTCCCCCTCGCCTGGTCGATATCCCTAACCCACGCGAACGCCAGCCGACTGTTCTCGACACGCAGGCGAATGGCGTCGCCGCGGTGAGTGATGAGGAAGTCGGTGTTGTCGCGAGGGTGAGGGCGGACGGAGCCTTCCTCGAGCGGGATGGGCTGGCGGTGGAACGCGTCAGCCCGATGCGCAAGGAAGAGAACGTGTCTGGCTCACGTAGCGGTAGACAATCTGCGTCGACCCTTGGTCCTCCGTCAAGAGGAGTAAATCGTTGAAGAGGTAGGCCTGGAGTTTACGCCTCGACTTGGCCTTCTCCAGTTTGCCTTCGCGCACGATGCGGCGAGGGCCAAGCAGGCGAGTGGGGGCGGTCAAGTCGAGGCGCTGCATTGTGTTCGGACGTCAGCTGAGCGGACAGCGGAAGACGGGAGAGCAAGAGACGCACTCCCGCAACGCCGGGGAAGACGACGGTGTCCGTCAACCACGCAAGCTTCTCCTGGTTCTCATGCGCTCGGACAGCCTCGTTGATGTCGTCAAGGGTCGTCTCGGCGATTTGGAGAGCACGCTCGAGCGGCTGGTGATCAGGATGGTCGGCAGGGGTGTATCGCAGGATCTGGCGAAGGAATAATATCAGGCACCTGGACGCGCAGATCCGTTCTCGCGACGCACCTGGTTGACGAGAAGAGGGTATCGAGTGACGCGCTGCATCGGCTCGAGGAGGAAGTGCTCAAGTTCGAGGTTCTTGACGCGAAGGCCCTGCGAGACGGCAAGGTAAGGGTCAGTCCGCCGTCTCTAGATGACTTTCGCTATCTCGCGCACGTCAAGCAAGTTCCTCAGCGACGAGTCCGACCTCTTCAGGTCCTTGAGAGTACGCGCGGCGTTCGACTGGTTGACGCAGTATCCACGGTAGTGGCTGCCGAGTCCCTTCATGTGCTCCTTGACGACGTCGCCGATCGTGTTGATGTACAGGCGAGACTCTCGCTGTCGCTCCTCGAGCTCCGAGAGGAAGACCTGACGATATGGAAGAGTCAACCCGAGTCGAGGACGCGAGGACGATGGTAGGAGAAAGCACGGTGTTGAACAGCACAATATCTTCGATGTTGGCGAAGATGATCTGCTGCGCTTTCTCAGGTAGAACAGGCTGCAGCGCGTTCAGGAAGACCTGTGGGAAAGCGGATCAGTACTGGACGACGACTCGAGCTGCGAAGGTCAGGCTCACCTCGATGACGAGCTGCAATGACTGCACGTAGCTCTGTTCGGTCGCGACGAGCTCGAAGATCGCCTCTTGCCGCTTGCGTTCGGAGTCGGGAAGGCCTTCTAGGGCAGACTCGTCGACCAGGCTCGACCAGGACTGCACAAACGCAAGGTTCAGAAAGATTCCGCAAGAAAGAGGAAAGCCACGCACCGTTCCGAAAACGCCGCTCGCTCTATTCGACTCTTCGTTCGACTCGCCCTGGGGGACGAGAGGCGAGCTGATGACTGGTCGAGTCCTGTCAGCCGTTGCGACGGTTCCGGACCTGCTTCTTCGGCCGAACAAGTTTGCAGTCGTGCTGTGCCAGGCGTCTTTGACCGCAGCTGTCGTCGATGGAGTGACCGACAAGCCAGGAGAAGGCGGTGGCGATCCTTGCGGAAGCGAAGGCGACGGTGTGGGCGGAGGATGGAGCGTCGCGGAGTGCTGCTCTCGCATCGCGCGTTGGTACAGCTGCGAGAGGCGCCTTGCAGTCAGCTCCTGATAGTCGCATAGCCCGGGAATGACGCACATCGTAAGCGTCTTCCATGCGCTCCGCGCTCTCCTCCGGTCGAGCTTCCTCCTCCTCGTCCTCCACTTCCTCCGCCGCAGGTCGACTATCCTGAGTCAGCGAAGGCACAACAGAGGAACGAGGTTGACGTGGCGGGCGAGCAGGTGGTGGTCGGCGACGCCGCTTCGGAGTCTCGTTGGGTTCAGGCGCCTTGACCAGCAAGCCCGCCGCTTCGAGCACCTTGAGCCGCTCCTTCTCGCGAGCCGCACTCGACTCCTCGTCCTCACTGTCAGGCTCGTCGTCGCTCGAGTCGAAGGCGTCGAGATGAGTGCCGTTCGAAGCCTGGGTAGCGGCGCCGTTCTCGCCAGGAGCACCTGTTTCTCGGCAGGCGAAAAGGAGCGCGGCGATGATGAGGAGCGAGGAACGAAGTTGCAGAATAGTTTCAGTGTCACAATCTTTTCAGTACGGAGGTTCAGGTCGAAGGGGAACGAGGGAGAGGGGACGCAGCGGTGTCAACACTTGCTCCGTCTCCTCCACCTTGTTCTCCTCCTCCGAGGGTTGGGGGGCGTGTAGTTGACGAAGCGTCTACTGACTGATCTCGAAGTACGTGGCCGGCACCAGTCCGATCACGCCGTCCTTTTCCGCCTTCCACCAGCTCTCGTCCGACCGGTCGACGATGGCGAGGTTTGTCTCCTCCTCGAACGACAGCTCGTCAGGCGAAGCGGCCGTATACGAGTAGAGCGCTCGTGCGGGTTGGGCTGCGAACAAAGCGCCATCAGCGAAGTCCGCTTGACGACCGGCTCCACGCAAGGACAGCTCACCGCGAATCTCCTCGATGTAGCCCTTGGGAAACCAGCCGAGCTTGGCACCCTCGAGCTCGGTCGAGCCGTACCACCAGTCGCCGCTCGAGTCCTTGGCGGGGTGAGCGAGCAAGACGCGATTCTCAGCGAAGCTGAGGTCCTCGTCGCGCTGCGCCTCGTAGCCGTAGAGCGAGCGGACGCGGATGGCTGCGGAGGCAAACGTTAGCGAGAGAAAGAGAGCGGGAACAGACAATCCGGCACGCACTCTTGGTGAGATCGACCGCATCGAGCGGGTCCTCCGTAACGATCGCAGGAAGCGTCTCGGGTTCCTCGTGTGCAGGCGCCGCCTGCTCAGGCTCATGAAGCTGCTGGTACGACTGCTCGGGCTCAGATGCGGCAGGAGGCGGCGGCGTCGGCACCCTCGGCGGCGAGGGCGGCGGTACGTAGTGCTGAACCGGCGGGCTCGCATCGCCGATGACTGCACCAGCGCCGACTGGGCCAGATTTGTCGACGGTCGTAGCCTTACGAAGCTTGAGGCCGCCCTGAATCTGGCCGAGGAGAGCGCCTCGGTCGGCTGGTCCGGCTGCGCCGCCGAGCGGCACCGAGGGAGCCTTCGGGGCGGGAGGTGCGCCGGGCGCGGGAGGCGGCGGAGGCGGCGCGGGAGCACCGTTGGCACCCGGAGCGGGCGAGGCCACAGCCGAACGGGTAGGCGAAGTCGACGACGACGGCGACGAGCGTCCTCCGCCAAGACCGAGGCCAGAGAAGAGGTTCTGCGCGAGTGCCGCCTGGCGAGCGCGAGCGGAACCGAGAGCCGGCTCGTCGTCGCTGTCCGACTCGTCGACGTCCTTCTCGAGGCCGGCAGGTGCGTCCCAGTCGTCGTCGTCCGAGGGAGGCGGGCGGAAGGCAGGCTTGCTAGCGGCGGCGGCGGCGGCGGGTGCAGGCGGAGCGGGAGGAGGCGCAGGTGCCGCAGGCGGAGCGGCCGATGCGAAGAAGGGGTTGGGCTTGCCGGCGCCGTTCGCGGCAGCGGGAGAGGGTGCGCCGCCGCCTGAGAGACGGTGGAACGGGTTCGTGCTTGGACTCTTCGCCGGCGACGTCACGGCTGGCGGGCTGAGGGACGGCGGAGGAGACGCGACGGTCGGGACGGGAGGTGCAGGCGGCGCAGGAGGAGGCGCAGGCGAAGCTGCCGCCGAGCGAGGAGCGGGCGCGGCAAAGTCGTCATCGTCATCATGCTGGAGCGAGCGGGTCGGAGCGGGCGACGGCGCAGGCTTCCTCGAAGGAGGCGGTGCCGGCTTGCCCCTCGACGCGGGCGGAGGAGGCGGGGCCTTGGCCTTGCCTGCCGACGAGAACGCCGCCTTATTGCGCTGGAAGTTCTCCTCAGCCTCCTTGGCTTCGCGCTCAAGCTGCTCGATGCGCCTCCTGCGCTCCTCCTTCTCGCGCTGGAGCTGCTCCTCGCGCTCGCGAAGCGCCTTCTCCTCCGCATCGAGCTGGTCCTCCGCAGCCTTGACAGCGTGCTGCGGCTCGCTCCCCTGACCCTCGAGCGTTCCAGCGCCCTTGATCTCCTCCCTCACCTGCTGGACAACCTCTCCTTCGCGCTGCGTCTCCTGGAGCGCCTGCTCAACCGCAACGCCCTTCTGCCTCTCGCGCTCGAGACGAGCCTGGCGCTCGAGCTCCTTCGCCTTGAGCTGCTCGTCCGCTTCGGCGGCCTTGCGCGCCGCTTCGGCTTTGTCAGCCTCGAGGCGCTCCTGGACCGAGGTGTCGACGCCTGTGCCGGCCGACGGTGCTGCGACGCCGAGTGCGCGCAGACGCTCTTGGACACGACGCTGCGCTTCGGCGCGGATGAACGCCTGACGCTCGGCGGGCGACATCGACTTGAGGTCCGGAGCGGGGGAGGGGCTCGAACCCGCAGGAGCGGGCGGCTGAGTCGGCGGCGGAGGAGGCGGCGCGTCGATCTTCTTGTCTGCAGCGGGAGGAGGCGGCGGAGGAGGCGGCGTGCGCGAGCGGGCGGGCGGGCTCTGCCGACGAGGAGGCGAGGGAGCGTAGCGGGACCTGTCGCGACCATCGCGGTCGTACGTTCCGCGGTTGTACCCGCGCTCCTCGTCGCGGTCGTCGTCCTCGCCGTTCCCATACCTCGACGCCGAGTATCCCCTGTCGCGGTCACGCTCGCGCTCGTAGCGGTCGCGCTCGCGGTCCCGCCGATCATCGTACCTCCCAAACGTCGCATTCCTGTCGTCCCTCTCGACCGCATACTTCTTCCTCTCGAGCCTCTTCTCGCGCTCCCTGTCCTCGATGCGCTTCTCCAATCGCGGCAAATCCTCGTGCTCGAGGCGGAGCAATTCGCGCTCGAGCATCCTGCGCTCCTCGTCCTTGGCCGCCGTCCGACGCCCACTGCGACGGTTATCGTCGAGGTCATCCTGCACGCGCTGGATCTTGCGATTCAACCTCCTCAACTCCTCCTTCAAGTCTTCCTCCTCGTCGTCCTCGTCCCGCGAACGATCAACGTCCCGCTGCGCATCCCTCAACCGACGCTTGACGTCGTCCAACTCGCTCGAAGGCGAGTCCTTCCCGCGCGACGAGGAAGACCGCACGTCGTCGCGATTGAGGTGGCGAGAACTGCTCTTGTACACCGGGACCGCGTCATCGTCGTTCCGAAAGACGGTCGCGTCTTTCCTCGACGCCCCTCCGTGCTGAGGCTGCTCATGCAAACTCCTCATCTTGGCTCGACTCTGCCCCGCTCCGTCCCCCTGCGTCGCACGCCGATTCGTATCGTTCTTCAGAAGGGACGTAAGGAAGTTTGCCGAGTCTTCGAGGTCCCGCGCCGAGGGGGGTGCCATCTCAGCGGGTAAGGTATGGGGGATCGGGTTCCCGTTCAAGCGACGGTAGATGAGTCCCATGGCGACGTGGAATTCGTCAATGTTGAGCTTGCCGCGGTCAGAGACGTCGGCGAGGTTCCTGCGCACCGCAGAGTCCAGCCGTCAGTCTCTTGCTCGTACGGCGTCGCGGGAGAAGGAGACGAGGATCGCGCAACGCACCAAATAGCCATCAAATCCTCCTGTCCCAACCCACTTTGTCCAAACACCTCCTTCGCCATGCTCCCGGGCAAGAACCCACTTCCACCCTTGTCCCACGCGCGAAAGATCTGGTCATACCGCTTCTTCTCCTCCTTGGTCAATTCCCACGGGATGGCGACTTGTGCTTGACCGGTTTGGGCGAGGTTGGACGACTGGAATTGTTGTTGCAAGGGAGGAGGCACGCCGGTTGGTTGGGCCGAGAGGGGCTGTTGAGAGGCGAATTGCATCTGCGAAGGAGGGATGTACGACGAAGCTTGTGCTTGGATGGTCTGGGCTGGCATGAACGTCGAGAGGAAGCTCTGCTGGACGCCTGCGCCGAGTCCGGACGAGTTGAACCCTGTTGGCTGGGGGACGAGGCGCGCCGGCTGTTGTTGTTGTTGTTGTTGGGGAGGAGGGGGAGCTTGTTGAGGGAACCCAGTCGCCATCGGACGCTGCATCGGAGCGCCCATGAACCCCGTCGGCTGCGGTTGCATCGGAAGAGGAGGAGCCATCCCGCCCATCATCCCTCCTGCGCCAAAGCCGGTAGGCTGGGGTTGCTGTTGATCGCCATCCCAGACGAACAAACGAAGGCGCGAAGCAAGCGAGGCGAGACGAGCGAGAGCAGGACGACAAGGCGGACGGAGGAGAGGTTCGGCGTCAGCGAGCCCTTCGCCCACCGCTCAAGTCCTGAAAGAGCGCGGAACGAACCTGGTACCCCTGCTGCGGTACGAACCCCGTCCTCTGCGGCTACACCAACCCAGCCCATCAGTGCCCGCGCTCGAGGTTGGCGAGGGGGTGACGCGAGGGTGGGGGGGAGAGCGGACGAACCTGCATGTAACCCGTTTGTTGGGGCTGCATGAAGCCTTGTTGAGGTTGTTGGGGCTGGCCGTATGGCCCGGTGTAGGGCTGGTTGAGCCAGCTCATTGGTGAGCGGTTGTGTGGAGGAAGGAGAGGGAGGGGTCCGAGAGGGGTGTGTGTTGGAAGTCGTGGAGCGGTGGGAGTTAGGGGTGAGGGGATGTGGAAGGGTGTTTAGAGAACTGTCGAACGAGCTAAAAAGCGCTTTGCGAGAGAGAGGAGGAAGACGAGGAGCGCGAAGAAGAGGATCCGCAGTCTTCGGTTGCAAGGAGGCGCCTTTGACTATACTCTCTCCTCCGACTCGCCGATACACTCTACGGACCCTATCACCTCTCTCCATCAGCGTGCGGGCGAGGAAGCCAGGCCGAGATGAGGACGGCGGAGGAGACGATTCGGTACGAGCCAGCAGGAATGAATTGGCCTCAGCGGCTGTTTCCAGCAACGGGCACGAACAGAACGTGTAGAGGTGAAGCAGAGTGTCAGTGTGCCTGTACAGTCAGCGCGAGAAGCAGGAGGGGAGGAGGAAGCAGCTTGGTTCAGTGGGAAGAAGGGCGAGCGAGCGACGCTGTGTCCAAGTCGACGGACCGCTCGAACTCGCAACGACATAGGGAAGCCGGCTGCGTCTTCGGGTGCAGTCAAGAGAAATGGCGAGAGAAGTACGTGATGGACTGGCGAGTCGCAGAGGGCGAAGAGCAAGGAGAGAACGACGCAAATCCTCTCGTCCGCCAGCCAGCAGTCGGTCCGCCCGCCCGTTCTGCCTGCGTCTGCTCTCTTTCCCCTCCATCCACGCCTGGCTAAACCCACCCAGGCCACGACTCCGGAGCGAGCGCCAAAGTCCGGTCACACAGGACCCTTGCACGAGTCGCGTCTCGTGCTATTCCAGTCCGCCTGTCCCCGGGCACCGAGCAGGGTCGCTGAGCGTGCAGCGTGTGGTCGTCGAGTGTGAAGAAAGAGCAGAGCGAGCGCTGGCCGAGTGTCGAGAAGATAGAGCGCGTCGTCTGAGTGTGGGAGCAAGCTGTGGGAACGAGAGCGCGTCCACCTCGTCGTCCGCCCAGCTCGTCTGCTCCAGGCTGGTGTGGTCGAGTGCTATGAGTGAGTGAGTGTACAGTGTGAGCGTGAGTGCACCCTGGAAGAGAGACGAGAGACTGGGGCTCCGTGTATGTGGCTGCTGCGGGCGTGTGCCTCGCTGTGCTGGCTCTCTCCCTCTCGCGACAACCCTTTCACTCGTTTCTCTACTCGGCTGGACCGTAACTCGACTGCTGCTACTCACACACTACAGCCAGCGCACCGCACCAACTCGCCCCCGCTCAGGCCCACTCACCCACCCCCTCTCGCTCCTCGTCCAACAACACATCCTCCCCTCTCGCTCTCGTCACAAGGCCACACAGCGCGCGATGCACCCCACCCAGGTGCTCGCACTCCTCGTCGTACTCACACCCGCCTGCACCCTCGCCCAGCCAGACGACGACCGCGCTCAGTTCCAACGGCCCAGGAGGCTCGGGTTCGCTGCTGCCCCTGCACCTCCCAAACGCGCGCGCGGGTTCGGACACGATGCCAAGGAGGTGCAAAGGAGGGGAGTACTCGAGTCGGGTGCGTTACACGTTCTCGTTCTCAGGAGGAGAGGGGGCTCAGGCCCGTCAACATGCACCCTCCCCCCTCTTCCACTTCCCGACCCTGGGGCACGCGGCGACGCGTCCACCTCAAACTCGTCTTCTCGCCCCCTTGAGGGTCCACACGCACTCTCACTCGACGCACAAACTCAAACAATCCTGAAAATGGACGCGCTGACACCCGCTTGACGACGACCGTGCGCAGCATTGACCGACCTCGTACCGGGTCTGAACGCGTCCTCCTCCGCCTCCGACTCGACCTCGGCTTCGGAACGCAAGACGGCGGGTCTTCCGACGGTGTTTTACTCGGCGGATCCGACTACCACGCCGGCTGCATCGTCGACGACGGAGGAGAGCAGCTCGACGACGACGAAGCGCGCGACGGTGACCGAGGCGGATCCCGTCTCGTCCACGTCGACTGCCGCCTCTCGCTCGACCGCAACCGATGCAGCTTCGTCCGACTCGAGCGCGAGCGCGAGCGCGGCCGAGGCGTCTTCCTCGGCTTCCAAGGCTTCCTCTTCGTCGGCTGGGATCAGTCGCAGCATCTACGGCGCGAACCGCCCTTCCTCCGCCTCTACAGTCGACTTCTCCTCTTCAGCAGAGGCGTCCGCGTCGGCGAGCGGGAACGATGTCCCGCTTTTGAGCGTCCTCTTGCCCTCGTCTTCTTCCTCCCCTTCCGTCTCCTCGGTTTCGGCTTCCCCGTCTTCTGTCTCCGCTCCCGCTTCTACAGCCGCAGAGTCGAGCGCGACTTCCTCGGACGCGCAGACGTCGGCTGCGAGGCCCGTCGCTGGCGCATCAAGCTCGTCGGCCTCGGCGGATGCTGCGCCGACGCCTTCGTCTGCGCCTGCGTCGAGTGCGAGCGCGAGTGCGAGCGCGAGCGCGAGTTATGGAGGGATCCTGAGTCAGCTCGGTAAGTCCACCCCTCTCTCCTCGCTTCCCGTTCCCTGCCTTCAGCGGGCTGACGAGTGATTCGGATGTAGGCGGGATCCTGGGCGGTCCTTCTTCGTCTTCGTCGGCTTCGACTGCGGACGCGACGGCCTCGAGTTCGGCGGATGCGTCAGTGACAATCCCCATCATCGGCTCTTCCCCCTCCCCCTCCACCGCCGCCTCCGCGCCTCTCTCCTCCACCGACTCGAGCTCGACGACTACAACGACGACTCCGCACCGCGTGCCCTTCCTCTCGCGCACCTTGACTGCCACTGCCACCCCCTCTTCGACTCCCGCGCCTGTCGCGAGCTCGGCAGACGTGAGCGTCGAGATCCCCTCCCTCTCCCTCTCGCTCGGCTCTTCCGCCTCCGCCTCCGCGTCCGCAACTCAGGCAGGAGGAAACGCAACGATCGTCATCCCTCCCTTGCCAACTGCGACCGACTCCTCGTCCTCGACGGTGGAAGTGCCGACTTCGACGTTTACGGGCCGTGTGACGGGCGGGCCTACGGCAACAAGCATCCCCGTCTCGGTTTCACTCCCTGGTTCGGCGTCGGACGCGATCCCTACCGTTTCTGTCAGCGACCTTCCTCCCGTCGCGAGCGCAAGTGCGAGTGCGACGGTTCCGGTGCCGGGTAGGAACAACGCCACTACTTCGGCTGTCATCTCTGCCACTTCGGCGACAGCTATCGTCCCGCCCGTCTCCATCTCTTCGGGCTCGGCGTCGGTCCCGATCGGCTCTGAATCACCTTCGGCAGCTGTCTCGAGTGTCAGCCGAAGCGTTGTTGGCGGTAGCTCGGGAGGAGCGAACGCAACGGCGTCTGCGACGAGTTCGGTCGTTGTCGTCGGTCCTGGTGGATCCTCGAGCGGCGCTGCGGTCCCTACCGCTTCGGCTGGAGCTGGGAACGCTACCACCTCTGCGACGGGCTCGGGATCGGGTTCGTACACGACCGCTGCGCCTGTCTCGACTGGTTCGCGCGGCAGCGACGCCTCGAGCGCCTCGAGTTCGTCGTCGTCGTCGTCGAGCACCAGCAACGCCTACGACTGGGTCCCGACCTCGACGCTGATCATCAACCGACCGTCCTCGACTTCCGCCTCCTCCGCGCCCGATTCGTCCACCCCCACCGCGGCGCCGAGTGCAGTCTCCTTGAGCGGAGCAGCGGACAAAGCCGGCGTGTCGACCTCGATCGTCTCGGGCGTCCCGAGCGTCACCATCACAAGTCAAGCGTCGTTCCCTACGAACCTTCCTTCGCGGATCATTCCCGCTTCGGAGGACGGGTCGAGCGCGTCGACTCTCGCAGGTGCGGCGGCCGACACCCAGCCTACGACGACTATCTCGATCTTGCTCGACGAGTCGATGCCGTGGCAGTGGGTTGTCGACAACTCGGACGCGTCGGGTCAGATCTTCTACTACGTCCCCATCGTCCTCGCTTCAGCTCTCAACGTCAGCCTCGACACGGTCAAGACTGTCGCGCTCCAGGCGTACCAAACGACGGATGCGGGAACGGGCGCCAGTCAGATCCTCACCGTCTACCTCGGCAGCGTACCGAGCAACTATGTCGATGCGCTCGCCGCGATGGTACAGACTCCTAGCAGCCCGATCTATACCCAGCAAGGCTTGCCCGGCCAGCTGGCGCAGACGTTCGTCTCGTCTTTCTCGGTCACCTCGTTCGCGAGCGAGTCGGCGTCGACGTCGGGTTCGAGCGGGTCAGGATCGTCGGCGAATGCGGTCGAGACGAAGGACAAGGCCGACAACAAGAGCAAGACGATCATCATCGCTGTCGTCGTCTCGTGCGGTGTCGTCCTCATCGCCATTGCGGCGTACGCGGCCTTCAGGGCTACCAAGTCCGGCGCGATCAAGTTGAGTGCTAGTCCGCGCCCCGGCGGACACGGAGGGGAGTGGATGCAGCAGGCTCCCGGAGGGGGATTGAGGGGTCTGCACCTCGCCGGCGGAGCGGGAGCGAGTCCGTACGGGACTTGGAGGAGCGGAAGGCGCGATTCGATCTCGACCACCTCGACCGCCTCAACCGGTCTCTCGTCCTCCGGCTCTTACACAGGCGGCGAGCGCTCGTCCGATCGCCGTTCGTCGTGGTGGAGGTTCTCGGACCACTCGTCTTCGGGCCACGGTCACGGAGGGAGGACCTCACCGACGATGGGAGCGGGCGGGTTGGATACCTTCAGGAGTGAGGGCAGCGGGACGAGGAGGATTCAGATTGTCAGGGGGCCGGATGGGATGGTTGCGCCGAATATGATCGGCAGGTGCGTTCGCGTGTTTCCCTCTTGACTCGCTCTGCGAAGGCGTGGCTGACGAGATGAGGATGATGCGCAGACCGGTCGTGCAGAGCAACTCGCTCATGTTGTGATCATCCTTCCTGCCGCCTCGCGACCCTCCTTCTTCAACGGATGTACATGTACTCTCGCCCCTCCCGCCCCGCCGCAAGGATACCCTACTCGCTCTCGCCTCCACGGACACTTCCCTTTCACCCTCGCCCTCCCTCCCTTCCTCGTCTCTAGATACCCCTTCCCTCACCCCACGCTCGCTCGACTCCAACGTTGTGCTCTCTCCTTCCCTCGCGCACGTAAACGAGGCAGCCGGTCCTGCCCCGTCGTCGCCCTCTCGCTCCTCTTTATTCCCCTTTCCCCTTAGACGCTCCCCTCGCGAGCGCACAATTCTTCTCTCTCTCCTCTTTCGACAGAACTTGGTCACGTAGTGTTCCCTCCTGCCTCTGCGCCCCCGTAACGAGGCTGTTTGGCAGTTCGTTCGTAAGGAGAGCGGAATAGTGAGCGGTTTTGTAAGGGGTATACAAATCGAATACAAACTGGCTGCCCCACCTCTCGCCCCGGAGAAGTCTGTCCTCCTCATTCACGCTCACACCATATACTGTTCTGCTGTGACTCTGACTGAGACGAACAGACGTCAAACAACCTGGTGAGCCTACTCGCCCAGCCCCACGCCCTCTCCTCCCACCTGCACGCACCTCATCGTCATGGCACCCCTTCGCCGACTCGGCAACTCGCTAACCCCCTCTCTCGCCCACAGACACAGGCTCACAGGATGCCACCGACCTATCCCTACCGCGCCACCGCGCTGATGAAGTACAAGTCGGCGCCAGGCGGACCGGCTTTCTCCTTTGGCGCGGGCGACGAGTTGAGGGTTCTTGCGGCGGCTGATGAGGAGGGGGATTGGCTGGAGGGGGAGAATGCGAGGGGCGCGAAGGGAGTGTTCCCGAGCAGTTTCGTCAGGGAGCTTGAGGAGCAGGAGGAAGGGCGAGGGGACAGTGCGTCGGTTGAGGCGGTTGGGACGGCGCAGAACGAGGAGGCGGAGCAGAAGGCGAGGGAGACGGTTGAGGCGACGCCGAAGGACGACACGAACGTCGTCGAGGGGAGCGAGTCGACGCCGGCGGACGAACCTGCTCTCGCCGCGGAACCTACCTCTCCTCCCGCTCCGCCCAAGGTCGACGCTCCCCCCGAGACGATCACCTCGCCCACTGTCGCCGACGTGACGCCCTCCGCGACCGTTGCAGCCGAAGCGCCAGCCAAATCCGCGTCTCCTCCGCCTCCTGCGAAGAAGCCGAACGCCCTCGCCTCGCGAATCGCCGCGTTCAATGCCGCCGCGCAGCAACAAGCTCCTCCTCCCGTTGCGCCGAAGCCAAAGCCTCGTCAATGGGCTCGACCAGCCGCACCGGCCGCTGCACCTCCGCCTCCCGCCGCGCCTTCCTCCGACGCTCCTCCCGCTCCAGCTCCTCCCGCCGCTCCCTCCGACCTTGCATCCGCCGCTTCCGCGACCGACGAGACGCAACCGCAAGCGCAGCGCGACTTCTCAGCGGAAGACGCACAAGAGTCGATCTCGCGCGGTGGAGGCTCGCTTCGGGACCGTATCAAGGCCCTTCAAGGCGGACTCAAGATGGAGCAGCCTCCTGCGCCGGGTCGGGCGCCGCCTAAGCCTTGGCGCAAGCCTAGTGCTGAGCCGGACGCAGCGGAGGAAGCGAAGGAGGAGGGGAAGAAGACGCAGCAGGACGAGGCGGAGGTCTTGCAGGATGCGGTCGTCAAGGATGAGAGGCCGAGGGAAGACGAGACGAATGCGCAGAGTCCGGGCGCGGAAGTGCCGGGCTTCGATCCTGCCGAGGGCGAGAGTCCGTTCGTGCCAGGCAGCATCGCAGGCGACGACGAGCAGGAGGCCAATTCGCAGGACGCGATCGAGCCAGCTTCGAGCTCGAGCAACGCCGCCAAGCAGGAATCAGCTGCTGCGAGTGTTGCCGCGCCCGCCATCGTCGAGGAAAAGGAGCAAGACTCGACTGTTTCTTCCGTCGCCGTCCCCATCGAGCCCGAGGAGGTCAAGCCGGTCCAGGACGAGTCAGCCGCACTTGGGGACGAAGACGACGAGGAGTCGAAGCGCGCCAGCCTCGCTGCTCGGATGGCCAACCTCGGCGGCCAACGAATGGGTCTCCCGATGCCGGCGCTTCCGAAGCGAGCTGCTGGACCTCGAGCGAGGAAGGCCAAGGCGGCTGTCTCGCCTGCCGCGGTCGAGGTCGAGGAGAAGGCGCTGGGCGAAAAGGATAAGCCGGTGGAGGAGGCAGCTTCGACCGACGAACCTGTCGCTCCCGCTGGAACGGACGACGCCGAAGCTTCGGTTGTTCAGCCGTCGCCGGAGGAGCAGAAGGAGCAGGAGGGCGATGTTCTGGCCTCGATGGGCGGCGCGAACGCTCTCCTCGCGCAGGATGACGAAGACGAGGAGACAACCGCGAAGGCTCCGATTGACGACGACGACTTCGACTCGCCTGCTCCTCCCGCTCCGCCGCAGCGGACCATCCCCCCTTCCACCGACGAGTCTGAGCCTGCCGTCGAGGGCGACGAACCGTCTGCTCGCGCTCCCCCTCCTCCGCCTCTTTCGTCTCGCCCGCCCCTCCCGCCCTCTTTCGCTCGCGAGGAGGCAGACGAATCGACCGGCGACCTTCCCGACTCTGGCGCCACCGCTCGCTCGCCTCCGCCTCCGAGTCGCCCGCTCGACCCGCCTGCCTCCTCGTCTGGCGCCGAGCCGATCGCCGACGAACCTCAGCCGACTGCTCACGAAGCTGAGCGCGACCAGGCCGACGACGCACACATGTCGCCGCCGCCTCTCCCCAAGGGTCGTCCGCCTGTCCCGCCCGCTTTTGTGCGCCAGGGGACCGAGCAACCCGCGGCCGCCGAGCAGGACAAGGAGGAGGAGGAAACGGCTTCGAAAGACGCAGAAGAGCCTCAGCACCCGCCTCTCCCGACGCATCCTGCTCCGCTTGGCGAAAAGCGCGTCACGACCGCCGCCGAAGACGCCTTCATCGCGCAAATGCCCGAGATCGTCACCCCTCCCGAAGAAGCCGCGGACGAGTCCACCGCTGCGCCGTCGCTCAACGCTCCTACGACTGAGACGATTGCGCAGGGAAGGATTGAGGATGGTCATGAGCCGGCTGACATGGGCCAGCCGGCTTGGGGGAAGGTTGAGGGGACCGAGACGCCGGCTGTTGAGCTGAGTCCGCCTGCGCTCGCGCCGAAGATGATGTCGAAGGAGGACACGAACGCTGCGCCTGCTGAGCCGAAGCAGGAAGAGGAGGATGAGGAAGAGGAGGAAGACCCTGAGATCGCTCGTCGTCGTGCGCTTGCGGCGAGGATGGCCAAGCTCGGCGGGCGAGGACCCTTGATGGGCGGCCCGATGCTGGGTTTCGGTGGACTCCCGCCGAAGAAGCCGGCGAAGAAGAAGCCGACGTCGGAGCTGGCGGAGCAGGGAGACTTGAACGCTGCTGGAGGACCGAAGCCGGACCGTGCGTGCGGACGCCAACTTCTCCGTCTACATTCTCGACTGACTCGTTTGGTTGCGCTGCAGAGCCCGCACCCCGCGACGAGGAAGAATCAGCTCCCGCACCTCCTCCCCGTCGTCCAGGCGGCATCCCCGCCGGTGGCTTCGCGCTCCCCGGCATCGCACCTCTCCGTCTTCCACCCCAACACGAGCCCGAGGAGCAACCTTCACAGACGGAAGAAGAGTCTGAGCCGCTCCCGACGTCGGGCAAGACGCTCGCTGAGAAGTCGGCTGCTGCGACGGATGAGGTTTTCGCGCGGAAGGACGAGGAGAGGGAGAAAATGGAGGATGCAGGGGTTGCGCCGCAGGATGAGGAGGACGCGCAGGAGGAGCAGGTCGTCGAGCAGGTGGAGGTGCCGCCGCCTCTTCCGCCCAGCCGGCCGTCGACTTTGCCGCCTCGTCGGTCGGTGCCGATCCCGGCGGAGGAGGGGCAGCAGCAGGGGGACGATGCGGCAGACGATGAGCCTGAGCAGCCTGACGTCCTCGGCCAATCGAGGCAGGTCGAAGAGCCTGAAGCGTATGGCGAGGAACTGCAGGCTGAGGAGGCTGAAGAGGAGTTGCCGCCTCCGCCACCTCCTCCTCGTCCCGCAGGCGGCCACCAGTCTTCCCTGCCCCTCTCGCCTCCCATGCCGCCTACTCGCGCCATCCCCTCCTCTCCGCCAACTCATCCAGCCCCGAACCCGACATTCTTCCAGCAAGACGACGCCGAGCTCGCTCGCACCGCTACGCAGTCCTCGCGGAAGTCGTCGATCAACCCGCCTGGCTCGTCAGTTGACGTTCCGTTCGAGCCTTTGCGTACGGCCTCGACATCGTCCTCGCAAGCGCAGTACCCTCCGTCCTCGAAGCCCAACCTCGACGACCTCCTCCAATGGTCCGCCTCGCTCGGTGCGCAAGTGTTCGCCGCCGCACACACCAAGATGAGCGACAAGCAGGCGCGCGGACTCTCGGATGCCGACTTGATCCATTTCTGCTTCAGTCGCGCGACGGATCCGCTCCCGCCTGCTGGTTCGACGTACGGCGTCAAGACTTACGAGGCGACGGTCGAGCAGGGGAAGAAGGTGCCCTCGGTGCGCGAGGAGGACGAGCCGCGAGCGGGAGACGGTGCGTTTCCGTTTCTTCAAGCGGATCTTGCGACGAAGCGAGGGACTCGCAAGATGCGCGATCGGGTGCGGGCACTGATGCTGATTGCTCTCGGATGTGCGTCGCAGTCGTCACCATCGCAGCCAAGTTCAAGCACAACCTGTCGAGCAAGACGGTCGGTTCTTCTCCCGAGGCGCCTCACGTCGCGATTGTCGCGGGCTGGGACGCCAAGAAGGGCAAGCTCAAGGTTGTCGAGGTCGAGGGAAGGAACGGGACGGTCGACGAGGGCAGCTACCGCATCGACGAGATGCGTGCGGGCCAGGTCGTCGTCTACCGCGTCGCGCCGAAGGATTTCTTCGAGTGAAGTGCGAGGGTGCGATGGCTCGCTGTACCGTGCCGGCTGTAATCAATCTCGCGAGTCTCTCGATCAAGAGCGCGCACGCGAGCAGAGCGACCACTTGCCTCTCGGCGAACTCCGCGCATCGCGAATACAAAGGTGGGTTGTATTGGGGCGAGTTGTATTCGATCGCGAGCAAGCTGTTCCGGCGAATGACCCGCTCGCAAGCCTCGAACTTGAAAACCCCGCCCGCACGACTTCGCGATCGGGCTTGCGCTGGCTCGCTCACCACAACACCGCTCAGCGTGCTTACTGCTGCTTGTATTCGACTGCTGCACTCGCAACTACTCCAGATCGAGCCAGCCAGCCCAGCCCAGCCGCACACTCACCCTCTCCTCGACCGATTCAGCCGTCATCTCCGAGAATCGGCCAACACCCTTCTCCCTCCTCTCGTAGCACTCGCTGTGGTGTCCAGGCAGTTCCAGTGGGAGTATACGAGCTCAGGTGCGTCCCACATACTCTATCGCACAGCTGGACGTCGCTGATCGCGAGGACACAGCCCCGGTTCACCTTTCGCCGACCTCGTCTCCAGCCGTCCCCGCCCATGGACGCGTTCGCCGCCACCATCTGAGCAACCACGGATGTCGACGCTAGCCATCAGACCCGACGAACCCCCGAACGAGCGACACCGCGACACCGTCCCCGACCTTGACCCGTCTGGCGGAGGAAGACGTCCGGCCATGTCTCCTCGAGATCGGTCGCCTGCCAGCTCTCGTGGCTCGCAGGACGACAGCTCGTCGACACTGTCGGATCGTGGGCGAGCGCGCAGGCGTTCGGCGGGCTCGGAACGGTCGGATCAGCCTGAAGGAGCGGAGGAGACTGCGGATCTGCCTCAGGCTTCAGGTGCGTCCGGCTCGCTCTCCTGGCGCTCGCGCCGCTTCCAGACGTTTGTACTGACTCTGTTACTTTTGTGTCGACAGGCCTGGCGCATCCCGCTTCTCCCGAGGCACCTCACCCGATCGCCAGGTCCTCCTCCGCCACCACGTCTGTCCCCGCGCCTTCTGCTTCCGTGCGCGCCGATCGCCTCGACCACCAGCTTCAGACCACGTCTCCAGATTGTCCCGCCCCGTCTCGCATGCGCCGCGTCGCTCGTGTCTCTCCCAATTCCCGCAACGAGCGCCCCGTCCCGTCCGCCATCCCTTCCTCGAACTTTTCCGCCCACCATCGACCAGCCCACGGTTTGCGTCGACAATCCTCCCTCCCTCCGTCGAGTCGCCGCGCGAGGGCGAGCTCGCTGAGCCCGCCGTCGACCTCGTCAGGTCTCGCTTCTTCCTCGTCCCGTCCGTCTCGGCACCTGGATCCTGACCAGCATTGGCTTTCAGAGGACGAGGCGCACGACGCCGTCAGGGTTGCGGATCGGCCGCGTCGGTCACGGCGAACGAGGTCGAGCAGGAGCGACGATTCGGAAGGTCCCGAGCGCGACAGTCCCAAGCTCCTCGCCGCGTCGGGCCTTGGCGAAGACCCGACGTCGGCTCACCACATCCACAACCGACCTTCCAAGGCGTTCAGACCGTCCGCGACGCCGCCGATGGCAGAGTTGACGGACGGGCGATCGCTGTCCGCTGTCGTTCCGGACCTCGCTCGCCTCCTCCTCTGCCCGTCGTGCCACAACCTCTACATCGATCCCGCCACACTCGCCTGCGGTCACTCGCGCTGCCTCGTTTGCTCCGGAAAGTCAGATACCCTCGCCACCCCGCCCATCGAGACGGCGTCGATGACGACTCCGACCGCCTTCACCTTCACTCCGCCCGCCGTCGCGCGGCATACGGCCGGCATTGCCTCGCCTCTCCCCTCGCCGCCCGTCGTCGCTCACCTCGACAACAACCAGCTCTACCGAACCTTGTCGGCAACATCGACCACCTCGACACCTTCCGTCGCCTCGACTGCGCAGACGCACATCCCCGTCGACCTTCCCAACCTCACCTGTCCCGACTCGTCGTGCGACTACAACTTTTCGCATCTCATCGTCCCCCATCTCCCGCTTCATGTCGACTACACCTTGCGAAAGGTCAGCGAGATGCTGCAGAAGGCCGTGCCGGGACTTGCAGAGTGGGCGACGAGCCTCGCGCCGAAGAACGACCCGCATCTCGCGCCGTTGTTCTCCGACGTGCGGTTGGCCAGCGAGGCGCCGACCGATGTCGAGGACAGCGGCGAGCAAGCGATGGTCGAGGGCGACATCCAGCCTGGTGCGATCTCGCGCACGAGCAGCGGTAGCAGTGGCGGGGGCGATGAGGAGACGATCGAAGGACACGACGACAGCAAGCGTGCGCACAAGTCGCGCAAGTCGTGGCAAGCGAGCAAGAAGTCCAGGACGGCGTCCTTCAGCGACGTCTCGATGGCTTCGCCGGCCGTCGGTCCTTCTCGCGCGTCGACGCCGATGCCGCAAGTCGCACAACGGGACGACAAGCGCCTCGACATCGCCGGTTTGTCGCCCTCGTTTCTCGCCGACCTGCACAACGAGTGCGAGTGCCAAGTGTGCTTCCAGCTCTTCCATGAGCCGGTCACTTCGCCTTGCGGCCACTCGTTCTGCCGACAATGCCTCGCCCGCTCGTACGACCACTCCGACAAGTGTCCCTTGTGCCGCGCCGACCTCCCGCCTCTCGCCTACTTCCGCTGGCAACGATCCAACATCGCGCTCACTAAGATCATCGAGACTGCTCTCCCTCAACAAGCCGCCGAGCGTGCCGCGACTGTCAAGGAGGAAGAACTTGCGCTCCTCGCCTCGGTACCCGTCTTCGTCTGCACGACCGCCTGGCCGGGCATCAAGTGCTTCCTGCACATCTTCGAGCCTCGTTACCGCCTCATGGTCCGCCGCGTGCTCGAGACGCCCGAACGGTCGTTCGGGATGGTCCTCCCGCTTCGCAGCGCAGGACCTGATGCCGTCAACGAGTACGGTACCATGTTGCGCGTCACGAGCTGCCAGATGCTCGAAGACGGCCGCCTCATCCTCGAGACGATTGGGACATACCGCTTCCGCCTCCTCGAGCGCAGCATGGTCGACGGGTACAACGTTGGCAAGGTTGAGCGCGTCGACGACGTATCGCCGGAACAAGAAGCCGAGCTCGAGCGGGTTGCGCTCGCAAGGAACGATACCCTCCAAGACGAGTACGCCGAACCTGAACCAGTCGGACCGGACGGCGTGCCCCTCTCGAGACCGCCCATGACGGGCAACATCGAGTTGTCGACCGACCAGCTCATGCAGATCTGCCTCGACTTCCTCACGACCCTGCGCGCTAGCTCAGCGCCGTGGATTATCGAGCGGCTGAACCGGACGGGTGCGTTCCCCTCTCTCCTGCCGTGTCGTACTGTACTAACGCCTGGCTTTGCAGTCGGCGAGGTGCCCAACAACCCGCACGATTTCAGCTGGTTCGCCGCCGAGGTCTTCCCGGTTGAAGATCACGTCAAGGTCACCCTCCTCCAGTACGTCGCCCTTCGTTACCATTGATGCGTTCGCCGTGCTGACTCGTGACCTCGCGCAGGATCACGAGTGTGCGCGAACGTCTGCGCTTGATCGTCTTCTGGATCGAGCAGTTCAGGTCATCGTGGTGGTACAGCCGAGGCTGTGCGTTCCACGTCTTGTTCCTCGCCTCGACCGTCACTGACGTCTTTCCGATGCACAGGCAACATCGCCTAGACCGCCTCTTTACCCTTCCCCTCTTCCCTCTTCTCCTCTGGTTTCCCTCCTCTCTCGCTCGTTCTGTCGTCTCGTTACCCCTACGCATCATTTCCCTTTTTCCCTCCCAGTGTATCCCCCAGATTCCTCTCCTCACCCCAGTATCGTCATGTCCGCCGCACTACACTTCGCACACACCTCGTCGTTATTTCCCGCTCCATCTCATTCCCTCTGACTATCGCTCGCTTCAGGTTCCGGTCAACTTTTCCTGCTGCCTGCTTCCTCTCTTGTCTTCGCAATCGCAGTTCAT